TGTTACTATACCTATATATCGATAAAGTCAACTTTCCTCTTCTATGCATCGGAATTAGTATTATTGGAAGTAAACGCGTATTGAGTTTGAATCAACATCTCCACTGTAACCAGATAAACGACAGAAGTTGTTAATTGGATTAATCCGTAATATCAGCCATGGTAACTCAATGGTAAAATAGCGCCCATTTACGTTGAATATCGTTATGTACTATCTACTCTAAGTCTTCTACGCCTCTACGATACCCAGAATATTCCACGAAGATTTATCCCCTTTGTCGTCCGCAATGTCTGTCGTCAAATCTAGGCACTTCCGTACCTCATAGCGCCGACTTAAACTCAGATATCTACCCTTGAGCTCTAAGACTAACTCCAGTTTTAAATTCTTATCCAAAGCGCATAACAGTAGTGTTATCGAGCATCAATTTGAAGAGCACTTTCCAGCTATTCAGATTTCTCGCTACGATACCTTTATTACCAAATAATACTCGATTAATAATGGGCCATAACCATTCAACCATAAGTCAATGATTGTGACACAATAATTTATGATACTCACTTTCTATTATGATCCCATAATATAAATCGGTGAAATTATAGTTTATACCCACAAAAGCTTTTGTTTGAGGCATACCAATGGTCATTATTATATATTAATAACATACAGAAAAAATCTGGGATTTCTCGATACAAGAACTAGTGTTTCTGCAATACGAGCGGCTCAAAACCAATTCGAAATTCCAATTTTTCGATTCTTAAATGTGGAATTAACTTGAAAATTCTATCGTTTTCAAAGTGATAAATAATTGCCCTATAAAATATGCTTAGATAGCCAGTGAACGTTTTTACATTTACGCTCACTTGCTCTGAACGATACTGTTTCGAAACACAAAAAACCGTTTTTATACAATTTTATTCAGAGACTACTATACAATCCTGCTACAATACCTTTGACCAAATATATAGAAAACCTGGTCCTCGCAACCAAAATTGAAATCTCAATCAGCCTGCTGCAATCAAATACATTAAAGACGAAATTCGTGCGTTTAGATTGATGACGTGCAGTAATGCAATGCACGAATGCAGTTTCACTTTGTCACATACGTGATGCATGTTTTATTCTTCGCGAGCAAATCATAAGAATATGCGAAAGATAATTTTCAAACTGACGCAGTATGGAAACTCGGTTTGACATTATCAAATAGGAGTTGTATTTCCTATACTCGTTTTACTTTCACGCGAGCCTAATTATCTCCTCAGGCCAGGCGACAGCTCATAATTCCCTTTACAATTCCAATTTTGTTATGAAGTCAGTTCTTATATCCTAACCAGGTTTGTTGCTTTTCAATCAGTAATTGTTTAAGTTTTTTACTTCATTTATTACATTTGCGAGGACCAAAACAATATATTAATGTTATCGATAAATTCCCTTCGCAATTTTAAAAAATTTCAAGATTTTATGGACACCCTATATATGAACCCGGAAGCCACCAGTTATAAATCGGATATTAGTATACCATTATCGTATTGTTTTTACTTTTAAATGTTTTCGATATCATTTGGAATGTTGCGCTTGTGTCTTTTTATTTGAACTAATTCTGATAATGAATTTCGACTGACAAGTTACTATTTCATACTTCAAAAGTTCAGCTCAGATTTACGTCTCGTGGCCTGCCTACTGTCGCCTATTAAGTACGTTTACCGAAAAAAAAGTATCAGTGTTTCTGTCATTAAATCTCATATAATTAAATCTCAATATATATATTAATGTTATCGATAAATTCCCTTTGCAATTTAAAATTTTTTCAGGACTTTACGGACACCCCTCACACGCTATATATGGACCCGAAATCCACCAGTTATAAGCTAAATATTATTGAACCATTTGTCGTATTATTTTTTACTTTTGAATTTTTTCGATATATTTAAAATTTTACGCTTGTGTCTTTTATTTGAATAGATTTAAAAGACGAATTCCGATTGACACGCCACTATTTGATAGTTTTATCTTCATCTGCTCAGATTTACGTCTTGTACCTAGTAGCCTACCTACTGTCGCCTAGTCAGTACTTTTACCGGAAGAAATACAAAGAAGTACCACTGTTTTTGTCATTAAATCTCAAATAAGCTTAGCCTTATATCTACCCCAATTCATTTCTGATGAAATACTACAGTTAGGCTCAACTTAGGGTATGAAGAATTCCCATTTAGTCTCACAGTGGCGAAGCACTCAAATCTCTAGCAACATCTTTTCGGAAGAGCCAAACTTCCTTTACTGATGACCAAGTGCTAAATATCTTCAAATGCTTAAAGTTTGATCTTAGCATTAATCATCCAACGCTATGCTAGATTAAGGTGCCAAACCCTGCTAGATTATGACATCACATTGAATGTTTGATCACGAGGAAAAGTTTCTATTGTTGTGACATAATCCATCACAAACGTACCCGACTAAGTAACTGCTACTGAATAAACAACTCAATCTTAAGTTTATTTAGCTGACATGGCGAGATTTGGGTATTTGCGGCCGTATCGGCGAGAATACAAATTAATGCAGGATTGCCACATTATCGCTATTTTCTAAATATGTACGGTTGAAAAACAACAGCTATGCAGCATTTGGCACAGAGCTAATTTCAAGTGGAAAAAAGAACACTTTTTGTCATTTTTTAGGACTTTAAGTGACCAATAGGCAGAAATAATTTTGAAAACTGCAAAACGCCGTTTATCAAGATGACAAACAACGATTAGTATTTTTGGAACAGTAACCAAAGACAAAGCGACAACGGCGAAATGAAGTAGGCTTACCATATTTCTGAAGCAAAAAACCTGGACGGCATGGATTGGACAAGTCAACCTTGGTACGATTCCAAAGGCTTAGTGATAGTTTTAAACGTGTTCCATACCATCGTGGGTAGATTAAGAGCATCAAAATTAGCTGTAAATCCTGTCGAAATATCCTCTATATTGGTATTTGCTTCAAATAATGGAAATCGTTCAACTCATTAAAAAAGTTGCACTTTGTTTCCAGCATTTTGGTGATTCAACGACAGTACAGTTGGGTGTTAAATTAACGCATGGTTCATATATACCTAATAACAATTTTTCTCTCTATCTGAACTAGTGAAATGAGATGCAAATCAGTGGTAAATCGGCTGCCTCCGTAAAGAAAAAATTTTGTAATAGTCTCAAATTGTAAAAAGAATTTATAAATGTCACACTGCAAAACCGGGACATATAAGGCTATCGCCGGGACGGCAAAAAAACATTCTGAAACCGGGATTGTCCAGGCTAAACCGGGACGTATGGTAAGCCTAGTTAGAAGCATTCGACTGCAATCCGAAGGCCAGTCGTCAGATTCGCAATTTTATTCACAGTTAGATCGGCATTCACGAATAAAGGAAAACGCTGGATAAACCAAAAAATAACTTCGCATTGGACAACTAAATCCCCTAAGATGCGTGCAGTGGCGTATCTAATGTATGGCAGCCGTGGGCGCCGTTTGGACGCGCAAAAAGTTGTGACAGTATGTGTATCAGGGCAAGTAGCCTCATATATTTCATACGGTTATGAGAATATTTTACGTCATTCCATATTTTTGCGCGTAAAACACTTCACTGAAATAATTTAAAATCGCAGATGATAATTCAATATTAACTTAATAGTAGCTCAATTCAGCGGCAGTCGTTAAAAATTTGTCAGTCAACGATCAAGTGGGCGCATTTGCCATTTCACTAGATATACTACCTACTACTGCGTGCATTGAATTCCAGTGTGTTTGCACAATCCCCTGATCAATTCTTTGGCTATTTATCATATTATATACAAGGACTTTAAATCCGGGATACACGCAATCACTCGGAAGTATGAAGAGAGCGTGGAGAAAGTTACGAGCAGACAATTAACAAATGATACAATACGCCGCAGCATATCAGACACAAAAGAACTAATCAAAGCCTTGTAACCAACCCGTTTTCCCTTCATCCCGAAGACAACACCCTTTGGTCATAAATATCCATAATTTAAATAAGAATAATTTACTACCGATTCGAAATGCCCAGCCCAGCACACAAACATTTTCGTGAAAACAAAATTTTTACAGGTTTCCATTATTTTTACAGCTATTTTATACATCAGAAGAACTCGACAAAGAACAATAAAGATGAAAATATTTACAAAAATATACAAAGGAGAATCTTTGGACCCTACTGTTAAGAAAGTTTGGCAGTTACAAAGAATTTTCCTTCGGAATTTGTAGTGGTTCTCAAAACTTTTTAGGCCGCACCCCCTTTTTAGAATTTGTTAAATTAACGCCCCACCTCGAAAATAACTAGCTTATAAGCTACAAATAACAAGGCGAAAGTATGTTTTATTACAAAAAAAAAGGCTGAAAATACGTGGAAGGCTCCACCATTTGAGAACCACTGCCTTAACACTCACCCGGAAGTGAACTAGCTAAGACGATTGAGGTCAAGAGAGGGTCCAAAAGAAAGCTTGAGGTCAAGACTAAAAAAAAGATTAAATATTCTAAAAGGCAGTGTGAACTTAGCAGATACCAAAATCTAGCATCAATTACTCATTCAACCGTGAAGTCAAATAAATGAGACTAAATGAAATTACTGCAGAAAATTTCTACCCACCAACGCAGTGTTTCCCAAACTGACACAGACCCATATGGGTCCGCAATGATATGTATAGAATATCCATTGATGTCAGAAAAGACAATTAAAATTTTATTGCCTTTTGCAACGACCTACATGTACGAGGCAGCATTTTTAGCTCTTACCAATATGATAGTAAAATACAGTTAGAGACTTGCTTAGAGTCGGACTTGTGAGTTTGATAAACTGTGCTGTGGAGAACAACCCTATCGTTACATTAATGTCGTTTGTCTTGTAATTGAAACATTATCCCTTCATTGTCGGTTAAGCACAGATATTGATATGGCATAGGATGGGTGTTTGTCTAAACCAGGGGTCGCGACCCCAAATTGGTTCGGAGTGATAAGTAGGTAGGGTCGCAAACAGGTCATGGGGTCGATGAGGTAAGGTAGAGGATGGATGTACGAATTATCTAAGAATTGTCAAACCATGTTACAATTAGCAGTTTTTACCATGGCTTACTGTAAAACAGGCCCATAAGCATCGCTATGTGCTTATGCTATAGAAATGTACGTAAGCCCGGTGAAAGAAAGTTTCATGAAAAATATATATTGACCTGGGGTCGCACTGGACACTTGGAAGTTGTCCTTGGGGTCACCCTGAAAAAAGCTTGGGAACACCTGGTCTAAACTAAGATTCACAAATAGGGGTACGCGAACCCCGCACTGATAGACCCAATATTGAGCATGATTAAAAGACTTAGGCATTACAGGATGAACATCCGTAAATTGAAATAGGTCCACACAATTTTGTGTATAGAAGAAGATGTTTTTCTATTAAAGCTGTGTCGCCACAAAAACTGAAAGAAATTCTGAGGGATCGAAGAGAGTAGGATTCAACTTTGTCCTCCTGTTTCCTGAAACCCTGAAAAACTGGAATAAATTTATTTTTAAATATCCGACAATTAAACTTTAGCTCGCTTCCTAGCGGCACCATCACCCCGAGCCCCAGGTTTCGAAGCTCGGGACGAAGTGGGCCCAGGAACAGTGATTGAAGCTAAGGGGTCACGACCCCCAGAAGATGACGATGATTGAGTAAATCGAGTAACGGTCGAAACCCCGTCGACAAATTTTGTTCGGAAAAGAACATTGGCATTGTTGAACATTCCATCTTTGAGTGAAACGACTATAAATTGTGATTTTTTGAAATGCTCCCGCAACATTCGCCCAATGTTTTGAGTGTGAGAGAGATCAAGAGCGGCATCAACCTGAAAAATCGATTTATTTAATTTTTTTTTGTAAGTTGTTTTCACGCCTTTATTGTGAACAGAAGGGAAATCCCGTAGTATGTGTACCAGGTTAGGGTTAGGCCAAAATTTTATTCCGATTTTCCTATTACGAGTTCTGGGAGTGTACACCCCCTGCCCATAGGTTTCAGTCCCTTTACACAACAACAAAATTGGTCACCTCCATATTGGAACACATACTTCTGGAGCACCCAAACGTTACATATGCCGGTAGAAGTACCCACTGATAATAACTGCTTTTGTTTAAGTTTTTAATTCATTCAATACATATTTATATGCCTAGCATTGGTTGCACGAAGCATACCAAAACGTCTTTCACCCAATTTAATTTACAATTTCATGAACACCACATATCATACATTACAGAGTTCCTCAAACTTTCTTCCCCCGAAGCACATGCCCTTTTTATTTTGCCTCATTTGCTGTAAACTTGACAATTCAAATATTAGGCCAACGGTTACGGTTATTGAACCGTTGACGAAAATGCTATGCTTTCCAGACTGGCACGAGGCCTGTTTGCCTCTGATTGGTAGACAAATTTACGACCCAGGGACACCGTAGTATGGCCGAGATCGCCATGGCAACTAATTCAGTCACAATTCCGAGCCTGTCCCGCAGAACACTCCCACAAAGCTTGCGGAACACGAAACACAGTTTGAGAAGCACAGATACATTAGTATTATACAGATCCTGAATACAACAAATTTTGGAGCTCCGGAAGTATGTGCACCAAGATGGCGCACAACCTGAACATAGTATATGTACCAGATTAAGGTCCAGGTTGTTCGCCATCTTGGTGTACATACTTCGGGAGCAACCAAATTTTAATGAATACCTTTTTTCTAAAATATGCAAGAGCTCTCACCTCATCAAGGATATAAATCGGGGCTGGTTTCAGTAGCAACATTGCTAAGATGAGTGATAAAGCAACGAGGGACCTTTGACCCCCGCTGAGTTCACTTAAATTATCTTTCCAAACTCCACCGAATCCAACACGGAATTCAAGACCGGCCAATACACTACTGCCCTCTGGTGGACCCAATTTGGCTGTTGCTCCCGGCAACAAGGTTGAAAAAATGTTTCCGAAATCTTTATTGACCTAAAAACGGTGAAAATAAATGTGAAGATGGAAAAGCCCAAAATATTGGCATGGTTGACTATAACATCAATAATGATGACTAGAGACAATGACTTTAGCCTCTCTAATCTGTCTCAGTTTGAATATAATTGGTGGCAATCAATGTTCCCTCTAATTTTTGTAGTATGTGTGCGCAGAAATTTTGGTGTGTGCGCACTTTTTTGGAAATGACTGATATTTGTGCAAAAACCAATGAAGAAATTTTGGCGTTCAAACCGGGTAATGGGTGGGCCAACAACAAACTTTCTCCACCTGCCAACCGAGAACATTGTTACATTACATCGAAATATGTCTGTGCGCAGCTTCTGAAAGCTGTGTGCGCGCGCACACTAGGCTTGCACGTAATTGACAAAAATCAATTCCGTAATTACGGCCAAATCGATTACGTAATGACCCCGTAATTGCGATATTTTTTTCACACATTTAAACCTAGCATACCAACCAATTTAATCCACTTCTATTCCGAATGGGACATCGAAGTTTGGTTTTCATATTCCCGGCAGTACCACACGCCGGAGACAGATGTTAAAGACAAATATCAAGGAGTGAATTCAAAATAATTTTATTCTGATTTTTATCTTTTGTATTAGCTTTGATTTTCCTTTATCAACTTTATATGACATGCCTTCTCCGAAAATACAAAGTTATATCGCAAAACAATGCATTTTGTGACATTTATTTTGCACTCATGAAAATATTAATTTATTTTTCTAACTCAAGTCGACAATCCTATTTGCCAAGATTGACACAAGTTTGGTCGAGTGCCGGTGGTATTCAGGTCGACGATAAATCAAAATAAGTTGCCGCATTTGGTAAAGACAGGTAATCATATTTGGCCGACATATTGCGATTTGCGAGGCATTGTGAAAAACATATTGAGCAATGCCAAGTCCGGACAGATATATAACGATAAAACCGGTAACAGAACATCAAGATTTTGTAATAGAAAATGGATTTCGCGCAGAATAAACACGGGAAATCCCGTCGTAATGTTGTTTCTCTGCCGTCTCAATCGCTTTACCGATGCCGAAAGGACTAAGTTGCGTTGGTTCATTACGCAATTTCTCTTCCGTCTCTTGCTGTTTGATAAGCGCGACATTAATTATCACGACATTTACAAATAGACCATGTTTTATAAGTTGATCTCTTACATTCTTCACTCATTTCACCCGAAGAAGTTGAAACCAGGTGTGTTGGCGTCCATCGGTCTCGACACAATTCTATTCCTTATTTACGGTTAATATGTACATTGGCCATCTTAGATAAGTTGATAATAGGTTAGCAAATGACGCGTTATGCCCTCCCCATCTGCCTAACAAGAGAGAGAAAAACGGCTGCGAATACCGGAACTCTAACTTCTTTTACTTAAACTTTAATTTTTTACAATCGACGGAATTGACTGCTCTGAAGAGAGCTCGTTTCAATCGCGAAAGCGCTCGACCAATAATTACGACTTTACGTAATTCGTGACTTCGCTTGTGTAATTCGAAATAATTCCGTAATTCCGTAAATTTGTAAATTACGTGCAAGCCTAGCGCACACGCGCACACCTTAGGGGGAACACTGGTGGCAATCATTCACTATTCCAATATATAGAAATTCAAAGAACTGACAAAACTTGAAAGGTTCAAGTTTGGCTCAGCGGTGCGCCGCATCATGCTTTGGGAATACGATTGCCATTGCACCTCTGATTACCCTGCGTTGGTTCGCAGTTTCGAATCCTGTGGTGAATAATTATGTGCGGGGGGATTGCTGGACTCCTCGTCGTCGTAGAGTGGTTCACGTAACCTCTGGTCGGTTGCGGCTTCCTCCGCCACCAAGCCCATGCATCTGAAAACAAAAAGCTGGCTGACTAATTCCATACTTGATACGAACTGGTAACCGGACGAGAAACCATGATTTGCTCTCCCCCAGGATAAATATGTAAATCGTATCCTATCCTCCAAAAGTCTTACCTGTTCATAAGCTTTAGTAACAGCTTCATTTTTCTTCTGGTCCAGCTCAACGATGGTTTGTTTAATTTTCATTTTATCTGTTTCAATGATTCGTTTCCTTTTTGATAAATCTTGACATTTTTCTTCAACTTTTCCCAGCAAACTCATTGCTCTCATGTTAACAGATTTACTTAATTTTTCTTTGGTTTCTTTAAGCTTAGAAAGCCTGCGGGAAAAGATTGATAAAGATTAGAGCAATGTGCTTTATTAACAATGCAGAGATGTCCAAATGAATTGAATTATTTAAAATATTTTAAATTCTTGGTTTTGAATGTTAATACAGAAAGAATTCTATCATTTTTTATCAAAGTGCAACCAAAAAAGTTTTAATTTTAATTTTTGAGAACTCAATAAAACACAGAACAATCCAACAAATCCGCAACTAATGGACCAATGATAAAAATGACTGAAACCAAGCTAATACTTTAATCATTTTCTTGATATTTCATCCCATATTTCAAACAATTTTTTTATATGACTTTGACATTTATTTCTATATATTTGATCGCTGTTTCCCATTTTTAATGAAAATAATTACTTTCTAGAAAGATCTTTTGGATTGCTGGCTTCAAAATCATACAAAGAATCCTTCTGTCCAAACAGATGCCGATCATGCTCGATCCAATCATGTTCCTCAAGTAATTGATTGATTTTATTTGCGGCTTCTTGACTTTCTTTGACGTGTTTCGTGATTGCGTAATTCTGTTCTTTAATATCATGCTCCAGTGAGTTTGCCTTTTGCTGAGCTTCTGTCATTTCGCTCACTTTGGATTGAATATCCTGAAATACCGGGAATGAGTGGAATAAAGAATTTCGTGAGTATATCTGGGAATGAAAAGAGATAAAAAGGCCAAGTGACAGGGGTTATCACACACCCTCTCTGCCTTCAAATTTCTTTTGCAGTTCCTGTCCTTTTTGCTAGTCTGAAGAAGTCAGTTTAGATGTGCGGTCTTCGCATCTAGTCAGTCGATTATTTTGTTTTATCGTTCGATATCGCAGAAAGATTTAATCTTTCTCAAATCTTGAGTCAATACGAGTCACTGGTCATCAGAGTATGAGTAATATTCATATAAAAAACACATTCCACACTTGTAATATCCATTTACCTATAAATAACTTCTTTTTATTTGAAAAAAAAATCGCGATATCGACCAAATCTTATTTTAAGGGTATTAAAATATTTTCAAAATTAAGACTGTTTCTTATTTTCAGGGAAACATGGTAGTTGAGTATAAGTCCCGACAAAACTCTGGGGGACGTTTCGTTACCTGATCTCTCATCCTGATGTATTCTCTCTGTTTCTGTAAATCCTGTTTTGCTTCTTTCACAGAGTTTTTACATTCCTCTAATGCTTGACTCAACGATTCGTATTGTTTCTGAAAAAAAAAATGATTTTTTTTATTAATGGACACGTTTAGTGGCCATAACGATAGTTTCAAAATTTTGTTGTTATTGTTATTTGTCTCCGTCTCCATTTTTAAAAAATCGCTTTTCTCTTCGAATACTGGACCAATTGCTTTGATATTTTCAGTGGTTAAAGATAAAATTTTTCTCCAGAAGGCTATTACTTTTTTTTTTTCGCTATGACGTCATCAAAATTATTGCCACTGGGTAGCGCTACGTGTCCATATATTTGAGCATAGCTCTCTTGTTATTATTTCAGAATGTGGTGAGGGAAGGCTGATTAGGAGAATGTATTCAACTGTGTTAAACACAGTTGTTAAGGTGCATTTCAACACCTTCACTCACCAATCAAGGTTACACTCATTATTTCATGTCCCTGGGCATTTATTTCCATGTCCGCTTCTCTACACAGACACATACAGAATATGCAGTCATGACATTTCTGCAATAGATGTTGGTGAAGTTTAACACAAATTCCTGTTTTAACCATATCTCATGTGTATGTGTCTTTTAGTCTACACATACCTGCATTTCTTCTAGTTGTTTTTCCGTATTCTCACTCTGATTTGTGTATTCGACAATTTCATTTTCCAATTCCTTCTTTTGCAATTTCAAAGCCTCTAACTCACTGTTCTTCTCATCAGCAGATGCCTGAGTATTCTCAGCTTTCTCTCCTGCATCCTGAAAGAGATGAAAATAAATAAGAAATCATGAGTATGAATATGTGGCACCGCGTCCTATACGATTACTAGGTCAGATAGGGCCGCCAGTTCCAACCTTTTTGATGCATTCCCCTATTTTCCCATTTTAAATTTTTTAATCCTGTCCTTACTCTGCATAAAATTTTTCAATTTGTTTATCAACTTTGGACTCCAGTCAAGTCTCCTCCTGAGAATGTTGATGAGAAGGTGTAATATGAGAAACAACATTTTCTTATCCTGCTACAGGCGCACAAGTTTCCACCATCAAAATCGGTGGTTTGCAGGAAACTAGTCAACATTTTATTATTCCGCCTGTCTGCCATTATTTACAGAAGGGGTCTCAAACTCGCGGCCCGGGCGCCAATTGCAGCGCGCAGGATGATAGGTCATAGTCCCGCCCTAGTATGAGAGTTTAATGTTAGTTGGGCCTAGTATGAGAGTTTAATGTTAGTTGGGCCTAGTATGAGAGTTTAATGTTAGTTGGGCCTAGTATGAGAGTTTAATGTTAGTTGGGCCTAGTATGAGAGTTTAATGTTAGTTGGGCCTAGTATGAGAGGTTACTGTTAGTTGGGCCCGGGCCGCAAGTCCCTTAGATCAGAATGATTATTACATTCGATGAGTTCTCGGATTTCTGAAGTCTCAATTACAAACTCATTCATTGTAACCATGTTTCTCATGTGGTGAGACATCGAAGTAAATTGAGTTGGAGACCCCTGCTGTGAAGGAAGACAGACATGCGGAATAATAAAACTTCAATTAAAATAAAGCAGCAAAATGTCTATGCTTTTCCTCAGAGACAAAAATCAGGGGCTGCTTCTCCAAGGTTTTATACAGAATGAAAACTCAGCTTTAGTAAAACAATTCCATACCTTCATAACTTTCTCAGCTTTCTTCAATTCCTTTTCTCGTTCAGCAGGAGCATTTTTGATTTTTTTCTCCAGTTCTTTGCATTTTGCAATCTGTAAAAAGGAATACAGTTTTGAAATAGAGAACATATTGGGAATGGCTAGGACAAATTGAATTGAATTTTCGAAATGATAGTAATTTTGATTGTGATTTGAATAATTTTTTGACTGGCAAAATTAGGTATTATTGGACACGTAGTGGACATAACAATCGTTTCAAAATTTTGTTGTTATTGTTATTATTTGTCTCCGTTAACACGATTTGAAGAAATCGCTTTTCTCTTCGAATACTGGACCAATTGCTTTGAAATTTTCAGTGGTTAAAGAGAAAAATTTTCTCCAGAGGGCTATTACTTTTTTTTTTTCGCTATGACGTCATCAAAATTATGTGACTCTACGTGTCCATATATTTGAGCATAGCTCTCTTGTTATTGAAGAGCCAGGTAGAAAACCTATACAGCTGTGTAGATTAGATTATCGTTTCAATATCTGTATCCTTATATAATAGTAACTGCTCATCTGGTGCTTTGTTTATAGCAAAAATGTAAAAAATTCATATAGAGCAAAAATCTTACCATTTCATTCTCTCTATCCTTAGACGAAGCCAGTAATTTTTCACTTTCCTCCATCACTGATTTCAATCGATCTATTTCTTCAAGTTGTTGGCCGTGAGTTCCTTCCTAAATAGCAGAATAAAAAACCAATAAAATACATATCAACAAAAAGGAATGCACTTTAGAACAATGAAACTTAATGACACATTGGTCTTCCGAATCTCTAGTCGAGGTCTGAGTCTCACTGACGTTTAGTTGCGTACAGTTAATTTCAGATGAATAGGGTCACTTCAAGTATTTGGTAATTGGTGACTCATGGCTATCACAGGGTGACAGGTCACAGGCAATTGATTGATGGCGAGCATGAGCATGGACATAAGGAGGGGTTCGAGGCAGGGTTCGAGGTGTAAGGATACAGTTTTTCACTGTTTTTAAGCGTTTTAGCAGGGTTTTTGGTGTTTTTAGACGGTTTTTCACTGTTTTTTAGCGTTTTAGCAGGGTTCTTGGTGTCTTTAGACGGTTTTTCACTGTTTTTAAGCGTTTTAGCAGGGTTCTTGGTGTTTTTAGACGGTTTTTCACTGTTTTTTAAGCGTTTTAGCAGGGTTTTTGGTGTTTTTAGACGGTTTTTCACTGTTTTTTAGCGTTTTAGCAAGGTTCTTGGTGTTTTTAGACGGTTTTTCACTGTTTTTAAGCGTTTTAGCAGGGTTCTTGGTGTTTTTAGACGGTTTTTCACTGTTTTTAAGCGTTTTAGCAGGGTTTTTGGTGTTTTTAGACGGTTTTTCACTGTTTTTAGCGTTTTAGCAGGGTTTTTGGTGTTTTTAGACAGTTTTTCACCATTTTCATGTATCATACTCAGCAATTATTCATATATTGAAACGCTTTGTAGATTCTCAAGATTCTTAAAAATCCACATTTCCGGCAGCTGTAACAATCTAATTTGGCATTTAAAAATTTCAGCCGCTGACAGAGATGTGTAGCCTGAGAGTGCGTCAATCCATTTAAGTATGGCGCTTTAATCGCTTGTCCATTTTGCCGGCCAAAAGGGTTTTACAATTACACAACCAACTTGAATTAAATTGATTGGAATACCTGGAGCCTCTGCTTCAGCATAGAACATTCTTTCTCTTTCATTTGTAAATGATGTTTCAATCCACGGTATTTCTCCGCAACAGATGACACTCTCAACAATTCAGCTCCGACCTGAAGAGGAATAAAAAATTGAAAATGTGGGTGTGTTGGCCTACTCGGAGCTGCAACTCTAATGTCAGAGGCAGTAACAGTTTTTACCGCAGTGACTTACGCTCTGCGAACCACTGTGATGCGTAATTAATGTATTAGGCTTTACGCCTCTGCTTTTTATTGAATCCCAACTCTGAAACAAACTGCCGAAACTGCTTCGATTCGTGGAAGCCTGGACTCTGAGAACAAAAAAACGCACGCGGCTTCAGAGCGCAAATTTCTGATCAATGACCTATTGGTTCAAGCATTTGACGTGATAGGCAAATTATCTTGAATTGAAACCTGTATCTTGTACATCACCTAACTCAGATTGCAATAGATTGAATTTGTAGGTAAATCTGGACCAGGAAACTCCATTCCTTATAACAATAGTAGCTCACATAACAGTGACTGTATCTACAGAGCCTTGTTAAGAGTGAAAAACATTCTATTCTATGTTTTCAGTAATTTATGTGTCTGGAGGACCTACTGCAATAAGAAAGTTACATATAATTTATTATCTCCCTACCCAAGAATTCGAGATTCAATGCGAAAAAAATACTTGATTCGATTCTGAAATCATCAGATATTCAAAAATGCCCAGCCCTACTCATTACATATCAGAGACTGCATCCACAGAGTGATAAGAGTGAAAAACGCCATATAACACTTCATACCTCTCTCAATTTTGCTTCTGCGTTTTTCAACTCGTCTCTTATATCTTTCATTTCCATAAGTTGTGCAAGAATGGGGGCAGCGCGGGACCGTGCACCACCTGTAAGGGTTCCAGAGGGGTCAAACACTTCCCCATCCAAAGTTACTGTTCGTGTTTTCACATTTGGATCGAAAGCAACCTGAAATATTTATTACAATTAGTTAGTGAATAAGGCCCCTAGACCAGTAGGTTTCCAACTGGGGGGCTGTGACCTCCCAATTGGGCCACAGAGCAGTTGGAGGGGCCACAATGCTAGGCGCAAAACTGATTTTATTTTTCTCTTCACCAAAAAAACTCCTTGGTTATTACTTATCGATCTTTAGATCGCTAAGTATGTTGATAGGTATTTGTCTATCTGTCTGTCTGTAAAATGCACACGATATCTCACGAAGGCGTGGTTGAATCTGCTCCAAATTTTGCATGTGCATTCCTCATATCTCGGACCAGAAGCCTATTGATTTTGGGCGAATTATGTTGTATAATTTGTGAGTTGTTAATTAATGAGTGATGGGACACAAGGTGTCACTATGGAATAAGAGCGCTGTTTTGGGAGATCCTCTAACTTTCGATCGATAAGTCTTCGGTCTCTGACCGATATTCTCGTTCTAGTTTCATTTCTTTAAGGTTATTTCCCTTGTCGCCATAGGTCGAAAATTATGCGACAGAAAAAATTAGTTTCAGAAGCCGTTATATGGGAATTTTAGATTCCAATTTTGAAACAGCCCTTTAAAAATCTGGCCCCACCCCTGTCCTTACATAATAGATAACAGTGGCAGCTTAAAAAAGACTTGTTTAGAATGACGCACATTAATCAGTGAATAGAAAAACTCAGATTCATAGTCAATTTCTACCTTTTTAGCGTTCTCCATGACATCACACACAATACTTGATCCAAACACATATTCCATGGCTTTGGCAACATCAGGTTCACTTCCAACCAAGGATAGGGCAAGATGGGCATTGTCAGCTCCTGAAAGAATGTATAATAATAGTATGGGAACACTGGGAAAAGTTGGGAGCACTATATATCAAACACCACACAGGAAAATATTCAGTATTACAGAGCAGAAACTATTTTTACTTATCGAATTTAATCGGTAAGTATGTTGATAGGTATTTGTCTGTATGTCTGTTAGATGCACGCCATATCTCACAAAAGCGAGATTGAATCTGCTCCAGATTTTGCATGTGCATTCATCTTATTTCGGACCAGAAGCCTATTGATTTTGGGCGAATTATGTCTTATAATTAGCGAGTTATCAATCAATTATTGATATAGTAATCTAGATTTTTGCAAAGCGAGAGAATTTTGAGACCCGCCGAGTGTGTGTGTGCGATGCGCAGTGCGCAAGTTACAAGAGCGGATGAATCGAAACTGCAGTTTCTGTTTTGGGGGATCCCCTAACTATCGATCGATAAGTCTTCGGTTTCAAACCGATATTCTCGTCCTTATTGGTCATTCCAAGTTCATTGAAAGTAGGGAGCACTATATATCAATGATTCTCGATCTCAATCGTCGTTATGCATCAACCTTCCAGCCGATGAGGAAAATATTTTTTCCAATATTATATATCTCTATCGCAAAAATTTGTTTAACTCCTATTGACGCATAAACCAAACCTGGTCAGAAGACTTCGTACATTTCAAGCTCTGAATGGCTAAATGCCGTTGTTACAGTTTAGGAGATCACTTGAAAATAAAATATCATGACCTCGAGGACAAAGCAATTAAATCACTGCTGCTTTTTTGATATGCTGAAAGGGTGTGTGGCGGTGCTAGCTTGTCAAGTTGTTGCTTCTAACAGTTTTGTATGATGAAAAGCAACAGAGAAGATGTACTCAAGTTTCAAGCTACCCCCATTCTTACCTACAAGTCTTTTAGCATGTTGAACGACATTTTGTGAGATTGTTCGAGTCGAAACTTTATTTAACGGAATGATTGTGTATCTGCGTTGAAGTTTGCCATGCTTCAGTAGTTTTTCACCTGAAAACACAAATAAGCAAAAATTTGATGAATAAGCAAAATCATAGCTGGATTCTGAAAATATAAAGTTTGGGTAGACTTCAGGAAATTTTCACCTGAAAACATGAAAAAGCAAAATTGGAGCAGTAAAGATAAAGTGAAACTGTGTAAGTGCCAAACAGGAAAGATGTGGATCCTTCCATATTATAGAAGCTTTATGTGGTAGCTTGCTCTGAGCCTTGTTCAGAGAGAACTGCATATAAAATGTATGTTTTTATATACAAACTATGACAAAAATAGAATTAGAACCCAAGTTACTTGGAACATATTCTAGAATGAACATACCTTTTGTATGAAGCATTCCAGATTATTGATACAATCATACACAAAAAGAGTGAAAAGTGTTCAATATATTTTTTCATTTTGGTAGAAATAGTTTAGAAATGTATGGGTTCTGTTTTTCGGGTAACCCTGTGTTTTCTAACAACTTACCAGTGATATGGGTATCCACGACAACATTATACAAACGACCGCCAGCTACGACCTCTAGAGCAGTCGCGGTTGACGAATCTTTGACGTCAGTGATTTCCGCAACGAGACCTTTGACTTTACTGCGATCCCACCCACGCTCGGGGTCAGAATATTCAAAATGAAGATTTGGAAACTGCCTGTATAACTTTCCAACCTGTGAGAAGAAACTTCTGTTATTATTACCAAACGGAACAAGAATAAAATTTTTGACTTGATTAAATGGATAATCAATAAAATATATGAATATAAATCACAACCCTAACTTGAAAACAATTTCAATAACAACTGGCGAATGCAAACTGACTTTGATAGAACTCATAGTATTCATTTTTTTTATTTACGTAGAAAATTTTCACTTCTGATCAGTATTTTAAGTATGACGTTTGGGCTCCAATAAATTCAAAGATTCAGACTTCCACAAATTTGAAAATATGACTCGAACTTTTGACAATCTCCAACATACTCCCAAATTATAACCAATCCAACCTGATCTTTTAGTTTAATGATTCTATTTGTTAGATCTTTTTTCTGCCGAGTCAGCGATTCTTCACTCCCATCTTCGTAATTGAGTTTCTTCATTTCTGATTCCAACTTATTGAACGAGGACTCAACTTGTTTTAAGACGGCTTCGTCTTTCCTATGTAAGGAAAGTTTTTGTAAAAAGTCTAGAAAAAGGCTGAAAACTTAAAAGTGGAAAAGGACACTGGAAGACAAGCCGACCACTGGTCTTATATATTTAGTAACTAATATCCTTACTACTACAAAGAGCTGTGATCACTGGGCTACCATATTAACAGCATTTGGATTAACTTCTTTAGTGTTTACATTTCTTTATTATGTACACATACTTTCAACGTGTTTTTTGAATAATACATACTTTCGCCTTACTACCTGTTATTAGGGTACTCCCGTAGTATGTGAACCGAGATAACGTAGTTTGTGTACCAGGTTAGGGTTAGGCCATAATTTCAGGTACAAATACTACGGGAGTCACTTGGCCTAACCCTAACCTGGTAAACATACTACGTTCCAGTGTCCGGCATCTTGGTTCACATACTACGGGAGCACCGTTATTTGTAGCTTATTGTTAGCTAGTTATTTTTGAGGTGAGGCACGAAACTTGACAAATCCTAAAAAGTGGGAATAGCTTAAAAAGTTGAACCACTGCCCTACAGTTCAGAAATAAAATTTTATATCTCATAATCTTACTTGTAAGCGTTCTCTGTTTTCTTAATTTCAGCCGATTTATTTTTCAATTCTTCTTTTGAATGTTTTAATCTCATGTGAGCTTGTTTTGTTTCACTTTGTAGTTCACTGATGTTACGTTTCGTTTGCATTAACTGTCCCTGCCATGTTGACTCCTCACCGTCTCCAGCAGCAGCAAAACCTAAAAAGAAGTTGAAGTTTATATTTATGCAACACCTTCTGCTCCTAACAAGGTCATGTAGAAGCAGTGGTGCATCGCCTACCCACTTTATTATACCCTGGGGTCAGGGTGATATGTTGATAATGGGATTTGAATCAGAGATGTATAACATACGACGCCAATACAGTTAAGTCTAACTGCTAGTGTTTATTGAATAGGGCCCTTCACAGTCTTTTTTCCTCATGGATGGATTAATATGAACTAACGAGAATATCGGTTAAAAACCGAAGACTTATCGATCGATAGTTGGGGGATCCCCCAAAACAGAAACTGCAGTTTCGATTCATCCGCTCTTGTAACTTGCGCACTGCGCATCGCACACACACACTCGACGGGTCTCAAAATTCTCTCGCTTAACAAAAATCTAGATCACTATATCAATATTTGATTGATAACTCGCTAATTATACGACATACCGTAATTCGCCCAAAATCAATAGGCTTCTGGTCCGAGATAAGATGAATGCACATGCAAAATCTGTAGCAGATTCAATCTCGCTTTCGTGAGATATCGCGTGCATCTAACAGACAGACACACAGACAGACATACATACAGACAAATACCTATTAATATACTTACCGATCTTAAGATCGATAAGTAGTGCTTGCATTCTTGCATACCGATCTTAAGATCGATAAGTAATCAGAAAACAGACAGATATCAAAATGGATATTTCAGCATCTTGTCTAATCTGATTGACCCAGACAAACACCGACTGAAACTGCCTCTTGAGGTAACAAATGCTTCAGCATTATATCTAGATTGGCGGACAGTGCCCAGAAAAACAGAAAGACAGACAAATATACTTGCAGAAACAGCCTGTAATTGCTTCCTCGCAGCAGTGAAGGCTTAAGAATCTTGTATAGATTGACAGACAGCCCCAGACAAACAAACAGACAGATCACTGAAACAGCCTAAAACTGCTTTCTTGCAGCAGTGAGTCCTACAGTATTTTGTCTAAATTAGCAGACAGACCCCAGACAAACGAACAAATGGACTGCCTTTTATAGTAGTGAAGGTTTCAACATATTTTCTAAACTGACGAACAGAACACAGACAAACAAATATACCTGCAGACACAGCCTGAAACTGTTTTCTTGCAGCAGTTAAAGCTTTAGCATCTTTTCTACATTGACAAACAGACAGACACACATTCTTAACAGACAGGCCACATTTGCAATGACAAATGTAACTGCAGACACAGCCTCAAACTGTTTCATTGAAATGTCTTTAATAAATTGACAACAGACAAATATACCTACAGTCACAGCCTGAAACCGAAACTACAGATAAACAAGCAGACAGACAGACAAATATACCTGCAGACACAGCCTGGAACTGTTTTCTTGCAGCAGTAAAAGCTTCAGCATCTTCTTTCGATTGAGTCATTAAAGTCTCCCAAGCACTTATCATGTCGCTTATCTGCTTTTCGCTCTTCTTTATCGCATTTTCGTTTTCCGATTTACTTTTTGCGAGTGATCGGAGTTTCTTCTTTTCTGTGTTGATGGTGTCTCTAAAAATTTGCAATGATAACTGTTGCTAAAAAATTGATCAAGTTTCCAAATATACCAGCTGGTTGGTCATGATCAGTCACCTGTAACTGATGACATCATTGGACTGGCTCAGTTATCTGGGAAAATCCTAGTTGCCAGAAATAAAATAAAGATACAGTTAACAGCTAGAACATTGGTCTTCAAATTTCATAATCAGTGGTTTGAAATAAGATAAAAAGGTGCTAGGATCCTGTTGAAGAGGAAGACTTGTATATCCAAAAATTTTCTATTAAAATTTGATTTTATAAAAGCTCAGAGCAGGATTCAAGATCTTTTTGCAACTCTTGATTTCAGAATGGGAGTCAGAATTTTCAAGTCGAGAGTCAGTCACTACATTTCCAGACTTCACATCTTTGAAAAAGAGAAGTAGTTATGTGTTCTATTCTACTCCAATCAACTACATATTTTGTTATGCGTTTTGTTATATATATAATTGAATTGTATCATGTCAATTACTGTTTAAGCAGGAGTGAGGGGTAAGATGTTTAGCGTGTCAGTGAAACGAGTCGGGAGGTGATTATTATCGACGACAGTTATTTGTAAATAAACTATTTTTTATTCATGGTTTCATATTGGGTTTTAAACACCTGGCCCAGTAACCAAATCTATTATCTGTGAGTGGCCCACTTAAGAATGTGATTGCCCTCCTCTGCTCTAGTGATATTGAAGTACCTGGAGTCGTTATCTCTGAAACGCAAGTTTTTTATTTTATTCATTACCTGTGATGATTTAAGTTACTTTGAGCCTTCGCTTCAATTTTTTGTTTCTCACTCAAAACTGCTTCTAGTCTACTCAGACTTTGTTTTGTAGCAGAATCTCGGTCGTGTTCCAGTCTTTCGAGCTCTCCCCTCATTATTTCCACTTGTTTTAATATTTCCTGGTGATTTTGTTCGGCCTACGATGAGAAAAAATGAAAATGTGTCAAGTCTCTGGGCAATTTGTATCGCCTAATGCACAGGTTTAAGCTGTGATTCAATATAGCAGTGGTGTGCAACAGGCGGCCCACGGACCACAACACGGCCCACCAAGCCATTTAGTACGGCCCTTGTCAACACTTGGATTTTTCCTCATCAAGCATAAAATCCTAATCCGATAGGTTAGATTTAAAAAGGCGCTCACATGGGTGGGAATGTAAAATGAATTTTGCTTTTGTCAGCGCATTAAATTTTTCCCTGTTTTGTCCAGTGCCCTTAATACTGTAAGGCTATTCTCTCTAATTGCCTTCCCAGCAGGATTGTGTACTAAATACTAAATTCTTTGTGTGGTTATATGTTGGTTATATGGCCCATTGACAAAAAATGTTGAACACTCCAGCAAGTCTCAGTAGCTATTGTCGGTCCACCATACCACCTTTGCTTAGAGATCAGTATTTTATTACTGAGTGAAACATGTGACCTTTTTCTAAGGTCATTTCCAATTTTTTTTTACTCTTAGCTACTAGACCCTAAAAATTTACTTGTGGCTCTTTAAAAGTGTATGCATGTTTTTTATTCACCAAGGTGTATTAATTATTTCTGGATCTGAGATAATTGCAGAAAACTTGGAAAATGTGTAACAGCATTACTGCCTATTGGAGGGTTACCATATATATATATATTTATATCCTTTCATAAGAGCCAAATTAGAAGGTCGGCTTATACGCGCACAGATCTGATCGATCTAAAAATTTGGCTTATATGCGCTTGAAAAAATTGACATTATGCTAACTTAAATCCAACAGCATGTTACGATTTGTAGGGTTAGCTTATATGCGATTTTTTATAAATCCGCTGCTTATATGCGAGGATATATGGTAAATAGCTTGAGCATAGTGTCCAATGTAACTTTTCATAGATTCTACAATTTGTGAATTAAAAACTAGAAAGTAATACTTCTCACATTTTCTTTTTCCTTATTCATTTTCCCTAGTTCTTCCTCAGCTTTACTGGCTGTATGTTCCGTAGCATAAAATGTGTAAGCAATCAGCAATCTGAAAAGAAGAAGTTATCTTGTTGATACATCTCAATTCTTTAATTCGCCTTGGAGTCACCCCGGTTCTCAAAATTTTAAATCATTCGTGGACCATTTCAAAGACTCTCAACATTCTGTGGCACATTATGCTTCGATTAAAAAAAATTTTGTTTAAACAGGTATCGTGCTATTATTTTATTTGTTAAATTTAATAATAAAAAGCCATAAATTAAAGTAAAAGAAAACTGCACAACGATAAAAAAATTGAACAAATCATAAATAATTCATTATAAATTAATATAGTCAATGCAAACAAAGGCCTTAGCCTGTGGCCCAGAGAAAACTATTCCTAGGTCTCCTAGGTCAGGGGTGCACAGCACGAGGAACGCGTGCCAATTTTGGCACGCCATGCGCTCAAACGTGGCACGCAAACGGATTTGTAAAAAAAAAAAATATTTATAATATACATTAAAATATCATGTTTATATCAAAATCAGCAGTTTTTTTTCAAGACATTAAATTACTTCAATAAATAGATATCCGTTATTATGTATTATTATTGCAATTTGTTTGTTTTACGACAGTTAATTTACAATACCACGCGACAAGACTATTTTGACAAATTTGGCACGTATCCTCATTTGAGTTGTGCACCCCTGCCCTAGGTGGTACTTCCATGGTATATGTACCAGGTTAGGATTAGGCAAATGCCTGGGTTAGTCAAGTAAATATCCCCCTTGCCCAGAGGTTTCAGTCCATTTACACAACTTGATGTAAAGCAGAACAAAATTAGTTACCTCCATATTGGTACGAACATTTTTGAGAACATTTTGAGAACAGTTTGAGAATACCTGACCAAGAAAAACAATGACCAACCTCGTTAATCTATCGGCTTCTCTTTGAACCTTTTGAAATTCTAAATAAGAAGTTCGATCATCTCTTAATTTTTGCAGCGTCGGCATAATTTCCTCTTCCAAAACTTGATTGATTTGATTCTGCCAAGAAATGGGGAATGAATAATAAAAAAAGTCACAAGCAAACAAGTCAAGTTTATTTCTTCCAATCAGTAAAAAAAAAATATCAAACGGGCACAAATTACGAGAAAACGATAATTTAAAGTTTTACTGGGAAGGGAAGTCGCGGGAACCAAAGCTGGTTATAAAGCAGCGTAGCACGAGGTTTCACCTAAATTAAAAATTTGGAATAATAGAGTTTTGAGACTACTGATATTCCCTTATTAACTAACACTGCTTACCAGAGATTATAATTATAGCAGGGGTTATATTATTTAATTAAAGAGACATAAGACCAACATGCAAACATGCAATATTCAAATCGGTACCAGTTACCGCCAATATACAGTGCCATTCTTAACACTTTATATCCACTGGTTATTGTAACCTTTCTCAATGCTAAATTGAAATTTGTTGGGCAGAACTGTCAAATCCATAGGTCTGAAAATCTCTAAAATAGATAACAAATCAAATCTTTGTTTATATTACCGCTGATTGCTTGTACAGGACTTTGCTCAGAGTTAAAGACGTGAACAATCCTTGTATAAAAAAATAGGAAATGTCACATTTTCCTCACCAATTTACTTTCCTTCTTTTCAATCATTTTCTGAGCTGATTCTTTCTTTGCCTCGTACATACTTGTTCCAGTCGCTTCTTCAATCATCGAGAGAATTTCTGGAGGTTTCATGTTCATTACCTGAAATATTGAATGAAATTGTCATATTTCTATTAGGAAGATAACTGGCATGCGGGATAATTATACAACAAAACACTGTCGTTCTTTTTCTAGTCCAGACATGGCAGGATGAAGCAGTAATAGATGAACCCCAATCCACCAAAGCATCTTGTGCCATCCCTACATTTGGAAAAAGTAACAAAAATAAGATGTTTTTAACCTTATTTAAAATAACTAAATTACTATGAATTATTAAAATAATATTAATGCATTTCCAGTTGTGGTCAACAAGCACAAAGAATAGAAATAAATAATGCATAAAAACTTTATTGAAATTGAACTTGTACAACAGAAATTACAAATTCTTCCGGACAGGAGTCGAAATTTCTACAGACGGATTAATGGTGGCAATTAACAAGCTCAACTAAAGTACACTGTAAATGAAATTGCAGAGTTCCCATGAAATCCCAAAATCTTGGACTTCTAGGTTAAGATACTGCTCTGAAGTGCACGGACGACATTTTGAGCATCCAATAACATAGGCCTTTAAAAAATTATTCTTCGTAAAAATAAATAACTGTTGCCTAAATTTCCACCCTGTAGAATATTCTTACTCAAATACTTGCCTGAAGACTTGATTAGAGAATGGGCATAAGTTTACGTTTCAAAAGGAAAAAAACCCACCTTGGTCACTCTGCCTTGCATAATCAAGAAATGGGGATTATTGACGTTCAATCCAACTGAACGAAACAGATCAGAAACTCTTGAATTCTGAGCGTTTACTCCGTTGATCAAATATTTATTTCGACCGCCGATAACAATTTGTCGAGTAATAGTGATTTCGTTATGAGCTTCCATTCCGAGCGGGCTTTGTTCCTTTACAGAATTATCAAACGTGATTGATACTGTAGCTTTGTTGATTCCGGCTTGTCCATTTTTATAAACAAGATCTTGAAGATTTGAAGCTCGTACCTAAAATTAAAAATATTTATGTTTTAATGATATAATAGCTTTTATAGGTGTTTTAAAATTTACCAGAAAACTACACAGAAAAATAAATCAACCTTGGAATCCTCAAAAAAGCCTATCAAAGAAGGTTAGGGTTAAATTATGCAAGTAGAATATTTTATAGAAGGAATGGCACTCCCGTAGTGTGCGAACCGAGAGATGGCGGACACCCGAAGGTATGGTGTGTACTAGGTTAGGGTTAGGCCCATTTTTTATTTCAATTTTCCTTATTTTAGTCCTATTACGAGTTCGGGGACTAGCCAAGTGATTGCTATGGTATTTGTCCCTGAAATTATGGCCTCACCCTAACCTGGTACACATACTACGACCCGGTGTCCGCCATCTTGGTTCGCATACCACAGGAGTACCAGAAAAATTTCCCATTAAATTACTCAAAAAAATATTTTTTAGATGAATGTTTTGGTGATTGAAATGCAATTGCATTTTCACTACTAACAAAATTCAAGGCAAGCAGATATCATTCACTAAAGAACAATCTTGGAACCAATGTCCTGACACTCCTACCAATTCAACATTCACACAATTAAACATACCCAACTACCCAGAGTTAAATTTGAGAATGTCGATTTATTCAGAGATATACGAGACCATGATATTTGTTTTAACATTGGTGAACATAAACATAAATTAGAAATTGAAAAATACAGCAGAGGGCACAGTATCCAAATTCCGAGAATGTCCCGTCATTTGGTTCAATAAAACAAACACTCCTTGTGTTTCACCAATGAGGGGCGACTGGCATGACGGCAGATGCGCCATGCTTGGCTTAATAATAATCTAAATTAATCACGGCAATCATGTGACCAAAATTGCCGTTTTTTGCTAAAAACTCTCGAATGCCAAGGTAAAAATTTTTTTTTTCAGTAAATAGTGAGGAATTCAATGATGACATTTTTAGATTGCGCTTCTATGTAGTTTTTTGTGCAACTTCATTTTTCATGTATTTTTACCGATATTGAGGGGCAACAATGTCCAGGCATCCTCCAGAGGAGGGGTGTTCGTTTATCTGCAAAATGGGGTTCTCTGAAACGAGACAATGTCTATCGATCTGTAAAGTGTGCCGTACCAAAATATAAAAAATGATAAAAAAAATGGAAAAATACACAGAAATCAGACATAACCTTTAGTCCATTAATCTGAATGCCTGAGCCCCACCCCCACACATACTGACATATACACTTTTTTCATCAACCACACAGAGTTAAAAAAGAAAACAGCAAAATCAAATTGTGAATGTTTTGTCTGTTTGTGATAAAAAACTAATCCAACCAAGATAAGATGAGTTTATTTCGACTCCTTGACTTTATAATCAGCATTAAGTCCATTCTGCCATTGGGCGTTTAAATTTGTTACACTCAAAATATATTGATTTGACAGTAAGTACTGCAGTACTGGAGTAAACAGTCTTGTCAGGTCAGTTAAATAAATGCAATCTGACAATCCTGCAATTAGCCTAGTCGGAATGTCTGAATTTGGAAACTATCATGCCCCTGCAAATTGAATCTAATCATACCAACAATTCCCTTTAAATATAAACAAAACAGCAATAAAGCATAACATACCTGAGATAAATTAGATATTCCCAGAAGAAAACAAATCGCGTCCAAAATATTAGACTTTCCACTGCCGTTCAGTCCAGTAATCGCGTTGAACAAATAGTCAAATCCACTAATTTCCGTTCTTTGAGCGTAGGATTTAAATCCATCTATGGTCACTGACTTTATGTACATTTTGTACTGAAAATACGGCTCCGAATACAGCCTAATTCGGTGATAATCAGCCACCAAAAAAGCAAAATCCAGGTCCCAGGATTACGAAAATTGTAATAAACTCGGCGACTTTTTGCCGCCTTTTATCGTATGCGTTCAATTTACACCGCGAAATTTTGATTTTTTAAATGATATTTTTTTTGTATTGACGCATCCGTAGTAGTATATATTTACGACGCAGTCTTTAAATTAAATTCAAATTTTTTTAAACGTTTTCAATCAGAATTTTTATTGGTATTTATGATAAAATAAGAAGCTAGTTTGTGTTTCTTGCTTAGTATTACGTCATGACGTCATTGCTGGACTATTTTCAATTTTATTCAAAATTTCTAACAAATATGAATCAAAACTTTTACAATTTTAGAAAAACAACATTCAGTGATACTGATTTTAGGGAATAAATTTGTTACAGTACATCAGTGGGATATAAATCCAAAAGTATATTAGGATCTGAATCAGCATAGGAATGCGTTCGAATGTGAAACTACAAGAATTATAAGTATATTTTGAATCCATAATCAGCATAAAAGACAATAAAATAATTGATAAAAACAAAATAGGTAAATAAAACTGATAATAGAATCGGGAAAGCGAACAAAATCCAAAGTAAAGTGCAACAAATATATTGCAACGCGATCATCGTGTTGTAGCCTACTTCACAAAATGCCAAGGACCTGGAGGACGGGCATAACTTAATTAAAAAGTTAAAAACGTACATGTACGTGCCCGTCCACCAAAAACCGCCAAAAGAACACAATAAAATAAAGGCACTATGTAAAATCGGACAATACCTTTTATATCAATTTTAAAGTGTAAGACACTGGCTAATAGAAGATCATGGCAATAGAGGACTTGCACGGGTCACGTGACATTGTTACTGGACGGCAATAAAACAAAAACGTCCATTTGGCTCCTGTCAGTTGCAAGTCGGATTATACGTTTGCGTTTTGTTTGGTTGTTGAAAATGGTTATTTCGTTGTTCTGTTGGCTGTACGTATAGTATAGACATGGACGAAATGGATCTTCAGTAATATTCCACTGATTTCAAAAGATCCTGAACGTCGCGCAATGTGGATATCATCTATTGCCTATTGGCAGAACTGCTTGGTGTCAAGTCCAGAAGCCATCTTACTTGTGTTTCACTGTTTGCGAACAGCACTTCGTTGATGGTGAGTGATAATGTGGTGATAGTGTGCCGTGTTATCAATTTCTTTAAATATTCACAAGCTCCCTCATTTCAATGGAAAGCAGATGGCAAACTACTGTTATCAGTAGGCCTAGGTGTGGGCCTACTTCAGTACTTGCAGTTGCAGACTTGAATTGTGTAAGACAGTAAGGAATTAATAATCAATAATCTAATAATCAACTACTGTTATTAGTAGGCCTAGGCGTGGGCCTACTTGCAGTTGCAGACTTGACTTGTGTAAGACAGTAAGGAATCAATAATCAATTGCTGTAAGGTATTGTTTCCTGATTAGCAGGTAATCTATTACTAAGTGTGAAAGGTTGAATAGATAACTAAAGTTTAACACCACTGGTCATGCAAAAAATAACCAGAATTCAATTTAATTCGCCATCTAGGAATACGCTCGCCACCGCATCTCTGATCACCCTGGTAGTTTCACAGGTTTCAATCCCATGCGGGGATAGTTTTGTGCTAGAGGATTGCAGCTCCACTCCCACCGAGGGTGGTTCACATGACCGCTGATCGGTTACGACCATTCCCTACCATCCAAGTCCATTCGAATCGGTTCAGACTGGAATTTCGAATTGCCGCCATCTTGTTTTTATCTTTCCGCTAATGGTCGAGGTGAATTCCCCAATTTTTTTTTCATTGAAGTCATATTTTTTCAACGAAATTCTAACATATGACTATTTTCTGTAGTGAGTTATTGATAAAACGTGTTTGTTATTCTGTGTGAACGCTCAGTAATCTATCTGAGTGATTTATTCTATGTCTTCAGTAATTCATTTGTTGAGAGGACCAATTACTATAATAAAGTCGCTTACAATTTTATATTTTCAAGTATTCGAGATTCGATTCGATTCGAAAAAATTATTCGATTCGATTCTGAAATCACAAGGTATTCGAAAATGCCCAGCCCTAAATTTCACACTCCTTGATCGTTAGATTTTATGAAAACTCTTATCTGTATCCATTATCTTACAGATATGGGTGCGACCATGGAATTGATGGATGGCAAAGTATAAGTTGCAACAAGACCACAGTGGCACAAGACCTCAGCTTGCGTGACTTGATAATACATCCTCAGTATCCATTTATTGATGCTTATCGTAATAACAAAGTAACTTGTCATTACTGTGGATTGGTGGAGATAAAGTGTCCATTGTGCTTTAACGAAATCAACTTCAAGACGACCCCATCAAGAAAAAAAAATTGTTTCGGTGGGTCTGGTCGTGAAGGTTTCAGTCTAACATTGGACACCGATACTACAACCAGATACAGTTGCCAATGAAACTTAAGCGAGGCGTAATATTGCGACTTTGTGATCTGAAAGGAAATTCTGATGGGTAGCCAGCTAGCCGCAGCCTTTTGTTTAAAGAATATTATGAAATACGACTTAAGAGCCTGAACTTTTATTTGAGAGGGCGTGTAACCCAAGCTAATTTGCAAATAGTATTCATGGTACCAAATGTATCACACACTTTACAGTAATTATAAATTATATTTGAAAATAAAGCACATCAAAAATGTATTTTTAAAAAACAATTGGTTTTATGTGCAGATACTGGGTTGATATTGGGATTGACCATTTCAATGCTAAATTTTCTTTAGTCAAAAGGCACACTTGATTCGCAAAAATTTGTGAATGCGCACAGTACACCAATTTGTCTAATGTTATAGGCAATGCTAATGCTATTACGTGTATTACTTGTTTCACATGAATCCATCGTGCTCAGATTCAACTGTTTTCAAGGTCTGAGGCTCCAACAGCCTTATTTTATGGGTACACAAGAGAATTTTTAGTGTGGCATGCATGGGTCAGTTGGAGTCACTAACCTCAAGATATCTATAAGCAAGGATAAGATAACCTGGAAGTAACATTCCATAATTTAGAGTAAAAAATGTATCTGCCTCCACAGCCCTTTCAAATGGAAGATATGATGCCTCGGGGGTAATTTCTATCAAATATTTTACAGTATTATGGTTCTAGTGAAAAGGGGTGTAGGCGGCTTTTTTTTAAAGTGTGGTAGGTCTAGTCGAAAGACACATTAAATGTTTATGCTAACAACTGCGAATTAATATTGCAACGCATACAAGTTAACAGAATTTGTTGAAATGGTCCTGCCTTTTGCCTTTCTTCAAAATCCTCCTTTTTCTAACTATTCTCTTCTTCTCTGGGGATGGCGAAAATTCAAATATCGATGGGACATGTAAGCAGCTGATAATGGGTTATCTTCCCTTTTTCCTGAAAATAAATTAAACACTAATCATCATTTGACAGTGCCAAGTTTGTGTATCAGATCAGTAATAAATTACCTGCTAACTACCAAAACAATCAGACAACACCTTCTGACCATTAATGAAGATTTCTTTCAATTTAAAACGCAACTATGCCTACCAATGTGGGTAGTTTTTAGGATAGAATTTATCTGTGGTTGGGGACGGATTGCAAGGTGCAACATCGTACGATTACCATTCTATGTCGGGATTAGTTAGCCAGTTATTTGTTTTAGAAGCATGGACTTGATGGTGGGGGATGTCGTAATCGACCAGCGGTCGTGTGAACCACCCTTAGTGGGAGGAGAGCTGCAATCTCCTCGTCCCCTCGCACATAACTATCCACGCATGGGATTGGAACCTGTGAAACTCCCAGGGGGATCAGAGATGCGGTGGCGAGCGTATTCTCAGATAGAGAATTCAATTGAATTTTGGTTATTTTTTGCATTAGCACTGGCATTAAACTTTAGTTATCTATTCAAATTTTCACACTTACTAATAGATTACCTGCTAATTAGGGAAACAATACCTTATGGCAATTATTGATTAATACCTTACACGAGTCAAGTCTGCAAGTAGGCCTAAGCCTACCAATAACAGTAGTTTGTCATCTGCTTTCCATTGAAATGAGGGAGCTTATGAATACTTAAAAAAATTGATAACGGCACATCATGACTCACCATCAACGAAGTGCTGTCCGCAAACAGTGAAACACGAGTAAGATGGCTTCTGGACTTGACACCAAGCAGTCCTGCCAATAGATGATATCCACATTGCGCGACGTTCCTGATCTTTTGAAAACAGTGGAATATAGCTGAAGATCCATTTCGTTGTCTATACTATACGTACAGCTAGCGGAACAATACGAAATAACCATTTTCAACAGCCAAACAAAACGGAAACGTATAATCCGACTTGCAACTTACAGGAGACAAATGGACGTTTTTGTTTTATTGCCGTCCAGTAACAAGGTCACGTGACCCGTGCAAGTCCTCTATACTTACTACAAACTAGAATTCAAAAAAGAACTAAAAAAAAATTGTGGTTGCGATTCTTATGTGGTGATTACAAAAAAATTGATTGTTACTTCATGTTAGTCGTTGTTCATACATGAACGTAGCTTTGGAGTGATTTTGGGTTCATTTCTTTTGGAGAAAAATACGTCGTTTTCAATTTGTTTTCCAATATTGACTTGGCAACCTGTTGATTAGCTTGTAAGACCAGGAACCACCACTTAATAAACTCATATAATATCACATATTACTGATATAAAGTTTTGATACAAATTCCCTGTAATGAGCGTGGAAAAGTTCTAAACTAGTTTTCTATGTGACGTTTTCTTTATATCTCAGCGTCCAACTCTTCAGTTTTCGATAGCATTGCTTGCCAATCTAGAGCCGGTAGGCACGCGTATAAGGTTTTTAACTTTCAGAGCGAACGGCATTATGAAACTTTTGGACCTCCCGAATTCTCAAATAAATTCCATAAGTCTGCACAACTCCTACTTTAACAAATCTTTATTGGAACATTGATGAGTTGCAGTAAAAGTTCGGATTATTAAATAGAAAGATCATGATGTATACACCACCCCACACAGGGTGTTCTAGATAGGATATAAATATTAATCCAGTACAGAAAAGCTGCTATGATGACCCCCATATCGTCCGGTTAGCTTTCAGGTATGGAATTATTTGTTCAACTTCACTTAAGAAAATCATGTCACACATCAGTTAGAATCATTCGTTCCTTTTTTTTTTTAAATCTGCTCTTGGCCTATTTTGGAACTTTTTATTTATCCTTCCTTATGCATAAAACTACTTTATCTGTCCAACCTTCAGTAGTTTATGTATTTGCAGTAATAATATGAAAACTAAAGAACAACAGTAATACTACAGCAAATACAAAATTGAGAAACATGGTGTAATATTTCTTATCGTTTATTCCCAATATACAGGGTGTCCATAAAGTCCCTTCACAATTGTAATTTTGCCATGAAGTCAGTTCTCAATATGTCTTAACCAGTTTTTTTTTTTTAATAAGTAATTATTCAAGTATTTTTACTACATTTGATACATCTGTGAGGGCCAAAACAATATATTGCATTGATAAATTTCCTTTGCAATTAAAAAAAAAATTAAGACCTCATGGACACCCTATAATTCCAAAATAAACAGTTCTGATTCTGAAAGATTATGTCATGAAGCATCACAAAAGTCCATTTTTCCATGATTTTGATAGAAAAATGACAGCAATGTACCCATCTCTCAACCAGAAAAGCCATTCAGGACAGGCTTGGTAGGATTCGGCCTTCTGTGTTTCTAATACATCCAGCAGTATTCGCAAAACAATTCAAATACAGGCATCATAATGGGTTAGTCTTTAGTTTAGAAAACGGGAAAGTTCTCCTGGCTTTTAATTTTCTGATTGCTTCACGAATATGTTTCGGTTTTACTGGAGGCGTTTCCCCTTGTTGCTCCATAACATCAAGTGCTATCTCCATGATTTCACCGACATAAACCTGATAAAATATAGGAAACAACAAAATCAGAAAAATTGTATCAGATTCTAGTGAATGGAAAACTGACTTGACAGTTGGCCAATTATTTCCAGTAATGAAAGCAAGAGAAATATTGGACTTCAAAGTAATTTTCTCAAATAATTTGTTAAGAAATTCGAATCCATGAGATTGTTTGTGAAAGATTTAATCCTAAACTTGGGTTTCTCGAACTGTTGGTGTTATGGAGCCTGTCAAGAGCCTGAATATTTATTTACATTGCCCCACCATGAATTTTTTTGAAACTATTATCTATTCTATTGGAACTTATAGATAATGTCATATTTAAATTACCACCTTATTTCCACATTTAAACGCTACCATTGTCAAATTTTATTAATGCCGTTATTGCTTCTTTGGACAGTTACAAAAGCCAAGTCAGTATTTTAATAAATAAATGAATGGCTTGCGACGCACCAAGGTTTTTCCGCACTTTGAGAATCTATGCCCTGAACTATTCCAATACAAAGATAAAGATGAGCTTACTTTAGACACTCCAGCAACACCTATCACCACATTTTGCGATACTGTGCATCCAGCGATGGATTGCATTAATCGTTTTATTGAAGCTTTTGGAAACGATGAACGTCTGTACATTTCATATCTGTTTAATTGGTCTTCAGAGAACGCTGTTACAAGTCGCCTAAAAATAAACAAATTTCATGAAAAGATTTGAGCATGTTGGGAAGTCTGATGAGCAGATTCTTTACAGATCACCAACTTGAGTGTCATCTATTATCTATATAAATTCACTGTTTGTGAACGCATAACACATTTAACCTAATGTAAATACAACTGTTACAAAAGACCATCTTAATGCAACCAAATAATCCAATCAGTTCGTTAAAATATAATACAAAGCATATACAGGAGAAATGGCATGATCGTAGTTTGGCATGTTTCCATGGAGTTGGTTCAAAATTCAAAACATTATAAAATTCATAAAGAATTCATGAAGAACATTACAAAATAAAATTCATGAGAACATCAGAGCTGCTGTAAAATATAACTAAATTTAAATTTCCAACTTACTGCATTTTCATTCTTTCAACTCTTCCTGATTTTTCTTTTTTTCGTTTCGCTGATAATATTTCATCAGCAGTTGCCTGTTGTGCTGACGTAGGATCTTTTCTGAAAATAAATAAAAAATTTGAAAGTAAAATATGATATGACTGATATTGGATTAATAACATGAGATTTTTCTGCCCAGTCACGCTCCAATTGGAGAAGTGGAAAAGAGCAGCACCGGCATTAGCCCAATTAGATGAAATTATTCCGCTCATTCACGCTTCAATGATAAAAACTCGGGTTTAGTCCAGATATCTAGCCTGAGAAATTAGAAAATAAAATATGGCAGCACCGGCACTAGCTTAATTAGATGAGAATATTCCACACATTCACGCTTCAATGGTAAATTTCAGATAAAGTCTAGATATCTAACCCGGGAAATTAAAAAGTGAAATATGGCAGCAGCGGTATTAGATTAAATAGATGGGATTATTCTGCTCAGTCACTTTTCAGTGGAAAAAAATCAGGTCTACTCTAGACATCTAACCTGAGAAATTACAAAGTGGCATGTGGCAGCACCGGCATTGGATTATTTCAGATGAGATTATTCCGCTCAGTCACACTAAGAGGGGAAAAAATTCACATCTAGATGCTTTACTGGGAAATTGAAAAATTTGATAGTAAATTTCTTTTAACTAGCTTCTTTAGACATACTTTGGTGATTCTTTCGATGAAATTGATGTATTTTTGTCTCCTTTGCTTGGGCTTTCTTGAGGTCCTGATGGTGAACCAAACTTTCTTTTTAATTTTGAAGAACCTGAAAATAAAGATACCTTCTAAAGCAGCGGTTCCCAACCAGGGGCCCGGGGCCTATCCAAGAGGCCACAGAGGAACAATGCTAGAAGCAAAACTGCTTCTAGCATTCCTTTACTAAAAGTCCCTGTTCATCACTTGTGATAAATAACAGAGGTTCTCAAACTTTCCAAGCTGCGCCGCCCCTATTTTAAAATTTGTCAAGTCTTACGCCCCACCTCAAAAATAGAAAAGCTACAAATAAAATATAGTGAGGCAAAAGTATATTTTATTCAAAAAACACATTGAATAATGTGGATGAAATTGCAATCTCCAATAATAAAGATAAGTAAATATGCAAATTAAGGACGGACAAGATTAAACCTAACAAATATTTTTATTTGCGGGGCATGCTGCGCCGTTTGAGAACCACTGTTTAATATTGTATGTATAAATAAGTATTATACTAATAATACCAACTAAAGAATATTAGTATACCACAGCAACATTTCTACCTGACCTGGTAACATCAGTTTAAAACCTTGTCAGAGCGAAGGCATAAAGTAAATTACCTGGTTTTTCATCAAAACTTTCTTCATGCAAAGAGGTGGTACTTCTTTTTGACGTATTCGCTTCAGAAACATCGGAATCGTCTAATTTTAAATCCCCATGCTCAGGATATTCTGCCATACTATAGCACTAAGTTTATTTAATTCTGGACTAAAAACACAAAAATATAGGTATGTACAATACAATATATGAATTAGGCGTGGTAAGTCAACTTGCATAAAAATTTACAGCGGAATTTGAATAGTTAGAAAATGGCATAGTGTCAATAAAAAAGCATTAGGTACCGGTAATATATTTCATAAACCCACCTCTAATTTTCCTCATAAACCCTCAAAAAACGGAGTGCAAGTTATAAAGTAGAAATTTTCCTGATAGGGCCGCGGCCGGCCCAATTAGATGGGCCGTGGCCCCGGCCCATGGGCCGTAGAGGAGTGACCACTCCTGTAGGGTAATTTCTTCTACTGACATCGCTTCCCATATGTGACACCATACAGTCATAACTAACGCCATTGTCAAAAGATTACCGGATATCAACGTGTTTGACTAAGATTATTTCTGAGACCGCGACTTCCTACCTAAAATATTAGTGAAAATAATAGGTATTTTCAATGGTGACCGTACATTTGACTCCAACCTACATTTGAACCCATGTGTATATCCGCGGGTTCAATCTATATGCGGGTGCTAAAACCCATGGCTTAGGGTTAGTATGGGTTAAAATATCCGCAAAACAAATAAAAAATCTTTAAGTGCAATAGTATGCAGGTGAAATTGTCGTGGGTTCACGACATGTACGGGAATCATCTTCAATGCAAAATTCCCATGAGGCACCGTGTTAGATATCGGTACCGTAATCTGGTAACCGAGAACAAAAAGACGCCCATTGTTTGAGCGTCGCCTCACTTGTATCATAGATACGCTTTTGTCTGTACCAAGGTTATCTTTCCACCCTTCAATTTTAATCAAACTCAAACGACTGCTGGTTTATGCGATCCAGAAAAACTCGGCAATAATCCCATATTGCTCCACTGTACCGCGTTGTCACCACATCCACTAGTTCCTTAAGTCTGAAACAAGTTCGTTGCTGCCTGCTAGCCATACTAAGTACAACACAAACGATTCCAGTTTAATCTACTTACCTAAATTAAAGTTTTTCTGGTCATTAGTCCTATAGCATCATCTGCATATACTCATCTACTTCAGAAGTGGGAAAATGTGATAGGCAGCCTTGCAATTAGCCACAAGTTTTTATTATCCCATACTCCTGGGCTTTTTCACCCCAAGTAGATTTGCACCCAGACTAAGAACACTATTTAAAAGAAATAGCTCGGAACGGGGTGGTTTTGGAATGTAAATAAAAATAAAAGCATCTTTCTGTAACATACACAGCAATTTTTCGTAGCTTAAAACGCACATATTCCCGCGTTCGGCCGGACCTGCTAACTGTTTCGATCTAACTTGGCAAATAGAAATGTCAACCCCGGCTCTGAAATCCCATCACACCTAGCCAAAAAATTGTATTATGGGTGGCTAATGACAGCCTCTAACACTCGCGTTCAGTGTGTCAATGTAGGCTATATAACAAAATCTAAAAATGCAGGAAGTTGACCTTTCATTCTCAACAAACAATATGAGCCATTAATTTTGTCTCATTGGGAAATGAAGCCAAGAACCTGAATAATTCGATGCTGATTTCAATGGCTTTCATGGAGTCGCTTACAGACTTATGTGTACTTCATTCTATAATAGTTGCTGCTTTGTTGGCAAAAATTCCAACCAAAATCAAGTAAGTTTTATGTGTTTTATGTTGATATATATTTAGTATTCTCAACAAACAATCAAAAAAAGGCTACATCAGATTTTTAATGGTTTGGATTTCATAAGCCCAGCCCATTTAAAAATATTGCAGTTATAGAGGATTTTATTCAAGGCCAGTTACATGATATCGAAGCCAAGCATATCACAATAAAGCTACCAAAAATTCTAGTGGCTCTAGCTGCTCCCTATCTAATATTTTCTCATATTCTAAATTTTTTATTATCCTATATTAATCTTTTATTACTGTTATATAAATGACTTTAATACAACTTTTATATTTGTTCATAATTGGATAAATATTTATAGGGTTTCAAATTTATAATAAATATTTTCCATAATTTTTTGTCAATATTTAATTTCTTATGATAATTTGAAACATGAAGTGATTTAAGTCTGGCTATGAACCCCACTGATTCAAAAATGCATTTGAGCTGAAAAGATTTATATATTCATCCTGGTGGAGAGGAAAGCCGATAAGATGGCCCAATCACATGGTGATACGCAGCCTCTCGTCCAGTGATGTTTCATAGTAGTGAACTTAGCAACAACATCATTTGCTACCAAGGAGAGGCCTAGCTCAGAAGTAAAAATGAGCCATTGGAGCTGGAGCTACAGTTTGAATATACTTCGCTCAAGGAGTTGAGTACTCCCGAAGAATGCGATCCAAGATGGCGGGCACCGGAACTTAGCATCTGTACCAGGTTAGGGTTAGGCCATAATTTTATTTCACTCTCCTTTATCTCAGTTCTATCACGAGTTCGGGGACTAAGCAAGTGACTCTATTTGTACCTGAAATTATGTCCTAACCCTAACCTGGTACACATACTACGTTCTGGTTTCTGCCATCTTGGTTCGCATACTACAGGAGTACCAAGAGTACCGATTTTAAACCAGTTCCCGGCCTTGTTTTATTCCGCAATAGCAGCAGCTTTGTTAGCGATATTTTTATAATGAAGAAGCCTCAATCGTACTTTCGCTTCGACTACAGCCTCTCTTTCATCGTGTATCGATAAGTTCAAAGCGTTATTTTTCTTTTCGTATTCTTGATTTGCTTCAACGAGTTCTCGTTCTAAACGTTCCAGTTCAATGATTTCATCTTCGTTATTTTCATCACTGCTGGAATTTTCGACAAGGATTCCCAAATCACCACCACCAGGGGAAACAATGATCGAGCGTTCCTCTCCGCTTAAAATGTCGTCTGATGATTCAGCGTGACTTTCTAATCTAATTGCCGATTGGCTCTGGAGATTTGCAAGGATTCCCTGTAAATATTGATTAGTTAAAATAATAAATTTTGATTTTGTTATCAGGTTTTTTTTATTCTGAGAGACGAGCGGTAATTTTACTCTTCCCACAGCCCTAGGTATCGCACAGGAATAAGATTTTCTCAGATTTCAGATCTGGGTTGGTGTCAAATCTAAAATAAAAAATTTTTCAACCTACTGGAAGTATTTTTTTCCAACCCAGTGTAGCGAGTGAAAGTCGATTGAAAATTTCAGCACTCCCGTAGTATGTGCACCAAGATGGTGCACAACCTGATAACTCTAACCCGGTACACATACTATGTTCAGGTTGTGCACCATCTTGTTTCACATACTATGAGAGCAACTAAATTCAGGTTGTGCGTCAACTTGGTACGAACACATCCGGAGCGCCAAACAGTAATCTCACCTTCAATCTTTCAAGTTCTTCAGTCTCAGCCTGGATCCTTGATTTCAATTCTTGTTGCATTGAAAGTAATTCTTCCTGCTCAACAAGATTCTCTAATTCTTCCTCCAGTAATAACTTCATCACTTCTGGATCTTCCTCTTCAGTTTCCTCTTCCTCTTGAAGATTCTCAGAAGCTGGAGATGTTCTTTCAGTAACATCTGTTATAGGAGTAAACAAGCGATGAGTGCAAATGTAATTTTTTGGGATACTGTAACTGGGGTAAGTGTCTAAAAACAGATCCAAAAATCTCAGATTTGAATCCCATCAACTCAATGTGTAATAATATCCAATATATTAGCATGGTGTTTTGTTTTCACACAATTCTGACTCAAACTCATTAAATATAAGTTGATATTTTGAAACTCAAGCTCAATTACAAGTTTTATTTAGTTTTATTACAAGTTCGGGGACTAGCCAAGTGACTCCCGGTAGTATTTGTACCTAAAATTATGGCCTAACCAAAATCTGGTACACATACTACTTTCCGGTATCCGCCATCTCAGTTCACATACTTCGGGAAGTACCGAAGAAATTGTGTTTAAGACATAGGAGTAATTGCTTACAAACCATGCAAAAGTCAATCAATTTTGGCCAGACCACACTAACCATCAATGTATCGGCCATCACATTGACATCAAAACCTCAACCAGGCATAAAACTTTAATAATACACACAAAGCATAGAATACCACACCCTAATTACAATTATTAGGCTATTGCAGATGATCAATACCTTCATCCTCTGTGGTCTTTTCATTATTCCCTGCTGCAGTTTCTTTATCCTGAGTCTGCCCACTTTCTGAATCTTGAATGCTTCTAGTGCTACGATTCCCAGGACTACTTCGTAGTTGATTACGCTTCCGTTCTATGCTCTCCATAGTTAACGTGTCTAGTTTGGTTTGTGATTGCATTTTTTTGAAATTTCGATTCAGACGTTTTAATTGTGTAAGGATACGCTGAACTTCCCATAAACGTTCATCTTTTTTTCTGAAATTTAAACAATAAATAATTTTGATGGTTTCTGTAAAAAAGCATATACAAAATCTGTAGCATATAAGCCAGTGCTTGACCAAGTCAAGTTATTTTTTTCAACCAGTAAAAAAAGTCAGTTTTCAACAAAATATGGAGAAAAAAGATGGGCACGCATCTCAACTGGGGATGGGAAGCCGCAAGAGATCAAAGCTTGTTATCAAGCAGCGACACTCAAGGATCTAATATAAAAGATCGCTTAGTTTAGTTTCAGAACTTCTGTTTTTGTTAGACATTGATACTAATGGAATAGATGATAAAGAACATCAGATACAATTAATCAATTAGAATTAACACACATAAGGTTTATAATAATGAATAGTGTTATTTGATTACTGTATGTACAGTATCCTTGCAAATCTTTTCTCAGTAGATTTTAGAGAGCTTGGGACATTGTTTCAAACAAATCCAATGTGGATTGCCGGTCCATCGTAAAATGTGTACCAGGTTAGAGTTTGGCCATAATTTTATTCCGATTTTCCTTATTTTAGTTCTATTATGAGTTCGGGGACTGTCTGTGTTAGCTCTCTTCCCATAGGTTTTAGTCCTTTCACACAACTTGATGTAAAATGAGCGAACAAAATTAGTTACCTCCATATTGGTACACATACACTTCTGGAGCACTCCCTTGGGACTTTTTTATCAGCAAATTTTAGAGTTACATCGTTTCAAACAAGCCAAGTCTCAGTATGGATTGCCTACCCTATTCATCACATCCTGGGTGGGATGTGATACTTACCATAATCTACAAGGAGACATTTTCTATGATCTGCCATAATTCCAAATTTTATGAGTATGGTAAACTTCATACCTAGTCGGTACTGCATGTACAAAATGTATTCAGAATGGAAACACAAAGAAATATTACCTGTCTTTACAACCAGCTTGTAATTGTGAGTGAAGCCGATTTAAAACAAATTCTTGACGTTTTATTTCTTGAACAACTTCTATTTGATCTTTCGGTAATGGAGGCATAGTGGCCCAGTCTTGCCATCTCATTGGTCTGATTAATGGTTTGATTTCAACCCCTGTGAAGAGAAAATGACAAATTGAATTTGAAAGTATTTGAAACGCTTAGGTATATGCAAGAATATATGGTACTTTTTCTGGTGTGATCATATGAAAACGTCTCATAAATATCAAATTGAAAGTTCCGTAAAAAATGCTCAGTGGAGCAGAACATACCTGCAAAAATCTGTTTCGCTTGAGTAAAGAATAAATTTAAAACTCTGTGACTGATGTGTAACGTCGGACTTAAAACGATCGAAATATTCTGTATCGTCATTTTGCTCTCCTTCTCGTGATCAATAATGTGACTGAAATGTACGATTAACCACGAAATCAAAACTTGGTTACATTCAGGGAGATTTTGAAGAATTGATTTGGTCGCTCGGATTTTATCTGAACCACTAGCAGCCTCTTCAAACTTCATAGAGTATTGGTCGGTCAAGACACGCTCTGGTAATTCTCGTAGATAATTTTTTAAAAGACTTGCAACTGTGTATGGGTCGTATTGATTCAAATCCGGAGAAATTTCTTGATTGTAGGTTTTTATGAGTTCGTCGACTTTTGCTTTTACTCCAGATATCCGATATATTCCTTCCGCTGCTAGACCTTTGTTCTCCAAATGGTCTATGCAGTCTCGTACCACAGCAGGTAAAAGGATGTTATCGTGGTAGCAAGTGCGCTGCACTGCCTCTTCTAGAGTTTTTTTGAATACCGGGTTGACAATCTCCTCGGATTCTTCTGGTAGGCTTTCAGGAATCTCATCGCTTGGGTTCGATAAAACTCGCTTTTTTGATTTATGTTTTTTCTGCGGATCTTTTTTGTCTTTAAACGATATTTGTATGTCTCTAGGTAAACTCGCTGACTTTTTCTTCGCGTCGCGATGGTCTTTTGATTTTGGCGTCGAGGATGGTACATCAGAAGGAATGTTCAAAGAGTCCCCAGGTGTTTTCCCTTTTTTGCTAAGTTTCCCTTTAGAAAACGAAGCTTTTTTAAAGAGGCCTTTCGATGTTTTTGGTTTTCTAGATTGTCCTGATTTTGGAGTTCCAAAGCTTTTTGAAAATGGAGATTCTTCATCTGTCTCGTTATCTGGTAAGAAATGATGATATCCTTTCTCTTTTTTCTTTTTACGATTGGTATCTTCACCAGACTCACCGGATTCAGTCATTTTGTAAACTCAACTTAATCAATCTAGTTTAACAAAATTTCGAATCTAGAGATTGAAAGGTGGACATTTATCAATTTCATAATTTGTACATAATTTCAGGTACAAATACAATACTATCACTTGACTAGTCCCTGAACTCGTAATAGAACTAAAATAAGAAAAATTGGAATAAAATTATGGCCTAACCCTAACATGCTACACATATTACCTAATATTCGGGTGTCCGCCATTTTGGTTCACAAACTTTGGGAGTACCAGTCATTAACATTAAAACATGGTTCCCAACCAACAATACCAACAAAATGAGAACAAAAATATAGAATTTTAGAATGCACAAACATTCCCAGTAGAAACAAATATACCAAACCAGTCTTCTTAATCAATCGGAATACTATAACAAGATATTATCATGATTAGAATGAACATACACAACTTTATTGTGAAAAATAATATTCCTTTTCTAACTATGTGGACATAAATTTGAATTTGGCGCTCCAGATGTGTATGTACCAACATTGAGGTAACTAATTTTGTTCGCCTACTTCATCAAGTTGTGTAAAGGGACTGAAACCTATGGGCAGGAGGTATATTCACTTGGCTAACATAGACAGTCCCCGAATTCGTCATAGGGCTAAAACAAGGAAAATCGGAATAAAATTATGGCCTAAACTGGTACATACACTACGGGAGTACCTATAATTTTTGAGTATAAGTCATAAAAAAATTTGAATGCATAGACAGGCAATATGTAAAAATTTGATAAAATATAAAAACAACTTTGTTTCTAGATGGAATGGACAAAATGAAAACTAAGAAAAAGAGGAAGTAATATCATTGAATATTTTCAATATTCCTAATTCACAGGCCAAGAAAAAAATCACCACAATATAATACAGTGAAAAACTTGTTGCACTGTGCTAAGTATTTGCAAACATTTGACAATACAATACAGAATAAGTGCTTTGTTTCTAGGTGAAATATGCAAAATGAAAACTTAGCAAAGAAGAAGTAATATCATTAAACAGTTTCAATATCTAATTCACAGGCTGACATAAAGTCACCACAATATATCACAGTAAAAACTCATTGCATTGCGTTAAGTATTTGCAAACATTTGACAATACAATACATTAAACTTATTTTCAAAATCTTATAAATGAATAAGCGCTTTGTTTCTAGGTAAAACAAGCAAAATGAAAACTAAACAAAAAAAAAGTAATATCATTAATATTAAATAAATTAATATCCTCAATTCACAGGCCAAGAAAAAGTCACCACAATATACCACAGTGATAAACTTGGTGCATTTCGCTAAGTACAGTATTTGCAAATAAATTTGATAAAACAATACAGTAAACTTCATTTCAAAACATTATAATAGAATAAGTGCTTTAAGCTGGTATCGCTTGTTATCTTATATTTGCTATTTAAATCTTCTAATGTTACTTATTGCAATTCCAAAATGATTCAGCATAAATCATTTCCGAGGCGTATGAAAAACATTACTCAAACTATCATATGCCACCTAGTGATTAAAAAAGTCCACAGGACAAAGGGTTGTAAAGCGCTGCCTAAAAACAAGAATAGTTCACGGGGCAAAAAGTCTGTAAAGTGTCACAACTCTAATCTACGACATATTGTAGATTTCCCAGTCTTACTGTATTTCTGAAATGATTTTGCACAATTCCATAAATACAGTCTCTACACTATTGTTTGCATCTACAATTTGTAGTTTTCCAGCTTTTGCATAAAAGTCGATCACAGGGTTCGTATGTTTTGTGAAATACTCAAATCTTCGAGATAGCGATTCTAAATTGTCATCACTACGATTGCTGGTTTCGCTTCTCGCTAGAATTCTTTGTTTAGAAACCTGGCAATCACAAAAGTAAATTTCTGTTTTGACATAATGTTTGAGTGTTGCACCATTGATTACATAGGATAGGATATTCATCTTTATCTCGGTGGGGAAGCCGATAAAATGGCCTAATCATACGACAATCCACTCCCTCGTGTCCTATTTGTTTCAGATGCATGGACTTGTTGATAGAAAAAGCCATTGTGACCAAAAGTTACCTGAACCTCTCTACAATATAGAGATGATAATAATGATGATTAGTTTTGTAAAAAAAATAAAATACAGTTCTCCAGTTCCAAGACAGAGATAAGGTTTGAAACGTACAGAATATAAGATATAAGGTTTTGCCAAGGAGAAGTGGTACGTGTTCACTCACCTAAAATTATTTCACACACCTCACATGCTCTCGCCGGGTCTGGTATAGTTTAGTACCACATGCACTTCTAGTTGGCCTGGCTCAACAATTTTAGTATATGTCATTGCTAACCCCCACCTGACTACGTCACCAAAAAATTACGTTAATACAATGTTACAGTGGCATAATAAGGTCCTCCATGGTATGTGGATGGTCGTCCAAAACGCACAGCAAGCAAGCTATTTCACTTATTTTCATGTCGTAACAATCCCGATATGAGAGAGGTCGCTGGCGTTAGTAAATTCACTATCGTTGGCACAGATGCCATGATTGGAGCTATACTTTGGTGAGCTCTACCACGTGATTGGGACGTCGCAGTGACATAATTTTTGTATGGCATAGCCAGGTGGGGGTTAGGAATACCATATGTAAAATGCTTTTAAGGCTACGCCTACTGGAGATACACTGGTACTAAACTATACTAGACCCAACCAATCTACAATATTATGACTTTACCATAATGACTAGTTTTGTGAAATAAAATATGTGAAATTACAGTAGAGCACAGTTCTCCAGTTCCAAGATGTCCATACATGTGGTAAAATAAAACAAATACTCTATTTGTCTCTGAAACAGATATTTTGTATAGAAAAAAAAGGCAAGAGCCTCAATTCTATGATTTTGCTTACCGATTCTGCGCATTCAAGTAACAAAACAGATTTTAAATCCACATTTCCTTTTGACAAGGTTTCCCACATTTTCAAGTTGTCCATATCTACAGGAAATCCGTCAATTAAAAATAGTTTCTTCTCGTTTTCCATTTCACTAAGTAATAAATTGCATGTGATTTCTGACGGTGCCATCAATCCTTTTGAAAAATGTGTTTTCAAAATATCCGAAACAGCGGTCTCAGCTTTCAACTCTTTTCTGAGTAGCTCCCCAGCAGATAAATGAACAAAATTAAATTCATCTGCTAATTTGGCACTCTGAGTACCTTTTCCCGAACCTGGACGGCCGAGTACAAATACCACGGGCATAACAGCCATTGGTAAAAATAATTATTCTGCTATTGATAAAGGCTTTCTTTTCATGATGAACAAGCTCTAGTTGTCGCTGTGGAGTTTTATTTAGGACCTACTAAAATACGGAAACGATGAAAAATAAATATACATTAGGATAAGATTTTATAATTTATTTTTTCAAGTGCGCTTCTCTCCCACATAATTATCCACCACGGGATTCAAACCCACACAGGGTGATCGGCGGTGCGGGGGCAAGAGTATGCGTCACACCGCCGAGCCCCGCTATTCGAGGCAAAGATAAGAAAACACGTCATGGAAATTTTGTTCAACACTCCTTATTACAGTTTCTTCAGTATATAAGTCCATTTCTGGGGAACAATGCCAGGTTCTGTTACACTTTTGTGTTCATTTTTATATCCCTTTGAGTTTAACATTGTCAATGTCCTATGCAGTAGTGGTGGATAATTCCTTTCGTGCATTTTCGGAGGAGGCGATACCTTGCTGATGTATGTTGGTATTGCTAAAGGCAGCTGTTGATTAACGGGTTTCATCACGAGTTGTTGAGTTTTTGGTTGTTTTGTAGGCTAAAATATTATTGGATAAGATTTTCATATTTATTTCCGCCCTAGAGTAGGTAATTCTTCAGCTTCCCCCGCCATCAATAGACAATACGTTTATTTTGTCGTGCAAGAAATCATAACATTAAATGAGAACACAAATTTTTATCACAACACCGGGCCAGAAATGGTCATTATATGTCTGCAACGCCAAGATTTAAGATGCAATCAATATTAAATTCGACAAAATTAAAAATAAATTGATTCCATGCATCTGAAACAGACAACTGGCTAACTAACCCCATCCTAGACGCGACACGGACCTGGAACCAGAAGGCCGTGTTTTGCCAAATGATTAACCCCTTACGATGGCGAGAACTCCAGCAATCCTCTCGCATAGATATATCTATCTCGCAAGTAATACATCCGCAGACTCGTTAATTGAAGAAGGTCAGTAGTTGCTATCGCCAGTCGTTTAACCCTACAATCGTCTTACATCACCCCAATATCGGGTATTCAAAATAATTTCTATATCTTTTTACCTTATGGGACGAGTTATATTTCATTCCTGAAAGCGTATAATAAACCATCGGATCGTTGTTATAATCTTCAATCTCTATTTCAAAGATACTACTTCCATTAATTGTATAATTCAATTTAATTTCTTGTTTATCCATTTCTGCTAACAGTTAATGTTCTATATAATCTCTTTAATGCATATTTTTTTTTATATTATATCTATCAATATCCGGAGAAAAGAAAACCAATAACATTACCTAAACAAGATAGACAAACTAATAAAAAAATAGGCATCGCCGTATTCTCGTTCATTGTGTATATAGCAATTGCGCATAGAGCGTTTGTTTTTTTCTGAACAATGAGTATTAGGTTACTTTGTTCTTTACAAAACTTTTTAATGAATGCGCAAAAGTATCATGGTGTAGTAGACGTACGCTTCGTAGGTTATGTTGACCATATGGTTATGACGCTTAAAGAATAAGGAATACGTAAACAATGATACGTAACCTACTCTTACGTATACAGTAAACGTCGGGTTCTTCCCTGAACAGTCTGACAAACGTGGATACGTGCGCCACTCGAGAACGTCGAGTCCAGCCCCGAACAGTATTACGTGAGCGTCATGAAAAGTATCACGTGAACTGTGATACGTACGCTGCTTTCGGTGGACGTCGGGTTCTGCCCCGAACACTATGACGCAAGCGTGATGAAGTATGCGTAAATGATAATACGTACACTAAGCACGGTGAATGTGGAGTTCTGCCTCTGACAGGCTGGGTAAGTTCTGTACAGTGTTTTCCCGCAAATAAGACCTAACCTAAAAAATGAGACCTAGCCTGAGTTTTGAAAAATGATTTTAATATGAGCCCACCATTAAAACAAGACCTAGTCGATAGCGCGATTTTATTTACCCAGTCGATGGCAAGAAATCTCTTCTACACGTTTTAAATAATTAATGCTTAGCAGTTATTTTAAATAATAAAAACATGTTATTTATTAGTAAATATATATCGGTTTTCATATTTTATATATTCATTTTTGATAAATGAAAATAAAAGACATCCCCCAAAATAAGCCCTAGTGTTTTTTTTTTCGGAAGAAAATTGAAATAAGATCGTGGGTATTTTGGGGGAAACACGGTCCGATGGACGTCGGCGTTTGCCCCAAACAGCTTGACGAAATGCGTAATGAAGTATACTTTTAAGTTGATACATATTCTGCGTGTGATGGACGTCGAATAGGATATCTCCAGCTCAGAAACTAGTTTTACTATAATTTCAAATGTATGAACCCAACAGAAACAGTGCAAATGTAACTTTTATTTTGTTAAAAATTAAGGCAATAATGAAAAAGGCGGAATGTTTTAAACACACAACAGGTATTCATTTTCATCTATGATCAGGTCAGATGCTAATAAACATTATTCTAGACCTAGAAAAAGGGTATGTAAATAGCTTTTAGTTCACTGGCAGTAGCCTGCAATTCTTCTGCGTATCAAACAACTGGGTATATCTTTCCTGCTCTGAAGTCTTATTTGAAGAGCACATTAAATGAAATGCAAGATGTGGTGAAATAACTAAAAAGCTAACCAACAAAATGAAAACAAGCGGGATTTGCTAGGATGATTGGCGATCCAGAAGTTTGTGTACCGGTAACTAATGGAGGAATGGTATGGAGGTAACTAATTTTGTTCGCCTACTTTACATCAAGTTATGTAAAGCGACTGAATGCTATGGTCAAGAGGTATATTCACTTACCTAACACAGACAGTCCTCAAACTCGTAGTAGGACTAAAATAAGGAAAATCGGATAAAAATTATGGCCTAACCATGACCTGGTACATACACTACGGGTGTAAAAAAAATTCAATTTAAATAAATGGAGAAGTTTCCACACGTATTATCTGCGAAGGCGTGGTTTGTCATAGAAATCCAATTGGTTGAAAACTTTAAGTGCGTTGTGATGGAATGATATTTTTGATTGGACATAGGAAGGCGTGGTCATCTGTTCAAACCCTTCTGTTATCCCGTTCAGTCGTGTTATTTGGACTCATCTCTTTGTTCAGAGCATTTTCGTTCATTCTAACAAGCTCTATACTGACACCATCCGGCTGTACTTCTACTGATCGACTGAGGGAATTCATTCGATTCGGTGAAAACGAAACCTGAAGTAAAAAGTAGGCTTGATTTAACATGAATAAAATAGATATGCATTCCTATACATTGGGTATACCGGTAAGCAGACGAAAGAAAGTAATCCACCGCTCACCGGGGAAATGTTTAAAAAAATCCTATTCTATTTTTAATAGCGGTATTGTGTATTAAACTGCGAGTGCTTTCTCCATTCAATTTCCTACTTTAGATTTATTTATTAGTTAGTGCAAAAGTGATAAATAATATAATTATAATATAATTTGTTTAATCAAAATAGTAAGTATATATGTGAGTTAGAACTTAGTTTAACAAAGCAAAATATAACTGAGACCAATATCATAAGTATTTTTTGAAACAAACTACTGTAATCTGAAAATTCTGAATATCTTAATGATATTTGTCTTAAGAGTTACATCGTGCTGTTTCGTATACAGAGGTTAAATAATTCGCAAACTTTCATTATACCTGGCCTCTTTTCAAAGATTCATAACACTCCGTGTCATAGCTTTGCTTTGAACGCGTTTCCACAAGTTATTTTTGTTTGACACGATTAATAATTAAGAAGGTAAAAGAATAAACGCATTACAGACTACAGTCAAAGAATTAAACATTTATCAGTGAATTAACTTCAAATTATTGTAGTCATTGCAAATGGTATCTACTCTACTCCAAACCCCTAGATAATCGCTCCGCGCCCTTGACAAGGGCCGAGGTCCCATTACATACCAAGGTTTTTAGTGGTTTTTGCAGTTTTTTTGCACATTTTTTACGGTTTTTGTGCGTTTTTCAATATTTTTGCTAGGTTTTCCATTCGAATACATACCTTATACATGTTCTCGACCATGCAAGAGAACACGTACATGAGTACAGTTGTTGCGATCAAAAACGCAAGACCAATCCAAGCTAGAAGGAACGACCAACCGAACGTTAAATCGTCGGGATAGGAAGGATAGAATGTGAACTCAGGAGAGCAGGATGTAATGCAAACTGTATGCTGGAGTGTGAAGAGTAGAACTCCAATAAAAGTGCCGATATCTGGACAGAAAAATTTTAAAAATCTCAAAGAGGTGTTTCGTAAATTAGATAACACTATAAATTACTTTGCCAATATCTCTTAAGGATAAATTATCCCAATGCGCCCGTTTATAGAATTTAATACGCATATATATAGTCTTCACCTGTACAGTCAGTCAGTAGTTTATTTATCACCAAAATAAAAATACATTTGACATTTTTCGCTGTCTGTGGGCTGATTCATTTAGGCAGAAGTGAAAACTATTGGCACTGTAGCTCCAGAGGTAGTATACATTTCGACTTTTCGAGGCGTAAGTTAGATTCAGTGTAGTTAAGGTAATCTTTCCCTAATTTTTAGGCTTAGCAAAACATGTGAAAATTTTGGGGGTACACGAGAGAGTTTATGAATTTTTCGAAGGGTACCAACGAACAGAAAGTTTAGGAAACCCTAATCTAAAGTAAATGCTCGTATAAATCCGTGTTCTAAGCAATGTACCAAGAAAAGTAAAATCGTGTTTTGTTTTAAGCTTGCCACTCACCTGCTAACGTTAGCACGATTCCTCCAGCTCTCGCCATTGTTCCACTCGTTTCAATTCTTCCACCGCTTCCTACAATTGCCGTTGCCAGAATGTTGAATAAAATTCCCGGGACCAACAAGACTATGCCAGCGAATAGACCAGTTCTTGTGTACACTGCAAGGAATATATTAAATGATTTCAAAATTTCCAATTTTGATGTAAAAATCTCTATGACTAAATATGTTTCGAAAGTAACTTGCTGAAGAGATTGCCCATCGCATCGGTTCTAGCTTGCGACATAACGTCATCTCTCATCTCATGCCCATCCAGGGTTAAATAAATTAGGTAGAGAAAGCGAATCGGCCAAACGCCCGCCCTTGCAAAACATAGTAACGCTGTGTGTGTCTTAGTATGATAGTCAAGGGTCAAGTTCAGCAATGGAATGCGCAACAGGTATATCATATGGGGCGAAAAACGCAAAAATCTTTTTATGAATAACATAAGACAAACCGCTATGACCCTTTTCCCGAGCATCAACTTCCTTGTTTACTTCGTGACATTGGCCAATAAGCAAGATGCAAAAGTGACGTAACAATGCTCCCTTTTCGCATCCGCTCAGACACTTTTCTCACTCAGACAGATTTTCAAGTGTGGTCGTAAACATTACCTCGTTTTCGCGTTTTTGAACTATATTCGTTAGTTTTCTGTTGTGTTTCGGAAACTTAAATATAAATCAGATAATTCAATAATCATTCTGTCTTCCTGAGAGTTTTAATTAAATTGCAGTAATTAAAAATTAGTGTAGAATCGCTGTGAAAGACTAGGCTAAAATTCTTTTCCGATACTTTTAAAAAACAGATTGATGTATGCGATGAATCAGCATGATGGTTTGAAACACATTTCCCATATTACAGGCGCCAACTCGCAACAGCACTCTTAAAATAGCCCCGAAAATTCCGCAATGGTAATGTATAGGAGAAATTTTTGGGGGTCAAAGGTCGGGGAAAGGTCCAATAATACACACAGATCTCCTATCGTTGATAGGATTAGTCTTTCTAGTCCAACCAATTCACTGGACCCCGCGTTTGGCGCTGGGTGCGGTTGACATGTTGGACAGGTTGACATGTTAGGACATGTTGAAGAGGTGTTTACAATATACAAGAATGCATACTTACTGCATATTCCGAAAGGTGTAGCAATGCAGTTTAAATCTCGGAGACCGTTATCCCATAAACCGTGACTGAATTCAACTTTCTGAATCGACACCGCCTCGTCTTCTGCATTCCCATCCAATTCCGCTGTTACTGGGATTTTGTGAACATTTAACCAAGATCCGGTAAAAAATGCGGTGCAAATGAGAACAGCTGCAATTATACCTGAACAGAGAATAGATAATGTTTTTTTGCTCTTGTCGTTGCTTTAAATCGTTTTGCTGTTATGCCCAGTGCTTTTATTACTGTAAGGATAAGCGAATAGCCGCATTCTCTTCTTTTGTCTGCTAGCTGATAAACATTTGACCAGTCAGTTAAGGGTTGTCACAAACTCTGTCAAATCTCGTGTTAACAAACTATATACAAGAACTTGAAATTTCAGATGTCCCTTCAAATTGCTGAATAAATAAAATTTCGCATTGTGAGAGTTTTTAATTCATTTTGTACATGGTAAATAATTTTTTTTTTGTGTAGCCCAGCAGTTCGATATATAACCCACCGACAAAAAATGTTGTACACACCTGGATTAAACAATAAAAAATGTACATGTGAGTTATCGTCAGTGACTTCTTCTAATGTCTATGTAGAGCATACTTTGAATTGAGGACCCGTATCTCCACTTAGACAAACCCACATGAAAGTATAAATACTCATTCGACTTACCACAAACATTGGAAATAGCGCTGACGATGACGAGTCCTTTCATTATTTTATTACTGTTTTCTTAATTTCTTAGTTCGAATGATCATCGACTATAGAAACTGTAGGAAAATAAAGCATTTCGAATTATTCAAACTAATCGCCCCTGTCCACAGCTAATGAACATCTAATTTTTAGTGCTTTTAGATGGCTTTTCGACTTTTAAACTCATCAACATGAAAATATTACGAATATCATAGACTGTTTATTAATGAACTTTCTCATAGTAGCCTACTCATGCAAATTGAAGATCATTATTTAACTTATATTCGGCACGACACCCTCAATCTATATAATCTTAATGAGCTTGCGCGCGTGAGAAGACCACTGGACTAACCAAGACCCGAACTCCAGACGCTGGGAATGTCTTGCTGTTATTGAAAGAATATATTTATGATTAATTTAATATACCTCTCGAAAAGTCAAAATATATCTCGCTTGGGGATACATGTATCCCAGTTTTTGAACAACTGCTTTCAACTCATTTTCGGAACATCCTGGCTTCATTTATACAACCCCAATAAGCTTGCGAGTTAAAGCAGACCTATGAAATATATAGCTATTATAGCTATTTTTTTATGGTATTTGAGGCAAAAAAACAGCCTAAAGGTGCAAAATTCGAAAACCCCCAAAAATAACTCACTAAAACTCGCAAAAACCATAAAAAACTCGCCAGAACCTGCAAGAACCATAAAAAACTCATAAAACTGTTTAAAAAGCTGTTTATACTTTTCTATCAATCACATTATCATTATCTGATAAGTCTTGCTTAGATTAAACACATTCACTCTATATATCACCATTGCGATTTAATCGCACGAAGCCTCCAGCGCATAAAAGAAGCGATCTATGGATATCGTGAAACTTAAATTTACATCATATCATACCAACAAATTCCAGAATATTTTACGAAATTGCCAACACTGTATCACAGATTCAATCAAGATTTGCCTCATTAACTTAATAGTATTGATCTTACGTCGAAAGTTTTAAAAACTCTCCCTCCCTCGGGGAATTCCCCGCTGGGAAGAATTTCGAATATTTATGTGAAATTTATTCTTTACTAGATAAGTTTTTTTATGATATTAACTCGGTCGCGGATAAGTAATTTCTTTTTGTCTCTCACGACGCTTCCTGTCACAATATAAAAATCGATTGATAAAGTATGAAAATTGATATCCATTTACTTATAAATAACACGTTTTTATTTAAAAATAAAGTTGCGCTATCGACTAGGTCATATTTTAAGGAGACGGATTATATTAAAATCATTTTTAAAATTTAGACTAGGTCTTATTTTCGGAGAAACACGGTACGAAACAAGACTTCTGGAAGAATCGTGTTTGCTTTGCGACAGCTCATCTAATTTTGTTTTAATGTACCATGGTTTGACGAGGTAATCGGCGAGGTTTGAACGTAGGAACTTCAACATGCTACACCTCAAATGTTAGCAATGTATTAATTATTATCCGATCAATTAAATAGAGTTAGGATGAGAGTTTTAAATAACGATGTCTTACTTCTTTTGAAAATTTCAAACACAAATAAGCTGAAAAAGGACCGTGCAACTTTGCACCTGCGAGCAGAAGGTGTGACATTCTGAATCTGAACTACAGTTACGATACGACTTGAGTTCATCCGCCATCTACACATATTCATTCCACAAGGTTTAGTATTGAAATAAATTATGTAAAACTCGAGTAAACTAACCATAGAAGCTTTCCAAATTACCACTTTCCATCCTTTAGGAAGTTTAGGCGGAGGGTGTGAGTTAGTTTTGGACTAACATTTTCGTCCCGCATCAAAGGCTATATTCTGGCATCTCTATCTCACCTGCGAGTAGAAGGTGTAAAATTTTGAACTACAGTTTCCATTTGAATTCATTCGTTATCTACATATATTCATTCCGCAAGGTTCAGTAATGAAATAGATTATGTAAAACTCGAGTATACTGTTCCCAGAAGGATTTCAAACCACCAATTTTCAGCCTTGGCAGTTCTTAACGTACCATTGACAACTTGCAACTCTTCTGTTTGTACTCTTCACACCTTTAATTGGGGGATTGAGACATTGCCTCAGAAAAACTTGCAACTCTCCTCTATCAGTACTTTTTCCACTTATAGCCTATTTGTGGGCTTGATCTGAGCAAACTTGCGACCTTTCTATCAGTACTCTTTCTTTGAGCGAAACCGAATAAATATATACCGTTATAAGAATCTTTGTGGCGCCTAATCTTGTCGCAAATTATAGCTTTCACTTCTACGCCGATAGTCTCGATAAAATTAGTTTAAATCCTATTAAAACATGAAAAACATCCCTTATTCCCGCTAACGACTTCTGCCCTTACAACCTAACACTAAGCGCTTTTCGCTTTTCCAAAAACTTGGATTAATAACGTTACAGTATACAAGAGGTCGTGTCTTCATCTATCGCCTGGGGCATTATGACTTCATAACTATCATTTTCTGCGATCATGACAATCTTTGTTAGATAAAGAAATATAATGTTGAAAGAATCGTTGAATAATTAGCTTTTATGTATAAATTAATACGCCGAAACTTTGTTTAAAGAGTTGAACATGAAATATGCATTAAAACCTATAAAACCTATTGGTAACAATACTGCGATATGAACATTATGCTGATCTGTAGTGAAAGCTGATTAATTTCACGTTTTTGTTTATTATTTGATCGCTGTCTGGAATTATATATCGGGTACTCTCGTAGTATGTGTACCAGGTTAGGGTTAGGCCATAGTTTTATCACAATTTTCCTGATTTTAGTTCTATTACGAGTTCGGTGATTTCTGTGTTAGCCAAGTGAATATGCCCTCTGCCCATAGGTTTCGGTCCTTTTACACAACTTGATGTAAAGTAGGCGAACAAAATTAGGGCATCAAGAAAAAGGGGGCACCCCAGGAATTTTTAAAGACAAATTTTCAATTGCGATTCATTGTGATGAAATAATTAGAGTTGGCCTCAATATTGTTGCCGTTAAAATAAATTTTGCCTTTTTTTTTCATGTATCATCTTATTTCTCTATAAATGTTTGAGACCTATTTTACAAAATATCATAATTTGCCCTTCAATCAGTAATGAATCCCGAAACTGTACATTGAAGTTCAGGTGACATGAAAAACTAGTTTCCTTATTATACTGTATATTGTTATTAATAATTCTTATACATATGGCATCGAGATATTGAGTGCGCAGGGCCTCTAAACAGCTAAAGACATGATCCGGCTCTGGACAGGATATAGTGAACTTTTGAATTACAGGAACCTTCATTACCGCAGAGTCCACCATATAAGTCAAGTATGGCTAATGATCATCGTTTAAAAGGAATTTCACGGTTACTCTTTGTGGTTATGGTGAAATGCTACCTAAAATATTTAATGACCGACCGTTTTTATTTAACATTATTACTGTTAAAAAAAACAGTCGTTCAATACATTAATATTCGATTTCACTGAAGGTATTAGTTTGGATACAACGCGAGTAAGCTAATTTGAAATGAAACTATATGTTAGATTTGATTTTCCCCGCCTTGTTTTGGATATTTCAAATTCATTATAGTTACCATTTCTTTATTATATACAAGTATTTTCAACGTGTTTTCTGAATAAAACATACTTTCGCCTTACTATCTATTATTCGTAGCTTATTGTTAGCTGGTTACATCTGAGGTGGGGCCCGAGACTTGATAAATTCTGAGAGTATGAGAACCACTGTTTAGACTTGCTCTATCATGCTGACGAATTCGTGGGCGTATAATAATGAAAGGATGCTATAGTGAGTATAGTCAGTCCTGATTCAAGCATTAAGCAAAAGAAGCATCGTTTAATGAAATGATTGGTCTAACGCTAATAGGTCAGCAATTCAGACCTCAATATTGGTCCGGTTGAAATAAATTTTGCTTGTTTTCCTTTCTTAAGTATCATCCTAAATGTTTATAAGCATGAAATTTTCTTTATTCCTATTATTATATTTATAGCAGGCAACAAAGTCTTCAGTGCTTATAAGGACTTCTAAAAGCCATGATCCTGTAATGTGCGCGTACGTATATATTTTATTATAATTATAATACGTATGGCATCATTTGACCTAATATAATTTCAATCTTCATTAGAATTTTCATAGCAGAGAACTCAATCAAGAAACTACTCGAAAAAATTATTTAGTATAAGTATAAGTTATTTGACTCCATAATCAGCCTAAAATACGATAAAAAAAATCGATAAAAACCAAATAAAACGATTACAGAATGTTCAGAATGACAGCAATCTTTGAGTGACAACTATATCAGATCGCAAATATATTTCGTCTTAGTTTTATCGAAAGCATTCATTCAACATGACTCAATCAATCAATTTTATTTTCGTCACTCCGACATAAAACGAAACAACAACAAACGGATAAACAAAATGCAGGATTGATTGATTAATTATTTATGAAATATAGCTAAACATATTGACACTACACGTTGTAGACCTTGGGTTCGAGTCCTGTTGAGATATATTACATCTGTCTATAAAATGTTTGGTAGTTGGTACTACAAAATAAAGAAGATATAAACAGGTAATTATCTTTCGGTTAATGCATAATTTTTCTAAAAACCATATATATATATGGAATGTTTCTTATGAAAGGAATATTACGGCAACAGAAATTTTTTTTGTTCAATTCTCAGTTGTTTTTGGACAGTTTATGACTCGAATAATCGGTTCGTAAAAGATCCATTAGTTGAAATTAAAAGATTAAAGTTTATAGAAACGCGAAGATGTATCATTATATTTAATTATAGGATAGCATTACAAATATCGTAATTATTGGTTTCGAGTAATTACAATAGGTTTTACGGTCACATGACTGAGAATTGAACAGATTTGATAAGGATCATAACATAAATAAAATATGTTTCGATCTTAGTATACAATTTTCGTGAAAATATAAATATTTTTTCCGGCTATTCTCAACCGACGACCCCGGAAAAGAGTCCAATTACAAGTATATTTATAAATAGAAACTTGTATACCTCTCCCACACGTTTTGGTAAAATCATCTTTAACATTCATTGTAGGACTCATTGTCTGGGAAACGCGGTACACACACGAAAGTTAAATGGATAGCGCGATCTTTCGTTCGCAGGTTACGGTAAGTCATTTTCTGAGGGCCTTGGAATTTTTCTCTTTCCCGATCTTTAGTGCACAATCCAATTATATATACCTGGATCACCGGACTTAAATAATATAGCCTAAATTCTAATATAATCTAATAATGGAGTGAGTTCAATGAACATTTATCCGTTCATACTCAGATTCGTTTCACCAATGAAATAGTTTAACTATCCAACAGTCCCACACATACAAGAGCATGTTCATTGGCCATGGCCGCACGCAATTTTATACCCGACTTTAAATTAATAGTCGAATAAAATGTAGCCCATCACTCGCGACTAAATCACGATGTTCACATCGTCATTTTCTCGATGTGCATATACGGGTAAATTATGTCCAAAGGCTAATCAAATTTCAAAGGTGTCCTCTATCGCCCTCTGACGAATGTTTGAAAATACCCCTCGAAAGATGTTACTTTATATTGCTTTTTAGCGGCATAAACTCCAAACTCCTTTATTAAAATATCTTAACAATTTTTTTTTGCGAAAAAATACAAGAATAAGAATTCAAGTCGAATTGGCTGAAACTTATATGAGTAACTTGCGGTAGTTGCATATGAATAGAATCTTCGCCGACACTGGTTGGTTTCTACGTCTTAATACATATCGCGTGTTCTCAGAGACTTTGAAGTTCGTACCGCTGTACCCCGTCGTTGTCCCGGTTCCTTCCGGAACGGTACCGTAGTTCAGCGGTTGACTACCAGATGTTTAAAGCTATCCGAATCTCTATTTTTTCTTACAACATAACGTTGAATACGATACCGTACCGGTACTGAAACAGTAAAATACGGTACCGCCGTACGGCTATTCGATCTGTCATCTCACTCATCTGTACCGGTACCAGGTACTGTAGTTTGTTTATGTCATATGCTCATATGCTTTTATGAATTGTTTGGTACGGTAATTCAGTAATTCCTTACTGTAAATCTGAAATAAGTTTAAGACGAGTTTGCTAAAATTTATCAGAATCTTTGAATTAGAAAATGCTATGTCACATGTCACTAGAACAAAAGCGTCTAACTTAAAGTTTGGCTAACGCTTTATAGACCCATTTAATTATAGGTAACAGACTTTCGAATCGACTGTGCAAAAGAATTTCAAAGTCTTGAAATCGTCTCTTATGTAGTTTCGTACCTAAAGTACTTCTAGTGGGCGTAGCATAACGATTTTTGCACATGTCAATACTAACCCCCACCTGACTATGCCATCCAAAAATACCGTCACTCTAGTGTCGCAATCACGTCATTGAACTTGCGAAAGTACCGGTATATTTTTTGCAAGACCCCAGACAGCCAGAATTGTTTAACCAGAAGTTTGAAATAACGTTCTATTTAATTATGGTGCGTTCAGGACGTTAGGGTTAACAAACGTTGAAATTCACCATAAAAAAAGAATTTTCAAATCAGCAAATCTTAAAATTCAGAAATTTGGTATCACAGTATCGTTGTACCACTTCCAGACTTCTGGAACTACAATTCCATCCCATGTATGGCAAATTACAGATTTATTTGAAACCTGAAAGTCAGAAAGTAGACAAGACATAGATTTCTCAATTGACTCTACTTTTGTACTTGTTTTTTAAATACTTCTCAATATTTACTTTTCATTTTACATAAAACTATGACAGTGAAAATGGCAAGTCATCCAAAGCGAAAAGAAATATATAAATACGAAGCGCCATGGATTTTATACGCAATGAATTGGAGTGTTCGCCCTGATCATCGATTTCGTTTAGCTGTTGGAAGTTTTATCGAAGAGTACAATAATAAAGTTCAAATTGTTGGGCTGGATGAAGAGAGGTCAGAGTTCAATTCTCGGAGTACTTTCGATCACCCGTACCCTTGTACTAAGATCATATGGATACCTGATGCGAAAGGAGCGTATCCAGACCTTCTCGCGACGAGTGGAGATTATTTGAGGATTTGGAGAGTAATCAGTGATACAGAGACTCGACTAGAGTGTTTATTGAATAATAATAAAAATTCTGATTATTGTGCGCCATTGACGTCGTTTGATTGGAACGAAGTGGACCCGAATATTCTCGGTACGAGTAGCATAGACACAACTTGCACAATTTGGGGACTCGAAACAGGGCAAGTATTGGGAAGGGTTAATCTAGTATCTGGGCATGTGAAAACACAACTTATTGCACATGATAAAGAAGTTTATGACATAGCGTTTAGCCGTGCGGGTGGGGGGAGGGACATGTTTGCATCAGTGGGTGCAGACGGTTCTGTAAGAATGTTTGACCTTCGACATTTAGAGCATTCGACGATTATTTACGAAGACCCACAACACCAGCCGTTACTTCGACTGTGCTGGAACAAACAGGACCCAAATTATCTGGCAACTATGGCTATGGATTCTATGGAAGTCATAATCCTTGATGTTAGAGTCCCATGTACCCCAGTTGCCAGACTTAATAACCACCGGGCTTGTGTAAACGGCATTGCATGGGCGCCACATTCCTCTTGCCACATTTGCACTGCAGCAGACGATCACCAAGCTCTTATATGGGACATTCAGCAAATGCCACGAGCGATCGAAGACCCAATTCTAGCTTACACAGCTGACGGGGAAATAAACCAAATCCAGTGGGCTACTACCCAGCCAGACTGGATTTCTATTTGCTATAATAACAATTTGGAAATTTTAAGAGTTTGAATTTATTTTTAATTTTTTTTCTACATGAATTGTGAAACCAAAGTTGTTGGTTATCAGGAATGGCACAAGCTAAATAATTTACTATTTGGAATAGATTATGAAGAATAGTTTTGAACATGAAATATTTAATATATAGTGTCAATGAGGTCTTAAAAAATTTTAAAAGTACAAAAGGAATTTATCGATACCATATATTGTTTTGGCCCTCACAGAGGTATTAAATGAAGTAAAAATACTAATTACTGATTGAAAAACAACAAACCTGGTCAAGATATAACAAAATTGAAATTGTAAATGGATTTTATGGACACCCTGTATTCTAAAATGCACCAACGAGACCTTCATTCCCAACCACTGATATATAAGGATCTTTTGTTTTCAGAAAAACCGTAAATATTTTAATGACTATCAACTGCATACATCCCTTGCCCATTTTACCCCGTACCCCGTAGTGTGTGTACCAGGTTAGGGTTCTGATATAGTTTTATTCGATTTTCCCTTTTTTAGTTCTTCTAAGAATTTGTGACTGTATGTGTTAGCCAAGGGAATATACCCCCTGCCTGCCCATAGGTTTCAGTCCCTTTACGCAATTAATGTAAAGTAGGCGAACAAAACTAGTTACCTCCATATTAGTACACACACTTCTGGAGCGCCCATTTTAAAACGGAATTCCTATTTTCCTTTATTCATTATTTTTCTCGTTTTCTTTCGAGTTGATGGAAAGGATGTTATTTATGAATACTTGAGCTGATCGATTGTAAATTTTGTGCATAGATAGTTACTGTAGTATACAATGTGCTATAATTTTCGAAAAAATAAAAAATGTAGTATACAATGTGCTATAATTTTCGGAAAAATAAAAAACACGAACAAAAACAATAAGCGTCGTGCCAAAACTAAATTTAATCGCAATCTCAACATATTCCTTGAGCTATTTTTTTAAGCTAAAATTTGGTTTTAGTTTGGTAGAGGCAGCATTTGGTTCGACCCATAGTTGTCTATGTCAGGGTTAGAGTTATGGACCAAACAATTTTGTAAGTGCAAATTAAAAATTTTGAGTTCAAAACTGATGACAAAATTTCCATTAGGGCGGAATGAACTTTGTTCTGCCAAACCAGAAATATTCTGAGCCGTTCAGAAACAGTTGGTTCTGGCATATCTAGGAAAAGTGTGCACTGAGATTGTTTTAGAATTCCAAATTTGAATTAAAATCTATCTTATGATTGACTTCTGAATATTTATTCTGTATATACTGACTCCTGTATATCTGGAATTCTTTTTTTTTGATTTTATCAACTTGAAGAGCTTGAAATCTTGTTTCAAATGGTGTTTTTGTTTAGTGTTTTAAAATAATTTAGGGATTGTTTTTACTGGGCAGGTTCGTGGACTCAACTTCTAAATCGGGGTTACGAAATAATCGTTCTCTGATTCCATGTTTTAAAAAATATTGACTCTGAAATTCGATAAATTCAAAGTGCCATACCTCAAACTTTGGAATAAAACTTCATAGGCTGTCAAATGTAAGATTATTAAGGGTTTTGACTAATTTTAATACCATTGGAAGGCCGCAACTCTGGATCATGACTTTGGAGAATTTAGTATTCCGACTGAATTGAAAATACAACTCTGATTTTGTCTCAAATGAAACTATAACTCAGACTTCGGATTCCGAATCCACAGCCCTGTTTGCCAGTGTTAGTGATGACTTGATATATTTATTTCAGTAACCTTCCTACTTTTTGAATCTTTATGTATTATTCTTGCTACAATCTTAAAACATTGAATAAGGATCTCGTTCTATTATGTATAAATATTGTAACGTTTTTTTTCATTTTTTTATAGAAAAAATTGGATTAGTATTGAAAAAATAATGAAATCTATAGATAATAAAGATGATTTGAGCAGAGCTACGTTATTTGTACGTGGAATTCCCCCATCTTGTTCAAATGACACTTTGTCGGAAGTTTTTAGTGTCGCAGGACCCATAAAAGAGTGTTTCGTTGTGAAGTATAAATCTTCGAGCGAAGAAAACAAACGGCCATGTATTGGTTACGTCACGTACATGACGCCAGACGACGCAAAGTCGGCATTGAGAAAAGAAGACTTTAAAATTGATGACAGCACTCTGAAAATATCTCTAGCAAAAAAGAAAAAGTTTTCAAAAAAGAAAGATAAAAAATTAGAAGGAGATACATTTGAAATTGTGAAATCTGATTCACACAATTCCGAAATGGATACGGTTGAACGGCAAGAGGAGCCTGAAAAAATGCCGCCCAAGCAGGACTCGAAAAATGGAAATAGTCTTAATTCTAAAGACACGTTTACTGTTATTGTCACTGGGTTCCCAGCCTTATATAAAACTGAGCATGTAATCAATCTATGGAAAAAGTATGGGTTGAAAGAACCGAGAGAAGTGGTATTTCCGAGCGAAAATATAGAGGATTCGGAAAGTACTGAAAAGTCTGAACCGGATACGGAAGCGAAAGATCTGCGGCAAAGTGCAAAGTTCATTGTCGACACTAAACAAGCAGCTTTGAAAGCTTATAACAAACTTTCTGATAAAAATATTGGTAAAAAGAAAAATTATACGTTGAAAGTTAATTTCTTGACACCAGAAGGAAACCAGAAAGCGGCTCGAAAATCAAGACTTATTGTCAGGAATGTCAGCTTTAAATGTACGGAAGGAGATTTGAAGAAAACTTTTAGCAGGTAGGTACTGATTGTGTTACAAATTTAATAAAACGAGCGAATGAAAAATTTAAGAGTCCCATATAGGCTGAAATGTTTGGATGAATCTTTTAGCTTCTAACTGGTTGCAAGTTGCAACACTTCTAACAGTACTCGTTCTACTTTTTGTTGAAAGCTCATGGCGATACATTGCGATGGCTTTTAAGTAAAACTATATTTAACAGATTATTTTAACTGATAGTCTTGAGACTCTTGACTGACTTTTCATGTGTACCAGGTTAGGGTTAGGCCATAATTATATACCAATTTCCCTATATTCCTAGCCAAGTGACTCCGGTAGTATTTGTACCAGAATGTCCAGAAGTTATGGTAACATAACCTGGTACACATTCTACGTTCTGGTGTCCGCCATCTTGGTTCACATACTTCGAGAGTACTTTGACCTAACACAGCTTCCAATTGAAACCAATATACAGGGGTGGAAGGGAATTCATCAATACAATATAAAAAAATTTGGCTCTACAGTCGCAGCTGTATTAAATGAAGTAAATACTTAAATAAATGATGGTTAAAATAAAAAACAAACTTGGTTAAGATAAATTGAGAACTGACTGAGAATTGAGTCCCGGAAAATTGAAATGAACATTGAACAGCTTGTATTTTTTATTTCAGTTATGGAACAGTAACTGAGGTGAAAATTCCAACCAAACCGGATGGAAAAAAACGAGGTTTCGCTTTTGTTCAATTTTCTCATGTATTTGAGGCAGCAAGAGCTATCAAAGCTTTAAACATGCAGGTGATTAGCACTTATATTAACCTAATAAGTTTTCTCTTTAACTACTGGATCAATTGCTTTGTAATTACTTTTTTTTATACATTTTTAAATATATATAAAATAAATATGGTATAGCCACACACTTATTACATTGAACTTATTTTCATTGAGCTTGGTGTATCTTAGAACTTAAGCTTTTCTGACACTGTGTTCCCATCACTCATAACTTTGTTTTAATAACATTTTAAAGGAGATAAAAGGAAGAAAAGTAGCGATTGATTGGTCATTACCGAAAGAGAAATATAAAGAAATGAATTCTGCAAATAGTGAACCCCTCGGAGAACGAACCACTGCTTCTGTAGAAGGTTATTATAAAAGCTTTTGAAAATCTTGCTTGAACTTTTGCATAAAAATACAGCAATTTTAACCTTTCAAAATTAAAGTCATAGTCTTCCAACACATAGGCTATTGTAAAATGCATATTGGTCCATGTTAACTTTTTTTTTCATATTTTGATGGTGATTTTTGCTTTTTTTTTTAAAGTAAACCTATATATAAGAGATGAGATGAACAAGATGTATTTATGGAGTTGAAAAAATAATTGAAAAAAATATGGGAAAAGCATATTATTATTATTGGGGTAGGCTTATTTACAGTTACTCTATTATTTGGCTGCGTTAAATGTTTATTGAATTAAACTGTATATACAAACTATAAAACCTATGCCGGTATCTAAGTTAATTGACATATAGATATGGAATATTCACAATTGGGAAAAAATATTGGAATACCTGAACTTTAGAGTATAGAGTTGAAATTATTTTAAAAAGCAATTTGCTCGAAGCCTGTTATGCTTTATCGCTCAAAAGTAATTGAAGCTCATTTCTAGGTAAAGCCTTGGAATAGAATGCCAAGGAACTATGTAGTCTCATGATGGTGCATAATGTGTGTGTTTCTATATCTCTTTCTATTTTAACCAATTTTCTGTGTTTTTAGCATCCGCAGAAGATAAACAAGAGAAAGACTCTGAATCAGGATCTGGACCTGAGCAAACTTCTGATGATTCTGGGTTGGAAGAAGATGAGAGTGAGGATACTAAAGAAACAAGCGACGAAGAGCAGAGTGAGAGTGATGAAGAAACAAGCAATGATGAGCTGAGCGAGAGTGATAAAGAAACAAGCGATGAAGAGAGTGAAGAGGAAGAGGAGAATCCTTACACCAAGTCATTACAGAAAGGTGAGGTTATAACATTTGAGTTTCTCAGCTTCTAACATCTCACATCATAACAAGAAGAAATCTAGGAACTTGAAGCATCATAGCAAAAACTCAAACAAACACTTCATTTTTAAAGATCACAACATTGGTTGGTAATTTTAAAAAACGACTGCAAAAATCATTTGCTGAATTATAAAGAAGCCAGTCCATGCTTGTTTGAACTAATTTACTCAGAATTTGAAATTTAAGGCAATTTACATTGTTTTGCGGTTATGTTCTATATATCTCAAATATGAATATACCTGCATTATTTATGACATAAGTCGTTGTTACTTATCGATCTTGATCGGTAAGTATGTTGATAGGTATTTGTCTGTCTGTTTGTCTGTGTGTTAGATGCACGCGATATCTCACGAAAGCGAGGTTCAATCTGCTCCAAATTTTGCATGTGCATTCATCTTAGCTCGGATCAGAAGCCTATTGATTTTGGATGGATTATGTCGTATAATTAGCGAGTTATTAATTAATTAGTGATGGGACACACGGTGTCACTATGGAGTAAGACCACTGTTTTGGGGGATCCCCTAACCTTCGATCGATAAGTCTTCGGTTCCCAACTGAATTCTAGTTTATTGTGGTTTGGGGGTTATACTGTGTTGAGAGCATGGGGTCAGATGGGGTTCATTACACTCTGGTGTGGTGGTGGGCATGAGATTTGAACCCCAAATGTTAAATGGCATTATGCAATAAATGTCTAATAAACCTAGGGTTGCCATACCGTCCAGAATTTAGGGTTAAATTTTGCGTTCGGTAAGAATTTAAAATATGCTCAAATGTCCGGAATTTTACTGCATCTGCAATCGTACTGTGCACACTGCTAATACAGAACATTGTTATTTTGTACCTTGCGCATATTTTTTACTACAAGGTCATGAAAATAGTCATGCATTTGCTTTTTGGAATTTTGCTTTTTGGAATATGGTGACCCTAAATAAACTCATTTGCAGCTTCTAAAACGAAACCCACAATAAAGAAGAAACTTGACCCAAAATCATCTCATGACGTCCACGAAGGTCGAACAGTATTCGTGTTGAATTTATCGTATGACACGACGGAAGAAAGCCTCACTGAAGTATTGAATGAATATGGAGAATTAATCTACACTAAGGTTAGTAAAAGTTTTTGCATTTATAAGAAAACTTTTTGCTTGATTCACAAAATTTCAGAAAGTTTGTTAAAAGCAAGGGCGCATGCACTGATTCAGTATAAAACAAGGATAGGATGGGGTATACCTATGCCGATAAGATGACTTGAATATGGCCTCTCGTCCGGTTACCAGTCTATGTCGGGTATGGGATTAGTTAGTCAGTCATTTGTTTTCGGAGGCATGGATTCATCTCTGAGTGAAGGTATTGATTATCACTAGTCACTCTGAAGTATTAAATGAATACTGAGAATCGGTTGATAAGGATCAAGGATAAAAACTAGGAAACAATTTGCCAATTCTTAATGTAACTTCATCCATCTAAATTTTTTCCAGATTGTGATGAATTACGAGACAGGAATGTCTAAAGGTTGTGGATTCGCTCAATATAAAAAACTGGAAGATGCTGATAAATGTGTGGAGGCCTTGGGAGGAGAAAGAACTGTAAGTTGCTTTATTTTTTTTATTATTTGCAGTTTTTGCGCTCGCTTAGTTTGTGAACCAAGATGGCAGACACTGGAGCGTAGTATGTGTACCAGGTTAGGGTAAGGCCATAATTTTATTGCAGTTTTCTTTATTTTAGTTTCATTACGAGTTCGTAGACTAGCCAAGTGACTCACGTAGCATTTGTACCCTAAATTATGGCCTAACTTGGTACACATACTACGTTCTGGTGTCCGCGATCTTGGTTCATATATTACGAAAGTGCGGTGGTTTCGATACGTTATCATGATCATAATTCCTCACTCGAGAGATACTAACTCCACTCAAGCTTCAGAATCACTCTCAAAAAAGAGTATTCGCTCGAAATGATAAAAACACATTAAATGTTAAGAGCGTTCCGGGCACTCACTCAAGGTTGCAAATATCCACTTAAAATTGAAAGAACTGTTACTGAAGGTCACAAGTGATTAGTCAAGGTCACAATTAATTATCGAAGATCATAAGTTCTCATTGGATTCTAATAGCTACACTGTTAGCATAGAATTTTCATAAATATCCCAGAATGATAAAGTCAATAAGGCTCTTTAATCATATGACAATCCATGGCATCTCATCAGCCCTTACCGGGTATCGAAAATGGTAATTAATGGCCTGTGGCAAGCATGTTGCTAACGCACTATTTCCCAATCACCGAGCCAATGTTATTCAATTATTAACCCAACATTACTACTCAATTTTTTCCATCAAATCACACTCAATAATCAATGCTCAATTTTCTTGCTTCTAGGGTAAATTTCTCGATGGTCGTGAGATTAGAGTTGTGAAAGCTCTCAGTAGAGGAGATACTGATAAAATGAGAAAAGAAGGGAAAAAGAAGATTGAAAAGGAAGACAAGAGGAATTTATATCTGGGAAGAGAAGGAATGGTCAGATCGGGTAGGTCACGCACACCTTTTTATGAGGTGTATCAACTGTGGAGATCAGGGCTTCTCAAAATTTTAACGCTCTTTCCAATATATCAAAATTTTTCGCGAACCCTGTTCACTTTTAAAGTGCTAAACAATTTGAAATATGCATTTTGGATTTTTCATTGTTATGCAAGCGCCCCGATTCTCTGGTCTTACGATCAGAATCATCATTGCCGCCTCTCTGATGCTATGTATTCTCTCAAAATCATGAGATTTATGTTTCGCACTAGTTCCAATAATTGTTTTTTGAATCGGAAGTCTAAGAAAGTGCTTTGTGTGAAATTGATCGCTACCCTAAAATTCGTTGCAACCCCCCCTTTTAGAATATATTTACGCTCACTGTGAAACATATCTTTTAATAAGACTTCACACCAGTGACTTTGAAGTTGCTGGTTCTATGCAATCATTACCTCGAGATTTAATACCCAACAGAATAGACACACATTAATATCAAATTTTGCCTTTTTCAGGAACTCAAGCTGCTGAAGGTCTAAGTCAGATAGAATTGAAGAAACGAGAAAAAATAGAAAATGCAAAACGATCGAAATTGAAGAATCCGAACATATTTGTTTCAAAGACAAGACTCTGTTTTCATAACTTACCAAAATCTGTGGAAGAAGCTAAGTTGAGAGTGAGTAGTAATTGCGATATCTCTCTATTTAGGGGCCCCTAGCCCACCACGGGGCCACAGAACGGTTACAAGGGGCCACAACGCTAGACACAAACTGATTTTACATTTCTTTTTTTTTGTTGAGCACAGATTGTATGATCATAATAACACTATAATTATTACTGGAATGATTGAACCCAAGTGAACACTTGGGAAACACAATCGCAACGTAGCGACCTTCCAGAATTCTACTGAATGTTGTTTTGCAATGACTTAATTAGTAATTACCGTTATCTATTCTTTCCATCACAGCAAATCATCTTAAAACAGTTCGAAGACAAACGTTACGTCCGAATCATAGAGTGTCGAATCATGCGGGACCTCAAAAACGTCAACGAAAAAGGAATTGGAAAACCTCTTGGATATGCTTTCATTAATTTTATAAAGCATGAAAACGCTTTGAAAGCTCTTAGATCTTTGAATAATAATCCGGAGATATTTGGGCCGATCAAAAGACCAATTGTGGAATTCGCTCTCGAGAACAAGTAAGTTATCTTATCTTCCTCCCTCTCCTAGGATAAATAGGAAAAAATCTTACCCTATTTTACTAAAACATCCAAAGTGTTGTCTAAGTTAGAGGTGTGCAAATGCGGCCCGTCCGTGGGGTAATTGACAATGCGGTCAGCGAAGTTTTTATCTTACTTAAATTTGATAAATCCGAGTACGTAATTCCAATTTCTTTGGAAAGCCTTTACCTGTGCTTGTGCAAAGCGAACAATGCATGTCATAAGATCAACAGCCAAAATTTTTGTGCCTGCAACTATTAGAAAGCCTATGTTAAATGAAGTGGGGCCTGCGGTTTCACTCAGTTATTTGTATCTGGGCCTCCTGTATTAAAGGTTGCACACCCCTGGTCTAAGTGTTTGGTTAATTATGAATATTTGTCGAGTTGGTTCACATCTACTGACAAAAATTTGACTCAAATATTGTTATATTGGTCTCTCAATGCTGCCCTTCCATAATAACGGGAAAGCTCTCAAAATTGAAAATTATTCAAATTGAATTACCGGTATGTAGTTCCTTTTAATAAAATTATTTTCAATATTCATAAGTTGGAAATAATTTGAAGTAAACGTAACTATATTTAGGTCATTCTAACATTTTTTTAAATGGGCTTTGTCTTACTTCATAACAGGAAAGCTCTGGAAATCAAGGAGAACAGGAAGAAAAAATATCAGGCAAAAATGAAGCTCAAAGAGACACTGCAGCAAAATAAATCTGGTGATAATTTGAAAGAAACTGTCCCAGAAAAAAAACTTGGACGAAGACAGCGACAAAATTTAAAACGCCAGGCTGAAAATGCTAAGAATTTTGATGGAATAAATCAAAAAAATGAGCCCAAAAGTGGCAAACCTGATGGGCAGGGCCCAAAAAGGGCCAAACTTGATTTCAAAAATGGCCAAAATAGTTCAAAGAACAAAAAATTTGGAAGTGAAAGTAAAAAGGTGGATAATGACAAAAAAATGAACACTGGAAACCCTGATGCTGCCCCAAAACAAAATTTTGAAAGAAAATCGTTCCAAGGTAGTTCTGGTACTACATTGTCCGGTAAAAAATTGCCGATGCCATCCCACGCAGGACCGAAAATGCGACAAAAAAATCGAGGAAAAATCTTGGAACAAATGCGGCGAAGTAAGAAGCTGAACACAAGAGAAGCTCAACAGAAACTTGTGAAAAAGTTTGAACGACAACGTACTGGTGAAAAACCTGCGGAAAAGTTTCAAAAGTCAAAAAGGCCGGAGTTCAAAGTTGAAAAGTCGAGCAGAAGGTCAAACAAGCGTGCGAATTCCCAAAGAGGGGAAATTGAATTCAATAATCTGGTTGCCAAATATACAAAAGCGTTCATGAATAAAACACCAAGGACTGCTAAGCCTGACACTAAATGGTACGAATCGTAAGTTAACTGAAATCGGTGTGTTGCTTCGGGAATCATGTTGATTGTCAGCCATTGAAGTGTCGATCAGGAGTGGCCAGAATTGAATCATTTGAAACAGTAATTAGGATTCATGTGTCGGCCACTCTGATGTTCTTCACTGGTTTGGAGCAGTAAACTTACTGGGCAGTTCTCTTTTCATGAGTTTCTCTAAACAATAAAGCAATCATGTTGAATTTACCTGGTTTTTCTTTAATTCAAAAAAGGTTGGGTACTCCTGAAGTATGCGCACCTGAACCCTAACCTGGTACACAACCTGAGTATAGGTCCAAGGGTTGTTTATAAAGGGTTAGTGTTTTTGAACAGCCGTCAGTTTTTTTCTTAAATCTGACTTTCCTGTTTAAGAAAAAGTGGATGGAGCCATACCATCAACTTAATTAATGTAGGAAAATAGCTAACCTATAAATACTCTTTTCGGTCATCCTGTAGTGTGTGTACCAGGTTGGGGTTAGGCCATGATTCTGCCCATAGGTTTCAGCCCCTTTACACAACTTGATATAAAGTAGGCGAACAAAATTAGTTACCTCCATATTGGTACACACACTTCTGGAGCGCCCAATTGCCAGTGATATGATAAAATAAAAGCTAGATTCCTTCCTGGTTAACATTGTCTCGAAACCCACAAATTAATAGATACAAATAAGGCAAGGCAGACTTTTACTCTACATACATACAAATTTGGGTACTCCTGAAGTATGCGCACCAAGATGTCACACAACCTGAACCCTAACCTGGTACACAACCGGAGTTCAGGTTGGGCGCCATCTTGGTGCGCATACTTCGGGAGGTCCCAAATTTGTCTATCTTTACCGTTCCCAGGAGGCTCAAATTACCATTCATGAAAGTGACAAGAGTCACCATTTTGTTAGCGGTTGAAGCGCTAGACCTAACTGTGATGGGCTTCACAGATTGCACATAAGATCCCATGCATCCACTTAACTCAGGATGTAATAAAATTGGTACACAATGCATAACCAGTAAAATTCCAGTCTGGAGTAGAAAGTACAGTAGTTCCTTACATATCGTCAGATGTCTATGTGGCCTTGTTACAACCAAAAGGCGCAAGCAGGCGTCGTACAGAGAAAAACTATCCGCCTATGAGATTTCACTTGGTGATTGACTCTCTACTCAGTGTTTAGTGACTCGTACCAAACATTTAAAAAAACCAACAATTTGCCAAGCACCTTTTATTTTAACCACCATTATGAGGCAACTGCAATAAATAGAGAAGCAAACCAGCATTAGTGGATAAAATACTGAAAAGAAATAGGAATGCACCCCGAATGATACATTTATAGTAGGGAGACACTGAGTTTTGTCTGTGGTGTAGGTGGGGCTGTAATATGTACGACTACGCCCAGTACTACCGATGTACTTGTACCCTTAATGGTACATTGCAAGAGGACATCGTGTTGGGTTTGTAGAAGTTGTAATACAGTAACTAGTATGTAATTGGGCGCTCCAGAAGTGTGTGTACCAATATGGAGGTAACTAATTTTGTTCTAACTATTTTACATCAAGTTGTGTGAAGGGACTGAAACCTATGAACAGGGGGTATATTCACTTGGTTAACACAGATAGTCCCCGAACTCGTAATAGAACTAAAATCATGTCCTAACCTGGTACACACACTACAGGGGTACCTGTAATTGTATATATATAATGGGGATAGAAATGATTTTGTCTATAGGATAAGTTGAGTTGTAGAACTTGTAATATAGTATGTAATTTTATCCCTAATGGTACATTTATAATAGGGAGACAATGAGTTAGGTTTGTATAAGATATGGTGTTGTAACATAGCCTGAGCGATCAAGCGGGTAAAAAAAAGATAAAACTTTTGACATGGGACAGGTATAGGGTAAAACTGCGCACACTGTACGATGCACATTTGTTGTTTCTGATATTCAATTTAAACTAATCTCCATGATTATAAGGCTTGGGGAAAGGAAAGGTGGTGAGACAGTTCAGGTACAGTAATCTATTATCGAAACAAAACCCATTCTTCCTGAGTAAATGCTTGTTAAAGCATAATTTGAGGTGAACACCATGAAGAAAATTATGAAGTGAACACTACATAAATAAAAAAAATATAGCCAAGATAGAAAATGGTATGACATCTAACTTTAAACAACATAGTCTTTCAAAATAAGTGCAAAGCTGGATGGCTTTTATTTGAAATAGAAATCAGATTTTATAACTTGAATTAATTGTTTAAAACGGTGGTTCTCAAAACGTGTCCCCTTTTTAGAATTAGATAAGTCTCGGGCCCCACCTAAAAAAACTACCTAACAATAGACTACAAATAACAGATAGTAAGGCGAAAGTATGTTTTATTCATGTGGATGGGAACACAATTCTCTAAACAATAAAGAAATGTAAATATTCAAAAAAAGGCAGGCAAGATCAAATCTAACAATTATTTTCATTTAGCTAGAGCCCCTTCACAAAATTGTCTACGCCCCTTGTTTGAGAACCACTCGAAGTATTCGGTTTGGGTTCATCAGAAGTTTCCCATAATTTCACGGATATGTTGGGCTATCTTCAATCTCGTCCAAATTCTGAATTGACTAGAATCGTGATCGCCAACTTTAAATGGTGATAAAAAAGTCCGTTTTTTTTTACAGAGACCCAAAAATTATTGAACTACTAAAAAAGAGCTTTCATATGCTAAAGATTTTGTTATCAAAAGTTAGGCTGAAACATTTATTGGTTCGGTTGTAATTTTCACAGACACCCCAGCCCTGGTACCGTGTGGCCTGATTTGTATCATTTCCACAATTCTGTATTGCGCGATAATTTTTAGGAATTGATAAGATGGATAACTAGAAAAAAAAAATTCCACAATTCTGTATTGCGCGATAATTTTTAGGAATTGAAAACATGGATTACTAGAAAATAAAAGTCAGTTTATACAATATTAAAAAGATGACAAGATGGATTACTAGAAAAAAAAATCTCCACAATTCTGTATAGCGCGATAATTTTTAGGAATTGAAAAGATGGATTACTAGAAAAAAAAAAGTCAGTTTATACAATATTAAAACGAGGGTGAAAAGGGATTTAACAGTAAGACAGGGCATTTTTAATCGAGTAGTAAATTATTCGAATCTTCGAATTTGCACCAAAGGTCAAATATTTACAAAATGCAGTTCTTATGAATTTTTTTATCCTAGTAAGTAATTAACGAAACATGTATTTTATTGTGTGTGAACACTCGGCAAAATGTGATGGATTCTATGTTTTCAGTAATTTATTTCAGGAGAACCCTAGTACAATAATTAAATATCTTATTCAAGATTTGATTCTAAAATTATCAGGTATTGAAAAATGTCCAGTCAAGACATGGACTTCAAAATTAACCATATTTATATATATACGCTTAAGATTAAATTTACGTAAAATATGCTGATCAATACACTTTTTACTAAAATCTCAATGTTCATTTTAAAACACTAGAAAGCACCAAATAAAATATTTGGCTAAGAGTGACAAATACAATTATTAAAATAATGATAAAAAAGTTACTTCAAGTGGCAAAATAGACAGAAAACGAATAAAATTACAGCAGAAAAAAAAGGTGCTGCCGAAGTATGTGCACCAAGATGGCACACAACCCTGACCCTGACCGGGACACATACTGTGTTCAGGCTGTGCGCCATCTTGGTGCACATACTTCTGGAGCTCCGAAAATAATAATGAAACAAAGAAAAATTATTAGTACCATTTAAATGCTTTAGTACCATATTAGAACGAAAAATAACACAATCATAAAATAGCGCTGTACTAGGAAAAGAAGACCGAAAAAATTCCAATTTAAACGAATTTAAAAGTTTATCCGTTTTTTAAGAATTCTGACAGTGTGTAATACTACACAATGAAATCATTCAGCAATTATCTGAAAAATGCGATTTTCAAAAACTTAGACAGACTTTTTTTTTTGATTTATGTTAAATTTTTTGGCAATTACCCAAACAGATTATCTCGGTGCAGTGATAGAGACAATCTAACTTAGAGAGTCGGATCCACTGCTGTGGAATCTGAATTCATATGTTAGGATAAAATTTACATATTTATCCTGGGGGAGAGGAAAGCCGTAAAACGGTCTAATCATATGGCGAACCACGGCCCTTTGCCCAGTTACCAGTTTATGTCGGGTATGGGATTAGTTAGCTAGTTATTTCATCAGATTCATGGACTTGATGTTACATTTTTAAAAAAGAAAAAAACAGAAAATAAATAAGATCAAAAAATTAGTGACATAATAGTATCAATAACAAACATGTATTAATTAACTGGTTTCATAGCATAATTTAGGTCAGCAGTTCCCAACCAGCGACACATGGCTACCAAACAGACGACAAAGCCGTTAGAGGACACAATGCTAGGTGCAAAACTAATTTAACTTCTCCCTTCATAAAAAAACTCCACATTCTTCCTAGTTTCATTGTTTGATAAGGTTATTTCACAGGGTGTTTTCGCTTTGTTGAGCATGAATTGTTTGAACATAATGGGATTTGGAATCTACCAATCTAAATAACACTATAAATACCACTGGAATGATAAACAGAGGCCGTGAGTGCTAAAAGCCTCTGGAAGAGGGGCACGAGCCATAAAAGGTTGAGAACCACCAATTTGGATAATCTAGAATAAATGTATAGTGAAGGCCATATAAGATAGTTTAATAGTTGCATTTCTATTAACTGTGTCGCTGTATGGTGCACGATAACCCGCAGTTATTTTATTCACCAAGTTTCACAGAAAAAAATATACTATTTTATTGATTTGTACTATGATGGGTTAAAACCACTATATCATTATGATGAAGAACAAAAATTTTATGCACCCTTTCACATTTCCCACTTGAAGGTGACTGGCTATACCTTACAATTTTATCTTGAGAACCTAAATTAAGGTAGAAAACAGCAAAAACATGATTTGAATGTAAATGTTTGAAATTTTGACAAACTGCAAATAAGACCAATATAATATAAGATCTAAAATACATTTTATAATTATTTTTGTTAAAGCAAAAAAAATGTAGAATTTTGTAAACGATCACTAATTTTACATGCAGATGGCCCAAAAATAGGTAATTTTTATGATAACCAACTGTATATTTAAACCCAAAACTGAGTCAAATTAAATTCTTAGGGCACAAAGTAAACAAAAATGTCCTAGGATAGGATAAAGATGGCCCAAAATCAGGCAGTTTATTACGTTAACTTACTGTATATTTAAACAAAAAACGGTTTTAAATTCAATTTTTATGGGCACCCTTCCGCGCAAAATAAACAAAAATGTCCTGATAGGATAAAGGTGGCCAAAGAGAAAGTAAATTAATTATGTTAACTTACTGTATATTCAAACAAAAAACGGTATTAAATTTATTTGGACACCCCCGAGCACAACATAATTAAAAAATAAAGATGGCCAAAAAGCAAGTAAATTATCATGATAAACTACTGTATATTTGAACAAAAAAACAGCTCCAAATTAAATTATTTGGGTGCACCACTGAACACAACATAAACAAAAGTGTTTTGATAAGATTGCAATGCATAGACACCCTGAAACATTCATGTAGTGGCAACTTGTATTTGTTGACATTGCTGAGATAAACATGATTTGGAACTTATTACTAGAGATGGGCATACAAAAAAAACAATGTTCTGTCAAGGAACTCACTCAAAACAGGATATTCTATGTTTTTATAACTAAAATCTTTCAGATTGGATATAGCTCACCTACAGAAAGGGAGAACTCAAATCTTTAACCTTGATTGGCAGGCAGTTGAGCTAACAATAAGTACGACTATGCTTGAATTCAATACAACTTGGAAGAGCTGTTAGGTTCGAACCCATGACCTTATACAACAACAACTAGGTATAAATTCGAAAATGCCCATCTCTATATTTATCTAATACTGCTTTGAGAGTTGACAAGACATTGATTGGAACAAATGTAAACTGTGGATTCTAGTTTAAAATATTTAAAAAACTGTGGAAGGTTAAATTAAAAGTCTTCATTAAATTTGAAAAACAGTAAACAGCTGAATTAGCACCTGGATGGAATATTTTTAAATTACACCAAGAAGTTTTCTTTACCTGTGATTAGTTTTGTGAAATTTTTTCTAAAAATTCAACTTCCAGTGATATTTTTATTCAAACAGGTTAATTGATTTGATTGAATTTCAGATTATTGTAGATATCCTCACATAATACACATTTTAACACACAAACACAGGAAATTAAGATTCTCTGTGAACCACACACATAGCACATTTGGGTCTTCTACATCAACAATCAACAATTCTCAAGCTCAATTACATAAATAAAAATTAGCGTTAAAATTAAGTCATTTTTACTACAGGTTGATTTTTCAACAAAATTTTAATGATGACTAGGTACATTAATATTGTTTAGTTTAACTACAAAAATGGAATTTGGCCGAAGTTAAAATTTGAGAGTTTTGCGTGGGAATTTCTAACAAGCAAAATTTTTCTAGAAACCTCTTTTTCTATATCGCGTTAGTCGATCTGCATGCACATAGTGCAAGAATACTATAGCAAGAAATGAAAACTTAAGCCAGTGGGATCTTACTGTTCATGCTGTGCGGCCCTAAATTCCTAAAAATTCGAAATATAATTTAGTTCTAATTGATTGAAGTGTGTTGCTGCACACTAACACAAATATATTTCTGTAACGCTTTGTCTGACCAAGGTAAGGCTTCCTCAGACATATAAAGTTCAGTTGACCAAGGTCAAGAAGTCAAACGAAACGTTACAGAAATATATTTGTGTTAGTGTTCAGCAAGACTTCTGAATCACTTAGGATAGTTATCTTTACTCTTGCTACAGCATCCTTGCATTATATGCATACGTCTCCACAGCCGCAAAAAATAGAAGTAGTTAATTCGTAGAAAACCCAATCGATATCATAATTTAGTTTGTTTAAATCAATATCTTTGTTACGATTTCCGTCATTAATTATTTAAAAATCAGAATCAAACAGTCGCGTCATCAGAATTCAGTGGTAGCATTGAGGTATCGTTGTTTTTGAGTTTCGTTTTTCGCTTGTTATGAATTTCCGTCTGTAATTCTTCAGATGTTTTTCCTCGCGTCTCCGGGATGAGAAAATAGAAAAAGATTGTGAAAAATAAATTGCAAAACGCCCATGGTAGATACGCGTAGGATCCAAGATATTTCTAGAAAAGGAAATAATGAACGAGGGTAAATTTTTGCATAAAGAAGTACAAAATCTATGAGTAGGCTATAACTTAGTAGTAAGCTTATAGTATGTAAGTCTTCGTTACTCTATTTTTCAGCATACAAATATATGGATGTTATGAAGAGGTTGACTAATGTCATATTTGAATTAGTGCCTTGTGGCCGCATTTCGGCAATACGGTTGTCAAATTTTAATAATATATTGCTTGTTTGGACACTTACAAAAGTAGCTGAGTCAGTATTTTGATTAGTAAACGAATAGATCACGGGGGCCCCTAGGTTTCTCTCAGGAAGCCTTATGGCTCCATATGGAGCACTTCGAGAATTTATGCCTTAAAGTAGGGGTTCTCAAACTTTATTGGCCGCGGGCCAAAATTAGAATCGGAAGGATGTTCGCGGGCCGGAAGAAACATGTTTGTTCGACTCATAATGGCGCTCTATGTTGTATTGCCTCAAAACTGGAATAGTTCGTTGGCAAAGTGAACAAATCGCTGAAGTTTGATTGCATTTAATACAGAAATACGAGTCTTGTCTATGTTTTTATTTGACATTTGACATCACCTTTCTTACACGGAGGAAAACTAACTCACTGCCCTAGGTAATCCTAATACCGGTACGTATAATTGAGATACCGGTGTAATCGAATTTCTATGATAAAGACGAGCTTAAACTGTGATAATGACATATTAATTGGCGGTTTCTAGATTGCAAAAAGGTATAGAAACAAAATCTGTTTCACTATTCCACTTGAACTCGGCGGGCCATTTTAAATCGTTACGCGGGCCGGATTTGGCCCGCGGGCCGCGGTTTGGGAACCCCTGCTTTAAAGTATATCCAGAGTGACAGATGTGAAAAAAAAATGATTACCTGGATGACTTTAGCAATAATATAGATAAAGTATAGTTAATAAATAGATCTAAGCGCCGAAGATGGCTAAAACAAGGTAGATTTCCCTTTTAAATTTCAGGGGTGAAGTGAAACGCTAGAGACTTTAATTTATTCTAGACCAGTGGTCTCAACCCATTTTCTTTCTTGGCACAAACATTCTGTGGCCCAATAACTTTCTCATGCAAGTGAAAAACTACAAGAAAAACAAGAAATTCTTTTTGCAAAAATGGATACTTTCACTTTATTAAATAAAATGAAAATTACGACTCATTGGGCTTGGCAAAATTCATTCATTGCCGAAAGAATCAAAATTTAGCTATAGTGACACAAATGAAACACTAGGACTTTAATTTTAAGAAATTTATTGAGTTTGTGTCATGAAAGTTTTTCTGTGGTCCATGACCCAAAGATAGCTATAGCTATAGTGACACAAATAAAACACTAGAACTTTAATTTTAGGAAATTCAATAAGTTTGTGTCCTGAAAATTTTTCTGTGATCCATGACCCAAAGATTAGGAACCAGTGTTCTGGACCAGGGCTTCTCAAACTTTTGAACTCGCGACCCCTTCCAATAAATTAAAATTTTCCGCGACCCAAATAGGATTTCCGTAGCCCTAGCAAAGTGATATGAATATCGATATCTGGCTAACAACGCCAGGGTGCTCCCGAAGTATGCGAACCAAGATGGCGGACATCGGAACGTAACATGGGTAACAGGTGAGGGTTAGGCCATAATTTCTTTCCAATTTTCCTTATTTTAGTCCTATTATCAGTTCGAAGACTAGCCAAGAGCCTCCTGTAGTATTTATACCTAAAATTATGGCCTAACCCTAACCTAGTACACATATTACATTCCGATGTCCGCCATCTTGGTTCGCATACTTCGGGAGCCCCCTTTTTTCAGTGTTGAAGATCGCATTCGGCTTAATAAGGATCAAAGCTCCACACTAGATATAGTAATTTGGGTGAAATTGGTGTATTCCTTATAAACTCTGAAATTTGCTATGTGCCCAAAGCAGGGTCATGAATCCTAATTTGGTGAGCTCTGGTCTAGGCACTGCGGTATAAAAATCTCAGTCAGTATTACTCCATACGTACCATAAAATATGTTGGAATGAATCCAACAAACCAAGAAGCAATCCAGAACAAACCTCCGCCAAACTTAAACGAGGCTTCTCTTGTTGGTTCTGTGGTTAATGCTGCTATTAGAGGAAATAAAGTAATGTTTGGTCCGCATGCCCACCTGGAACAAAAATGTTAAAAAAGTAACATAACGCTAAACCTGGCCGCTGGCTCATGCATTTTTTGTATGTTTAATTTATCTTGATTTGAGCATTTATTTATACAGGGTGACTCCCCAAAAACCGAACTCGTCTTAATTACACAGAAAAACATAGTTCACTGTGTTTTTCAATCAGACAGACAGAATACATTATTAAACATTTGTTTTGACAATAACGACGCCCCACAGGCAATAGCTAACCATCTTTTTTCTACCAAATAAGACGTTGGAAATGAAATAATCTGTCTTTCTACTTCCTAAAAATGGAGAGCTATTTGGAAGATGACTTTCACAAATCAAAGCTGTTTCATTTTAGTTTCACAATACTTCATTTAACTTTTAAAGAATGCGATGCTGCCCCCCCCCCCCTATCACTCTTCAAGCTTTGTCACCTCTATCGTGTCTCTTTCGTCCCAAAGAGGCAATAACGCTCGCTTTAAAAATCTCTGTGCTAGAATATAACAGACAAACTTGTAACCCACTTATAAGAAGCTAATACTTACGATAGTACATAAACTGTGACTGCAGCAACGCTGACAAACGTCATATTAGGTATAGACTTGACTGTCGCCCAAGATATTGTGAGTAATGTCAACATTATTGCCATCATGAATGACCAAAATATACTGAGACGTCTCGGCCCCCATTTGTCAACTGCTTTGGACTGAAATGAAAAAGTTTCAATAAACTAGAATTCATAATCAGAATTAAAAAGATTCTTGCTCTTCCAAAATAGTACTCGTTTGGAGAGAAAGACGTGAATAAGAATCGTATATAAAAAAATTCTAAACAATTGGATTGGCCATCCCCTATTTTTCTTTAAAAAAACGGCGTGTTAGAAAAATTTGGTATCATACAGGGTGTCTATAAAGACCCTATATCAGGGATGGCGAACCACTGACCCGCGGGTCACAAAGTGACCCACCGCGTTTCATTCGTGACCCGCCAAGGCACGAAAAAATGCTATCATATCAGTGATATAAAAATTGATGAAACCGGCCTTAAATTAATCTAACAATAACTACACTAATATAATGTGCCGTCAGTTGGGCAGTCAGGGCTGCGATTGCTCATACTCATGGTAATTTTCAAAACCCCTAATCTTGGACGCATGTTTGCACCGCCATGTACCGTTATTCGGCTATTTGCATCGTTTATGACATACCAAATAACAATGCAATTGATCTGTTCATTTCTCGCAACGTCTTATCGCTTTCGGAAGTGTATCTGCAGACTGTTTTAGGGGTTATACAAGAACTAGATGCTACTTTGCATTTTATTAGTTTCTCGCTTACAGTGGCGTTGAGAAAACGAAATCTTTCATACTTGAAATAAAAATCTAAAAATCTGAAATACCAATGGGGCAGTGTAAAAGTGCCTTGATCGAAAAATATAACAATATCAGAATGAAATTTCCTCTTTGGTAAACTCTTTGGAACCGTAAAATAATTTTCCGCATGATTCTACACGTTTTTGGTAATTCATATGCGTGTTTTCGTACTCTAATTTCATAAAATCGAGTGCCATAAGAAGTACCTGAGAGAAGTGCTGCATAAATAAAGCCCAAAACTACACCAACACCAATAACAGCTTGTAAGATTTGTTTCAGAAGTTTATTATAGATAGAAACATTGACTAAATATCTGTGACCCACTCTCTTCTGTTCCACGATAAAAATATAATTTTTGACCCATTCATTGAGAAAGGTTCGCCATCCCTGCCCTATATAAACTCAATTTTCATACAAAATCAGTTCTCAATATTATCTTAACCAGGTTTGTTGTTTTTAATCTTTGATTGTTTACATACTTTTACTTCATTTAATAGATCTGTGAGGGCCAAAACAATATATGGTATTGATAAATTCCCTTTGCAATTTGAAATGATATCGAGACTTTATAGACACCCTATACTTCTCTACTAAAGAAATTCATTTGAAATATTCCAAATGATATTAATTGCCAGATATAAATCTTAATTATATGTTTATCCCATACATGTGAATATTGCTTTGATCTCATAGGTATTCCATATAATATGAGTAAAACAGGAAGAATCATTAGTAATATCCTGAGTAAGAGATCAATTCTCCTTAACACTTCAAATTAATCACTACCCCCGATTACTCATTCTCTCTTTCCGAGATAATATGCTTAATGAAAAAATTCAATGATAAAGCTACTTAGCAGTTTAGCACTAATGAGTTATAGAAGTCTATGAGCTCATAATAATGAAAAATTTTACGTTTCACTGGACATGAAATAATAATGTTAAGTTTCCTCAATATCATTGCAAGATTACAGAAAACCCAAGTAAAAACAGTTAATAGCTCTATAGAAGGGTTGCATATATTCTGAAATAATATTCAGAATATCTCATATGTTCCAAAGCGATTGAAATAATAATGTGAGGCAGGTAAACTAATAGTAATAGAGTGAGTTTCCAGAATCCTCAAATGGATTGCGAAAATATCTGAAAAGTTGCTTTTTCTATAAATTTGTGAGGCAAGCTATATAAGGCTGATAAATACTACACAAATAGGAATCTCAGGTAGCAAAAATTATGTTTATCATTGACCATCAGCTAACCCAGGGTTCACCTGAATCAGGTGGAATGGACGACCAAGTATGCAGACCCAAACGATTCTGGTCTTTCCAAACCAGACAAGTACATATCATGGCACCTTGCACAGAAGCTTGTTCAGAGTAAAAACTTCATATAAAAACAATACTCACCCCTGCTAAAGCGACAAAAAATTGCACAGCATAGACAATCGTTGATGCATAAGTAACAAAATCCTTATGAATTCCAGCTTTTATGAAAATTTTATCTGTATACATTCCGACTCCATTTATTCCACAAAATTGGCTCTCAAGAAATACCATGACAACAAGAAACAATTGCCAACGGTAACCGTCATCTTTGAACATGGTTGTCAAGGAAACGGCTTGATCAGAGTGACCTTGGGAGTCTTGTTCACGTTGTATATCGACAAGCTCTTCATGAAGAAGACTCTGTGGATAGAAAAATAAAATACTAGATAGAGATCGGAGACCGCCGACTCATCGATCAGCGGTTTCGATGCCTTCGCTCTGACTCAATAGCGACACAGCGTATCCCATCACTAATTAATTAATAACTCGCTAATTATACGACATAATTCATCCAAAATCAATGGAACGAGATCGATAAGTAATAAAGTTTGTACAGAATTTTCCATGAGTAGAAGTACTAGAAGTAAGTAGGAGCATGGTAGGATAAAAATTCACAATCGAATTCGGGTGGAGAAAAATTTCGATTGCGACTCTTATTCGGAAAAGATTAAATTTGGATAATAAAAACTTTGGCATATGGAAGCGTTTATTTATTAATAAACTGTTGAGCTCTGTGAACCTAATGTGTCTGACCGACTACAATTTCGACCACTAGAAGTTTAAAAATAAAACTCTGAATCAAGATAAAACTAAAGTTTTAACTCCACAGCGCTCGCTACCAGTCCCCAAATACAGAGTCACAAGTCACAGGCAATCGGACTCACAAAAAAGTTTGCGTGCCAACAAGTTAAGTCACTGCGTTGTAACTGATTTATAAATATGTTACATGGAAATTTCCATCTTACGTTATTAAGTTGACTAACGTTTAGGGCTGTCCAAAATCGAATAATTTTTTGATTCGAATCGAATCGAATATTTTCGCCGAATCGAACCGAATAATCGAATATTATTGCGCAATATTAAATCTATCTCTATTATACAATAAACACCTGCCCTTCGATGTTGTGGTAACGCATGTGCAGTTACATCTTACTTACTGCTGGCATTTTGCAATACAATGTTTTCAGATTTATGAAAGGAGATCACACGCTTGTATGAACTGGTCAAAAAAATTGGAGGACTCCAAAATTTGGGTCTCGAAAACTGTTGAGTGTTAAGAGTAAAAATTGCACTATTCAAAAATTGCAATCTCAATTTTGATGGATTCAGTTTTAATAGGACATGTAAAGCCTGTAGATGCTATTTTAATCCTATTCACTAGTCTTATGTTTTTTTGTGTAAATTTCAGCAAAATAATAACAGTCATCAATATAGATAGATAAAACTGTTACTAAAGTTCAAAATTGCATTTAAAATTTCCAAGCTAGTTTGATGACAATATTATTTGACGACTATAATATTGTTAGTGTACAACAGCCATCAAAATGCAAGAGTGCAATTATTTGTCTTGGTATATAGATGGATAATACAGTAATGCCACCATAAGAAATTACAAATTCCATTCAAAGAAGGTATTGCCATCATAAGGATCCCAAAACACCTGTTTCAGCTTTGAGTTGCCTGTACCATGTTCCTATGATAACTAACTCGACAGCTTCAAATCGATTCTATTTATAGAACTATCGTTTTCTAAATTGTCTCCTTTTTCTCCTTGTTCTCTCTCAAAAACGTCATGACCAATTATACCTTGTTATGATGACCATGCATGAAATGGCTAATCACGTGCCACCGGGCGGGCATTAGTAATGACATGTTTATCACAAAATGAAGGCGAGAGAAATATAGGGAAACCAACCAACCAAGGATTCGTTTATGCATTTGTCGACATATGCATCGCTATATTCACAGCCTATTTTTTATACAGCGCTGATGAAAACATTCCGCTCTGAACAAGGCAATTCACTTTTATCCGTCCCGAAGCCTTGTTTGGAGCGAAGGTGAAAAATCAACTCATTGAAAGTTAAAACAATATGTTATACAGGGGGTCCATTAAAATTTTGTTATGAAGTCAGTTCTTAATATATTTTAACCAGGTTTGTTGTTTTTCATTAATCAGTAATTGTTTAAGTATTTTTACTTCATTTATTACATCTGTGAGGGCCAAAACAATATATTATGTTATCGATAAATTCCCCTTTGCAATTTTAAAAAATGTTAAAACTCAATGGACACCTTATATAAATATCATGAACATATGGATAATGTAGTTACCCAGTCATATCAGTATCGGTAGTGGACATTGGTTATCTCTTACGTAAGGAAATCAGTAATCAAACATTCCCTGGTTTAGAGTTTCTTAAAATTAGCCCTCAATTCTCCCCGGAGGTCACAGAGTGCTACCATAGGGGCCACAAACAATGCCTTTCACTACGTACCATTGAATATCTTCTTCTAGTTAGAAAAATAAATTTCAACTGTTATTTATTTATTTTTCGACTAAATTTTTTTTTTTTTCCAATTGATTGCTTTTTATTACTAACCTTGGCGCACAAAATAACTGATAAAAACTAGAAACATGGGCGCTCCACAAGTATGTGTACCAATATGGAGGTAACTAATTTTGTTCGCCTACTTTACATCAAGTTGTGTAAAGTGAATGAAATCTATGGGCTTTTTGGTCCTGTCAACAAATGAATTACTGAAAACATAGAATACAGCACTCAGACCGATTGCTGAATGTTCGCACACAGTAAGAAACATGTTTTTTCAATAACTCACTACACAAAATAGTCATATGTCAGAATTGCGAAAAAATATGGCTTCAATAAAATAAAATTGAGGAATTCACCTCGGCCATTCAAAATTTTGCTCTGAACCGATTCGAATAATTTACTATTTGATTCGAATGACCAGCCCTAGTACCAACATGAATACATAATAACCATGGTCGGCCATACATATTCTGAGTATTCAGAAATTGACACAGATGTTTAATGATGTAATAGAGATTAAAATATGTGTCATTATGACAACATAAGCAAATAAAATGCGACCGAATACCTGAGTTAGTACGGGTGATTACCAAAGATGAATCAAGCATTACTAAGAGCCCATATCCTGTAAATTCTATTTAGGACTAGATAACAAAATTGTTTTTCTATTGCGGAGGTCGGAAATGATTCAGACTTTTATGAGGGAAATTGGGTCACAAACATAAAAATATATTGATGTTCAAACAACCCAATTCTAGAACAAAAATCAATGATAGACAAAAATTTAAAACCAATTATCTAATTTGCCTCGTGCAAAGCAATCTCTTGGGCTAGGCATGTTTAAAAAAAATTTGCGGAAAATACGACCAAACAATAGAATCTTTAAAACATCTCAAAAACATACCTCATCAAAAACAATTCTTAATTTCTTTAAAGTTTGAAATGCTGCTTTTTTATTCCCAATAAGAACCAGGTACGATGGAGTCTCTGGTAACCAAGGTGAAAACAAAACATAAACCAAGGAAGGAATAGCTGGAATTGCAAGCAGAATCGGCCACAATTCATCGTTTCCCATTACCTGAAATGAACATAAATGAGTTTGATCAGCTATGATCAAAATCGATTAATTTATTATGAGTAGTGTTTATCATCATTAGTACAGTGTAGTGTCATTAGTACACTCTCCTTGTATATCAGTAGATTGTTGTATAGAGCAGGGCTACTCGACTATTTCGGCCGACTAACAATTATTAGCAAATCAAGATTTTTTATTATGGTGTTATAGTTCTTTTCGTATATATATTTAAAACTATAAAAGTCATTTTATAATAGGAAACTTAAAGAGTGGGGCTAATGATTCAAAATAAAGAATTACGTGCGGTCCAAATCTAATACTCAAAGGGTCCGGATTTGGTCCGCCAGAGTAGCCCTGATTGCTCATAGTGAATAAACTTTATATAAAAATAATAGCAGAGGTTCATAAAAAATAAGGTATTCTCATAGTATGTGTACCAGGTTAGGGTTAGGCCATAATTTTATTCCAATTTTCCATATTATAGTTCTATTGACGAGTTCGGTGACTGTCTGTGTTAGCCAAATGAATATACCGGCACCCCCTGTCCATAGGTTTCAGTCCCTTTATAAAATTGATAAATAGTAGGCAAACAAAATTAGTTACCTCCATATTGGTACACACACTTCTGAAGCGTGAAAAATAATAATAGAAGTTCTACCTGTTTATATCCCATCATTAGACCTATTAATCCTCCAAGTGAAAGGTTGACTCCTATTAAGCTGAGATAGAAAGGAGATCTCTTTTTTGTTGATGTTTCTGATATAATCATTGGTATAACATCTGAATTAAAAATTTAATTTTAATACGAAAATACGTGTATATGGTCTTGTGTATAGCACTTTATTGATATGCTGGAGTTGCAATCAGTGTAATCAGGGGTACAAGTCTCTGACCCTGAGACGGGCAACCCAAGGCCCTTGGGCCAAATCCGGCCAGTCGAGTAATTCAACCTGGCTCGCCTGATGTTGCCACCACCAAACTAAAACCAAATTTTGATGATTTAGATTAAATTTGGTTTTGGCACATCACTTGTTGTTTTCCACTTTTGCTTTTGTAACATTGTAAATAATGTTCACGATATGTAAAATTTTACGTCACACTTACATGGCCCGCCAGTCTATGAGGGCAAAGTATTTGGCCCCTGGTAACTTTATCCCAAAGAGCTTTCCCATCTGGTAGTAATTGGTAAAGTAAAGGCATCCAATGTGACATACAAATAGTGATTTTAGTTGCTTCCCAATACTTTGTAACTTTTACAGAGCCTCACAGTGAAGGTGTGAAACGACATATACAAAGTAGTCATAATTAACTGACAATGGCAAAATAGAGTGTCCATGGAGTCTTACAATTTTTTTAAAATTGCTAAGAGAATAATTGTTTTAACCCTTACACATGTATTAAATGAAGCAAAAATACTCAAACAATTACTGATTAAAAAACAACAAACCTGGTTAAGATATATTGAGAACTGACTTCATAACAAAATTGAAATTGTGAAGGGACTCTAGTACAGTGTTCTTCAACATTTTTTATCGTGGTATACCTTTTACAATTTTTTAAGAGCTTTGTATACCTCACAAATACCAATGTTTATTTAGGGCTTAAATGAACATAAAATGGTAAGCATACATTGTATTGCAACATCATGATGCAATCTAATAGGCTTGTGTCCGCAAGTTATAAATTTGACTGACATGTGACATCCTTAGCACTAACGGCCTTAACGAGTATAATGTTCAACGTAAATCAAACGAAGTGCATGACAGCCGAAATCACCAACCCAAACATGTGACCGCAATATCTATATAATTTGTGATGTAACAATTTGCTCAAGTCGATTCTTTGCGTAACTGACATTTTATACTTCATGTACGCCGTGTTTGCATTGTCTCCGTTTGAATATTTTATAATTTATTATATCATAATTTAGAATCCCTGACTTAGGCTGTACACCCTTCGTATACCCTTCATCAATTGTATACCTAAATAATGGTGTGGTATACACTTGTGTATACCGTATACCCGCTTGAAGAGCACTGCTCTAGTATTACAGTAGCTAAATGAATAGGACTCGAATCTGAGACCTCTAACTTGAATAACAAAGATGTAACCACAGACCTATACTCACTCATTGCAATCCCAGCGACGAATCCCATAACAAACCTTCCAATAATGATAGCTTCATAAGACGGGATAAAATATCCTGCAATACTGACAGACGCGACAGCAAGAATATTGATAGAATTGATCGCAACCATTGCATGTTTCCGAGTAAAAAGTTTCACAAATAATCCGAGAGAGAGTGCGCCAAGAAATCCACCGGCTAGTAACATAGAAACTGTCAAAGCAATAAGTAAATCCTTGGTAGATCCTGGGATAGGTTCATCATAACGTCCCTGTAAAAAAGGGGAATTTTAATCATGTTCCCGAACTTTCCTGGCTCATGGCCCCCTTCCAAGGCTTTCAGAAGTCACGAACCTTCTGTTTTAATATGACAGTGGTATTTATAGTGTTAATATGATCCCAATATGTTCAAACAATCAATGCTCAACAAGGAGCAAACATCCTGTGAAACATCCTTATCAAGCAATGAAACTAGGAAGAATGTGAAGTTTTTCTATGGAGTGAAAAATAAAATCAGTGTTGAGCAGAGTTTTGTGCCCCCTTTCAACTGCTCTGTGGCCACGGGCACCAGGTTGGGAACCTTTACTCTAAACCCCAAGTCAAAAGTAATTAGAGCCGAGTCTTGAGTTAAGTCAATCAATGGTAGAGAGTTGATGACAAGTTCAAGTCATTGGATTCCGATGATCCTGCCACTGTGCGGCTTTGAGATAAATAATGACTCAAGTGAGCATCCAAAACACTAAACTTAAGCTCTGAACCTCAGAGTAGTGGAGTAGTCAGGAGTTTTCAAAATTTCTGAAATTTCTTATAGTTAAGTTAGACCGTAACAGCCTGGAGGGTCAGGCTGAGATTGGAAAAAAGTGGGTTTTCAAAAGCATTCAGGGTCTAAAATGCGTTTCAAGCTACGAAAAATAGCTATGTTTAATACAGAATTTTTTTTTCATCTTGTAAAAGAAGGGGGTTTTCCCACCCCTCAAATACCCAAAAGCTGATCAGATTCTGTCCCCAACCCCCTAGCACATTGTACAAGACAGTGGTTTTAGACATTTTTTAAAATCGTTACTCTTGAATCAAATACCCAAAAACTTAAGCACCCCTTTCATAAGAACAGCGTAGTTCTCATATCCTTATCACTTATCGTTACAAAAGAAATTACTAAAACAGTGAATGTATGGATTATCTCCTGAAAATTGCCAAATTACCCCCAGTTTGGGAACCACTGGTATAAGACATTTATAAAAATTTATGGTGAAGAATTTTTATATTTATTATTGAGTAGAAGACCGCCGTTGAAACATGGCCCCTTGCTGGCCTCATATGTGGCTATGCTTACCGTAACTAAGATCTTGTTGCCTAGTTGAATTATGACAGACGGTTATTTAGTCTACATTGTGGCATCACTATGACATCACATTAAGGTGACTAAATTCTCCAAAAATTTTGTTTATTATTTTTGGAACCACATTGTTTTCACATCAAATTTATTGCTGAAATAACATGGGCTTGAAGGCGTGTCTACATTCTTTGAATTTCTAAATGTCATTTTCCTCATGAGAAAAACACTTGTTTACAATGGGTGTGTTTTAGGTGTGTCTCACTACGGTTCTATAATGCTGAAATGTAGAAAGCAAAGCGAAACATGACTGGTCTAGCTCAGCCTTATGTGTATCAGAATTTGTAATATTACAGAACTTGCTTTCAATATAAATAAACAAACAATTTGGCTTACAATAGTATACACTACAGCAGTGAATCCCAAACTGTAGGTCGCTTGAGATTTTCCATGGTCGCCTGCCACTGAACAGCAAATTCAGCGCATACAAGTCGCTCAGATTTGAAGGCAAAAAAGTACAATTTGCTATTTTTTAAATAATAAATGACGTTTACATGCCAATATCTTGCCTTTATCAAGTTGTCATTCGCTAGCTTGGCAGTTTTCCATAATTTGTGTCAAAACCAAGTGTGGAAAAATTATTTCACTGTATCGCACTGATATGCTGCTGTTACTCTGTCCATACCGCCATACACCAAGGTTCCACAAACTTAGAGACGACAAACATTGCGATCTGATTTCCACTTTGTTATTTTGACAAAAAATATAGAATACACAAAACATTCTTACCATATAAGTTTCATTATAGAATTTTGACATGATGGTTAAAGTTGGATTGAGAGCCCCCACTGCCAGTCCGATTGACATCATAGTAGATTGTGTTGTGATTAGTAAAGTCCACATACAGTAGTTGGAATTCACCTGAAAATATGGCATAGTATGACTGAATAAATCTGTTATATAAAAGTACGGTAAGAAAGAAGTTTATTCCGATTTTTTATAAAGACGCCACAAATAACATTGGATCCAGAAAATAAAGACAAAACTTGATAAAAATTTTAAAACTGGGAAGCATACATATCTTATCGACATGCAAAAAACAACCCAAGGGCCTTGAATGAAGTGTATATTTTGTAGTATATAAAAAAATTGAATGGTATCATACAAAAACATAATTTCTTATGAAAACTTTGGAATACACCCAATTATATATTGAACTAAACGTTTAATATAGTATATAAATAAAAGGATAGGTTAGGATTAACATATTTATCCGAAGGAAAAAAAAAGATGATGAGACGTCTTCATCATAGGGCGAACCACAGCCTCTCGTCGGGTTACCAGTAGGGCTGGGCATTTCGAATCGAATATTCGAATCGAATAGTAAATTATTCGAAATTCTAACATATGACTATTTTCTGTAGTGAGTTATTGATAAAACGTGTTTGTTATTCTGTGTGAACGCTCAGTAATTTATCTGGGTGATTTATTCTATGTCTTCAGTAATTCCTTTGTTGAGAGGACCAATTACTATAATCAAGTCGCTTACAATTATATATTTTCAAGTATTCGAGATTCGATTCGATTCGAAAAAAATTATTCGATTCGATTCTGAAATCACAAGGTATTCGAAAATGCCCAGCCCTGGTTACCAGTCCATGTTCTGTATGAGATTAGTTAGGCAGTTATTTGTTTCAGTTGCATAGACTTGATGGTGGAGGAAGCCGTAACCGACCATTGGTCTTGTAAACCACCCTACGATAGCAAGGAATCCAGCAATTCTCTTGCACATAATTACCACGCTGGTTAATAAGAGGCGCAGGTCGAGAGTGTTCTAAAAGTTGAAAAGCTTAGCACGATGCCCCACACAAGAATGATACCCGGTATGTCAAGTAATTATGAGAAAGTGACAGAAAATAAATATAACAAAATTATAGCACTGTCGGTTATTTTTAGATTGTTCTCCTAAAATGCTAACCAAGTAATTACTGAAATATGAAACTGTTCAGAAAAAATTTATTGGAACTATAGTAATGCCGTAAAGCAGGATAGCACCAAGTTACATAAGATAAGAATATGTAGTCTAGGTCAGAGGTAAAAACGAAAACGTACGTATATCAACAACTTACCGATACGCGGGCTGGTTTTCCGTCTGTGATAACAGGTGTAAACTCTGAAATCCCATTAGTGCCATTCGTAGATTCGTGAGTTTCTGTATTTCCATTACAACTCTTCGATTCCTCGGAATCATCCATTTCTATGCCTAAAATCTAATACTGCAGCCTTCCAAGAAAAACGAGGCGAACTTAGCGCCTTAGCTGCAAAAGCAAAACAACAATAGCTTAACCACACCTCTAAAACGCCCCAAAATATGTCAAACTTTATCGGTGGCGTAATTTAAGAAATTGCGGACTGCATGCCGGAAATTCCACACTCTTATCGTAACTTTAAACAAAAATAAACTCATATCATAATAAATAGACTTATAATATAATATTAAAATAAACAGTTAAATTTATATGTTTCTTATAGAGCTACGTAATATTTGATATTACTCCTGATTAAGTTTGATAGTTTTCAGCGTTTTATCTTAAAATAGCTGAATACCGTAATTGTGAATCACCGTGTCATGCACGACAGCGAATGCGGTTTCATCGCCGTAGACAGGGTTGCTTTGCGAAACAATTGAATCTCAAGAGTTTGGGATGAGTAAATTCTTGTTTCCCGCGAACCGGTATATAATTGGTAAGCCATATACTAGTACTTCAATTTTTATTACTTAGACTACGGTGCAAGCTGCGCACATGGTACGGTAAATGGTACAAATAACTGGCTAAATAATCCCATATACCGTATTTGCTCGTTCAATAGCCTGGGCGCTTATTTTTTTAAACATACTCACTAACCGGGCCCTTATTCAGCAGGGGCGCTTGTTATTTTTAAAGTAAAATTACACACAAAAATACCGGTAGATAAGATCGATCGTTACAATATTTAATACCGTATATTGTCATTCCCAGTTCTCAAGTATGATTTTAACGAGAATAATGAAAATTTTGACTTTTTCTACGCACCGCAGGTACAAATCAGCAAAAAAAAAAACTTTTACACCGGGCGGGTATTCAAGCACCGGCCCTTATTTATTTTTATGTCCTGTTCACACGGGCGGCTATTCAAACGGGCCCTTTATCAAGACCGGGCGTTAAAACGAGCATTTACGGTACCCGACAGAGTATTCTATATTCCAGAAAGCTAACTTCTCTCTTTTCAAAATTTTGGCAATTATCATTTGTTTGATTGCAAACACTTGTTGGTTTTGCGGCCTTGTCCACCGAGTACCCACATATTCCTTCGTATCTCCAATCGTGAGAGATGCAGTAGTCTGTCATTAAGACGTCTTATCGGATTTCCTCTTCCACGGGTTAAACATGGAACTCTATTCTAAATTGAAATGCAGTTAGTCCAAATTCCTTTTCTTCCCGACTTCAGCATTAGGTGACAAAAACCTCATAAGTGGTGAATTCGCGGTGTGATCTTACTACTTACTGAATGTATCAGACTATATAGTAGACAAGTCCGCATGCCATCACGTAGCACACGTGTTTACACGGCGGCAATGAAAAGCCACATCATGTATTTAATACTATCTAAAACTGTTTTGATATGAGACTCAAAATAACGTCGTATTTTTTATATTTAGGACGGTGACATATGAGTCTTTGATTTGCTAACTCGACAAATCTAGAAATCAAAATATATGCCAATTCATGATCTTAAAAAACAAATTTTTAACTTCGGCAAAAATGAACCTTGAAATGTATATATAATTAGAAATTGTGGGCATATTAAAACACCTGTTACGAGTTTCGGGGAGCAAAATCGTACTCAACCAAAACGGGGGTGGGGGGAGGGGCTGTATAATGACGTAATACGAGGCTCACTCGTGTCTTTTGCTCCGAACAAAGCCATATACAAGTAACCACTAGTATCTAACAATATCCTAAACCAAGGGTCTCAAACTCGCGGGCCAATTACGGCCCGCAAGGCGATAGTTAGTGACCCCCGCCATAGTGTGTCACTTAGATCAGTTCACATGATTAATAATTATTACATTCAATATAAGTTTCAGGTCACAATCACTAATTATTAATTCTTAACAACTTCAGTTTTTTTTTTTATTTGGTCTTAATTTGTTCATTTGTGTTTTCAACTCATTTTGTGTTTAAAAAAATGAAGAAATTTTAGAAAATTTGATTTTTTAAACTAAGTTTATATTGTGGAAAACCTGATGCGGCACAGACCCACCTGGCCTCTGCCTCAGCGGCTCTTAGGTAAATCGAGTTTGAGACCCCTGTCTAAACTAAAGAATCCTTCTACAAGCATACATCGCTGTCGAAGTTATCATAAGTATATACGCGCTTATTTTCATCTATCTCGCCAAGATACGTTCGGTTTTCAGGAAGTCGTTCAATAACAGAGTGAAATGGTGTTGGAAAAGGCGTATGATATTATGTCTTATCTATTGAAACATCTCATCAGCCAAGAGGATCAATGTACAACGCTTTATTCCTTGTGTTGCGGCTACGCATCTATCTTCACATAGACACACACGCCACCTGAATATGTCATCTGCGCTGTATGTTTATTTGTTTTTCTCTGCAACTATTTCTAATTGAACAAGCCGTGATTCTTGAGGTTTAAAACATCAATCTTGTGTAGTGCCTTCGGAGCCGATCTCGAGGTTTTTGATGTTTAGTTTAAAAACCTATTTGTAGGCTAATCTTCCAAATGGCGGCGGTTTGCTCTGATAAACGCAAAATCACGAAATACAGGTTTATTCAACTCGTTGTTATAAAATTAACCAACCAACCAAATAATACTTGTGGCGATAAACCATAAGCTATTTTTATACCCCTGGTTCTATACCTTGCTGTTACATGATTATATCGTATTAGTGGCGTGCCTCTCACCATGCTATCATGGAATAAACCAACTTCAATTCCATCTTTTAGAATATCATGAATCTCATTTTATATGTTCAGTTTTAGACCCACCCTAACCCAAAATTTACCATGAATCCACGTCATATGGTTTTACTATGATGGATTAGCGCGGGAATAAATTAGATTTCAAAATAAACAGGGAATAAACCAACTTCAATTCCATCCTAAAGAATACCATGAATCTCATTTTATATGTTCCGTTTAAGACCCACCCTATACCAAAATTTACCATGAATCCACGTCATATGGTTTTAACCATTCACGTGAGTTTTCTGACTATCCTATCCTAAATATACTACGAATTCAATTTCTATTGCCATAATACAGGGAGTCCTCGGGTTACGACGGTCGCGACTTACGCTGTTTCGAGGTTACGAACGCACTTCCAAAAAATATAAAATAGAATCCTGTACTGTAATATCTAAGCCCTTAAACTGGATAATTGTGATCAAGAAAATTAGTGCTTTGGGCTCATTGGTTTTCCTCATTTACATCGTACTTTTTGCATTATTTGTACATTTTATTATTGTACCATACTTTACAATACAGCACGATATGTATAGAGTAATTTATGTACTGTACAGTATAATGTTCCGACTCACACTAAAATTCGGGTTACACCGCTTCTCAAGAACGGAACAAAGTCGTAAGTCGAGGACTCCCTGTAACTAAATAATATTGTCTACGGACAGGGAAGAAATTTTGAACAAGCTGTCGTTTCCTGTGAGAAAATAACCGACCCAAAAGTCTGTTTATATAAGTCAAACCATATTTAGTTTGGCCCGTAGAAAATTCGTAACTAACAAGTCACTGCTTATCATTTTCTCAAGCTTGTCCGAACCTGATATAAAAATCTCGTTATTCTAAAATCATTGACAACCATGGTTGTTTACATCTGTTTACTTTATCGTCTTAATCTTTATATCAACTAAAAACAAATAAAAGTACCAACAAAAGCTTAGTTTCTAAGATTTTACATAACAGTAGATCTTGAGTTTACACGAGTTCATTTCATTTTAATTATCGACGTTGTGCCAAGTCCTAGTGGTACGTTTCTGCTAATTCAGTTCATTTCTTAAGCCCTAGACTTGCCCAGGCTTCGCCCTGACCAAGCCTCTTCTTTCTCTTGTATTACCTAATGTTAGACTTTCCATATATATGTGTCGCTGCTCGATGAGTCTACTGGTTGAAACTACTTTTTCGTTTAACCTGTTTCTTTGCCTATTTTATTCGACCCCCCTCCCCTCCACCCCCTTAATATGATTGAAACAACAATATTTTTTTTGTTCAATATATAATGGATCTTCTTCTAGTGTTACCGGTATGTGCAAGTGGACCTCCCGCTTCCGTGCAGATTAGGGTGCTCGTGAAGTATGCGCACCAAGATGTCGCATAACCTGAACCGTAACCTGGTACACATATTCTGTTCAGGTTGTGCGACATCTTGGTGCATATACCTCAGGAGGTCCTATATAAGTAGTCTATAATGTGGGCATAAATAAGTATAATAGTAATAATAAAGAACTAAAGTATATTAGTAATACTACAGCAAATACAAAGGCAAAATTCCTTCCCAAAAATGACAAAACTTTTCCCTGGGAGTGACTCCTCCTCGGTAGGGAAACGTGGCATAGGAGAAGAATAAGAATGTGGACCCGCAGAATCCGAATTTGGCATCTGTCATGTGAACCAAGCCGCGATAAGACTTGTAAACACGCGTCATCATTTTCTTCATGATTTATCAAAATATTACGTCAATCCTATCAAGTATGTCGTAATTAAGCGATAAAAATGTGCGTGTCATCGTGGTTGCTAAAATCACTAATCTGAACAAACATAAGTGACACAACTGTCAATCTTGTTTTTGAAGGATTATATAAGAAAAATTGTTTAAACTGTATAAATATATATTGATGCTAGCCTAAAAATGACAAAGTAATATGATCTTTGAGGTACATATATTAAGTTTAATGGCAGTGGCAAACCTAATATGTATTGGATTATATTTAATCAATATACACATAATTATATAAACCAGACATGGGCAAAGTATGGACCGCAGGCCAAATCCGGCCCGCTAGGGAATTCAATCTGGCCCGCCTGATGCTGCCACAACCAAACTGAAACCAAAATTTGATGTTTTCGTTAAAAATAGCTTAAGAAATTTGTTGAGATTGCGATCAAATTTAGTTTCGTCACAGGGTTTTGTTTTCCATTGTTGTTTTTGTAACACTGTAAACATTGTTCATAAAATGTCATGTTCATAAAACGTCATACTTACATGGCCCGCCAGTATAGGTGGGCGAAATTTCTGGCCCCTGATTCAAAAAACCGTGCCCACCCCTGATATCCTCGGATTAGGATGTAAACTAACTGATCACTGACTATACCTGTATACTGATGGACAGTGGCGTATCTAGGGTGTGGCAGCCATGGCTCGTGCCATAGGCGCCGTTTGAACAGAGGCGCAAAATAGCGAAAAGCATTAATAATAAAACGTTTCAGTGAAATAATTTCAAATTGGGAATAACCAAAACTCGTATTTTTACTCAAATAATAACATAGAAATATCCTAATTCATTATTAATCATTATAAATTGTCAAACAACTATCAAGGAGGCGCATTTTTAGACTTTGCCATGGGCGCCATTTAACGTAGATACGCCACTGCTGATGGAACATCGATTGTATGAATACCACTGTTATATAGTTGTTCCTCCCACAGACTTTTCCGACAAAAAGCCGGTTTGAGTATTAAACCGAGTGCTAAGTTATATTCCTGTATTTTCTCGCCAAAAACATCAAAATTCCTTCCCGTTTGAGAAACGCTGCTCTAGCCAATTTGTACTTTCACATTCTGGTCCATCAAGCCTCACATCTCCGACCACAAGGACGCTTTCTGACTCGCTGATGTCGCACAAAAATAACCTCAAACGATATTCCCTTCATCAGCATAACTACTGACACAGATTATTCGCATAATCCCATCTTGACACATATATTAAAGTACTATGCAATTCAAGAGTCCTGCTGTACACTAACATAAATGTATTTCTTATTATATTAAATAACTTGGGAATTAACCTAATTCTATGGGGAGTTTTGATCGGAGAGAAACGGCGATTTGAGTATTACGCAATTTCTGATGAAAGGGATGAAGAAAAAATTTATACGTATAGGTTTATTTGTCGCAACGGTAACACCCGGTAACTTAAAGCTATCAGGGTATGTTAGAAAGCGATTGTACAGTTGAGTATTGTTCACAGATTTTGCACAGTATTTGGTTATAGTCCGGTATTTCTCGACACTAATTTTATGATCTGTTTTTTTTTTCTGTTTACTATAATTTTCTTTTAAAAAAGCCGTCAATATTACTTATATGGCGTGGTATTTCAGTAAGTTGGAAAGCGCCTATACAGTTGATTATCGTCCACAAATTAAATACAATATTTGGTAATATTCCGGTATTTCCAGACACAAATTTTATGCAATTCAAGAGTTCTGCTGTACACCAACACGAATGTATTTCTGTAACGTTTCGTCTGACCAAAATCAGACTTCCTCAGACAAGCAGTTTTCACATTATACGGATCCCCTAGCCCTAGCACAAAGGCATTGAGGAAAGATTGAGAGTTAATCTCGCGCAACCTCTACTGATACTAATTTTATCACTTTTTTTTTTATTTTGTTCTTCATAATTTACTATTGAAAAATCTGTCTGTATTAATTATATTCCGCGGGTATTGGGTATGTTAGCAAGTCACATGGTCTGTTGAGTATCGTTCCCAGACTGAGTAAAATGTTTGATACAATCTCGTTATTGACCAACGCTAATTCTCTGAGCTGTTCTTTGTTTTCCCTGGTTGAAAAGCCGTCTATATTACAGCGCGGGGATCGATATGTAAGAAAGTGCTGGTACAGCTGATAATTTTCGCAAACTAAACACAATATTCGTTCCTATTATTTCCTGTTACCATTGAATTTAATATAGTAGTTAGATCGCCAATGGAAACTTTGACCTCAAGACCAGTAAAATTGCCGGCAGCTTGATATAGAGTCATGAAATTTCCATCACCTGAAAGGTGCCGCCTTCGATCCTCTATTGTTTCCGGTATCAATTCCTCCTAATCTCCCTATTAAATTGTCAACAATAAATGTAAAACTATACAGCAAATAATTTAGCGCCTGGCGAAATCGTGACCTTGCTTCGCGTCGTTAAGGTCCATCCTTCTAAATCGTGGCTCGTGAAACCCCACCTGTTAATATAATTGGGTTTTTATGATAACGCCGTCCAATGAATATTTTATTTATTTTTAGTTTCATGAAGTTCCATTCTCACAAATCCATCGGAGAACCTTTATAGCAATCTAGATTTATAATTACCTATAGGATTGGATTTACATATAGAGGTAAGACGATAAAACTTCTTAATCATATGGCGAACCACGGCCTCTCTTCCGGTTACCAGTCCATGTCGGGTATGGGATTAGATAGCCAGTTATTTGTTTTCAGATGCACATTACAACTTTCTCGATCGTTTCTCATTTTGTACAATTTCAAACGTGGAAACTCCACTTGCAACTGCACATTTATGAAATACGAATGCATGGGAAATATTCACTTCATCAAGTTTGGTTTCGATGTTTTAGATTAGGATGAGAATTATTAAACGACATTACAAAATAAAGCTATTTTGCAAGAAGTATTTATTATTGTCTACATTTTGAAATTTTCCTAAATTAAAATTTGACTATATCACGACTGCATTGCGGAAATATACAATTTATATTGTTTGAAATTGAACTATAGCCCATTATATCCTCTAGTTCAGGGCTGTGCAACAGGCGGCACGCGGGCCACAACCCGCCCCGCTAAGCCTTTTAGTCTGTATATTTATTTTTTTAGATAATCTGCACAGTAGCCTCAATTATGTATAACAGTGGTCGGCAAACTTTATGTACATGCGGGCCATCCGTGCCATGTGGTACATCCGTGTCGAGACAATAATAAATTTAGGATCAATTTTTATTTTATGTACTACGGTAAATGTCGGGTCGTTAGAGGGCCGCAACAAATTTTCTCACGGGTTGCAGTTTGCCGACTCCTGATGTATACTGTCGCCACTACTGGTATTCAGTAGTTGTGCCTCATTTAGTTACTCTTTTATACTAATCTGCATCAGCTAGGTGTCGCTAGACATTTTTTATTCATTCAAAACTAATCCAATAGTTGTATGTTTAAAAAGTCAAGGTAAAAATACATAATGTTTTTTTTCTTTTTTTCGCTGCGTTCAATCTTTCGTCGTTTTATCCGGTGGCTTCATTAATGTGAGGGTGAGCGATAGTCACATTCACGGCTTTTCGTGTGGCCCAGTTAGATGTCTGATGTTGGTTATATGGCCCACCGACTAAAAATGTTGCACACCCTTGCTCTAGTTCAAGAAGTTACACCAAGCAAGGTTTTTGGACTTGGGGCCATAAAATTTCGCTCGCCTGGACTGTCGGGCCATGTAAGTGACATTTTATGAACAATATTTACAGTGGTACAAAAGCAAATGGGGAAAACAATAAACTTTGTACCAAAACTAAATTTAATCGCTATCTCCATAAATTCCTTGAGCTATTTTTTCAGCTAAAATATCAAAATTTGGTTTTAGTTTGGCTGTGGCAGCATCAGGCGGGCCAGATTGAATCAACCAACGGGCCGGATTTGTCCCGCGGGCCGTAGTTTGCCCCCGTCAGGGTTAGACCCTTACAAATCCACCGCAGACCCTTCAAACTCATCTTTGTCTAGAAATTCACAGATTGAATATTGTAATTTGATCGACGGGTCTTCATTTTTTATCCCATTTTGTACATGGAAGTTGTTTTCCTTCCTAAACTTCTCATGGGGGTCGAAATGGAGCACAATACCCGTTGCCAGTTTTTGCTTCTTTGGTCCGAACTGATGCATCCACCTCAAATAGTTCGCTCGTGAACCGTCTTGTTGGAAAATTTGCTAAAAATCAGTTTTTGAGAAAAACTTTAGTAAATTGAATCAGTTGGGGTAGGGGTATTGGCTATTAGACGGTCACATATTATGGGAAAAGTCAAGCCAAGTCCAGTCAAGTTCATTTATTCCAGCCAGTAAAATGACAAAAATCATGCGATAAATTAGAAAAAAATGATATTTACAGTTTTACTGGGGAAGGGAAGCCGCGGGGAACCAAAACTGGCTATCGAGAAGCGACACCCAAGGTTCTAACATCTGACTCAACAGATTGGGGGGGAGAGTTTCAAAATTACTGACATTAATGATTTAGCCAACTAACATCGAATATTGGAGATCAGTACTAGAAATAGATATATTGTCCTATTTGCCATTTAAACGACAACGTACAACAACGTACCCGGTTCCTGATGTCAAAGGTCATCCCTGTCCATATATATTTTCCAATAACGCTTTGATTCGAGGCTAATTCCTTCAGCAGTTCAAAATGTTCGGGACTGTATATATTAGCCAAATGTCCTTTCCCCATTTGGCAATCTACTGAATGAATGTCTCTGTATGATTTTCGTTTTGCTTTATAGAGATGGAAGCATGATCCGTCATATTGTACGTCGCAAGGAAATCTATCTGGAAGAGAAATACGTATGTAAATGCTTATCAAAGTTAGGCGCTCCAGAAGTATGTGTACCAATATGCAGGTAACTAATTTTGTTTGCTTACGTTACATCAAGTTGTGTGAAGGGACTGAAACCTATGGGCAGGGAGTATATTCACTTGGCTAAAACAGGCAGTCCCCGAACTCGTGATAGAACTAAAATAAGAATAAAATTAAGGCCTGACCCTGACCCGGTACACATATTGCGGGAGTACCTCAAATTATAAAAACGGGTTCTCGTTTGTATCGAACTCACTGACAACAGGTTCCCTCATTTCACAAAATCATTCCATACTTGTAGCCAGTACCGGGGTCACTCTTAGGCAAGGTATGCTGGAGCCTTGAAGACCTCGTCATGCAGTTTCGAACTATTATGTTTTTAAATGAATTCAACATACTATCCAATCCACTTAGATGATTAGCTTTCGTATCCACGCAATTTAAATATTCTATGATGTCATAATACATTATGCCACAAAAATAAATTATGACGTCATTAGCCTCATGATCATTCATCAATGACTCGGACTCAACTAACCGCCAATGAGCTCAGTGAGTTGACTCGACTTGGGACTCGATACTCTGATGATATGTTACTCGACTTGACTCACGACTCGTGGGTTTGGGAGGCTTCTATGCTATGCCATTTTTGAGACCCCTCTTTAACAATGACGTCATAAGAATGTCGTCATAATATATTCCAAGGTTTATGACGTCATATAAGAAGAAAATTTAAATTGCGTGAATACAAAAGCCAACCACCCAAGTGTATTGGATAAGCTTGTCGTATGTAAGATACGTTAGAAGGAAAACAGCTCACTCTCTCCGCATTCCATTCCAGTTTGGCACGTCCTAGTTTCTTTAGTTTTTCCTTTGCAGAAATCTCTCTTTTCTCCTTTGCACTTTCTCGTCCGCACGCTTGTACCTTCGCCACAAGTGGCGCTACATTCTCCCCATTTTGTCCACGGTGTCCATTCTGAAAATTATATTTAGTTCCGAATTTTTTATTAACGTCAATTACTTTAGGCCTATTGAACAATCCAAGCTTATTTTAAAAGCGAGCTATGGATCGTTTAGCTATATTCTTGTTGTTGCAAGAGAAAAATTCCGGATCTCAAATTTATATTTAAAGATCCCCAGAAGACAATTGCTATATATAGCAACGGGTCGCGATATTTTATTCACGTCTCTGTAATACTCGTTTGCGGGGACGTGTCAAATTTTTCTGCTGCCGGGGCGAGTTTCTGATAATGAAGTCCCTTATACCTAACTTCCAAAATAATTCGGGGATAAACCAATTATAGATGTTGTTATACATGAGAACGAATAAGTTAAAAATCAAGTAAAATAAATGTTTGCAATATTTTTATTTAAATCATCAAACTATGCGACAAACTCACCCTAATAACGTAATGACCGAATCTATAAGATTAAGGATTCATTCACCTGGTCTATTTTCTTTTCCAGAGACTAATTTTTCAAGCGATTCAAGAATTATAGTCATCTTCAGTTCCATTGCCGTTTGAGACTCTGAAAACATTAACGACAGAATACGTTACAATATGTATAAGATCAGCTCGTGGACTAACACGGATTTCCTGTTAACATATATGAATAACGACGTCGCCATCTGTATGAAATGGGAACGGCGTATGCGAATCTCTAATTTATAGGCCATGATGGTACGTAAAGTTCTTTGCAATGCGAAGAAAATGAAAATCTGAAAAGGTACCTACTTACTAGCAATATCGTCCAAATCGTATAAATCCTGAATAACCGATGTTTATTAGAGGATGCTGGAAATCAATATCATTAAAAAAGTATATTATTTACCTTTCAATTGATCGTTGCCAGTTTTGAGTTCTTTGAGAAGTCCTGGAAAGAATAAGAATTAATATCGAATGACCTTTGATGAATTGCAGGTTCTGGGTTGAGATAGCTACAACAGCTGGAGTAGCATACCGGAACGGCGCTTACATGTTTCCCAATTATATATGCGACAGGTTTTTTGAACATTTTTTCCAATTCCGATGCCAAAGTCGTAATTAAAATCCCCAGGTATTTTTTATTTTGTCGGTGTTGGTCTCTTTTCATCTATTTCTTATTTCAGTAAATTCTTACGCTTTTCCTGTCATTTTATAACAATAACTGATCGTATGATTTTTGTATAAAATTTTGTAGATATAAATACGGTGTACCTTTCATATCTTGATTTTCTTTTAATACATTCGACAGACGATCTATAAAGTATTGATAGTAAAGTATTATATATTAGCTCTTTATGAAATACAACGAACGAAGATATGAACGCTTATATGCTATTTTGTTTCCATCGAAACGTTAGACAAATTTGCAATCAATTGAATATGTATCAGAGTTGAGTAGGTGGGGAAAAGTTCTAAATAAATCGTAGTTTTTTTAAAACCAGATTCCAGTATGACGAATATTTTTATTCTGTACTCAGAAATATTTTATGCGTGATGAGATAACCAAACTACGGAAATTTACTATTGTCAAACTTTTTTAGTTTGAGTTGGAAATTTCTACTGGACTCCTAACTTCAAGTAGACTGGAATTTTCGTTCAAATTTGAAAACTCCGACTTCGTGGAATTCCAACTCTAGTATCATCGCCAGAACCCACTCTAACATTCATGTTGTATACAGACGGGTTAAAAGAAAGCTTCGCCTACCTGACATTGCAGTCAATTTTACGTTCATGTTTCTCTGGAAAGTTTTGAATCCGAGGCAAGTTTGAGGACATGTTGCCGCTCCTTTACGAACCGATTTGCTTTTGTTAGGTTTTGAAATATTTTTTTCCCGACTTTGTGCTATTTTTTTTGCCCTTTAACCATGAGCTTTGTGGGTGTCAGTTTGGGACTTTTTTGTTTTCTTCTTGCTTTAGGATTTTTACGACCTTTTTTGGCCTTTGTGTTTCGTACACTCGTAGCTACCGGTACCGCGACAGGCGGCGCAGTTTTTGTGACATCGTTGAAGATGGTTGAATTGTCGGCAAGCATTGTTCTTTGTGTCGTCATTGTAAAGTTTAATGTTGCATGGCCAGTGTGGTTTTCAAATACTGACATTGCTGTTTGTTTTGGAGTAATGGTGACATTGTAACCAGCTTTTTGCGTCTTTATAGCTGAAGTATTCTGAACACCAGTTCTTGCCGTTTGCACGTAAGTTGATGGCGTCGCTTGTGGTGTAGTTTCAGTATTAATTGAGGGAACTTTAGTACTGTTGATGATTGTAGCATTGTCGTCTTCTAGTAGGATATTATTCTTCGAGGTTTCTGGGTAAGAGGCTCCGTTGACGATGATATCTTCTTTTGCAACTTCGAAACCATAAATCGCCGAACTCAATAAGAGAATATAGAATACTTCACACAATTTTGCCATTACTACGCCTATTCTTTGTAACCTATAGCTAAATGAATAAATTTCAATGGAATTTTTGCTATATTATTCCAAGCGTGTTTCCACTACAGGTGTTCATGTACGCTGTAAACGAGTCTAATTTATTGATAAATGGACCAGGCATAGCCCAATATGAACAGTTAACTCAATTGTCCAAACATAAATTACTGGTCTTCGCGCCGCTGGTATTGTGTGCGAATTCCCACATTCGATGTGGACATTCTAATGTAACGGTTTATGTGTAATCGAACTGCCATATATATCTTTTTGTACACTGTCAACATGGTGCTAAGGCCTTCTGGATATGGATGCACGACTTTCGTACCCATATATCCGAGCATTGCTCTATTGTTTTAGTTAAATAAATATGAAATTCTATTCTCCATTCCACGAATACTTCCTATTTCAATATTGCATATGTAGGGTAGTATTTTTGAGTTTATCCCAACCAAGGCCCCTCAGTCGACAGTCCGTGCTTCCGAAAACAAATAACTAGCTACGAGAGTCCGTGGTCCGCCTTCGCCAAGTGATTAAGCCGTCTTACCGGCTTTCCTCTCCTCCGGGATAAATATGTAAATCCTCAGTCTAAGCCGGCTGAAGAATACGGTGGTGACCGTACATTTGAACCCATGTGTATTTCCGCGGGTTCAATCTATATGCGGGTGCTGAAACCCATGAGTTAAGAGTTAGTATTGGTTCAAATATCCGCAAAGCAAAAAAAAATTTCCATAGGTGCAATAGTATGCAGGTGCAATTGTCGTGGGTTCAAATGTACGGGAACCGAATAAGGTAACCCATAAGTCATTCCAAAGGACGGGGAACTAACAATAATTTCACACGCGATCGACCTCCTCGGGTTCGGATCTGCAAAATCCAGTAGGGTACTAACCGTTACGATAGCACTCATATATATACCTAAAGTTTACCAGGATTTCTTAACAAGTCACGAAACGTTCTTCTGGTAAATAAATCTGCTAGAGCTAGACTATTGTAATCCGTGTAGCTCTATATTCGCGTACTTTATTCCTACGTGTACTATTGATGGCTTTGTTAACGAGTTATTCAAGTTTTCGCGGATAAACTTGACAGCAAATGTTTGAGATTAATTCGTTGCCTCAGGACTTACGTTGCTACTGCAATTAAAAACGATCAGTAAATTTAGTTATATTTACCGGTATTCTAAATAGTTTAATTTGGGTAGCGTATGCATAACTATAGCTCCTTTCTTTTGGCATTTCTGGTTCCCTAACTGTGAGGATATCGTAGCAAGGATTAAAATGCATATAAGCTCGGGCGAAATTTTGCAAAATGGAATATATTCAAGTGTGATGTACGCAAGACTTCTGAGTACTTCAGAAGTGTATGTACCAATATGGAGGTAACTAATTTTGTTCGCCTACTTCACATGAAGTTGTGCATAGGGACTAAAACCTATGGGCAGGGGGTATATTCACTTGGCTAAACTAACTAACTAAGAACTAAAATAAGGAAAATCGGAATAAAATTATGGCCTAACCCTAACCTGATACAGACACTACGGGAGTACCGACTTTTGATTTGATCACCATTTTAGAATGCCATGAGTAGGAAAATGCAAGTATAAGCCTTGTTTTGCTAACGGATAATAATTTCAAAATTAATTTCCCAAAAATGTAAAAGTTCTTTCAATGCCACAAACATAAGAAGTAGACATTGTTTCAACAGAGAATTATTTTTATATTCTGATTAATGGGAAAACAAATGATTTTTTTATTTGCGGATTTACTATATATGCTCGCTTGATTTGAAATTTCTCAAATTCATTTCATCGCATTTTTACTCATTTTCGCCTTGCGTCCATCAAAACGACCCTGAACATGTTGTAAGTAGATCACGTGAACCTTCACCCTGTTTTATATAATATATATCATAAAAAGGAGCGCTTCAAACTAATTGTGTCTTGAGCGACATAACGCGAAATATTCAATTCATAACGCGAACGGACATAACGCGAAATATTCATTAACTTTCCGTCACTGTGATTTTTGACGGTTTCATATTTTACGTTGATCTACTGCGTGGTTCTTCCTGTCATTATTCAATAACAACATAAATTTAAAGTTTGTCTTGGGCTTGATATGAACCCTTGATACACCCCATTTTGCTCAATTTGTTCACATTGCGAGCAAAATATATTCAATGTTAGCTAATCTTGATTGAGCATGAACTCAAAACAATTTCCTATAAAAAGTGTTGAGGAATTAAAACAAACTCAACCGAGTAACTGGGACAAGAGACCATGGTCACCATGTGATTGAGATATCATGTCAGCCTTTCTATACCCGTCTAAAATCTTACGCCTAATTCAGTGCTGTTTTATCGAGTCGGAGTATTGTGGTAACATCCGGGTTTGTATTATAAGACTCCGACCACCCACTCAAGAGAAAATATATTTCTTGCTCTCTACTTCGGACCTTGGATTGGAGGTCGTCTGCTTTTTGGTCATGTCTTCTGTTTTTAGTATTTATTGCTATTTTTAAGTGTAGAGTTGCCATATTAACAAATGACCAATCCATAATCTTGGGTCTTTTGCCTTATTAAATACAGTAACAAAACCTATCTGGGACAAATGCCAACATAAATAATCCTATATCAAATCAAACAGTCAAATAATTGCATACATATATGGAAATTTAGAAATAAATGAAAGTAATAGCCTTCTGGCAAAAAAATCAATCTTTACTCACTGAAAATTTCAAAGCAATTGGTCCAGTATTCGAAGAGAAAAGCGATTTTTTAAAAATGATGGAGACAAATAATAACAATATAATATTGAAAGGATCGTTATGTCCACTAGACGTGTCCAATAATCCTACATCAAATCAAACAGTCAAATAATTGCATACAATATCAATTTATTGCACAAATGCCATTTCAATATATATTTTTAAGATGGATTAACATTTTACAACATTCTGAATATTAAAAAACTACTGCAACAACAATATGGTAAATTAGGGATAAATGGTTGAAACATAAAATAATAGTCATTGTGTAAATAAATTCTACACTTTGTACAGGTGAACTCAAAAATAACAGATATACTCGAATTTTATTAATTTACCTGGTATGTTTAACATGGTGCTTTGAACATTATGCTTACTTATATCAGAAACAATGACGCTCCAGAAGTATGTGCACCAATATATAAGTAACTAATTTTGTTACCCACTGTACATCAAGTTGTGTGAGGGACTGAAACCTATGGGCAGGAGGTATATTCACTTGGCTAACACAGACAGTCCACGAACTTGTAATAGAAGGAAAATCGGAATAAAATTATGGCATAACCCTAACCTGGTACACACACTATGGGAGTACCGCATTCGGAAAGGAGCACAAAATGGGGAAAAAGTTTTTATCATAATAATATGTTCCAATAAAATGACTTGAACTTGGAAATATGGAGTATTGGTTCTGAATCTTGAATTTGAAGCTAGTTCTGACAATAATCTTATAATATGTACTGTGACCCCCACTAAGCCCTTTAACCTACCAGACGGTCGGGACCCCAAGTTTGAAGAGTCCTGTTCTAAAAAAACGTGTATTTCTTTACATCTAGGATGCTTTTTATGCAGAGCCTTGTTCTGAGCAAAGAGTAAAAACAATGAACAAAAACTTTCCTATAAAAAAAATTACAAATCTCTAGATACAGTGGTGAAAGGGACAACAGGTGACGTTGCCTCGATGTTAATAGCCATGGTCATGCATTCTACTGAGCCGTCCGCATCTTCTAATTCTTGCAAAACATCACCAAGACAAAGCCATATTTCATGAGACATTGGGTTTAATTTGACAGCATCTTGTAAAAGTTTTTTAGCAAATTCGAGTTGCTTTTGATCGATTAAAATTTTCGCCCATTCCCATAATGCTTTGTAATGTTTAGGGTTTATTGTGATGGTATTTTCGTACATTGTGCAAGCTTCTGATTGGTCACCTCGGCATTGTGCAAGCCTGCCTCTAGTGTACAAAACTGAATGTGATAACGGGAACAACGCTGATGCTTCTTGTACACACTGACCAGTTTCGTCAAACCGCTGTAGAGTAAGGTAGACTTCGGCAGTAATTAACCAGATATGGGCCTGTAGTAGCGAAGGGTGTGCCATCGATATACCAACATTCATAGGATGGAAATTGCCAAGTGAAGACTCAATATCAGATAATCCACGTTCCATTCGTGAAGCCGCGACCGAACCGATAAACGAACCGCCATCATTTAAATCCAATTCGTTTCCAATACTCTGATTTGTTACGCTCAATCCATCAGAAGTTAGACGATCCAACATGGCCTCAGTGTTCATTGCGTTGCTCTCTCGCGCTTCATGTAAAGTCTTATAAATTTGTGCCATCGAGTGACAAGTACACAAAGCGTCCTTGTCGCGGCCGACGTACATTTCCATTTTACATTTTGTGAAGAGAAGGTTTATGTTTTCTGGGTAAAATTTCGTTGCTGTTTCCAGAATTGTGAAAGCCTTTTTAAATTGCTTTTGTGCCGTGAGTAAAAGAACTAAAAGATGTAAACAATTTAAATCGTATGGTTGCAGTTCTAATGCCTCTTTCACATGCGTTATCGCATCATTTATTCTTCGATCCAAAGCCATTTCGACAGCCATAAAGAGAAGTGGCTTATAGTCTTGAGGGTCAACGTTATGACCTTCATTGAAATGTAAAATTGCTTTCGAACGAAGCTCTTTGACTTTATCTCTGGGTGTGCCGTCAACGCAAAGATAGGAATATCCTATTCCGACTGCTAAATGTGCAGCGGACAAGTAATCATCAAAGTTTTCGTTCTCATCATCATTTTGCGGAATAACTGAAGCAGAATTCAATGCTTTTTTAGCAAAATCTATCCCATTCTCGATGTCATTTAAACTTTCAAAGCATATTTTCGCTGCTAATAGATACGGTGCTGGATTTTCGGGCCGGATCTGGCTGCATTCCATAAATACTCTAACTGCTCGATCCAGTCTACCAGCGGATTGTAATGATAACCCATACTGAAACCAAATATGGAATTCCTTGTAAGCGTATTTCAGCGAGGCTTCAATGCTTTTTGCAAACATTTCATATTGTGAATATTCACCCAATGCGACCGCTAGGAGATCATAGAGAGTTCTTGAATTCCGCAAAAGCTCCGAGCGGGCTTCTGAATATTCAGGCGACATATCCAAGATAGGATCGGTATTAAACATTGTCTCAGAGATAATAAGAAGTAAAATTGATTCTTGTGTGCAATCTGTTGGTGAAAATGACCGTTCAATCGGCGAAATTGTAAATGTAGCTGTAGGACTTCCACCACCATGTTTTAAAACTAATTTTTTAGCCTTTGAACCCTCAGGATCATCCCCGTTTTGTGTGGGAGTGGGAGATTTATATGTGACATCAGAAATTCCTCTGATAAGCACTGTTGCCAGATCTCGAGCCAAAGTTTGCTGCACAGAAGATGTAATCTTTGATTGCAACACTTTTCGTAGTTTTTCAATCCCGATTTCAACATCCCCATTTTTCATATGAAGTAACGGACCTCTTTGAAATGCAAGTTCCATACCATGACTTATCGGAGGCTCGGCAGTTAACCCTTGACCCTGAAGCCTTTCAAATTCCGCTATATAATCAAACGCTATTTCAGTCGAGCGTTCGTAAGATTGAATTATTTCTTTATCGTCTAAAATTTCCCCAGAGGCAAATTTTAACCTTGAATGTTCCAAGCAAAGTCCTTTTATCGCATAAACTTCAGAAACGAGTCTTATTTGGTAACAATGTTCCTCTTGTCCCAATTTTTCTAAATCCAAGTTTTTCATCATGTTAATACAGGCTTTGGTGTTCCCTTGCGCATAGAGTAATCTGCATAAAAGCAGGCAAGACTCTTTCTTTATGTCAAATAGAGTATCTTTGCATTCGGATGCCATAACTTCTTGTAATTTCACTTTCAATTGCGCAAGATCTTTCTTAGATTTCGCAACATTTTCACGCCTTGGTGGATTTTCTTGAAGATACGTCTCAAGTTTAACCTCCCCCTCTAAGAGCAAAACTGCGGGGTCAGCGGAGCCACATTTTTTCGACAATAACTTTGAAGCTTCGTCGATTTTCGACCAACTGCCTTCATTTCTATATTTTATAATTTCATTTTCAATTTTATGTCGTTTCGAGGACATTTTGAAAACGGTATAAAACGTTAGAAATTTGAATTATCTTAAATTCTAAAAAAAAAAAATTTACCACGTTAAATTAATTAATTAAAATAAAAGGCACACAGGAACATAAAATCTAACACACTGACATTGGCACCTACAGAGACACAAAACAAATACATCCATGTAAGCCCATACATATGATAACAACTGTATGATTACTCCCATACATAACAAGAATCTGTAATGCTTTGTTTGTACAATAATTTGAAGCCACAAATAACCAAGGCCAATAAAACTAAAGCATCATCGAAAAGTTCGAAATAATTCAAAAATTCTTGCTACCAATTTCGATGAAAGGTTGGAAGGGGATAGAATTTTATCTCCGTAATAAAAAAGGAAGCATTTTTATTTCAAACCATTTCGAAAATGTTTTTATATATATGGATTACACTATTTTCCAATCGAATCTACGATATCCAAAAATTATTCCTTGGTTACTGCTTCTACCGAGTCATACTAGGAGCCAAAATATGAAAATGCCTTGGTAAATTTTTAAAATATTATCTCTTGAGTGATATTACGTACAGTGATATTTTTTTTCAATTCCTAGACATCTGATCAAAACTCGTTTTCACTAGTTCAATAAGTGTTGCCCAATTTAACCTACATTAACCAAAATTTTTTTATTGGTGGTTGCCTTTAAATAGTCGCAAAGATACGATTAAAAATTCTCCTCATTATATCCATCGAGAGATGTTATGTACAGCGATATTTTGTTTACTTCCCAGACATCTGATCAAAACTCAGTTTTCGCAAGTTCAAGAAAAAAATATGATTGAAGAAATTATTCAAACGTTAAATCCCAAGTCTCTCATACATTGTTTATGAGCTTCGATTAACCCTTTGCAATTTTCTTCGCCTTTGTTGATTATACATTCATCTCTGACTCCTTTTGTTTCCAAGCATACACAACAAGGCTTTAGTGGTTTTCCATCTGGTCCGATTGGACGAGTCGACTTTTTAACCTCTGTTTTAGTGGTGGAAGGAGGTGATGATAAGGCGGTGGTTGGAGTTGTTTGTAAACTTGTCATTTTATTTATATATATTGAACACTATAGTGTCTATAAAGAGAGAGATTAACTTTAAATGCAAATAAAATGTACAATCGCAGTGTTGAATAATTAAAATAAAATGTGGGGTGGGACAAAAAAAGTCCAAGATGAAACTAAAATGAAATGTGAGAGTTTTATGCCTTACCCGTATAATCGGAAGGCAGCGGGGAAGACTTGAGAGGTCAAAAAGATCGATTGTCCACTCAAAGAAATTATGACTGTTACCGGTAGGCCTATCTGTTTAAATGAGGCAGTTTAACAGGGATTGCGAAGTTTTGAAGTAAATATTTACGGTATCTTTGGACGAAGTCGTAATCGACCAGTGGTCCCTGCGGCAGCAGGCAGGGACTGAGGTCAGGAGTTCAGCAATCTTTTCGCACATACCGTAATTATCCCAGCATGGAATTCGAACCTGCGAGCCCACGCACAGTAATCAGACGTGTAGTGGCGAGCGTATTATTCCTAACACTTAGCACGATGCATCTCACGCCTATCCATTGCACTGGAGAGACAGAAAAACTCATTTTTAATAAAAACGCTGTGCGGCTGTAACCACAACTGCTCAATGTCAATTGAAAAATCGATTGGCGTCTCTTTGACCTTCGAACCTGATTTTTTACTTTTTGTCTTTTTTTCTGCGAATTTCTTTATTGTCATTAAAAAAAAACTCTAAATTCCGACGCCGGGGAAATTTGGCAAAAAAAGCATCTGAATTTTATCATACGATGAATTGTACTATCCGATAAATGCCGCAAACGAGTTTTGTATTTTGCTATCCTCGTCAATTAAAAGTTATACGGTTGAGGGCGTTATTAAAGGTAATATTGAATTGAACTGATCGCGAGATGTCACTGAGAATTTGCTATCCTCGTCAATTAAAAGTCATACACGAAAGGGCGTTTTGATTATTTAATCCGAATTGAGCTAGTCGCGAGATGTCATTCGAGAGTTAAAAGTGAAGCAATGCTGTGTGCTGAATCGTTGTTACGGACCCGTAGCTAGCGAAAAGTGATTCCGGTTTGTTCTTCTGTGGCTCTCTTTTAGATCCGGATTTTAAGTAAATATGGATGAACAGAGTGATGTATTTTCTCAATTATTTGTGCGATGTTTAGAAAGTGATTCAGGATCCTCGGAAGTTGATTTGGAAATTATCTTGGATGATTTGTTGAAATTGAATTATACAAAAAGGATTTTTGCAATAACAAGAACGGTGGGTATATTTCAAAATTCGAAGGATAGGCCTACTATGTAATAAAATTAGGCTAGACATCTTCAAGTAGTCTAATTTGAACTAGAATCGAATTTTTGTATTGGCAACTGGTTCGAATTTCATCAACCCTGCAACGCATGGCTCTAGCGTACCGGTAGTTCGTACCTCAAGTTCTTCTAGTGGGCGTAGCATAACAATTTCGGCATGTCAATCCTAACCCCTGCCCGACTGCTTCATTCAAAAATTACGTCACTGTCAGACTGTGATGTCGTACCTCAAGTTCTTCTAGTGCGGTGTGGCTCAACGGGCTAAGCGTTAGGAATACGCTCGCCACCGCACCTCTAATTACTCTGCGTGGGTTCGCAGGTTCGAATCTCATGCAGAGATGATTATGTGCGAGAGGATTGCTAGACTCCTCGCCGTCGTTGGGTGGTTTACGTAACCGCTGGTCGGTTACGGCTTCCTCCACCACCAAGTCCATGCTTCCGAAAACAAAACAATATAACTAATCCCATACCCGACTCGGAATGGTAACCGGACGAGAGGCCGTGGTTCGCCATATGGATAAGCCGTCTTATCGGCTTTCCTCTCCCCCGGGATAAATATGTAAATCCTATCCTATCCTAGTGGGCGTAGCATAACAATTTCGGCATGTCAATCCTAACCCCTGCCCGACTGCTTCATTCAAAAATTACGTCACTGTCAGACTGTGATGTCGTAGTAAGGCCCTTCATTCTTACTATACGAACTGTCATCCAAAACGCGCGGACAATTATCCGAAATCGAGCAAGCTATTTCTCTCATTTTCTAGTCGCACCGATCCCGATATGAGAGAGAACGCTGATGTTAGTGAGTTCTCCATCGTCGGCGCAGATGCCATTTTGGGGCGATTGTAGGTATTCTTCGGCAAGCTCTATGACGTGATTGTGATGTCGTACTTGTAATAATATCTCTACCCTTGATTTCTATACCGGAGTGTAGAATATTATCAGAATAAAACTCGTTGTTTCAGAGTACTGCGTTTACTTCACCCATCAGAAAAACGTTATACATGTTATACACTGGGGGCAGGCCAGAGCAAGATAATAACGGCATGAAAGGTCATGAACTTAGGCACTGAATTAATATAACATAATATATGAAATATCACTACAGTACTGACCTAATTTTTGGAAGGCGTCAGTTGGAGGATTAAAATAACATATGCAAAAATCGTTACGCTACACCAGCTAGAAGTACTTGTGGTACTAAACTATACTAAACCCGCAATTATCCTTGTTTTTGTCATTAGTTTATGCTGATTATACAGTCAAAATAAACTCAGATTGTTTTTTCCAGATCGCTGGTGAGGTGCTTTGTCATTTTGCAATAAATACAAAACTGACTTCAACAAAAAATGAGTTTCTTTTGAACAAATATTTCCAGTTAATTGTACAACTAACTTCAAGGTAAAAACAATTTTTATTTCTTTACTTTCCTTATCTTTAATTTCTTGCACTGCATAGTTTTCTTCGGAGCTTCAAGGACTTTATTCTGACTTATGATATATGTAGAATTCTTCACATTTCATTAAACTGGTAATATTTTATCAAGTCTGCAGTGTTTTTTTAATTTAAGTCTTTGGGGTCGGAAAAAATTTACAATCAACTCTAGGTTTAAAATTATCTTGGCTTACACTGCACTCCCAGAAGTATTTGTACCAATATGGAAATAACTAATTTTTCACCTATTTTACATCAAGTTGTGTAAAGGGACTGAAACCTATGGGCAGGGAGTATATTCCCTTGGCTAACATAGACAGTCCCTGAACTCGTAAAAGAACTAAAATAGGGAAAATTGGAAAAAAATTATGGCTTTAACCTTAACCTGATACACATACTACTGGAGTATCAAATTTTGACTATCGCTTCAGACTCGAACTCCTAACAATTTCTGATAACGAAAACTTTGACACATGCAAGCCTTCCATCCTATACTGTTAAATAAAAGATATTTCAAATTTCAATCAAATTGTTAAATTATCCATTCCAGCCAAGGAATTGTACTTGAACCGCATTCTGTCAACAAATTGCTTGCTATGCTTCATGGATTATGGTCTTCATGCATGAATAATCCTGTCTCTCTGCAATCAATGTTAGATGCTTTCGCAGCAGCTACGTACCAGAATGGACCTCATATATCTCCAGAGGTATGTAGTCAAATATTAAACCTTTCACTTATAGATTCAGTTATTTATTTTTCACCATGAAAAAATTGATGTTCGTATTGATTTGAATGTAAATAAAGGCATGAAAATACTAATGAGAAATTACGTAATCACGAACACCCTTGGCTCGGCGGTGTTAGGAATACACTCACCAACGCATCTCTGATTACCCTGCGTGTGTATCCTGTGCTGGGATAGTTATGTGCGAGAGGATTGCTGGACTCCTCGCCGTCGTAGGGCCGTTCACACAACCGCTGGACGGTTACGGCTTCCTCCATCATCCACGCTTTCGATAACAAATATTTGATATTTTTGCAAAATATACTGCAACTTTTTTAGTGATACTATTCCCACATCGTCATTTTATTTACAATTCACTATTTTCTCAGAATATGTCACATCTACTCCAGCCAAGTGATCAATCCGTTCCCTCAATTATTAAAACCAAGTCTGTAGATCTCGACATCAGAAGAACGGCTGTTCAATGTCTTGCTGGAATCTGCCTATTGTGAGTCAAACTTTCATCAGTTGTTTTGAGTGGGTGTCATAATTTTTTGATAACGAATGGGGCCTAAGTTATCCTCTAATCAGTGGCCCCTAACTTTCCGCTAAATTATTGCGTTTAATATCTTACTGTGATACTGTGATCTGTGTACTTGGAGTCTGAATAACCCAATATATTGCACTTTGGTGGTGTGCATGTGATTTGAATATAAGGTGTGTAACTTCTCATGCTATCAAAGTTAAGTCGAATGCTTTATTAAATTGGACAACCGCACCCTCTTGATTCCAATGAATGAATATAAACAAACACATTTTTTTTCTTTTAGGTCTGAATCCAACGAAACATTATCCGATGAGAATCTCGAAATATGTTTGAAATTATTTATTTTTATTTTGCAAGATTTATCAGTTGCTCCACCATATGATGTTATTATGTGCAGGGTGAGATTGGTTTTGTATTTTTATTCAGTATTGTTATAATCAGTTATATATTTTGGTGAAGCTGGGGTAATGTAATAATTAGGGGTGGGCAAAATCGAATATTTTTTTCGAATCGAATAATTCGAATATTTTTAACAAATAGTCGAATAACGAATATAGTTTATACACAACAGGAGATCCAGAACGTCGGTCGATACTCCCCTTGGAAATAAGTGAAGACGTTGAAAAATCGGCTACAAAGCGTTTTTTACTTGGTTAATTTCGTCATAATCGCCGATTGTTTTTGTCACCGTGACCGTTTTTGCGGCGATATATAATCTATATTACCGGCTACCGCCCTTCCTGTTTTTTGCAAGTATTAATTCTTTCGGGTCGGCGGACAATGAAGTTTATATATAGGGTTTACCTATTTAAAAATAGTAGTTAAACAGGCACTGTATAAAAAACCCAACATAGTTCAACTGTGTTCCTTTTATTTCAGATGATTTTCTCTTTATCAAAGGGCCTTCACAATATACTGAGTACGTCTTCTAGTATCCATATGTCACATATTGGACCACTTTTAACTGTTTTAAAGGTATTTGCCTATTTTTGATTTTTTAGAATTCTAATATAAAGCAAAGTCGTTAAGACTTATTAAATAAGCTTTGAAGAAAGGAAATATATTTTTTTGTTACAAATTTGGTCTCCATGTCGTGGATTTTGATTTCTACAGTTATTTTGCTGTAAATGAAAGATGGCGGAGGTGGAGGCCACAACCAACCAGCGGGTATGTGAATCATTCAGAGTAGGGGCGTAGCCAGAAGTTTTCCAGGGAGGGGGGAATTTTTATCGAAACAGCTAGCTGGCTTCTTTTTTTACATTTCAAAAGGGGGGGTTTCGACCCCCAATACTACGCCACTGATTCAGAGACAGTTTTATTGTCATTTTGATTAAATTACTTTTTAGGCATTTTTACTTGAAGTTCTGATTCTGATCAGGTTAATTAATGGTGTATTTTGAAATACTCTCTTTCTAATACCATTTATTTTCATTTGTTTAGAAATTCATGGTTTATGGCCTCCCTGGCCTTTCTGACAGCACTTCAGATGAGTTGCAGCCAATTCCAATTCCAGAGCTTTATTCTTCGAAACAAGGAGATGAAAAACAACAAGACACTCCACAGACAACACCAGCTAAATCTCATGTAAGTGTGACATCATAAAGAGAAAATTGTGTCTCCCAGTCCATAATGATAGAAGTTTAAAATAGTTCATTTCTGAAAAATGGGACATGAGCTTAGTTTTGCCTAATTATCATTGTTTCTCTTGTTGCTGCTACTATTACAACATAATGCTGTTATTTGGAACCTTTGGAGTACTTTAAGTTCGATATTATCCATTTTATCACACCTTGGATGTCTTTGAATCGTATACCAGTGATACCAATATAATTGAAGTCCAGCCCTAGCCACTGTGCCAGTGGGACCTTTCTTAATGATTTCCACCTTTTGCCTATTTTTAGACATTTTTATTGCTCCCCCTGCATGAAATGTACGTTATTTGTCCAATCTTAATGGGTCTAAAGCTAGCGCACAAAACTCGCACGCTGGATCTAGCACAATTTGAATTGTTTATTTCAAAATGAAACCAAAATTACATAATAAAAAAGGTGACCGTACATTTGAACCCATGCGTATATCCACGGGTTCAATCTATATGCGGGTGCTAAAACCCTTGGGTTAGGGTTAGTATGGGTTTAACTATCCATGAAACAAAAAAAATTCCATAGGTGCAATAGCATACAGGTGCAATTGTCATGGGTTCAAATGTACGTGGTTTCAAATGTAATGGAACCAATAAACAATAATACTAAATAACTAAACAATATTCGTTGGATTACATCGAATACAAATTGATACTCCCTCCCAAAGAACATTAAAATTCGGCAATTTCTTCCCGGTTGAGAAACGTTGCACTAGGCCTGACACGGGCAAACTACGGGTCGGGGGCCAAATTAGGCCCGTTAGGTAATTTATTCTGGCCCGCCTAATACTGCCGCAACCAAACTGATACCAAATTTTGATATTCAGCTGAAAAATAGCTCAAAGAATTTGATGAGAATGCGATTTAGTTTTGGCACAAGGCTTATTGTTTCCTACTTTTGCTTTTGTAACACTGTAAATATTGTTAATGAAATGTAACTTCCTATGTCACACTAGGGGGGCAAAATTTTTGGCCTTGCCCACTCCTTCAGCCCACTTTATTTTACCAAGAATCAGAAAAATTTGTTAAACTAGATAAATCATATTGTAGCCTATGTGTAATTTCCTTTTTTGGATTTAGATAAAAAAGAAGAAACGGAAACCTAAGACCAAATCAAAACCGAGAGAGGTTGCGAGTCCTACGGGTGTTGTTCAAGGAATTGAGCAATTGAGTTTCGATCAAGGTCAAATGTCAGGGGTTAGAGGTCGTCCTTCATGGATTAGAGTCACAAGTTCAGAGTCTGAATATTCTGACACAGAAGGAGCACAAAGAGCTAAGTAAGTATTGACCAGGGCATTGAAGTCAAGTTTTCGGTACTCCTGAACAGTGTTCCCTCTAAGGTGTGCGAGTGCGCACAGGCATAGATTTACTGCGCACAGACATATTTCGATGTAGTGTAAAAATGTGCTCGGTTGGCGGGTTGAGAAAGTTTGTTTTTGGCCCACTTATTACCCGGTTAGAACGCCAAAATTTCTTCATTGGTTTTTGCACAAATATTGGTCATTTCCAAAAAAGTGCGCACACACCAAAATTTCTGCGCACACATACTACAAAAAATTAGAGGGAACACTGCTCCTGAAATATGTGAACCAAGGTGGCGGACCCCGGAATGTAGTATGTTTACCAGGTGAGGGGTAGTCGATAATATTAGGTACATATACTACAGGAGTCACTTGGATAATCCCCGGACTCGTAATGGAACTAAAATAAGGAAAATTGGAATAAAATGATGGCCTAACCTGGTACCGTCTTGGTTCACATACTTCGGGAGTACCAAGTTTTCATTGTATCCGGAGTCGCATTTGCAATCTTTCCAGAAATGGAAGTCAAAATTCTGAATTTGGTTTTATTAAATTTCAGTCTTCTAATAGAGATAAGTAAAATAAAAGTGTAACCTGGAGAAAAATTATTTCACTTTGCGTGTTATTATCAGTCTACTAGAAATAACTTGCATGGGCCAAAGTTTTATTATCTCAGCTTGGTATCATGAAGTTTGGAGCTTGATTGAGAATGAGATTTTTTTTTATTTCCTGAATTTTGGAAAATTGTAAACTCTGACATGCTAATGAAAAATGCTTATTTAACTTATTAATCCATCCCCAATGTAGATAATGCTTGTAGAGATCCTAGTCCAAAGCGAATTGCATTTGAAAAGTTGTATTGAAAATATGGACCTCCTGAAGTATGCGCACCAAGATGGCGCACAACCTGAACTAAGGTTGTGTACCAGGTTAGGGTTCAGGTTATGCGACATTTTCAGTACCGAAAATACTATCATTAAAACTGATATTTATTATTTCAGACTTCGATCTTTCTTGAGTAAAATTCGTCAGATGTGTTTGAGTGTGTTGTATCTTACAATCAAGAAAACAGACAAACACACTATGCTTGGTTACTGGTCTTCATTTCTGCCAGAATATTCGTCGGTCATGCAGAACGCTTCTTCATTATTTACTAGTTTTAGACAGGTAAAGAGGATTTTCTCTAGTCTCTAATAAAAATGTGAACGAACCTTCTTTATGGAACAGTCAGTGGTTCTCAAACTTTTCAAGTCGTGCCTCGTTTTAGAATTTGTCATGTATCGCTTCCCAACTCAAAAGTAACTATAACCGACAATGAGCTACAAATAGCAGATAGTAAGAAAAAAGTACAGTATGTTTTATTCCAAAAAATACATTGGAAATATGTAGAGCAATCTCTAAACAAAAAAGAAATCTGAATATCCAAAATAAATCAAATCTTACAAATATTTGCGGATTAGTGGAGTCTTGGGATTTAAATGGCTTTGCTCATGGTCCTATACGGGGATCGAGACCACATTTTTTTAAATTCTGTGCAAATGAAATTTGTTTAAGAAATTATTTCTAAATTTCAACAAAATAAACAAGTTCAAAAACTTACATTTCAGGACTCTGCTCCTAAATGTCGTGCTGCTGCTCTCGGAGTAGTGGGTGCTATGCTTGAAGGCAGTCGTTGGTATTTATCGTTTGCAGCAGAGGAGACGGGGTCTCCATCACAGCACGCAACGTCGTCGTTTGTACCATTTTCTGTCTCTCTAGCGGCCTCCATTCGAGAGATCCATAAACAATTACTTTCAACTTCAAGCAGAGAACAATCAAGCATGGCTTTGACGCAGTTACTAAAGGTGGGCTTTTGATTTGAAAATGTGTTTTATCTGGGGCTGTGCAGTCGAAATCTGTGATAAGATTGATTTCAAGTTTGAGACGGGTGGAAGCGTATTTTTAAACTTTCGGAATTAGGAGTCGAAATCTTGATTTCAACAGAATTTCAGACTTATTATAGCGATAATCAGGAGCGTAACCAGGAATTTTCAAAGGAGGAGGGTAATGAAGTTTTCCTTATGAAAAGTCAGATTGAAACAACAGCGGGTTTTCAAAAGTCCAAAAAGCGATCAAGCTTCAAAGATTGGTATGTATGATGCAACTACCCCTGGAGTGAATTTCTTTGTTTTCAGGGATAATCAAGGTCTAGCTTTGAGCCAAACTATAGACCCGTATGTACTGTAAAATGTACGGCAAAACCTGATACCTTGTGATATCGTCAGTGAGATCATACCTAGCGTGATGGCATCATGCATGGCTGTTGTTGTTGCGTCATCATACCTGTTTGTGATGACATCATCCCAGATTGTGATGTCATATTTCCATGGTGTCATTATACCATGGTTAGGCTTATGGGGTTCTGGGGGGAAAATAAAACTATTTCATCAAAGTGGGCTCAGCTCAAATGCTGTAGTAGGATTTTCTAACTGGTTTTATTGTTTTTACTATCAGACACTTTCTACACTTGTGTCTAACACACCATATCGTAAAATGAAACCGGGATTGCTTGTTAAAGTTTCGTCGCAAGCCAGATATTTTTTAACAACATCTCGAGATTTGAATGTCAAGGTTGCAAGTCTTGTTTTGTTGGGGGCTGTTACATCAACATCAGCTCCAATGGGTGAAGTTGCAAGCATTTTGACAGGTTAGTGGTCCACAAACTTTTTCATACTTTCCGGGTGCTCCCGAAGTATGCGAACCAAGATGGCGGACATCGGAACGTAACATGGGTAACAGGTTAGGGTTAGGCGATAATTTTTTTCCAATTTTCCTTATTTTAGTCCTATTATCAGTTCGAAGACTAGCCAAGAGCCTCCCGTAGTATTTATACCTAAAATTATGGCCTAACCCTAACCTAGTACACATATTACATTCCTATGTCCGCCATCTTGGTTCGCATACTTCGGGAGCCCCCTTTCCTCTTTTTGCTTATTTTAAAACTTTTTACTCCCCATCATTTTGTGTAAAGACTCATTTACCCTTTTTTATGGGTCATTAACTAATGATTACGGCTGGGCATTTTTGAATACCTGATGATTTCAGAATTGAATCGCATATTTTTTTCGATCGCATTTGATCGAAGATATGTCATTGTACGTGAAATCAGAAAATCCATGACTCAGTGAGTTAGCTGAGAATGCACACACAAGAAGAAACAAGTTTTGGAAGATAGGATTATATGTCATAATTGCATATTAAAAGTATGGCTTTGACGCTAAAAAATAAGGAATCTAATATCAATCATAATAACACAAAAATACCACTGGAATGATAAACGGGGCCATGGGTGCTAGAACCCCTTGAGGGGGGCCACAAGTCCTAATACGTTGGTAATCATTGTTCCATTGTTTATAGACTCCACACCACTGTATGCAACAAGGCAATCAAATTCTGGCAACCATACTCCTGTATTGCCTACATCTGGCAACCATACTCCAGTGTTACCTACATCTGGCAACCATACTCCAGTAGAAAACAGGGAAATATCTGGCAACAGTGGTTTTGGATCTTGGCTGATTGATCAATGTGTGATGATTGCTACACAAACAAGAAGAGTGCCAGCACAAGGGTCTTCACAGGTAGATCTTGTGATTTTATGTTAATATTTTATTGTAAAGCAATAATTTTGTTCATTTTCCTGATATTCAGTGCAAAACGAAATAGATTTTGAAAATAAATGATGATACCTAACCTGGTACACATACTACGTTCCGGTGCCCACCATCCTAGTTGACATACTTCAGGAGTACCGAAATCCAATCATTAATCATAAAGTACCAAAGTTTTTAAGTCTAACAAAATCTTCTCTTTTCAGTATACTGAAGTGGACCAATCAGAAGTTCCACTTCCTCTCAGAGTTGAAGCATTACAGACATTAACGAAGATTACAAAAGGATATTTGCCTGTTGTTAAGTGAGTGTGCAACTAATTTGCGTAGTCAGGATTTTTCAAAAGGGATGGCACTGAAATTTGTGATTGCCAAGTTAGACTGCATAGGCTAGTGCAGTGTTCTTCAACCTTTTTTATCGTGGTATACCTTTTACAATTTTTCAAGAACTTCGTATACCTTATTTAAGACCTAAATGAACATTGAATTTAAGCACATATTGTACTGCAGTATCATCATGCAATCTAATAGGCTAGTGTCCGCAAGTTATAAATGTGACTGACGGCCTTAGCGGCAACGGGAATAATGTAATATTCAACGCCAATCAAACGAAGTTCATGGCAGCCGAAATCACCAACTAGACATGTGACAGCATTAGCTATATAATTTGTGATGTGGCCAATGTGCTCACGTCGGTTCTTAGAGTAAATGACACTTTATATTTCATGTGCGCTGCGTTTGCATTGTTGTCTCCGCTTAAATATCCTATAATTTATTATATTAGAGTTTAGAATCCCTGATTTAGGCTGTGCACCCTCCGTATACCCTTTATCAGTTGTATACCCAACGTATAGTCCGTTACACACTAACACTCTGGTATACCGTATACCCGGTTGAAGAGCACTGGGCCAGCGTGTAGGGCCGGAGGCCCGAGGCCGGAAAATTTGAGCCTTGCTGGTCTAAAAAGCGTTTTAAGCTACGAAAAATTGCTATGTATCATGGAAAAATGCTTTTTTTCACATTTCAAAAGAGGGAGGGTGTTTCCACCCTCAAACCAAAGCCCTCCCTGGTACGCCCTTTGTGCAACTCTGTAAGATTAATTGAGCAAGTTTCTACGATGGAATAGCTCTTTAATACTTATATTTAATCATAGTTGCATAGATGATTAGTAAGGCATAAGATTTCAATTGCGAGTGCCGAAGATTTCAATTGCTCAAAATAAAGAAAAACAACAAATTCTTTACAGAGACTACATAAATACTATAGGCGATGTTGTTTGCCAATGCTTAGAAGACTCAACACCACAGGTTCGTGTGAATGCAGGAAAATTACTTGAAGAACTGGGAAGCAGTTTGTTACAAATGATGAAAAGTTCGCCTTCAAAAGCTATTGAAGATGAGGCAAGTTTCAACTATAAATTGTATCTGAAATTCTAACTTCAGAATTTACAACTATCAAACGAACCAAAATTATGCTATAACAATAGGCACTCCTGAAGTATGTGAACCGAGATAGTAGACACCGGAACGTAGTATGTGTACCAGGTTAGGGTTTGGCCATAATTTTAGGTACAAATACTACAGGAGTCAATTGGCTAGTCCCAGAACTCGTAATAGAACTAAAATAAGGAAAATTAGAATAAAATTATGGCCTCACCCTAACCTGGTATACATACTACATCGATGTCCGCCATCTTGGTTCACATACTTTGGGAGTACCTAAGAATATTATCAATTCTTAAAATACACCATAGTTTTTAAGAAAGAAATATGTTAATCAAAATATCTTTTTTGTAGTGGCAGAAATATATATAATGTCCAAATTTGCATCCAATATGTATGTATAAATATTTTAATTTAGATGTAAAATGGCCTAGTTTACAAACTAAATCACCGACATTCACATAATTGTATTAACACATTGCTTTATTTCGCAGAGTCTCAATCTATGGATTAAAGTACTTCAAGGCCCCTTACAAGCTGTCATGCAGGATCGTAGCAGTCCGGTGTTACAAGGCAAAGGATGTGATTCGTTGTCGAATATCGGACCTCTAGTGTTTCCAAGATTACCGGTATTTTTTTAATGTTTTTTTATGTTTTACCAATCTGTGCAAACAGTCACTTTACAGAGCTACTATTCTCAATAGGACTGGAACCCCGATTACCAGTATTTTTCCATGTTTTTTCATGTTCACCACTACAAGCAAGGCTCCACAAACTGCCATTGATATGTACAAAGCTTTAGCTATAAGATGAGAAGGTCCAACTGTTTAGAACTCATTATAGTTAGACTATGGGTACTTCCATAGTATGTGAACCAAGGTGGCAGACACCGGAACGTAGTATATGTACCAGGTTAGGGTTAGGCCATGATTTTATTTCAATTTTCCTTATTTTAGTTATATTACGAGCTCGGGGACTAGCCAGGTGACGTCTGTAGTATTTGTATCTGAAATTATGGCCTAACCTGGTACACATACTACGTTCCAGTGTCCGCCATCTTGTTGCACATACTGCAGGAGTACAGACTATGATATTAATGCAAGTCAATGAATAGACTTATTTTGCAGAGAGTTATTATGTTACTTTTATTATAATTTATTTATCTTTTTATTACTTGCAGTTCAACACACAATATCCTAGTACCCCTTGGTCTGATTAGTTTACTATCAATCTCTTCAACTAATATAATTTTTCTGCTTTTGTTATTTTCAGAAAAACCTTCAAATATTCTGTCTAACTCTGCTACTAGGATTCACATCAGATGAGAACGCTCTTGTTCGAGCGCCCGCTGTTCGGGCTTTGGGCGTCTATGTTATGTTTTCTACATTGAGAGAGGTATGTTGGAACAGCGGTACTCTCATTGGAATGTGTACCAAGTTAGAGTTAGGCCATAATTTTATTCCGATTTTCCTTATTTTAGTTCTATTACGAGTTCCGGACTGTCTTGTGTTAGTTAAGTGAATATACCCCCTGCCCATAGGTTTCAGTCCCTTTACTCAACTCGATGTAAAGTAGGCAAACAAAATTAGTTATTGGCACACACACTTCTACTCAGATTTTTGATAAAATCTATTAAATTTCCAGGATATAGCGTTTTTAGAAGACGTCACGAATGCCGTGTTACGACTTCTCGAGGATCCGTTCCTAATCGTTCGTGCGAACGCTGCTTGGTCACTCGGAAATCTCACCGATACTTTGGTTATTAATAAAGAAATGCATGGGGGGTTCACTGATGAATTCCAGTGTTCACTTTTGATACGAATGTTTGAGAAAGCAATACAGGCTATCAATGATAAAGTTAAGGTATGTGAAGTTAGGGGAACGTTTGCGCTCCTGTTGTATGTGAACCAACGACACCGGAACATAGTATGTGTACCAGGTTAGGGTTAGGCGATAATTTTATTACAATTTTTTATATTTAGTCTTATTACGAGTTCGGGAACTTGTCGAGTGACTCCCGGAGTTACTTGGCAGTTATGGCCTAACCCTAACTAGGTACACATACCACGTTCTGGTGTCCACCATCTTGGTTCACATACTACATAAGTACCAACGTTTTAATGAGATATAGTGTTCCCTTTTAATACAAAATGTTTAGGAAGACAATATAAGCTATCAAAGATATTTAAAGTATGCAGAATTATGGAAATGTCTTCATAAGTTGTTGCCTTGTTCTATGTATCGATTAGAATTTAGTGGGACTATCTACTTATCTTCTGATAATCGAATAAAATATATAATATTTTTATACAACATTCTATACTCTATTTAATGCTCTCAAAACAGAACTTTTACAGTATATGAATTAAAACTAGATGCTCCATTTGGTTTAAGCAAATTGGTGTTCATTCAGTAATCAGTAGTAATCAGTCGTTTATTTTATCATCATATAAGAAATACACACCGTACATACCGAACGAGATAAGAAAAGAGAGGAAAATAATGCATTCCGGGTGGAAGGGAACGCGATAAACCAGTATTGGTTGGTGTTCTGCAAATGTTAGTTGCTACATGTCTAAAAAGCTTGGAAGTTAGGAGTATGCTCGCCATCGCACCTCTGATTACTTGCGTGGGGTTTCAGGTTCGAATCCTGTGGAAAATGCTTGTGTACAAGAAGATTGTAGACTCTCCGCCACTGTAGGATGTAGCCCTGGTGGGTTACGACTTTCTCCGCCATGAAATCTATTTGAAACAAATAACTAACTAATTCCATACCTGACATGGACTAGCAAGTGAACCATAGGCTCAATTGCACTATAGGATTATTAAACAGTCCTATTTACTTTCCTCTGGTATGAATCCTATCCTTTTCACTGTGTCAAACCCCCTTAATGCCTAATAAATATCATTTCACAGGTTGTCTTTAACATGATGAGAGTGCTTGGAAATTTACTCAGATTCTCTGACACAAATTATTTGAAGAATCAAAAATTTGAGGAATTAATGTTGAAGTCTACGAATATACTAGCTGATATGGTGGCTGGGGATGTTATGGTCAAGGTTAGTTTGTTTTTTCATGATGGACGTCGCTGAGAATAGGACTTAATACAATAAGCTATTCGGAGATATTTTTCAATACCTCTTATCGGCGTTGTTCTAAATTAGCTGTATTTTTTTATTATTAGTTCACGCTTATGAAAGTTGCACTCTGTTACACCTGAATTCTGTACATCAACTCAGCCACTGAGTAGATAAACTGTTCTTTCAGAAAAGTTGATAAGACAGCTTAATAATATTACAAACCACTGCGCTTTGTCCCGTCAGCAGTTAATGTTGGGTATTACTTAAATTACAGTACTAGTTCTGTAAATATTTAAAAAAGCTCACCCTTTACTCTAGTGGTTAAATAACAGTCTGTATAAGAGTCGAAATGATAATTTTATTTTGAATTTCAGGTTCGATGGAATGCCTGTACCGCCTGCAGTAACTTTTTACGAAATAAAGAGCTTCTCTTGGGTAACACCAAGTGGACAGATCATATATATCAAGCACTGTGTAACAGTGTTACCTCCTGCAAAAATTTCAAGGTGCGGAAATTTCAAATGATTTTAATATTTGTGGGGTTGTGTCAATGACCAAACTAATCCTTGTGTCTACTTATCAGATTGTCAAGTTAATCTCCCAATACTTGGTTTGACCTCTAGCGCCAATCCACTCATTTTTGCAGTTTGTAATTGATGACACTTCCTCGGTGATTGATGACCTACTGCAAGTCCATTTCGAAAATACTTTCTCAAAGCCCATAACTGCTTATGGGCCTGAGCGTCCAGGTTGAGAAACACTGTAATAAATAAACTCGTACACTGGGCTTTTATTAGCTCAAACGTCAACTAAGAGTCTTTAAGCTTAATTACTTTCAAATCAAAACACCATGCTATTAAAGGGCGAACAGTATGAGACAACAGGGTCAAATGTCGTGACTGTTTGATGCTTGCTATATGTTAAGACTCAAATCACCACATTTTAAAGATATTTTGAGCTTCATAAACAACTTTATTTTCAGGTTCGAATCAAAGCTGCATTGGCTCTTTCAACCCCGGTTAAGAGAGATCAGTTTGGATCAATGTTTAGTGAAATATATCGATCTTTAATCCATGGGTTTGAAGATAGTGACATGGCTGCTAATTTTACTGAGTATAAGTTCAGAGGTAAGTATCGAGGCTCTCCGTAAGTTCAATCGATTATTGTAAAAAATGGGACACCTGTAGTGTGTGTACCAGGTTAGGGTTAGGCCCTAATTTTATTCCAATTTTCCGTATTTTAGTTCTATTACAAGTTCGGGGACTGTCTGTGTTATCAAAGATAATATACCACATGCCCATAGGTTTCAGTTTCTTCACACAACTTGATGTGAAGTAGGCGAACAAAATTAGTTACCTCCATATTGGTACACACACTTTTGAAGCGTCTTAAAATATACGACGGGCTACAAACAACACTCTTCATATTGATTCTAGATACACTACAAGAGCAACTATGTACAACATTGGTTCATTTGACGACAATGATTCGACCAGAGGACGTCCCAACAATCTGTCGAAATCTGTCCGGAATATCAGAGAACATCAACCACCATTTAACAATCTACAGAGATAAATTATTGTTGAAACTAGAAAATGATTTAATTTCTAGCTCTGTTTCAGGTGATCAGTCAAGCATGACCGCAGACCCATCTAATCTACCAGCTGCAAATAATTACACAGAGCAGCCAGCAATGGAAAAAATAAATGGTCATACAAGCATGACTTGTGACCAGTCATCTGTGACCAATGGCCAAGCTGTTGTTGTTAGCGACCCAGTTGAAGAATACATAGTTGCTAAGCAACTATCGCCAAAACAAAAGCTTGAAAATCTTCAATTAGCTTGTGATCTTATAAGTATTGTTACAAATTCAGCACCTGATCCAAATGACAACTCGATACAACCTTCAGATATCAGCATAAACAATAAAATTTCCCATGATCCGAATTTACTCTGTAATTTGTTCAAATTTACCGAAAATGAATAACATATTGTTTTTTTAGTGGTTCCTAGCCTTTTTTGTTAATTACCTCCCTTTGGTTATTTTGGATCGCTTTATCCCCCCCCCCCCCTCAATATGCATAAAAAGTAATTACTTTTTCAACCTTCGATGGAGATTTAGTTAGTATTGTGCGTCAGTAGTACTCCTGCTTGTTTGCCGTTTGAATGATGCATAAATTACCATTATAGTGATAACGATAGAGAATTAAATTAGTATTTGTACACATACCAAGCAAAATCCCCCCCCCCCCCATGGGGAAAAAATACTGGAATTATCCAAGTGGGGAAATGTTGCTTTAGCTAAAATCAAGTTTGAATTTAAGATTTTTTGTTCACTTCCCCTAATACATTTTTGTTACTGGTAATTAAACCTAAGCTGCTACAAATCTTTACTCCCCACTTTTTTATGTCAAAGTTAGTACAATTTCTCTCTTTTTTGCACACTGTATAGTCTAATTCCATAGTGAATGGAAAAGTAAGGATGCTTGCTGGTTAGTTTTGATTATCCCTATTTTTACTCAATGTTCCTAAAAATACTATTTTTTTTTTGACATTGTTCAGCCTTCAGATATGAAAGCTTCCCATGGCCTAACTTTTTCAAACTTTTCTTAAATTTTTTTTAATTCAGTGGATTAGCATATTTTCTGTTTTAGTTCAGAACTATCAGCTTCTTGCACTGTTATGAATTTATACTCTAGTAATTCACGCCTTGTTTCAACTTTTTTTTTATATCAATCTTAGTGAAATTTTTCTCATTTTATTTTTTGTACACTTACTGATTACAGTTATACTAGTTTAATGGCAGATTAGCTATTATCATAACTCCTTTTACTCAAAAATTTTCACTTCCTATTTTTTTGTTTTGATTTCTCTTTTTTTATTTTTTTTTTGTCCCGGTATTTTTGTTCAAGTAGGTTGTTAAATATACTTATTCTTGAATCTAGAGCCCTTTGACCATCAACTTTCCTAAAATAGACTAGTAATTGACCAAAGATATTAAGGGGACCTCCTGAAGTATGCGCACCAAGATGGCGCAAAACCTGAACTAGGGTTGTGTACTAGGTTGGGGATCAGGTTGTGCGACATCTTGGTGCACATACTTCAGGAGAACCTATTAAGGACCTGGAATCATAGCTATGTCTCCCATGAATACGGTTAGGGAAATGGTTTGAGCTCCATCACTACTGTTGTGAATCAAATCTATGAACCATCAACGTTGATTAGGGGGTTCGGTAAGCAATGTTCCCTCTAATTTTTTGTAGTATGTGTGCGCAGAAATTTTGGTGTGTGCGCACTTTTTTGGAAATGACTAATATTTGTGCAAAAACCAATGAAGAAATTTTGGCGTTCTAACCGGGTAATGGGTGGGCCAACAACAAACTTTCTCAACATGCCAACCGAGCACATTTTTACATTACATCGAAATACGTCTGTGCGCAGTAAATCTATGCGTGTGCGCAGCCTCTGAAGCCTGTGTGCGCGCGCACACTCGCACACCTTAGAGGGAACACTGTCTGTAAGTATTTATAGGGGGCTGGAGATGCCAACTGAAGGAAGATAGACTCAGTAGGAGCAGTGGTGGGATTCAAATTTTTTGTCAGCCGGTTCCAGCACAAAAGTGATATTTTTGGCAAATGGTATCAAACGTATGTTTTGTTCAAGAAATATTTACTTTTGAAATCCAATATTTTTGATGCCGAACACCCTACCTTTTGTTTTAGTCGTCATATCAACTACTTTTTTGTTAAGTCTGGCTCTTCTTGACTGTGAAAACCCTGCTTATGGGATAAAGGTAAATAAAAAGTTGGTGGTGTTTACTGGCGTTGAAGCCGTTTTTCAGACATCCTGATGTGGGTCTCGCTGTCTTTTTTTCCAGTCCCATCTGGCATGAGCTTGGTTCACAGGGGTTAAAACCGTTTTTTTTGTTTGTTTGTTGTAGTTAGGGTCATCGCACACTTCTGGTTTTACTTGTCGAACCTTGTGGGTACTCCGTGTCTCCCGAAGTACACCCCGCGAGTACCTCTAGTTGGCCTGGCTCAACAATTTTGTATATGTCGTTCCTAACCCCCATCTACGTCATCCAAAAATTACATCACTGCGAAGTTGCAGTGACTATCGTAGCCATATTTGAGCAAGATCTATGCTCCGCGCGAACTTCAGGAGACCCGGTACTCCCATCAACTGAAGACTTTGACAGTAAATACCTTTTCTTAATGGGGACTTCAGTGGGGTAAAATGAAGGTAAAGGGACTGACTGAAATATAGGCGCAGATGTGGACAAAGCTTAAGATTGGTTATTGTCTGCTGATGTCAAAAAAGCCTTCTGTATTTTTACGATTCTAATAAAACGCACTGTAGAAGTACATAGATAATAAAATAAAGGGAGTTCTGAAATAACAAATACTGGTTATTAGGCAGCGACGTAGTGAAAAAATCTTGACTATCGTGTGAAAACAGGACCTTGGCATCGTAAGTGACGGCATTATTTCTATTGTCTGCAATTAGTAAGAATTCTTGCGTCTTACCTGATGTGAGATTTTTTACCCATGTCAATCGCAATGGTGCTTTCGCACCAGAAAAAAACTGATTTCGTAGATGGGATTCTGACGGGCCTTATCAGGAAACTGAAACAAATGTAATCCCTGTCTGAGGAGGCAGGTTACCTTTCACAAGTTTATAAATAAACCATTTTGAAAAAATATATTTTGAGAGGATATAATCTAGTTTTTGATGTTAGTATTACTTGCCAAATGTATTGAATACTCAAATCTCTCTATTACAAAAACTGATCCGAATGTCAGATTTGATAATCTAGTTTTTGATGTTAGTATTACTTGCCAAATGTATTGAATACTCAAATCTCTCTATCAAATCTGACATTCGGATCAGTTTTTGTAATTTGTGAATAAATAAATAGGTTTTGAGTCTAGTTCCCAGGAATAAATAAATTTAAACTGAACTGGAGGTAGGTAGGCTAGTATTACCCCTTTTTAAAGAGTGAAAACGTCACAAATGACGTATCTTATTGAAAACGCCGATGTCAGCGCGACGTGTTACTTAGGCTGTAAATAACTCAATTCTGGTTTAATCTCCCGAAATCATCCTGGATGCGGCTCTGGTAGGTACAAGTGTCTTCACACAAATTTGAATAGACGAAAGCAATCCTTTTCAATCCACTCTTAAATTTGGACCATTCTATAACATAACAATTTTAGTCCGCAAGTTAAAAAATTTATTGTCTCTCGTAACGCTCTGCTGTGACAGAGCGCCTCCTGTGTAGTTCAAAAATATAACATCCAGGGATGTCAAAAAAGAATATGATATTCATATACATTCAAAGTTCATTTTATTCAACAGAGTAAATTTTGGAATAAATTAGAACATTTTTATTCAAAAACTATGGAATTCCAGCTGTCAAAAATATATATCCAAAGTGGACTATAGTAAAAGGTGTGAAAATCGATTAAACTGAAACTTTGAATTATTGAAAAATAAGTCTAGATATCCCATGTATAGTTAAATCTAGACTTATCGTTATGCCCTCTTTCTAAAGCAATGGTTCTCTTTCTTTCGTGGCCCATTTTCGTTGCACACTGATTCTGCAGCCCACTCACTTTTTCATGCTGGGAAAAAACTCCAAGAAAAACATACAATTCTTTCCGCAAAAATAGCATTATTAATAAGTGAAAATTATCACCCTGTAATTACCACCAATGTTCTAGAAGCAAAGAGATTTAGAGTCTGCGAAATATATAGACACTTAAGCCGTTGTTTCTTTTTGTTCCTCTCCCTCTTTTTCTGCGTCTCGTTCCTTAATTTTCTGCTCAATCAGTCTCCTCCTTCGCAAATGTTGAGCAAAAAATATTAATGTCGGTTCAAGTGGGAGAAAACCAGCAAGTCCAAGTAGCCTTCGTACGGGTCGTGTTATATGAGCTCCCATTCCAATATGGTATTTGATTCGCTCGAAATTTAAAGCGCAGGTTTTTTCGTTAAAAATATTCGGCATGGGATCAAAAGTCCCTAACTGTTCTATCTCGTACTTGTCTCGAGGGCCGTAATGCGGCCCAACAACGACTCGGTAATATTTTCTGTTCGTACATCCGGCTACTGCAAGTCGAATTACGTTTTCAGCCTCTGCTTCTATTTTATTATCCTCTTGACGGCGCCAGACGTTCATTTTTGTTTTTAAATTGTTCCCTCCCCGAGCAGGGAATCTTTTTCTTGATACTTTTGTTTTGATCCACCATTGCCGATTAATGTTATGAAAATTAAGTAATCTAGTTAGATTTACCATATTTAAATGTTTCTGTGAAAGAGACATGCAGAGATACATTGAAGAGACTGAAATTATTCAAAAAGGGAACTTGATAGTCTTGTTGATTTGGCTTCGCAAAGTAAGACATAACTTGACACAAGTAAGAACTGAAAGATTGCAAAAATTAACTGTGGAAAACTAATTCCTTTTATCTATAAATGAATTAAAATTCTCGCACAGTAAAACTATTTCCTAATATTGCATAAGATCAATTTAAAATCTTATAAACAATGATATCATATTTAAAAGTGAAAAATAACAAGATCAGGAAGTACTATTTATAGTTTTTGACAAAAGAAAGACAAAAAACAACTAAACTTGACTATTCATAAAATCTTCATCAGAGGAAAAATTGCATAATTAAACAAAATAATTCAATTCTTTTTGTTGGGACATGCAGTTCATATTCCTTATAGCTTAAGGGGAATTTTTTGTTTATTCTGGGTAAAGGATGTCGATAAACTGTACTTACATAAATAAATAGATAACATTATCCTTAAATTGGGGAATTTCGGACCATACTAATCCCCAAAAGTCCTTCGGGATAAAATTTTGTCCTGGATTTTTTGAATAATTATCTACAGAAATCTATATGAATCTTTCAACAAAATTTATTCCTATTACGCTTGGACTTCCGTACTGGTATTTCAAAAACAGTTCTACACAGATTAAACAATAAATCTATGAATAAAATAGTTCAATAAATTAATGATTTTTGTTTCATAGCATAGTTAGTTATTTTCAATAGGATGTTTCAAATTATATTAATATATAGAATAACATAAACAATTGGCTAATATAAGCGATAAGGTCATGTTTTATGCTAAAAATAACTGTGGGTCTGGATAGTTATAAGCAATTACTAAAAGATCTGTATAGCATAGGGTGTCCATAAGGTCCTAAAATTGCAAAGGGAATTTATTGATACTATATATTGTTTTGGCCCTCACAGAAGTAAAAATACTTGAATAATTTCCGATTAAAAACAACAAATTTGTTTAATATATATAGAGAACTGACTTCATAACAAATTGAAATTGTAAACGGACTTTATGGACACGCTGTGCTTCAGCAATATGTTGTAGTCTTCCCTGAAAGAGAGGAGTACATCTCAACAAATCATAAGTGCACAGTGGCTTTACAAATATTTTCCCAAATCAACGATTGATTCCAAATAATATTGGGGAATCAATTTCCTGATTTCGGGGTCAGTGCTTTGTTGAATCTCATTCAGTTTTTGGTGAGTCGTGACCCCCGTCATTACAGCCAAAGTTTGTAAGTTATTGTTTTTTCCGAACAAAATATCGGTGTCTAAACGATCTCCAATCATAATTGCTTTGTTGCAGTCGATATCAGTTCCCTCCTGTAAAAAGAGAGCAATGATTAAATACATGGGCTGGCGCGATGACTTAGTGGTTAATAAGATGCTAGACTTAACTGTGTCTGCGTAGCCGATTAAACCTGTCAAATCCCATGTCACACAGGGTGTAATAAATAAGGTAATGCCAAAGATTCCAGGTTCCCCAAATATTAGTAGCTCTTTACATATGGCCTCATACTGAAAACTATATATGGTTACATAAATAATTGGACCATATATTTGGATACAATTTCCCAAATACATATCGGATAAGCTTATAGAAATTTTGTCAATGTCATGAATGAATGATCACTAACACACATTTTATGTCTCACCTTGATGCAATCAAACATGACAGAATCAGGTTTTCCACATATGACATCGGGTTCATGTCCTACCGCTGTGATCACAGACTTCACAAGGGCTCCTGTGCCAGGGAGTTTGTATTCAGAGTTTTTCAAAGGGAACTGAGCGTCCATATTTGTGGCGGCAAATATTGTACCTTCTTTGGCTATGTAGGATGCTGCCTGTAAATATATTGATAAACAATAATTTAATGTATCAAGTAAATTGGTTGAATAAATTATAATCTCTCGCGACCCACCCAAAAAATAAAAAAAATACCTATCTAACAATAACAGATAGTAAGTATGTTTATTCAAAAAATATGTGGATGAAATGAATGTAAATATCCAAAATAGGACAGGCAAGATCAAATCTAACAAAATTTTTCATTTGCTTCGCCTTGTGGGGTGCAGCCCACCAATTTAGACCCAATTAATTGCATGAAAGAAAATGTGTGTCTTAAATAAAATACGACAAAAATGAAACCAAGAGTCTAAAATTCAGGATTAACAGCATTTATTTGAAGCTAACTTGAGAAGTCGATTGTAAATTTTCCCCAGACTTCCCAAACTTTCTTCTTCACAACAATAAAATGAGCATACCTTTATGATTTTTGCGTAACTGAAGTATCCATCAAACGCAGTTACAACAGCTCTCACATTCTTTTCTAACGGTCTAGAAAAATCAGAATGCAAACTTATAATTGAAGTATCTGGCCCAACACCGAAACTCTCAATACCAACATTTTCCAATTCTTCGGCAACTGCTGAGCTTCCCATAATGTAAACTTTTTCACCTTTTTTAACATGGTGTTTGAGATACAATGCTGTAGTATAGGAGGTACAGAATATATCCTCAAGAGACGCTTCAATTTTATATTGAATAATTTTCTCATAATATTGTTGTCTAGTTTTTGTGCTGTTATTCGTAACAAAAAGAACTCTTTTTCCTAATGCATGTAGTTTATGTATAACCTCCGCTGCGCCAGGATAAATATGTCCTGTGGTCCAAAGTACGCCATCGCAGTCAAAAAGAAAGAAATCATTTTCTTTGATAATTTTGGACGCAATTTCCTGACTGTCAGCATTAATTATTGTAGACATCTTAGTCTTAAATTACTCGTAGATTACTGTCTGACTGTAGTTTCTATAACACAGTCAGTGTCAGACTGCAGGACTGTAATACCAAACAAAAATGTGATTTCAGGATGTAACATTTTTATTGTTTAATAAAGTCTGTCTGGCGCAGTATGAAATTCTCGACAGACCTCACGACCTACTCAATTTTCAACTAAACAGATATTTCCTATGTCAAATAGGGTCTAGCATAGGCTGTATTTTTAGATCACATTTTTGCTGGGATTATCCAAGCAGTGGGTCTCATGTAGTTTCTTACCTAACATACTTCTAGTGGGCGTAGCATGACAATTTTTTCACGTATCAATCCTAACCCCCACTTGACTACACCTTCCAAAAATTACGTCATTACGACGTCACAGTGACGTAATAGAGCCCTTCAATTAAATTAAGCACCTCCCGTCCTCCAAAGTAACGTATCAATAATAAAGTAATAACTTCCTCGCTACAAGCAAATAAAACATCCTTTACGAAAAATCATAGGAGCAAGCACCATGACGCGGTCGACATCGATGGCATCACTGAAATGCCACAAAACTGTCGGTGCCTCCTTCCTCCGCGATCGATTTGAATTTATTTGAGACGAACTGGGCATACTGGTCGTTTTGCTGTATTGTGTTGTTGTTGATCTTGTTGGTATTTTTGGGCACTTGGGTGGACCTAGGGATCGTTTTAATATTATGTTGTTCTTGTTCTTGTGGTTTTTTCTCACAGAAAAAAAAACGCTTTTCTCTTTGATTACTGGACCAATTGCTTTTCAGTGCTTAAAGATTATTTTTTTTGCTAGAAGGCTTCTATTTATTTCAAATAATCCGGTGAGCTACATGGAATTCGTTTTTTGTGTGCTATAAAGTCATCCGAATTTGCCACTAGGTGTCGCTATGTGTCCATATATCTGAGCATAGCTCTCTCGTTCTTTTGTTGTTATGAAGAAATCGCTTTTCTTTTCTCACTGACTATTAAACCAATTGCTTGGTATGCCGATATACCAAACCGATATGCACGGTACGAAAACTACTTTTTTTTGGGTTTCGTCTCCATATCCATGTCAGTCTCGCTCATTTGTTTGTATTCAAATAAAAATAAATTAGTTGATTTTTAATTACCTTTTTTCAATTTTTGAATCCTGTGGGATTCTTTATTTCAAATTTTGTCGGATTTTATTATCCAGTCATCCAGTTTGGTCGGGCAAAGGGCAGTTTGTTGCTTAGTTTGATGATTTAAATAATAATATTACATTTTACTCTTACTTGACCTTTGATTTATTCATTCTCATGCATAACAACATCTATAATTTGTTCATCCTCAAAACTATTTTTGAAGTTAGTTACAAGGGGCTGCATTATCAGATACTCGCCCCGTGCATCAGAAACTAGCCCGGCCAGCAGAAAAGTTTGACACTCCCCTGGTCACATGCTTAAGGTATCGTACCTTACCGACTTCCCATCCCAGCGATAAATGTATATATATATATCCTATCCATTTCTAACTTGTGACTGTGAAGTACGACAATTCTTTGTATAATTTAGGCGCCCTACCGAACTCCCACTTTATTGACGTAACCATGAAGTTCTATATAATTCCACGGTTTCAAAATAAAATCTCATGGATGTCCTAGGGAGGTAAGATTTTTACGAGGCTTAATACTTTCTAAAAGACACTCATGTTCTCAAGATATAGAGACTTTTCAAGCATAAGAAAACATCATCATTATCTGATTTGCTTTATTGAGAAAAAAAAACTAAAAGAGTGCAAAATTGCTCGAAAAAAATATATGTACTGCATGAAATTAGTCAAAAGATGTGCAAATATTAGCGTCACTGAACAGTTAGGCTACAAAAATATTGCTAGATAAGCAACCGAGAAAAAGTTAGAATCTATATTGACAAATATCACTAGAATTCAAACGAAATCAGTTGTAAAATTAAGCTCTTTCTAGTTATGTTCATCGATTAATCCGAATCAACATGAATAAAAAACTATATCAGAACTAAAACAAATTCTAAATGCCAATGGAAGTTGTATGTTGTAGTTTTATACTTATTTTAATCGTAACAGCCAAAACAAAGGTTTTTGCATATTTGAAAGTGGACAGGAATTTTTTTTATCTATCTGAGATCTGTTACGTTTTGGTGCGCACGTATATATTAAGCTACTAAATATTGGAAGAATGAAGTCATGCAAGTTAGAGGTCATCTATGCTGTAATTTTTTATCTTTCATAGAACGTTGGTATCAAACTAGACCAGTTTACAGAAGGAGTTTTGAAAGCGAATCGCTTCTAGCTAAAATGAACTATAAGGAATTAAAATTATAAGGCTTAGAATTATAGTCATGATTCGTCCGTCATCATAAGATCAGTCTGATTATTTGATTTTTAACCTCTTCTTCTCTTTCTTGATTTTTTGCTAGATTTGCTCGACTTCCCGGATTTGGGGCTCTTGGGAGATTTTTTTGACTTTTTGCTTGATTTTTTGGTTTTTGGGGATTTTTTGCTAGACTTCTTTGACGATTTGGAGTGGGGAGACTTTTTGCTCGATCCGTGGGTATGGGGAGACTTTTTGCTAGATCCGTGGGTATGGGGAGACTTTTTGCTTGATCCGTGGGTATGGGGACTCTTTCCTGAACTTGATTTTCCTGTCTGTGGTGACTGTGGACTATTCTACAAAACAAAAAATAAGCTCGATTAGATTTCTGAAAACAGACTTTGCATTTTATTCCGACGATAAAGTAAACTCGATGTGATTTTTGAATTCGATTTTTGAATTTTGGATTCCTGACAAGATAATTCCCAAATCAGAATTCGAAATTTAGGGAGTGGTGAATATTTTGTTATCAGCGATAATATGTTTGAAGATTGAGGGGCGGGGGGGGGGGGGGGGGGAGATCGGCTCCACAAAATTTATCGAATCTCACCGAATTATTCTGAAACAGGGTTGTGACAGAAGATATTTTTATAATAAAAATTTTAGTTGTGTGTCTAGTTACCGATCCATTCGAGTAACAGAATTGTTATTCAGATCGTTTACATGCTTAAGTTACATTTCCGCCTTTTCCATATATAAATCTTATTCATATCTGACTTGTTACTGTGCAGCCCGACAAACCGCATTTCTTAGTATGATTTAGGCGCCTTACCGAACATCCACTCCATGAGCGTAACCATAAAGTTCTATATAATTCCACAACTATAAATGTAATTCTCATAACTGCCCCACTTGTTGCAGACAGGCAAATTTATCGAAACGGTTTATTAGATTATAAGAGGTCGCAGATTTTTATTGCTTAGACTTGACTATTAAACGTACCTCTCCGCCTCCACAGTTTTTGTCGTTCTTTTTGCATCCGTTATTTCCGCCTCCGTTGCCACCGTTACCGCCATTACCACCGTTGCCACCATTACCGCCATTACCGCCACCTATGATTGAAATTGCATAAAATTAATCATTATTGAGGTTTACCAATTTTGAATAGAATGATTTTCAGGATTTATTGGCATATTCATAAGTATTTCAAGCATGATTGGACTTTTAGGTTCGGCCTTGGTAGTGCGAGTACCTTTTACAAAGGTAATTATATTACTTCAAAAATACTTATTATAATGCGCTATTGCTAGGTTTTTAATATGGCCTAAAACTCTCAAATTTGGGAAGATGCTTAAAATGTTATTAATGCTATTTGAATGAAGCTGGTAAATTATTATAGGCTATTTATTTATTTTTTTTGCAACCCTAAATCTAGCGAAAGAATTATTTTACCTCCTCCATTTCCACCGCCTCCTCCGTTGCCGCCACCGCCTCCGTTGCCGCCACCTCCTCCGTTTCCGCCATTTCCACCACCTCCTCCGTTCCCGCCATTTCCGCCACCTCCTCCGTTGCCGCCATTGCCACCTCCGCCTCCGTTGCCGCCACCGCCTCCGTTGCCACCTCCGCCTCCGTTGCCGCCACCGCCTCCGTTGCCACCTCCGCCGCCGTTACCACCGCCTCCTCCGTTGCCGCCATTTCCACCGCCACCTCCGTTGCCGCCATTGCCACCTCCTCCTCCGTTGCCGCCTCCGTTTCCACCTCCGCCTCCGTTGCCGCCACCGCCTCCGTTGCCACCTCCGCCGCCGTTACCACCGCCTCCTCCGTTGCCGCCATTTCCACCGCCACCTCCGTTGCCGCCACCGCCTCCGTTGCTGCCATCTAAAAGTTTATATGACATTATTTATTTCAGATCGAGACTTGAACTGGTACAAGACCCTATCTATCATTTATACATAAGAATATATATATTCGTGCATATACAAAAGCTGTGACATGATTTAAGTTACTTTATTCGTCTTTCTATTTCAGAGATAAAGTTAAACCCTATTCGGTCGGTAAATCGGTGTTCCTCTGAATGTAGGTTTAGGTGAATTCTATGATGGGGCATTACTAAGCTAATATTGTCAAACTATTTTGCCAATTTAGTTCTGAAATATTCCAAAATTTGAGTAGCACATTTCAAACCACCTCGAGTCTAGATAATTTACTGTTTGAGTCTCAAATTGATCGCAAATCCAGTCCGATTCATACGTTGTTTTAAAAATGAAACTAAGAATTATTCATGTATTAACCTCTTACCATTTACTAACATTTACATTTTAGAGATGCGTGCTATCCTTGCAACAATATGATAATATTATGGTATTGCAATATAACATTAATGATCAGTTGAGTTATTTATTAAATATGTCCATTTGAACGTGCCGTAATTATTAAATAAACAGCGTTTGTTAATTTCAAGCGGTACCTTTGAGCCGCAATGGTCCCTTAACCGCTCCGCGGGCCAATTACCGCGCTCCGCGGGCCCCTTTTAACAATTTGATATGGATCGCCGAACTAGAGTAAAATAGTTCATTTAATACTATATTTTTTTGCTTTTTGCGTTCTAGATACCGCCAACTGTTACTTCATTACTTATCGATCAAGATCGGTAAGTATGTTGATAGGTATTTGTCTGTTTGTTGCTTATCGATCTTAAGATCGGTAAGTATGTTTATAGGTATCTGTCTGTTTGTCTGTTAGATACACGCAATATCTCACGAATCTGCTTCAAATTCTGCATGTGCATTCATCATATCTCGTACCAGAAGCCTATTGATTTTGGGTGAATTATCTGGTATAATGAGCGAGTTATTAATTAGTTAGTGATGGGACACGTGGTGTCGCTAATATCGGAGCAAACATTTTATTTTTTATTTCATTTTTTTTTGACAATTTTTTTTTTCGACGAGTAAAATATTAAACATGCGGAAGATCGATAAGTGATAAGTGATTGAGTGATATCAAGGAGGGATTAGATCAAGTTATAATCACGTCTCCATGATTTCGTACCTTCGCATGCCGGATGGTCTCGCGGATGAATACACACTCCAACAGAGGTACTGAATACCGTGCCCGGAGCACATGGTCTTTGTAAAGATTGACCTGAAAAAAAAGTATATATATATATATATATTAATAATGTAACAATTTTTGTCGCTCCAGAAGTATGTGTACCGATAAGGAGGTAACTAATTTTCGCCTATTTTACATCAAGTGCTTTAAAGGGACTGAAACACGTGGGCAGGTGGTATGTTCACTCGGCTAACACAGATATTCCCGAACTCGTAATAGAACTGAAATAAGAAAAATTGGAATAAAATTCTGCCCTAACCCGAACTTGGTGCACATACTACGGAAGTACCCATTTTTTTTAAAATAATTTAAGTATAGTGGTTCGAATATTCAATCTTGACGATACTTTGTGAAATAAAAAATCGTTACCATGCACGCATTCATAATAGTACGGATAGCATCCTTCTTCATAAAGAAATAGAGTTCCTTCTGGATATGTACCGTCAGCACACGGATCACTTGAAGTACCTACAAAACGAAACCGCGAGACATCAGCTAACATATGATTACAAATATTTCTTCTGACAAATTTAAAGCTGTTTTTATCATAGAAATCTTGAAACAAACGCGCATGATAGCTCACTAATGACAAAAAATACAACGAACTAGATAAAATTCAATTAATATCATCGCTGCCAATATTTAGCAGGTTCTAAAATAGCAGTTGGGTATACTTATTGCTGCATGCAGCAGTATCTCTGAGATGATTAGATACGTCTATAGAGACATCCAATAGAGTTCTGCTAGCGATTGAGGCAATTGGTTGAGTTAGAGCTGTCAATTCACATCGGTTGACGACTCCATTCATTTTATGTTTTTTTAAGTTCAACCTTTTGCAGAATTTACCCACCAGCCATATAAATATTCTTATTTTTCATATTCTTGTCCTCGTATTTTTCTCGCAAACTGATATGGCATTTTATTGGAGTTTACTATGATGACTATCTGGCGACAGAGTTTGGAATTAAACTTGAAAAAATCAAACTTTAGTTATCAGATTTTTTACGCATTTGAATGATATAAATAAAAGTTCGAATTTAATTGTTTCCAAACAAATCTTGGTCGAGCGTTTAAAACTGATTTGACGCATTTTTGATCCATTTTCAAATTCAACACTGGTGCAAACCACCATCTGATGGAATAATGAATCAACATACGTAAATCCATATATTTGTGGCTATCTATCAGCCCATACTTACAGCCTGGTTCATATCAGTAATTTGAAGTTAAATAGGGAACAAGCCGTTACGCTTACCTCCGCCATTTCCTCCGTTGCCGCCATTTCCTCCATTGCCGCCACCGCCTCCGTTGCCGCCATCTAAAAGGTTGTATGACATTATTTATTTCAAATTAGGACCTCAACTAGTACAAGACCCCATGTATCATTTATACATAAGAATATATATATATATATATTGATCCTTTAATATAATATGATACTTATGATAATATTTTGGTGTTGCAATATAACATTAATGATCAGTTGAGTTAATTATTAAATATGTCCATTTGAACGTGCCGTAATACTCAGATAAACAGTGTTTGTCAACTTCAAGCAGTAACTTGAGCTACAATGGGCCCCAAACCGCGCCCCGCAGGCCAATTACGATCAAGATCGATAAGTAAGAACTAGTTAAATGGAACATATTCCAAACGAACGCAAATTATTTTGGCAAGTGATTTTGCTAGTGATAAATGATTGAGTGATATCAAGGAGGGATTAGATCAAGTTATAATCACTTCTTCATGATTTCGTACCTTCGCATGCCGGATGATCTCGCGGATGAATACACACTCCAACAGAAGTACTGAATACCGTACCCGGAGCACATGGTCTTTGTAAAGCTTGACCTGGAAAAAAAAATAATATATTTTAATAATATAACAATTTTTGACGATCCAGAAGTATGTGTACCGATAAGGAGGTAACTAATTTTCGCCTATTTTACATCAAGTGCTTTAAAGGGACTGAAACACGTGGGCACGTGGTATGTTCACTCGGCTAACACAGACATTCCCGAACTCGTAATAGAACTAAAATAGGGAAAATTGGAATAAAATTCTGCCCTAACCCGAACCTGGTGCACATACTACGAAAGTACCCAATATTTTTTTTTATAAATATTCCAAGTTTAGTGGTTCGATTATTCAATCTTGACGATACTTTGTGAAATAAAAAATCGTTACCATGCACGCATTCATAATAGTACGGATAGCATCCTTCTTCATAAAGAAATAGAGTTCCTTCTGGATATGTACCGTCAGCACAAGGATCATTTGAAGTACCTAAAAAACGAAGCCACGGTACATCAGCTAATATATGAATACAAATATTTCTCTTGACAGATTTAAAGTTGTTTTTATCATAGAAATGTTAAATCCAACTACGCATGATAGCTCACTAATGACAAAATATTACAACGAACTAGATAAAATTCAATTAATATCATCGCTGCCAATATTTAGCAGGTTCTAAAATAGCAGTTAATTACCGCTGCATGCAGCAGTATCTATGGGGTGATTAGATAAGCCTATAGAGGCATCAAATACCGTTCCGCCCGCGATTAGGGCAATTTGTTGAGTTGAGCTGTTAAGTGATAAGCTGTTAAGTGAGCTGTTAAGTGATGATAGACATGAGCCACAAAGACATAGATTTACGTATCTCTCTCTCTGACGGGATGGTCATCAGTTACTCAGAATGGCACAAAACCGGAAACAATGGCGGCGATTCGTGAAGAGTGCCACGGCTGGTCAGTGATGACCATCCCGTCAGAGAGAGAGATACGTAAATCTATGTCTTTGTGGCTCATGTCTATCATCCCTTGTTAAAGCCCCATTTATATCAGTAATTTGAAGTTAAATGGGGAACAAGCTGTTACCTCCGCCAGTTCCTCCGTTGCCGCCATTTCCTCCGTTCCCGCCATTTCCTCCATTACCACCATTGCCGCCTCCTCCTCCTCCGCCGCCTCCTCCTCCGCCGCCTCCTCCTCCACCGCCGCCTCCTCCTCCTCCTCCTCCTCCTCCGCCGCCGCCTCCTTCTCCTCCGCCGCCGCCTCCTCCGCCGCCGCCGCCGCCGCCGCCGCCGCCGCCGCCTCCTCCTCCGCCGCCGCCGCCTCCTCCACCGCCGCCTCCCTGCTAAAATAATACATGAGTGTAAAGTCACACAGTCAAGTTAATATTTTTATCCAGTAAAAATCAACATACGAAATTAACAATATATAATTTAAACACGCATTTTCACTAGGGGAGTGAAGTCGCGGGGAACCAGGATTGGTTATCCAGCAGCGACATCCAAGGTTCAATATGTAATTTAATTTCTAAGGTCGAAAATTGAGTTCTTAGAACACTGTTATTATAGGTGAGTATGACTTTGGCAGCTGAACCACATTGGGCACTTAGAGCAAAAGACTCAGTATTTGATTTGAATTAAAAAATTTAACCGCTCTGAAAATTGAATTGTATATACTTTGTTAAAATATAAAAATAGTTCATAAAATTTGTAATGTACTATACAAGGTGTTCAGGAAGTCTCTTTACAATTTCAATTTAGGTACGAAGTCAGTTCTAAATATATCGTAACCGGGTTTGTTGATTTTTAACAAGTAAATATTTAATTTGTTGTTTAAGACATTATGAACACCCTATATGACTGGGGTGGGCACGGTTTTTAAACAAAGGGCCAAAATTTTGGCTACTCAGACTGGCGGGCCATGAAAGTGTGACGTAAAAAGTTACATTTTATAAACAATATTTACAGTATTACAAAGCAAAGGTGAAAAGCAAAAAGTCTTGGCCAAACTAAATTTAATCGCAATCGTCAAAAAATTCCTTGAGTTATTTTAGCTAAAACATCTTAATTTGATGTGGTTGTGTTAGGATAGGATAGGATTTACATATTTATCCCGGGGGAGAGGAAAGCCGATAAGACGGCTTAGTCATATATGGCGAACCACGGCCTCTCGTCCGGATACCGGTCCAGGTCGGGTATGGGATTAGTTAGCCAGTTATTTGTTTTCGGAAGCATGGACTTGATTAGAATCATGCGGACCAGAGTGAATAACCCAACGAGCCGGATTTGGCCCGCGGCCCGTACTTTGCCCATGTATGCTATATAATAAAACAAGACACTCCGACAATCATTCGGATTCAGCAATTTCTACGTAACTCATATTGAGCTAAGCTGCCTTCACAGAACACACACATAATAATTCAGAGTAAGGATAAGAAAACACTTTGCATTCTGTTCATATATTGGGGAGTGGCGTAACCAGGGGGTGGTTTTAGGGGTAGTGCCCCCCCTTGTGAAAAAAAAAGCATCTTTCTATATCATAAATAGCAATTGTTCGTAGCTTGAAACGCATTTTAGACCCGCAAGACTCAAGAAAACACGTTTCAGCGTTCGGCCGGACTAGTTGTTTCGAACAATCATGGCAAATAAAAAATTCAGAATCCCCCTTGAAAAGCTCTAGCTACGCCCTTGTATTGGGGTATTCAAGCCTCAAGGATATTATTATAGATTATTTGCTCAAGACAATGGTCATATACACACTCTCACACACTCTCAGAAGTAAAAAGACAATTTCTGAACAAAGTTACTGACGACCTGTAGAGTGTTAAGAGCTTTTTTGGATTCTATATACTTTCTCTCTGAATAAAGAACTGAAATGATGTATAGAAAAGCGTTGTTCCCTTGCTCTAATAGGGCTCTGAACAAGTAGCCACGGATCTTTTGTACAGAGCCCCTAATAAAGAAAACACCTTCGACAACGCCCAAAGTAAGAAAATTGGACCTCTTGAAGTATGCGCACCAAGATGGCGCACAACCTGAAGTCAGGTTGTGTACCAGGTTAGGGTTCAGGTTGTGCGACATCTTGGTGGCATACTTCAGGAGTACCAGAAAATCTGTTACTATCTAGTTGGGGTGAAGGATAGAAATTCAAATCTTTTTTAAGACCAAGCCCAACCCCATAGTTACAATGTTATTTCAAAACGTTTTTGAAACGTGGCGGCTTTTTTCGAATCTCACATATTTCCATTAGTGACGGGGGCTTTGTATAAAATATCCGTCACCATGACATATAGCCAAAAGGTCCATGTAGGACAGCAATCAGTAGTTTACTTTCTCACCGTACTGAAAGCACACTGGATATGCAAGTTACAATAAATAATTAGAAAGCACCTCAGGGCGAGGGGACTCGCGGGAAACTAAATTTGATCATCGAGCAGCGACAACCATATGACTGGCCTAGGTAGACAGCAATCTGAACGGCTACAGTGGGCCCCGTGCTTTCAAAGGCGACACGCCAATCCTAGCTGTGAATTATTGAATTCAACTATTATAATTAAAATAATATACGAGTCAGCATGTTTATTCTGCAGACACATTGGCGCTCCCGTAGTATATACACCAAGATGGCGCCCAACCTGATAAGCCTAGCCTGGTATACATACTATGTTCAGGCTGTGCGTCTTTTTGGTGCACATACAAGAACTCGCAAACGACGAAAAGCAATAATGATTTAATCGCGAGTTTGGTGCCAATTCGAGAGGTATTAAAACATGAAATCATTTTCCATCAAAAAATCCTAATTCCAGTTATTATTTTAATCTTTAAACAGACTGGGCATCGCGCAATTTGTTTTGTATCCGCCTTTGCTCAATCAGAACTTCTGAACTAGCCCATCAATAAATAAAAGTGTGCTAGTGAATAACTGTCTGAATTTTTGACAACTTACGACTTGTACCTGACTTTGCGACTGTGATTGGCCTCCCTGTGTTTGGGTTTGAGTTTGGCTTTGCACTTGCGTTCCTGATCCGCCAACCTGTATCAATATTGTGTTTCAACATCAGCAAAGAGTCTTATGCAAGTTTATTTTCCTCAGAATTCGATTCAAAATAGATTTTAGTGACACCCCGAGAATTTGTGACTAGGCTTTTTGGTATATTTTATAATTTCAAATTATATAAAAGTAGGAAATGATTTTTAACGATTTCGAGTCAGTTCGAAGTATCGAATATTAAGTTATAATTAATTTCCAGTTGTCCAATTTGTTTAATTTCAATAATGTATAATAGTAGCAAATAAAAATTTTATGTCACTTTATACTCAAAAATTGGTATTGATATCATTTTTTTTTATAAAATCAGTTAATTAAAGTATCTGCTAAATTTCTGAAAATCCCAAACCAAATACCGATATGAAGTTTTGTTTAGTTGACTAATTAATTCGTTTTTAATGTTGTTTTTGAGTTCTTGTTACCTGCGTTTGACTCTGGTGCTGATGTTGGACTGTTACGTCTCCAACCTGTAAGTTTTGTTTGATATTTATTATCAAATTTGTAAGGTAAGAATTCTGATTATTCGAACCATTATGATTTCACACGAAATTATATGTTGTGTTTTTGATGTAACAATCATACTGTTTTTAATTTGAATTATGATGTCATATTGAGTTGTAAAGTTTTCATTGTAATATTATGATATCACATACTGAATCACTGGAATTAGAATTATCATATCACACACAATAGTAATTACACAATAGGCTTGATCTCGATGGCAACTTTTGAATCATATTCCATCACATAGGATATTATTGTTGATAATTATATGGGGTTCTCCATATTTATCTAAGGAAAGCAAAGCTTGGCATAGGAATAATTAACTAACCAGTCGCATATTAAAACTTATGAAGTTGCAACAATTGACAACCTAACATTGTACACAGGTGGAAGAATAATTTTTTTCCTATGAATCGTTGATACATTTTATGAATTTCCCACCAAGTTGCCTGATTGTTACCATGACTTGGAGAATTTCTGCATTCCTATCACTCCCACCCCAATTACCCCAAGGACAATCTGTTAGGCTAATAGAAAGACCTTATAGTTTAGTCTACTAATCCATTGTTCAATGGTATGTATGTAGTTCTCCAATACTTTATTTTCAACTTAATTTATAATGGAGATTTTTTTTAATATATTTTAAGATTAGCACACTAATGTGTTTGAAAACATCAAATTTGCTTCACCTCATTAAATAATATAATTAGAACAGATCTGGAATTGTCAAAATAGTCTTATACCAGGAGTGGGCGATTACTTTTCTAAGTGGGCTAGTTACAGATAATAGAATTGGTTACTGGGCCGGAGGCTCAAACATCAATATGAATGAAAAACCGTGACAGCCAATGTACAACAGACAACTAGCGTGCCGAGTGGCGAAGGGACACTTTGCACAAAAGTTATGTTCTCTCTAAAATATGTTACAAAAGATCTGGTTTCTGTTTATTGAGTCACCCTATAATCAACCTATTGGGATTTAATCCAATAGAATGAAGTCTACAAAAGCCTCTGACATGACATATATAGTTCTTGTATGACGTCAATTTAGCCCAAACAAAATGTATTATGACACAAAAAAACAATTAAGACATTGAGAATAAATTTTGATTTATTAGGACACAATGATTCAACTCAATGTACATGCAAATTATTTGTTTATAAGTAATAATATAGGAAGCAAGGCACAAATGTCATGGTTAATAAAAAGGGTGCAATGTCATGGGAGTTGCTTAAAAATTACACACGTGGGGATAAAACATGGGTTAAATTTGTTGGAATAGAATAAGCAGCGTTAGCCAGTTTTCACAATTCATATAAAGTTTTCAGGCAGAAACATATATGTCATGCAGGGACTATTTGAATGACAGTTACCAGATTTGAAGGAGGGTAATGTAAATATTTTTAATCAATTTTTTTGAAAGTTTCTAATCACCATCGGGTAAGTCTAAAAGATAGTAGAATTGTTCATGTAAATCTACTTTCAAAGTATTGCTATTTAAGGGAATTTTTGATAACTTTTTGAATTTATTTGGATCAGAATCAAATTTCCGAGTCTCCAAAATTTGAAACACTTTCTGGTTGGTTCATGTTTTGTTGTGTTTGGAATGCCCATACTACAGGGTGTTAAAAAAGTTATGCAAAATCAAGATAAGATTTTTCGTCATGGCAACGTTAAAAATACTGTTAAAAGGCGTCAGTCGTCAAATGTTTAAGTAGCATTTCATCTTAACTTCTGTTAATTTTGCGTTACTTTTTTAACACCCTGTATATAAATGATTGGGTTGGGATAAATATATTTTGTTTTACCCTAAATACGTACAATATGAATTAAAAGTTGTGCTCAACACACTGAATTAAACAAGCGATTAAAATAGTATAATGTGTATATATATTTCACTCCAAAGCCGTAGCGTAGACGTGCGTACTTAGTTTACCGTTATCGAGGTTTGTCCTTGGTGTTGTGACTGAAATCCCCGTGCCTGTGAGATTACTTTATTTATTAATCTACGAAAGCATAAGTACATTCACACAAATATGCACACTCAAGAAAATATCCCAGTGGAATTTGGGACATTGGGTATTTCAAAATATCAAATTAGAAAAGAAGGAGTACACTCACAAAAAACGTGCACACCGAAGCAAAAATTACAGGATGTGTGTCACTTTTCAGCAAACTACATACAGTGTTTGAAATTTTAGGAGGTTGGGGTATAGAAACTGATATAATAAATTTATTAGCAGCCATACATAAACTTTACAGTCACACTCAACACACAAGAACTGAGAAAGTCGTTACTTTTCGGATAATTCAGTGTGTTATTTTGATTGATAGATTCCAGTTCCAATATTTTCAAACAATTTAAGCCCAACTAAGTAAAAAAAAACTGTGAAATAACCTTATCAAGCAGTGAAACTAGGAAAACGGGGAGTTTTCTTGTAAAGTGAAAAATAAGTTTTGCGAGTAGCATTGTGGACCTCCTCCAACGGCTCATTTGTGGAGGATCGTTGGGCTAAATGCTTCATGAGGAAGATTTACCTTTTTTTATTGTGTGAGAGAAGAAAGTTGAAAAGACGAGTTAATCATCAGGCAAAATCTCAGGCTCTTCATTAGATGGAGTTAGACAGCTCCTTATTCTATAAAATTGCAACAACTTACCCATTGGCCTTGACTCTGGGCTTGATGCTGATATCCCCCACCGCCTACGCTGACCTGAGTTTGGTGTTGGGCCTGGAATCCTCCATTTCCAGCATTAATTTGGCTCTGTGACTGAGACTGAAAATTGGGAAATTTTTTAGATTTTATTGAGGTATAGAAATTAGCTAGGTCCCAACGTTTTATGGACCGTTTATCATTATAGTGTTATTTTGATTGGTAGATTACAAATTTCATTTGGTCCAAAGAATTCATGCTCAATGAAGTGAAAACACCCTGAGAAATAACTTTGTCAAGCATTGAAACTGAGAAAAACCGGGAGTTTTCTTGTAAAAGTAAAAGTAAAATCAGTTTTGCCCTCAGAATTGTGCCCCCATAATTTCTCTTGTGACCCCCTGGAGGGCCACGGCTTCCGATTGGTAACCGCAGCGTTATCCTCATTTTTTTGACACCCTGTATCTAAATCTATTAATACTGACTCTTTGATTTAAAATAAAATTCGGCGCTCCGGAAGTATGTGTACCAAGATGGCGCACAGCCTGAACACTAACCTGGTACAGATACTTTGTTCAGGTTGGGCGCCATCTTGGTACACATACTTCGGGAGCACCGACAATTGTGGCTAAATCTTAGTTCAACAATATTGGAAAACGTAAGGCATTTAAATATAGTTAAAACAATACACATATATATATTAACATAGACTCTCGCATCTAAAAGGGAATCTCACGGATCCCTGGACTGTGCTGTGTGTACCAGGTTATAATTAGGTCATAATTTTATTCCGATTTTCTTTATTTTAGTTTTATTACGAGTTCGGGGACTGTCTGTGTTAGCCATGTAATATACCTTCGGCCGATAGGTTTCATTCCCTTTACACAACTTGATGTAAAATAGGCGAACAACATTAGTTTCCTCCATATTGATACACATACTTCTAGAGCGCCTAATATAATACTTACTTGATGTCCTCCGTTGGAAGACTGTGACTGCCCTTGTTGTTGAAAACCGTTGCTGCCCCAACTACCTTGCGATTGACTTTGAGAAGAACTTCCCCAGCTATTGTGAGAGCTTTGGGACTGAACTTGTGCACTGCCTGCAAAACGAAACGAATAGGATAGTTTCACATATTTATCCCAGGGGAGAGGAAAGCCGACAAGATGACTTAACCATATGGCAAACCACGGCCTCTCGTCCGGTTATTATTCTATGTCAGGTATGGTATTAGTTAGTCAGTTATTTGTTTTCAGATGCATGGATATTTGATGGAGAAAGCCTTGACCGACAAGTGGTTTTGTGAACCGCCATACGGCGACGAGAAGTCCAGCAATCCTCTAGCTAGCACATATTTACCATAATTGTTTGAAATTTTCTTATGGGTTGCGACCCAGAACTGGGTAACATGAAAATCTTCGTTGGTCGGTTATTCAACAAGTTTAAAAGTTATCGGTTTATTTTTTATTTTAAAATTTGTCTATTTGGTATTGTAGTGGAGCTTAGTAGTAATCGAATAAGCGAGAATTATCAAGGTGTAAACTCTGGGCAGCATTTATTTCGATTAATAAATAAATGAATCCCCGACTGTTAGGATAGGATAGAATTTACATATTTATCCCGGAGGATAGGAAAGTCGATAAGACGACTTAACCATATGGCGAACCACGGCCTCTCGTCCAGTTACCAGTCCATGTCGGGTATGGGATTAGTTAGCTATTTGTTTTTTTTTGGAAGCATGGACTTGACTGTTGTTTATTAGTCATTTAATTCTGTAATTGGTCATAAAAGCACTAGACGCCCCTTAGTATGTGAGCATATTCTTGGAACACGAGATAAAATTCGCCACTGAACCACTGATACAACATTTGTCAATTTTTCAACCTACCTCCACCTCCGCCATGATTCCAGCTTCCTTGCGACTGAGATTGTGAACTATGACCCCAATTGGATTGCTGGTGTTGACTTTGGTAGCTTCCGCCTCCGCCTCCGCCACCCCATGAACCCTGAACTTGTGCTTGGGATTGTTGGCTTCCTCTCTGTATGGTGTAAATAAAATTTATCTTTATTTGTAGATATCATCATCTCTAGGGCGTATTAGGATATTCAGTGTAGGATATATGGTACTTCTCTGTTTGATTGAGTTATATCTTGTTTTGTATGAAAAAGTCAGACTATAATTCAGTGGTTCATAAAGTAAATTCCCCGACAGCCAAAATCAGAAGCTGAAGAATATTCGCGTGCCAGGAGAGAATGTAATTTTAATACCAGTATGTATAAATAAGATAACGGTATAATTGAATTGTTACGCATATACATGTGCCCAAACTGTGATAATGACATGCCAATTGACAGTATCTAGAACAAAAAAAAGTAAAAACTTGAAGTGTTAAACTTTTTAATTGAAGTCCGCGGGCCATATTATATCGTTAAGCGGGCCGTAATTGGCCCGTGAGCCGTGGTTTGGGAACCACTGCTTTAATCTAACGAAAGCTCGCTAATATACTTGCTATTCTGTGGGAAATTGGGCTAGTCTTATTTATCATAACCCAAGTCAGGGTTACTCAATTAGGGTACTCTGCTCTTCCTTGTGGACCGACAAAGCAGTTCTCGGAAGTTTAATAATTTTGTTGACATTGCAACTAAATTTAGTTTTGGTAGGGAGCTTATCGTTTCCACTTTTGCATCTGTAACACTGTAAATATTGTTTATAAAATGTAACTTTTTACGTCACACTTACATGGCCCGCTAGTACAGGTGCGGACAATTTTTTTGTCCCTTTTCTAAGCACCTTGCCCACCGCTGTTCTAATTATTCTAAAAATAGATATCAGTGGGCACTTTCACAATGCCTCGTGCAAAGTGGAGCAAGAAAACTTACTTTAGATTGTTTTTGAGATTGCTGTTGTGTTCCCCAGTTAAAATACTTTTTGTATTTTTGGCTCTGAGATTGGCCTTGGCTCTGGTACTTTCCATTGCCATATTGTACTTGGCTCTGAGATTGTGATTGTTTCCCTCCTTTATTTTTTTGGGATTGTTGCTGTAATGCACAGAAAAATTATTGAATAGGATAAATATTACATATCCATCACGGGGAAGGGAAAGCTTTGGAAGCAAGAAGAGTTCTGTCAGTCAGTAGTTTAATTTTTCACATGCAAAAAGTACACAATGGACAAATATAATTAAGATAAAAAAAATGAAAAATACGTTTCGGTGAGTGTATCGAGCATCGTCACCTATGAGGGAGTCTAACGTTGAATCATTCTGAGAAAAAGTCAAACACAAAATACTAAAAATACTAACAAAAGCCAGGTTTTGAGAGACATTCAGGCGACCAGATATCCCAGTGTCACACTAGTTAATTAATAGATGAAAACGACTCCAGACGCCACGAACCTGAGCTCTGTGTTAGAGGATTAATCACTAATGAAAAGTTTAGAAAAACTCTTCTCCTACCTGATATTGTGCTTGGCCTCCCTTTTTATTTCCCCATTGAGCCTGAGTTTGCTGTTGGAATTGAGATTTTCCATTGCTTCCTTGAACCTAAAATATAATGGTAATCAGATTTTGGTTAGGTATAAAGAAATAAATCATCATATTGTTGAAATATATAGGTATTCATAAGAAGCATCGGCGCTTCAGAAATATGTGTACCGATATGAAGGTAACTAATTCTGTTCGTCTATTTTACATCAAGTTGTGTAAAGGGACTGAAACCTATGGGCAGGGAGTATATTCACTTGGCTAACACAGAGAGTCCCTGGACTCGTATAAAACTATAATAAAGAAAACCGGAATAAATTTATGCCCTAACCTGGTACACATACTACGAGAGAACCGACGCATCTTAGGAATGGATTTCATATTTTCCTAAGGACAAGGAAAGTTGATAACACCACATAAACATATGGCGTACCACGACTTCTCGTCTGGTAACCAGTCCATGTGGGGTTATGGTGTTTGTTAGCCAGTTATTAATTTCAGATACATGAACTCGGACAGCTTATAGCAGTGGTTCTCAACCATTTTTTGAGGCTCGTACCCCCCTTCCCAGAAGCCTTTAGTACTCATGGCCTTCCTGTTTATCATTCCGGTGCTATTTATAGTGTTATCTTGATTGGTAGATTCCAAATCCCATTATGTTCAAACAATTCGTGCTCAAAAACGTAAAAACACCATGTGAAATAACCTTATCAAGCAATAAAACTAGGAAGCTGAGGAGTTTCCTTGTAAATGGAAAAGCAAAATCAGTTCTGCGCCCAAAATTGTGTCCCCATCCAACTGCTCTGTCGGCGCCCGGTTAGGAATCACCTGCTTATATTAATGCAAATAGTTCTTCAATCCAAATTTAAAACTTATTTTTGAAGCTGTGATACTATCTTTCCTCTTAATCACCTCGTCATCATCATTGTCAATGCGTGTTTCAATATGGCAATTTGAAACTGGTTTAAATAATTTCAATGAAGTATGACGAGTCAGAATATTCTCACATGAATTATGGAGCACCACTCTGCTAACGTATGCATTTAATGAAAGATATCGTATCAGAATATTCTAATATGAATTAGAAGGCACCGATGCTGTCAATAAATGCTTCACTAATTTCTGGGTTAAATTACATTAATTAAAATAAATTACCTGTTTTTGCTGTTGAACTTGCTTGGATTTGTATAAACCTTTGCTCTTCTGAACTTGTTTCTGAAAATAAAAACTTGGTTCAGATTTGCAATACTTGAAATCTTATTTAAAGTAAAATATTGAGAGAAAATGGTGCTTTTTATTTATTTATTTATTGCCTGGGAATGTTGAAATAAGTGGGTGGATATAACAGGTTGTAAGACGTTGTATCTGACCTTTTAGTACAGTATCTGACTACTGATTAACCAGTTTAGTTCGAGTATTGAAACATTTATATAGCCAATTTTTGTTCCGTATATTCCTATTTACCAGCAGTACAAAGCATCTGGTGATGGGATTTTAAGTTTAATACCAGATTCAATTATGTATCGGAATAGCTAACAACAGGTTTCATAGATTTGCTTTTGTCACACTGTAAATATTGTTCATAAAATGTAACTTATTACGTCACACATTACGTTATTACGTTACATGGTCAAAATTTTACTCATTTAACTAACGCCATTCGTTAGCCGCTGTGCACGCTACTCGTTTACTGCGGTCATCCACCGCAAACGAACATCTACTCAGACGAGCAGAAAAAATCAAAAGTCGACAAAAAATACATATAACTGACAGCGTTCTGCTGACAGCCGTAAACTATGTCATATCTGCCGCAAACCGTTTACTCGGAAATCTCATGTCAGAACTATAACGGCTACATGTTTGCTCGGATCTGCACCCTGCGAATATCTTTTTGACTTTTATGGGGGTTTACAGGATGGATATTAAGGTTGTTTGGCATTAAACTGCATGAACTTACCTGTTTATGAACTGATTTTTTTCCATTCTTTCCCCAAGTTTTGGTTATTTGAACTTGTTTCTGTTTTTGCACGTACTTTGAGTTGCTTTTTTGCTTTTGTTGCTATAGAATGTAAGTAGAATAAGCTTAATTAAATGATTAAGACGTCTTATTACCTTTCCGGTTCTCAGGAAAAATATGGCATAAGACAGATAGATGATAAAATATTTAAAAGTATAACAAGTATAACTTTATTTCTATTCCATAATCAGCATAACAAGCAATAAAATGATTGATAAAAACTAAGAAATGAAAACTTATTCTGAAATCAGGAAATAATATACAAATACATATGGATGTATAGAACATTCGGACATAGTAACGGTTAGGGCTGTACTGGTGCTTTAGCAGTGCAGTAAACGAATTATAAACATACCCCGATAAAACCCCGCAATCACGAATACTAGGGTAACAAACGAAAAAACGCCACCATGTGGTTTTGGTAAGAAGCGAAAAACCGACGAAAATATGATTGAAATAAATTCATTATTGGGTTTATAATGTACAAAATGGATATTGAGAATTCTGAAGTAGCAGAAGCACGCGCTTGCTCGCCTATCAAAATAAAAATGGATCGATTTTCTGTGCCTTGACGGCGACAAGTCCAACGACCCTCTTCGGCGTAAACTCGTCACTGGATATTCGGAGCCTGCGGGTTGACGTAGAATAGTTCAAAATACTTACCACGGAGCGCAACCGTTCGCGACGATGAATAAGTAAATTATCTTGTACATACCTGGTATTGCGCGCTGTATCCACCGTTTTTGCCTGAGCTTACTTGTCCCTGTGTTTGGGATTGCTTGCCACCTTTCCCGTTTTGTTGTTGTGACTAAAAAGTGGGAATAATGTGTTTATAACATGCATAATATCTAATCTATGTGACTACTAGGAAGGAGAGAAAAATGTCATCGTCATACTTAAGGTGTTATATGAGGGACAGCGCTATTGAAAACAATTTACAATTGACTTCGTTACCTGGTATTGAGCGCTGTATCCTTTCTTCTTTCCCCAACTAACTTGTCCTTGTTGTTGGGCTTGTCCGCCATTGCCGCCATTCTGTTTTTGTGACTATAAGTATAAGTTTATTTCGACTCCATAATCAGTATACCAGGCAATAAAATTATTGATGAAAACAAACAAATAATCCCACCACTCACATAACCAGCGACCTTGAGTGCCGCTACTCGATAACCAATCTTGGTTTTCGGTGACTTTACTTTTCCACAAAAATTGTGTGGTTACTTAATTCTTACAAAATTTATATTATGTTTTCATTTTATTTTACTGTATCAAAAAAACAATATCGACTGTGTTTATGACTTAGCAAGATGAACCAGCCATCAAATCGATGAACAAAATGCGATTCTTAAATTTATGGACGCGCAGGTCTAAACGAAGTAATGCGAGTATGCAATCGGCTACAAAAAATTACCAATTTCATAGACATAGGGCCACATAAAATTTTGGAATAAATGAGAGTAATAGACTTCTTGCAAAAAATACAATCTTTAGACACTGAAAATTTTAAAGCAATTGGTCCAGTAGTTAAAAAGGAAAGCGATTTTTTTTAACACCAACAAGAATAACAACAACATAATAACAAAACTATCCATAAGTCCATTACGTGTCTGATAAGCGAATTAGTATTTTCTACGTACCTGGTATTGTGCGCTGTGTCCACCGTTTTTGCCCGAGCTCACTTGCCCCTGTGTTTGAGATTGCTTGCCACCTTTCCCGTTTTGTTTTTGTGCCTAAAAAGTGGGAATATTGTGTTTATAACATGCATAATATCTAATCTATGTGACTACTAAAAAAGAAAAAAAAATGTCATCGTCATACTTAAGGTGTTGTATGTTAGACAGCGCTATTGACAACAATTTACAACTGACTTCGTTACCTGGTATTGAGCGCTGTACCCTTTCTTCTTTCCCCAGCTTACTTGTCCCTGTGTTTGGGATTGCTTGCCACCTTTCCCGTTTTGTTTTTGTGCCTAAAAAGTGGAAATAATGTCTTTATAACATGCGTAATATCCAATCTATGTGACTACTAAGAAGGAGAAAAAAAGTCCATGGTGTTATATGTAAGACAGCGCTATTGAAAACAATTTACAATTGACTTCGTTACCTGGTATTGAGCGCTGTATCCTTTCTTCTTTCCCCAACTAACTTGTCCTTGTTGTTGGGCTTGTCCGCCATTGCCGCCATTCTGTTTTTGTGACTATAAGTATAAGTTTATTTCGACTCCATAATCAGCATACCAGGCAAGAAAATGATTGATGAAAACAAACAAATGACCACACCACACAAATAACCTTGAGTGCCGCTACTCGATAACCAATCTTGGTTTCGGTGACTTTACTTTTCCACAAAAATTGCGTGGTTACTTAATTCTTACAAAATTTATATTATGTTTCATTTTATTTTACTGTATCAAAAATACATACAATCTCGACTGTGTTTATGACTTAGCAAGATGAACCAGCCATCAATTCGATAAACAAAATGCGATTCTTAAATTTATGGACGCGCAGGTCTAAACGAAGTACTGCGAGTATGCAATCTGCCACAATAAATTACCAATTTCATAGACATAGGGCCACGTAAAATTTTGGAATAAATGAGAGTAATAGCCTTCTTGCAAAAAATACAATCTTTAGACACTGAAAATTTTAAAGCAATTGGCCCAGTAGTTAAAAAGGGAAGCGATTTTTTTAACACCAACAAGAATAACGACGACACAATAACAAAACTATCCATAAGTCCACTCGTGTCTGATTAGCAAATCTCCTACATACCTGGTATTGTCCGTTGTATCCGCCGTTTTTTCCCGAGCTTACTTGTCCCTGTGTTTGAGATTGCATTCCGCCGCTGCTTCCGTGTTGAGCCTGTCCTTGATATTGGTAACCGCCGCCGCCGGTACTAACTTGAGTCTGTAGAAAAGATTCCCGCTTTTATTTTAAATATTAGTTTATATGTTTTTGTTAACATCGCACTTATTACAGGCTCGGCATATTCATTATAAAACGCGCAGGTGCAGGTGGCTGAATATTTGTAGCGTAGCCATGAATTTTCAAAAGGAGAGGGGGGGGGAGTACCAAAATTTCTAATTTCCAAGGTAGACTGTAACAGCTAGGTGACCCGCCGGAGAACGAGAACAAGAACAACGGCAAAATTTTCTGGATCAGGGGCAAAAATTTTTGCCCACCTAGACTGGCGGGCCATGTAAGTGTGACGTAATAAGTTGCATGTTATGAATATGAAGTGTTACAGAAGCATGAAAGTGGAAACAATGAGCCTTTTGCCAAAACTAAATTTAATCGCCATCTCAACAAATTCTTTGAGCTATTTTAAGCTAAAACATCAAAAATTGATTTTAGTTTGGTTGTGGCAGCATCAGGCGGGCCAGATTAAATACCAATAGGGCCGGATTTGGCCCGCGAGCCGTAGTTTGCTTTTGTCAGTGCTAGTTGAATTAGTCATTTTGATAAAAGAAACTAAGAAATTGATGGGTTGTCTAACGGGGGCCACCCTGTATAAGAAAAAAAAACGGAGAATAAGAATTGATCATTATATACCTGGTGTTGCGACTGGGATCCGCCATTTCCAGTTTGGCTCTGTCCCTGAAAAAAATAATAAAAATGAATTGAATGTATAAATAATTGAAGTCAAATCAAGTTTATTTTTCCAACCAGTAAAGAAAAAAAAAAGTCGAACACAAATTATGATAATTACACAGTTATACTGGGGAAGGGAAGTCGCGACAGTTATAAATGAAAACGTGCAAAAACCTTGATACAACGTGCAAAAATTGTCAAAATCATGAAAAATTTGCTTGAACGTGCAAATACCGTCGTTTCTTTGTGCATAGAGTATATAATATATATTATATCGTTCCAACTATCTTTGTTAGTTACCGATAAATTCGTTTCAATCGGCTAAACTTTTTTATAACCTATAGCTATGGAAACTGATCACGAAAAAAGTTAATTAGGAGAAGTCACAAAGGAAAAAAAGACACTCGTAACGGTAGTAGGACGCCCAGAAATCAAATAATCTTTGTTTCCTAATAGGGCGAGGTCGACTCGATTTATAAAACGACAATATCGGCGCTCGACCACAAACGACCATTATTGTCCTCTGCTATTTGCTAAGACATTGGTTAACAATAAGGACACCGGACTATGCGGTTAAATAAAAGTCACAGAGATAGCGCTTTTATCATCAGCCTTTTTTACGAGATATTTTCAGCCCACTTTGTTGAGCATGAATTATTTGAACATAACGGGATTTGGAATTTACTGAAAAAAAATCTACATTAGATACTTTGGAATAATAAACAGAGATACAGTGAGTGCTAAAACCCTCCGGAAGGGAGACACGAGCCATAAAAGGTTGGAAACCACTATTTTACAGCTTTATGAATATGCCAGGTAGTGTTTCACATTAAAATCATCCAATATAATTTTTACGATGACGCCTCTTTAATTTAAACGGAAACAGTTTATGAAATATATAAGTTGCTTGCGCAATCTTTTGAAAAAATCGATTTACCTAACAAGAATTAGTCTTTTGGCTATTTATTAGCTATATTTATAGTCGATATTTTGTCAGTTTTTGTCAGTCATAAGTTTCGATTGCGATTTCAAAATGAATCAATTTTACTAAGCGCCTTCAACTGGTTAATAAAATAGGCTAGAATATGCTGAAATTATTATATTTTGTAAAAAACACCCGCCACTAATGCAAAAATGTGAAATTTGAAAGAAAAAAAGCATCCTCTGTTATGTCCAAAAATATCAATTTGATAATTATCCAGTAGAGGTTCGGGTTAGAAATGATTTAAAAATATGAATCTTCAGCGCCTTTGCGTTTCTTTGGCGGGGGATTTGTAAAAAGATCTAAATAGGTTTGCGTATGCGAAAATTCTCGCTGTCAAAATTTGATTTGGTCGGAGTCAAAATTTTTTGAAAACCGGAGTCGAGAGTCAGACTTGGAGTCAAATTTTTCGTTTTTCCGGAGTTCGTAATAGAAGTCGATTGTGTATATTCTTCACCCCCGCATCCTGCTTCATACAAGGCAAAGAACAAGGCGCGTAAAAAAGTACTCCCGAAGTAGTGAATCAAGATGGCGGACACCGGAACGTAGTATGTGTACCAAGTTAGAGTTAGGCCATAATTTTATTCCAATTTTTCCAATTTTAGTTCAATTACGAGTTCGGGGACTAGCTAAGTGACTCCCGTAGTATTTGTAGTATGCGTACTTCGGGAGTACCCGTAAAAGCACATACATGAAATGTTACCTGATATTGGTAGCCTTTGTTCGATTTTTGAAATTGTGCTTGATGTTGTCCATACATGTCTAAAAATTAAGATTTCGAATTCAAAAATAGGACTTCAAAGCTTGCAAAAATATTCATAAATAGTTTGAGTTTCGTTGTCGCGCTCATTTAATAACCCGGGCCTACGTCTTGAAATATACCCATTCTAGGGCTTGCGCAAAATGGTAGTTCGGTTAAGTTTATCTCAAAGCGGGTATCAATACTAGCAGTCACTTATATGGATATCTTAGGGGGGGTTGTACAAAGATTCCCTTTTGCCACTTCACAATCGTGACAAAAATACAACGGTCGTTGCCAACCTAAAAGCAGAACAAATTAATAGAATCCAGTACTTACAACTCTTTTTCTGGACAGTCTCCAGCGGTGCGCTGAATGCGGTGGCCAAAAAGGCGCAAACCGCCAGCAAAACAAAACCCCTCATTCTTGGGCTCCTCTGAGTATATCAGACGTTATGAGTTATTTAGGCTGGAAATGTAAATAGATATATTTTCAGTTTTTGCACTCGGTAAAGTCTTGATGAAGTCCTGGCCGGGAAAGATGCCAAGGTTTTTACCCCCAATGGAAACTTGCACTCTGGCTTTTAAGCATTTTGAATAGTTTATAATAGGTGTTTCTACCGGTATTACAATATAATTCGATCCCTGGAGTATACAGTGTGTCCCGTGAATTTTTCCCGATTTCATAGTAATAAAAATTGTAAGTTTGGGCACAATAGGAACTATTAATAAACAAAGACAGAGAAATTTTCAATTGTTATTACTATAAGATCAACCAGAATATTTTGGACACCCTGTATTAGTGAATAAAAATAAAAGAGACCGATTTCTGATCGAAGTCACAAACGACAAATAGAGCGCTAAACTATCATAAAAGATTTGTGACTCAATTCATTCCGACGCTACTAACTACATCTGCCCTATGCTTGTAATGATTTGATTAAACTTGACACTTGCATTCTGCTGGATTACTTGAAGACAATTTTTTCGATAGAAATGCTGGAGTTGGGCTCTGAGCTTAGGTGCTAAAATTTTCAATAGCATTACCGATTATAGATTTAGAATAAAAATCTTCGGATCTCCTGAAGTATGCGTACCAAGATGGCGCACAACCTGAACTCGGGTTGTGTATCAGGTTAGGGTTCAGGTTATGCGACATCTTGGTGCGCATACTTCAGGAGTACCAAATCTAAATTATGGCAACACGCTAACTTGACATTTCAGTAATAAACCATAACTGTGCCCTTAGCTAAGTTACCTTTACTTCTGAGTGAGCGACCGTAACTTTGTTCAGAAATGAGTCTCTTTAACTTCTGAGTGAGTCCTCGTAACTTAGCTCAAGGATGTGTGTTTTTTTACTTTTGAGTGTCCGTAACTTGGCTCAGAGACGAGTCTCTATTACTTCTGAGTAAGTGCTCGCAACGAACCGCTATAATTCATCACCTTTTGGCACTTTAGTGATCGTCTGTGACTTTGGTGGGGGAAAATGTGACTTTGACGTAACTCATTTACACTATCAATTTTTGCACAAATTTTCCATTATGCTGGCCCAAACCAGAACTTGCTGGCTTAAACCGGAACCGGCTGACCCAAACCAGAACCTACGACAGTAGCTATTATGAAGGTCTCAGATCTTTCCGGTTCAAGTCTACGCAATTTATTACATTTTGGGCAGAGTGTGAAGTGATGGGCCTTTATTCCAATACTTGAAACCTGCAAAGCCAGTTTAGTTATAGACACAGCGTTTTGAAACGATTTCCCAACGTAATGGTAAAAAGAGGCGCAAGTCCCTTACACCCTCAGCCAAGTATGGCCCTTCATTCAGATATCTCTCACCTGCGACGCCAAATTAGTTAGAAACAGCATTTTAAATATGACTTTCCAACATAACGATAAAGAGAAGACGAAGTTAGCCTAATTTCAAATCCCAATTTTTCATTCAAAAGTGCGGTGACTGCTTCCGAATAAGCGACTTTGCTCGATCAACGAATTCTCCGATCATCTACCCATCTGTGTCCTGTTTTCCTCGCAGCTAAAATTTATATCCAAACCCAGGCCCGTCAGAATCCGACATCGCCCTTACTCACAATGAAACTTATTCAATTAGAAATTCTTGATAACGCCTATTTACCAAACAGAAGACGTAGCTTATCAAATATAAAACCATAAAAAGTCAGTAAAAAGAATCCGCCAGTCGGCTATTTGATGTAAGCTTATATAAACATTCATTAAAATTCAGATATTTCATTGAATTTTGAAGTCATTAGTACATTTTCCTTATTTGTTTAAACTACCAATTAACTAATTAATTTAACAAGCTCAAAGGGTGTCCATGAATTTCTAAAAATTTTGATTAAAATTGTGTGTGAATTTATCGATACCATATATTGTTTTGGCCCTCACAGATTTGTTAAATTGAGTAAAAATACTTGAACAATTACAGAAAACAACGAACCTGGTTAGGATATATTGAGAACTGACTTTGTACCAAAATTGAAATTGTAGAGGGACGATATGGACACCCTGTATATTTTTTTCTCACTTTGTTCAGAATAAGATAGCAAGAATTTAATTTTTTTTAAAAAGAGTTTATTTTCTGCGTTTTTCCAACAGCGATTTCACCTTTTGCTAAATTATGTAAGGAAGTCATTTCACGTTGATGATAAAGTCTTAAAGACATGTACACAGCTAAGATCCTGGAATAATTAAAGTTTACATTTAGGGCGTGCCAAGTCGTTTGAAACATCTTGATATTTACTTGTCTTAAGATGGTCGCGGCAAATTCCAGCTGTCAACATTGATCGCATAAAAGTCGAGGCAGTGTTTGAGTATTTTTACCTGGTTCTTGTCAGGCTAATGAAACAGTGTTATAGTCGTCATAAACTTTGTTCAATTTTCTTCCAAGTTGGTACACGTCCCTGAATGCTAACAAACCATTGTTTTATCGGTTAGATAAGAACGGGTGTACGCCAAGATCAAATATTTGCGTCGAGTCGTGAAAATATCGAACGAAAATGCTCTGTTATTGGAAATGTTGAGTAAAACTTACATTTATTTATTTGTCTGATTTCCGGGTTCACAGATCACCCTTATTCCGGATTATTTATTTTGGTAAAAATACGTATCGGTTAAAATAATAATAAAAAACGGCTAATATCCTTTTTCCCTTGAATTCTCAAAAAGAGTAGGAAAAGTGGTCGCGGTTATTCCATTTGCCATCACTGATAGCATATTGGTCGAGGCAATGTTTGCGTTTTTTTACCCGGTCCTTGTCAGGCTAATGAAACAGTGTTATATGCGTCACAAACTTTGTTCAATTTCCCTCCAAGTTGGTACACGTCCCTGGATGTTAATAAACCATTGTTTTATCGGTTAGATAAGAACGGGTGTACGCCAAGATTAAATATTTGCGTCGAGACGTGAAAATATCGAACGAAAATGCCCTGTTGTTGGAAATGTTGAGTGTCTATAAAAATTTACATTTATTTGTCTGATTTCCGGGTTCACAGTTCAACTTTCCTCCGGATTATTTATTTTGGTAAAAATCCGTATCGATTAAAATAATAGTAAAAAACGGCGAATATCCCTTTTCCCTTGAATTCGCAAAATGAGTAAGAAAAGTGGTCGCGGTAAATTCCATTTGCTATTACTGATCGCATATTGATCGAGGCAATGTTTGAGTATTTTTACCCGGTCCTTGTCAGACTAATGAAACAGTGTTATATGCGTCACAAACTTTGTTCAATTTTCCTCCAAGTTGGTACACGTCCCTGGATGTTAATATACCATTGTTTTTCGGTTAGATAGGAACGGGTATACGCCAAGAATAAATATTTGCGTCAAGACGCAAAATATCGAACAAAATGCCCAGTTATTGGAAATATTGAGTATCTATTCAATTTTACAATTATTTGTCTGATTTCCGGGTTCAGAGTTTAACCTACTTCCGGGTTATTTATTTTATGAAAAATCCGTCTCTGTTTAAATATAAAAAAACGACGAATATCTTTTTTGCCCTTGGATTCTCAAAATGAGTAAAAAATTTTTTGCTATAGTAAAGTAGAGGGAGAATTTTTCCTGGGTCAATGGTCGGGTAAACGGGGAAACCTTTTTGCCCATCGCCCAACTTCGTAGATGAAATGATCTCGAAGGCCAAATTAATTGTCGTCCCAGGCAATAATCCCAAATAAATCTCGGTATAATCGATTTAACGGGGATACATTTTTCAGCTTGTAATGATAGAGTTTAAATTCATACAAATTTATCTATTTTAAACGGGAATATATTTCGCACGAATAATATAATTAGAAATAACTTTTAGTTCAAAATTAGGCGCTCCCGAAGTATGTGCACCAAGATAGCGCACAATCTGAACCCTGACCTGGTACACATACTATGTTCGGGTTGTGCGCCATCTTGGTGCACATACTTCTGGAGATCCCAAAATTAAATGTCAAAGACCTCATGTGCACTTATTCGTAAATCCGGTCACAGAGAAAATATGGAAAACCATTTTACTAAAGTGCAATCATATATAACCCAATCAGTATGTTATTCGAAATTAGGATATATTTAGGCGAACTTGAGCCACGCGTTATCTCTCAGAAGTAGATGAGACACATATCTGAAAAATGTTACGGCGATCATTAGAATTACAAAAGTTTCTAAAAATTTGAAAAAACGATGCCTCAAATCTCCTATCGCTTTGCCCATCGTCCAATTTCGTTGGGTAAACAAGGTCAAACGTTGATTTAATTCTTTTTAAAAAGAGAATTTATAACTTTAGCCAAACCAGAATTAAAAAAAAAACCTACATACAAAACTAAGGACTCAAAATTTTCGGTATTTAACTTTACCGATACTTTTTTTAAAGACATCAGAGTCTGTTATCATCTTAAACAGAATACATCAATAAATAGTTAACAGGTCTTTATTAAAGGCCGATCATTAGAATTACAAAATCTTCAGAAGACTCGTGTTTGAGGGAATATATGGGCGATCACTAGAAATTACAAGAATTTCTAAAACTTTGAAGAATTCTGGTTATGCATGTGGCAACCTAAATGTCAGCTCGACTATCGCAAGTTTTTAAAAATAACCTCAAAATTGATGCGTCTTTCATCGTAGATCGAACTCTTAGAGTGGACGCCATACTCAAATATTTGAGCAAAACGTCAATGGATATGATTTATTGTCACGTAATGGCGACTGGACATTATCGCAATAAGAATATGAACGCCTAAATCTTACATAAACTCAACATCTGTAAGGGCGACTGATCTTGCTTTTTAGACGAATTTTTATAAAATTATTCTGCATTGCGCTATGCTATATCCCGTGCTTGGCAATTATTAAGCATATTTCATTTCCGTTGGTCGGGGTTAAAACATGAATGATTTGAAAATATTTTTGCTTATTCCTGACAAAAGTACTTTTTGCTAGATAGAATACAATATTTGATAGATATTATGGGCGGCAGCATTGCGACAAGCTTCTGTGGTCGCCGGTAACTCTAGTCATCGATGAGTCTCTTTATTTATGGGTGAGTGCGGCCTTTCTTGGAGAATTTTTTTTAAACTACACAGCTCTATGCTATGCTATAGCTATGCTATGCCCGTGCTTGATACAAATTAGGTAAAAATCTTCTCTGTTCATGGATTTCGAACGTACATATTTCGAAGTCATTTATGTCTTTTTTGTACCTTTAATTAATAACTTACTTTTTGCTGTATAGAATATGATATTTTATGGTTTTACTGTGTGGAGCATGGCCTTTTATTTTAGGATACCATGTTTATCCAAATCGTTAGTTGTGATTGAAATATGAATTAGTTGAAAGCAAAGTTTATTTGCTTTCTGCTAACTAAATTTTTTCGTGAACAGTATATATAAGTTTTTTACGGTTATTTTGTGTGGCCAGATCGCCTTTTCCGACAGGTTCCTATATTCGTTTTCCTAGTCAAAGGCATGTCCTACATTTCCATATTCTCTCGATATTTGTGTGTATGCCGTGTTTGCTCGAAAATTTTTCTTTGAAAAATAACACTGGGGAATATTTTTGGCGGATGTTTTTTATTTTCATTTTTCAAAAATAAAATTACAACGTAAAGAATTACGAGATTTTCAAATATACATAATATGAAAATTGATATCCATTACCGCTTCTAAATAAAACGCTTTTATTTAAAAAAAAAACTGCCAAACAAAAATTATTAAACCGAGTAGGAAATATTTTATGCTGTCGACTAGGTCAAAAAAATGTTGCGCTATCGACTAGGTCCTTTTTTCAGGGTAGGTCATATTTTACGGGAAAGACGGTATGAGACGCGAGATGAGTTATTTGTATATGATTGTATCCGAAAGTTTCAATAATCTATAACGCTTTGCCAAAAAATTATGTTCGTTTCAGGGCGCTGTATGTGTACCAATATGAAGGTAACTAATTTTGTTCGCCCACCCTACATCTAGTTGTGTAAAGGGACCAAAACCTATGGGCAGGCGGTATATTCACTTGGCTAACACAGACAGTCCCTTAACTCATAATAGAACTAAAATAAAAAAAATCGGAATAAAATTATGGTCTAACCCTAACCCGATACACATACTACGGGAATACTCTTTTCAGAATATGTTCCAAGTAATATGGGTTCCGTTTCAGGCCACCCTATAGGCTACTATGATAATTTGGCACGTCTTTCATCACAAAGTGACCCTTTCTTTGTTCTCCGCACGTTTTGGGCTGACTTGCGACGGATTTTTTGCAAATATTAGTTGAAATGAAAACGCCCACAAGTAAAATATCAGTTAGCGTCGGATCCTTCAACTCTCAATACTTTTTGGCGAAATGTTTGATAAATCTAGAGCAGTTGTCCTCAAACTTTTGAGGCCGCGCCTCCTTTTTAGAATTTGTCCAGACTCGCGCCCACCTCAAAAATACCCTACAAATAACAGATAGTAAGGTGAAAGTATGTTTTATTCGAAAAGCACGTTAAAATTATGTGGATTGAATGTGAATATTCAATATAAAGAAATCTAAATATGGCGAGCAAGAACAAACCTAACAACTATTTTTATTTTTAATTAGCTTCACGCCCCCCCCCCCAATTTTTTTAACGCCCCCATTGAGGGGTGCGCCCCACCGTTTGAGAACCACTAATACAGAATATCGAAGGGAGAAGAAAATTAATTGTGAAAGGCCGCGACTTGACCAGAGGGTGTTTCCCGCGCATCGACTTCCTTGTTTATATCCGTAACATTGGCTAATCAGCAAGATGTTAACGGTTACGTAATGAATAAAATTTCAGCAGTCGCTCACTCGGATATGTTCGATAAATTTGGAGTACCAACGAACGCCGAAAAGTAATTGTGAAGTACGGCGACACACCAAGTTGCTACCCCGTGCATCGATTTCCTTATTTATTCCCGCAACATTGGCTAATCAGCAAGATATCAACAGCGATGTAACGATTAGGATTTCAGCAGTCATTTACCCAGAAAAGTTTGATAAATTTAGAATATCGAAAGACGGAGTAAAGTAATTGTGAAAGACTGCGACACTCCCTCCTTGTCAACTCAAGTATTGACTGATTGAAACTACACACGAGCGCAAACTAGCGGTATGGCGTTCTTGTTCATGAATTCAAATTTCACGTTTGTCCAGCGCAGTGATAGGCGGGTCTGTGGTGTCATCGGAGGCGCTCCAGAATTACGTGTACCAATAGGGAGGTAACTAATTTTGTTCGCCTACGTTAGATCAAGCTGTGTGAAAGGGGGTTCATTCATGTGACTAACACAGACAGTCCCCGAACTAGTAATAGAACTAAAATAAGGAAAATCGGAATAAAATTACGGTATACCCCGGATACACATACTACGGGAGTACATCATTGGAAGCATTAAGTTTAGCACGATGCAACAACAATTTGTGTAATTCGCCCATTTGCTAATATACAACTCTAATTCCCCAGCCCTATCACCCCTTCTTCCATAAATACACACATGTATAAATGTATACTAATAGAGCATGGGATAACGTTTTCACCTATCACCCTTCTTCCACAAATACACACCGGTATAAATGTATACCAATTGAGCATGAGATAACGTTTTATTGCAATATGTCTAAGCCATTAAAAATTTGGTCAAATAACAAATAGAATTCATTTTCTTTATGCTTCATTACGAGTCCACATACCAACAGCACCTGTGTAGAAATTGTATAATTAGTAATCACATAATTAGAATTTTTTAACACTTTATACTGGGAAAGGAAAAGCCAGTTACATATTTCCGTAGCTCGACGGCGCGGTGCATCGTGCTAAGCGTTAGAAATACGCTCGCCACCGCACTTCTAATTACCCTGCATGGGTTAATAATGTAATAATGTGCGAGGGGATGATCCCCTGGGGATAGCTTGGCTCCTTGCCACTGTAGAGAGGTTCATGTAACCACTGGTCGGTTTCGATTACCTCTACCATCCAGTCCATGCATCTGAAAACAAATAACTGGCTAACTAAACCCATATCCAACTTGGCCTGGTAACCAGACGAGAGGCTGTGGTTCGCCATATGATTTCGTCGTCTTATCAGCCGTTATCTGTAAGTTCAGAGCATGACTCTCCTCTACTTCTGAGTAAAAGTGGGTAACCTTCCTCTGAGCAAAATATCGTAAAACTTCAAAACGCTTACCATTATAAAACTTATCCAATGAAATTAACGACAACAAGATGCAGAACAGCGTGTGCGAAGAGAAAATCAGCAAAAGCTCTCTGTGGTGCGATGTTATTGAAATCCTTCCTATTGGCGGGGTTCACTTGGAGCCTCAGATTCACTGAAAATATTAAATTATTTTGTTCATTGATAAGATTTTTCATCTCAGGGGGGAGGATATGGAAGGCTTTCACAAGTTGTTTTTCCGTAGCTCCTTCTTCAAACCATCCACCAAACCAATTTTTTTCTAATACTTCGTAAAGCAATGAAATCTATCCTTTTAAGCTTACAATTTTTTTTTCAATTCCATTTCAAATATGAATTTGTACTTTTGAAGTCAAATTTGTATCTTTAAAAATTTGAAGCAAAATTTTAAAAACTCCTATTTCATAGCTGAGTTTCGAGCCCCACTTTTGTTAAACTAAGAGCTAAAACCTCAATGCCCCAGGGGTAAAAAAATGGACCCGAGTTCGATTATACGGTGGCTTTGGAGCTGAAGCCAATGCGATTTCAAATCAGCGGAGAAAAGGACTCTATTAAACTAAATATCATTAAACTAACCTGCCAGAACAAATGATGCAACACAAGAGATGAATCCAGAAAGAAAAGAGTTGAATGGGAACGTCCCCACTAGAGCGCAGTAGAGAAACTGTAGCACTCCAGTCACAAGAATGTAAGCAAGGTAACAGTCAATCAGCTGTAATGAAAAATTTGCAATTTGATTTTATACAAAATTTAAGTGCTTTATTAGGATAAATATAAAACATTAGTATATCGTATGTTCAGAGTTGGAATGGATATAAAACTGTAGGCAATTGGTTAGAGTAAGCATATAAAGTGGGTTTATGGTATGTTCTGGGTTAGGATAGATATAAATCTTTATACAAATGGTTAGAGTAGCATATGAAGTGGGGCTCATGGTATGTTCTGGGTTAGGATAGATATAAATCTTTATACAAATGGTTAGAGTAGCATATAAAGTGGGGCTCATGGTATGTTCTGGGTTAGGATAGATATAAATCTTTAGAAAAATGGTTAGAGTAAGAATATAAAGTGGGTTTATGGTATGTTCTGGGTTAGGATAGTTATAAATCTTTAGACAAATGGTTAGAGTAAGAATATAAAGTGGGTTTATGGTATGTTCTGGGTTAGGATAGTTATAAATCTTTAGACAAATGGTTAGAGTAGCATATGAAGTGGGGCTCATGGTATGTTCTGGGTTAGGATAGATATAAATCTTTAGACAAATGGTTAGAGTAAGAATATAAAGTGGATTTATGGTATGTTCTGGGTTAGGATAGTTATAAATCTTTAGACAAATGGTTAGAGTAGCATATGAAGTGGGGTTCATGGTATGTTCTGGGTTGGGATAGATATAAAACTTTAGGCAGAAGGTTAGAGTAACATATGAAGCAAGAATTATACAATTGTGACACAACAATTTTGCAACACCCTGATGATTAATCGTTCTTATCAACTTTTGTCTCCCCCAAGATAAATATGAAAAATCCTATCCCATGTAATTACCTTCAGCCTTTGTGATGTGGTGGCAACATAATCAGAATAAAACTTTTTACCAACTGAAAAAACTCCTTCTGAAGACATGATTACTATTACTCCTAAATATACTTATTCTTAAGATTGGACCTGAAGAAATTGGAAGGAAATATAATTACCAAAGCAAAAAGAAATCACACAGTTATGAATATAAATCATGAATTTTAGCCGTGCCTTACTTTACCAAAAAAAAAGTGAATATACAAAGTGGGTAATAAATCATTTTTTGAAAACAGTCAGAAACAAATACCGGTAATATCCAAAAATTAGGGTAAAAAGATGGAATAATCAATTTATAGATTTGGTTAGATTTCAGTTATTTTGCTGTTTTTTTATTTTTATTTTAATTTAATATCTATAAACATTCATGAACTAGAACTAGGTTTACTAGCTTTTTCAACTTCGACAATATATCTAATATTAGCATGCAAGTTCCTAGAAAACAAAAGAGCATCTGGAAAAAGATCCCTATTTAATTACAAAAATGATAATGGTACTGCCAACAAAATAATATTCTTTGATAGATTTTAATTTTGAATCACGCTCTATGTTTTTGTTGTTAGATCATCTTCTCAGGAAGCATTAGCACCCTCTTGTGCCAGTTTATGTGCTTTTTTAATTCCTTCAATACAATCGGAAGAATGATGAAAATCAACTAACACATGAAGTAAATCCTCTGTTAGTTTTTTCCACATGTCTTGATTTAAAATTGGTCGGTTGGTAGACCTCGATTTCCAATCATTGTGTTGCCACATTGGCAGCCAGTGGTTACATGACTTGACTAAAGTGTCAGAGTCTGTATGAAGACACAGTTTCTCGATTTTAAAAGCTTTTGCTAGTAATATTGCAGCGTGAGATGCGGCAATTTCAGCTCGACTGCTCGTAAGTTTACTGCCACCATGTGGTATTGATACATTTAAAGGATGATTGTCACGCCCCCAATACACCCCTATTCCACTCTTTCGCAATCCCATATCTGTTTTGTTGTTATTTAAACAACTTCCATCTGTATATACAATAGTCTTTCCATTATCAGTAGTTTCAAAATTGAGTTCGTCAAAGCTTATTCGATTTAATAAAGATGGAATATGCCTTTTCAAATTCAAAAATGTTAGACCAGAAATACTACTCAAAGGCTGAACATCAGACTGTGATAGAATAATAGAGTTGGTGTGAAAATAAGTCTTTGGCATAGAAGTAAGCCTCAAAATTTTTCTTGGCAGACAACAACTTGAAAATTTTACCAATTTCAGTGAAATACTATATTGTGTCTTTGGTAAAATGTTCATTATCCAGTGGATTGTATTTAAATATATGTTGGAAGCTCTGGTCTTAAATACTGGGATGAGAAATGTCTTGTTTATCTTAAGAGTTGATTATGAAATAATATATTGTTTTCTTTTAATTCAAATCTTCGTCGTCAAAAAGATCTTCGAAATTGTTGTAGAAATCTGAGTGGACGGCTTTTTCATTAGCAGTTATATCGACCATATGAACAGACGATGAAGTTCCAACCGACGCCTCATCTAATTCACTGTAAGCACCTTCTGGAAACATCTCATCAGCGACAGGAACTAGCGTGGGCTTCATGATTTAATTTAAAAAGACACCAGCTACTGCAAATGAAAAAAAAAATTGGTATTAATTTTCTTTACGAGGTTTTTCCCACGTAAGTATACATAGGCAACAAGCAACATTAAACAGTAATAAAATGCGTTTTTAAATGGCAATTTCAGACCTTCATGTCACTAATATATGAATATTTTGGTGTTAGGTGAGAGAGAGAGATTTATTGTTTTGTCAACCAGAAAACAAACGAAAAAATATAGACTATGGGCCTATACGAAAATATATATACAATATTCACAAAGTTAATTCGGTATAGACTGGAGGGTGAATTGTCTATTCTGGGGTCTGATCTACTTTCTGATGATGTACAATTAGTCCTGTGTACTGGACGGTAGCTATATACAGATATAGTTGTAGAAATATCTGAAAACACGATTTTGACAGCATAAAATGACATGGTGCTATTTTTCGCTCAACTAAAGAAAATGCATAGCGAAATTATTTAAGACAGAAACGCTATTGTACTATGTTCAATAGATAAATAAAATAACACGTTGGAGCAATAAAAAGCCCTTGCTGTAACTGTAACACAGAACGATTCATACAAAAACTCTCCAATTTAAAAATCAAGCTCTACGTAGGCAGAGCACATCAGCTACTTACAGAGTATCTTTAGTGGTGGTCTGAAAATTACGTATCTTGAATTAGCCAAAATTTTTACTTCGAATGACAGATAGTACAACGAAAAAGTAGATTTGATATAATGGTAAAAAAAATATTTTGCTCATTAAATAGGGAATATTAGTCTTATAATCAAGACGAAGGCGTTAATATGTGAAATAAATTTAATAAAATTAGGAACTCCAATCACCACATTATTACGAGCACTCTACTGCCCCAAGAGGATATTTAGGTGCTACAAAAAACTCCAATTTTTACGATAATGAAACAATTTCGTAGAATAAATCATTAAGATTCAATCAAGATTATTTTTTTCATGTCGAATTAACGTAATTTGAAATAATATTTCGATGAAGACAAAAACGCCGCAAGGGATAAAACTCCGCTACGCACCAATTAGCACGCCACATCATCAAGGGAAAATAAACAAACCGGTATTTTGTCGGCGACGTCGTGGCATTTATTCGCGTCGCTGTGTTATGTTGCGGTCCCGGCCTTTTTTTGTTAGTTTTGTAATTCGCTTTAATTTTGCTGCATATATATGACAAAACTATCTTTGAATTGAGAATATGAGCTAGGGATTTTGCGTATAGGGACTAGGTAGCCGGCGGCTGCGCTATTTACTGGTATTGCAAACTTAAGTCAGTAGGTTGTATAGTTCTCTGGCTCCCTGGCTGTAATGAAAAATGCTAGAATGTGCGTTTTTGCCTTATACCGTACCTATGTTTTCATTCAAAATGAAAAAGCAGGTTTACTGCTTTGCATCATGCTGCCATGATATCACTATGTAAAATGCAGTAATGTCAGAATCTCAAAAGGGTTTGCAGACTTTTTTTGTGCCACAAGGCGGTTCAAGTTATGAGTTTGATTTCCGGTCAAATCGGAGTTGTTATAAGTTATAAGTTTATTTCGACTCCATAATCAGCAATAGACGATAATGTGAATAATACATGTTAATTTATAAAAATATGGAATGTCTGTGGACGGAAAATTCATTTCTGTAACTGAGCACTTTAAAATTTATTTCTTAACTGTTTCAGAATTAAATAACGTATTTAATATTAAAGCATCCAGAAACTTTTAATCTAAAAGTCAAAATGGGTAAGAAAATTTTGTTTTTAAAATTTTGAAATCTTTTTCTGTTTTGGGGAGTAGAAATCTGCAATTATTTTAAGCGTAAAATATATTTCTATTATTCTGCAACACTTGCATTTTGAAACTATTCAGACTAGTTTTGCTTCAATAATATATCGATGAAGCCGGAAAGTAGATAATCAGATTCTTTTTCCTGTAATCGAGATTTAAAATAAAAAAGGGAAATTTCAAATTTTGAATTATTTTTATTCAAAATTATTACAGAGGAACAGGTGCTCTTTTAACCTGCTATTTAATCATAGTCAAAAGCAATATTTCAATGTTTGTTAGTTCATTAATAGAAAATATATTTTTATTTTCTTTTGTAAACAGCTCTTTCAAGTTTACAGCTCTCAAAATCTTCGATCTACTTTATCAACCTTATTCTTTACTCTTCCTATATTGCAGGTCTCGGCACAACAAACTCGTTTATTGTCTCAACCTTTTTATCTGTCGTTGTGTTTTCATCAATGCAAGTATTTAAGGTGAGTCCGAGCTATTAATCAAATTTTGTCAATGAGAATATATAATACTGCACAATCTTCTCTTTTAACAATGTTCAAACCATACTTTTCGTGGGCTTAGTTATTAACTGTTAAGGTGTAATGTATCCCTGCTTTATGAAATAAAAACAGCATTTATATAAATTCAAACGAAGCAGTGGAAACTTGAGTGATCTCACACACTGAGAAATGTAGGAGATTAATCTCTTAGCAAAGTTACTGTGGCCACTTAAGTGCCAACAACTGCCGAGGCTTTAAGCCAGGGTTGCAAGTCATTGGCGGGCCGCACATATTTAAAAAAAGTTAAAATCCGAACGGATGATACTTTTTATAATAAAAATCAAGCAGTGATACATCTCTCGAACAGAATATAGATTTATTTCCTCGAATTGCATTGCATCTCGAAAAATGCCAATCGTATACTTTCGGCACCATCGAACTCTTTGCACTTAGCTTTGCCTTTTTAGCGTTTTGTTGCCATTTGTGTAATTATAATCAAGTTATAGGATCATTAAACTTGTAATTGTGAATTATATACTTGTTAGGTTTTAATATAGGTAATTTAGTCTACACGTTGTTACTTAAATTCAGTGAAGCGTCGCGGGCCAGATTATATTACTCCAAGGGCCGTAGGTTGCCTACCCCTGCTTCAGGTAGTTCATGCCAATACAAGCAGAAAAACAGCTATGTGGCCTCGTTAAAAATAATCAAGACTGGGTTGGAATGATATACATACTTCCGCAAAGAATAACGATCATCGGTTTTTGACCAGAATAAATTTTTTATATTTTACGCATATCATTTTTAGTGATAAGTTTACGCTAATTTTCAGGAAACAAATTAAACAAATTCCTCAACATGTTGATAAAATCTTTCTCTCTTTTCCAGGTCCAGCTTGCGTCATCAGAATGGTTTACTATCGGCGGAGGAGTGCTTGGCTCTCTTTTGTTCTGCTGCTTATTAACAGCTTGCAGTAACTTGGAAATGATGTTATTCGGCGACATGTTTCAAGCTAAATTTATTCCTGAAGTATTTGGATGCCTCGCTGCTGCATGTTTTGCATCTGGTCTTGTTCACAGGGTCTGTGTAACAACTTGGTGAGTTGCGCTTTAACATATATTGGATTTTTCTGTTATTCTCTGTCAAATGTACTTCACAAAAATGAGTTTCCTAAAATTTTATGGTACTCAAAAGAGCTCATAAATAACGATAGCATGTTCATGAAGATGTTTAAATCTCTCTGTTACTTGTAAATATTGACAATCTAGTTAAATTTGTCTCTATTGCTGCTAAATCACATGAGAGCAATACTGAAGACTTATAAAGATGTTCCCATAATTGGAAAGAAATATTTCCGCGAGAAACATGCAGTTCCTTAACAGCATAAATTTACTTAAAACGTAATGAATAACTTCAGAAGCATTTTGAGAGTAAGAAATTATAATGTGAAGATTTCTTTGTCTTATCCTGACATCCTGTATTATCCAGTTTTGTGAGAAATATCTCTAAAACCGGAGTCATGTCCAAGGTTTTCCTAACTGGGGTCCGCAAACGTCTTGGATGAGAAAAGAGTCGAAATGATTTTTAATGATTGATTTTAATCAAAAAGCTAGTGCATCTTTTTGTTTGAGCGTTGCGGACAAATATCCAGTGCTATCGTAGATGAAACATTATCTTTTCCCGTTGGTTAGGCACAGAAATTGATACGGCATAGGATGGTGTCTGTCAAAAATAAAACTCTGGTCAAGTCAATGGCTTGAGAATCCCCATCACTGCTATAACCTTTGACCCCACTCAAATTTCCTATACTGCTATAACCTTTGACTCCACTCAAATCTTCAACGATGATTTGTAATTTCCAGCACGGCCATAACATTTGACTTCACGCAAATCTTCAACAATGCTATGACCTTTAACCCCACTCAAATCCTCAACACTTCTGTAACCTTTGACCCTGCCCAAATCCCACACACTGCTATAACCTTTGACCTCACTCAAATCTCCCACACTGCTATAACCTTTGACCCCACTCAAAATCTCCCGAAGTGCTATAACCTTTGACCCCACTCAAATCTCCCACACTGCTATAACCTTTGACCCCACTCAATTCTCCCACACTGCTATACCCTTTGACCCCACTCAAATCTCCCACACTGCTATAACCTTTGACTCCACTCACATCCCCAACACTTCTATAACCTTTGACTCCACTCAAATCCACAACACTTCTATAACCTTTGACCCCGCCCAAATCTCCCACACTGCTATAACCTTTGACCCAACTCAAATCTCCCACACTGCTATAACCTTTGACCCTACTCAAATCTCCCACACTGCTATAACCTTTGACCCCACTCAAATCTCCCACACTGCCATAACCTTTGACTTCACCTAAATCTCCAACACTGCTATAACCTTTGAACCCCACTCAATCTCTACTTTATTTTACAGTTTCATCTTTTCAATGATCGATCTGTACTACATCAATAAATTATCGACCGCAAAATATCAGGCACCGATAGCACAGACTCCAACAAAAGCAAAGAAGACAAAGCGGCATTAGAAATTCAATTTGAAAACTGTACAGATGCTTTCATAATTTTACCCACGAACTTCTGTACGGGTGGCTCAAAGATTTTAAACTAACATAACATTGATATAATTTAAATATGTTTTATGGGGGTAGCAATTTGCTAGAAGTAATATTCAACATCAAAAATAACAAGCATAAAATTTTGGGTGCTTCAGGGGGTAAATCGTGTTGGATATTTTTAAGAAAATTATCAATACATATTATGTTTATTTGATTGAGTTTATATACCATGATGAAAACTGGAAGATTTTGTTATACGTGGATGAAAACTAGAAGATTTTGTTTTATTTTATGTCGAAAAGTTTGAAGTCTCGCAAATTTTTTTCATTCGAGATTTCGCTCCAAAGCAGAAATATTATAAATTTACTCAAATTTGGGGCTACATATTACAACACGGATACCCAATTGTGAGTAAATTGTAAACAAAACCCATGGGGTAAACTTTACCGTATTTGTCTTGGTGAGAGTTTCGCTTAGGGGTGAAAATTAACACTGATCTGTGCTTCAACTGTAGTCATGTAAATCCAACACAATCAATCCTGGACATCTACATTAAAATTTCCTTTTTCAAATTTTTTTTTTGCCTCATGATAACCCTGCCAAGTTTTCATATATCAACATCAGGGTTCCCAACTTCCGGATGCTCAAAGCCATTATGGCCCCCTGCTTGTCATAACAGTGGTATTTATTTATTGGTGTTTTGATTGGTAAATTCTGAATCCTATTGGGTTCAAACAATTCATGCTCAATAAAGTGAAAACACCTTTTTAAGTTCGTCTCCGAGTCAATGAAATGCGTCTAGTGTTGTGGCCCATTCCAACTGCTTTGTGGCCCTTTTATGGGTCACGTGGGCCCGGTTGGGAACCACTGATGTATATCTTATTTTGGGCTTTGGTTCTGTCTTTGCAATGAACTTGAAACTTCTCTATTTGTTATCTGAAATTATGAAGCATTTAATATAAAATTCCTGTCGCCGGAGTAAATTATGAAGCTAATAAAATGTATTTGTATGTACTTTTTTTTTGTATAAAAATATATGCGGTGGTGGGGTGGCATTTTTCTATTTATCCCAGGGCAAGCAAAGTCAATATGGTTATGATAGGATTTTCATTTTTATTCAAGGGAGGGAAAGCCGATAAAACTGCTAAATTCGGCGCTCTCGTAGTATGTATACCAAGATGGCGCACAACATGAACATAGTAACAAAAAATAGATCGTGATCAGGTAGATGACCATAGAACAGCTGGTCACATAACCGCTCCAGTTAGCGACGCACTGCTACGATGGAAAAGAATCAGGGCACCCTACCGTCATACTCCTGACAACACCAACACATTTAATATTATTGTGATACTTATTTATGGGCATCCAGAACTATTTGAACTTTACCAAGAAGACGCACAACATGAACCTTGACCTGGTACACATACTATGTTCAGGTTGTGCGCCATCTTAGTACACATACTTCAGAAGCACCATTCTTTGAACAATATCTCTCCATAGTGCAGAAACGAGGCTCATTTTAGAGCAGACGTGACCAAGGTTTAAGACCGTCGGCCAGAAATTTTGCCCGTTTAGACTGGCGGGCCATGTAAATGTGACGTATAAATTACATTTTATGAACGATATTTACAGTATTACAAAAGCAAAAGTGGAAAACAATGACCCTCGTGCCAAAACTAAATTTAATTGCAATCTCAACAAATTCCTTGCGCTAATTTATAGGTAAAACGTCAAAAGTTGGTTTTATTTTTGTTGTGGCAGGATCATGCGCGCCGGATTGAATTAACCAATGGGCCGTATTTGGCTCACGGGCTGTAGTTTGCCTTTGTCAGTTTTAGAGCCTCGGCGAATTGTGGCTACGCGATAGAAACACGTTTGCCATTACACATGGATTTTCAGACTTAAAGCTTGTGAGGGATTATCATGTGCAAGACGAGTGCTGGACTCTTCCTCGCCGTGGGGTGTGGAGCTTCATTCCATTTATTTCGCAAGATTAAACAAACATGCTGCACACGAAAGCAATAATCATTTAGGGTAATTGACACACTCTTTAATAACTGGACTGCTCAACGTGAGATTCCGTTTTGTTGTTTCTTTATTATATTCTACCAACTCATTTTCTTATGTTTAAGTTTGATAATGCTCGTTTTTCTCCGACAAAGACTTCAAGAAAATATTTGTCGCGGGCGCTTCTTTTCGACATAGGGAGTGGTAGTGTGGGATCGTCTCTGCGCTGGTATACGCGTGGTTTTTAGTCAGAGGAAAGGCCAGGTCATAACTAATCTTCTAACTCAGCTTTTATGCTTTTTTATATTACCAATTGTATATTCCACTTGTTTATTATATCTACAGTCGTTGGTGGGATTCATGAGTTTCGGGCGGTTGGTGGGATTCATGAGTTTCGGGGGAATGCGTTTTTAAAATGTGTTATGGTGACAAGAGTCTCGTGCAGTTTTATAACACAACAACTTCTAATTAGCTTAGCGTAACAATTTTTACATATATCAGTTCTGGCTTCGTCATTGCGAAATTGAGTTTGCCAAAGTATAGCGTGATCGCCCGAAATAGCGATGCGAGTACGTGAACAAAATAGCTAGCCCGTTCTAGCGGTTAGACTTAAAAGGTCTTGGTTATTTTTTGAAATGAGAGGACTTATTGATAACCAGATACAAAAGAAGGCGCTCCCATAGTATGTGAGCCAAGATGGTACACAAACTGAACGTAGTATATGTACCAGGTTAAGAGTTGTCAGATTGTGCGCCATCTTGGTACATCCAGTACGGGAGCGCTAAAATAAATTCGTTGTGAAATTTTGAATTCCACCACCGACCCAAATATGTGATTGAAACTGAGTTAAGAATTAGAAAGTCTATTTAGGATTTGTTAAAATATTATATTTTTTTTGTTTATGAATCAATTTTGATACGATTTGGATCGGTTAATTATTTTTTTTCTATTTTGGCGCTTTTTGCACCAACATGTTCACATGTCAGCATGTGTATACTGTAAATATCTGAACTTGTCTTTTGTGCTATTTTGCGTACCTTAGTTATTTATGTCCCTCGTTAATTATGTTTTGGTTTTCATTGAACCTCCGCGTAAAATATGTGATATGACGAACTTAATATGACGAACCACGGCCATTGTCCGGTTACCGGTCCATATCGGGTATGGAATTAGTTCACCAGTTATTTGTTTTATATGCGTTGATATGTTGGTGAAAGAAGATGTAACCGATAACGACGAGTAGTCCAGCAATCACATAATTATCAGGTAAGAGCGTGTTTCTAATAAATATCACGATGCGTCGACCGTCAGGCCGCCAAGAGATGATGCTGAAAAACAAGAATTCTGCAGCCCGAGTTGAGGTGCGGTATCGGCGACTTTCATATTTCGTACAACAAATCAGTGAGTCCTATTTTTTTTATTTTACCCTGCTTAATAAAATAAGTCAATAAACGGACCGACAGTGACCTTAACCCTATTTTTTTAGTCATCTACTGCTGATACCTACCTTTTTCATCACTGATACCTTTGATACCTACCTTTTTAGTCAGACCCCAACAAACTGTAAATGTCTAATACATATAATCTTTTACACAGGACTAATGAGCGGCGAGGGTAGATGAAAAAGTAACTAGTGTTTGTTATTGTAAAAAGGTGGTCGCGACTGTTAGAGGTAAAATTTAATATTTTACCATTCTATTAAAATTCAAGTACCAACTGTATGGTGAATAATAGTATTGTACAAAATTAATCTATAAGTTAACTCTCAATCCAATCACAGGGCTTTAGAAAGAACGAGAGATCAATGTGAATGAATAGGTATGTTATTATCATTATTTTACCTTATAATATGACAAAGTACAAGCAGTTTTAGACGTTTAGTCACGAGTCCTCTAGGACAGGAGTTCTTAACTTTGTGTTACGGAGCCCGTAAAAAGGTTGACTATTATTTACGGACTCCCAAAATAAATTTATAAAGTAAGTACCTTTTTACATATTGTTAAATATATTTGTGCGGATTTTAAGTTTGAAACAGAATGTGCCAATGTAAATCGATAAATAAAATAAGCAATGAACTGCAAATACCCAATGCCGTTTATTTTAATTACAGGACTAAAGAGCAAGAAAAATAGAAACAGACAAAAAGTCATCTTTAATATTGTCGCAATTGGTTGATGGTCGCGACTGATCGATGTGAATGGACAGGTAAATCGTCTGATTCCTATTTTATTCTATTAGATTAGAAATTGTTGAATACGAACGAATGAATGTATAAATCGTTTCATGGGTGAAAAACGTATGACATTTGATCCCGGAATTATGGCATCCAATCACTGAGGTCAAAAGGTTAAATAGAAGTGGGAGAAAATGTTTGGTCACATTGCTCGGAGCTCTCGTAGTATGTGTACCAAGGTAGCGCACAACCTGAACATAGTATGTGTACCATGTTAGGGTGCAGGTTGTGCGCCATCATGGTACACATACTTCGGAAGCGCCCTTTGTTTTGCGTGATAAATAAGATGAAGATTCAGGACGGTGGTCCAAGGTTGTCGCCCTTGCGGGCCACAGATTTATTTTTTCATTGTTCGCGGGCCGCAATCGTGTCAGAAATAGGTTAACAGGGCAATACAAAACAAACACTATTATTGTGCAAGCATTTGATCATTATTTGTCATTTATCAAGCTAAAACATGCAAAATACACGAAAATACACTAAAACATGCAAACGTTTTTCTATATCTACGTTTGATGTAAGATTTCAAACTCTTCACAACGGAGATAGTGCTTCCGCAAATGTAAGTGCTTTCGAACAGCTATGGGGTTCTCAAAGATAAATCCCTCAAACTTTGAAAATGCTGATTGATCCCATGATAGCCATAGGGTTATATTTACTGCAAATTGATTATCAAATGTAAGGTACAGGAGAGTAATTACTAATTTTTCTGACATTCTAGAGGCATTTTTGTACTACTGTTTAGGCTGGTTGCAAAAAACAACTGAACAAATTATATTCTCAGGCCATAGCACTAAAATTTAGTTATCATATTTAGTTATTATAACTGTTTTAATTTATTCCCAGCCATAAAGATAAAAAGCCAGTGAACAATTTAGACTACCCAAGCACACTATTCAAATTTGCTAGTTGCTACAGCTAGCCGTGGCACTAGTCCAATTTTCAGCCTCAAGAACGGAGAAAAAGTGCAAGGAAACCAGGTATCTGATCATGCAGCTGATGTATCGACGGATCGAGGTAATTGTTGTTCATTTTTTATTTCGGCATTCTTCTAGAACTTGGTACAAACTCACAGAAATCTGTAAAATGAAAGCGGAAAATGAAATGTCTAGGAAGGCCTGGTGAATTGTCCGTGTAGTCGAATTGTCCATCAGCCCTAAATGGCTATGACAGTCACTGTACCGAAATTTGTACCCCGATTCAGCTGGTGTTAGTTGATGCATGTTATTTAGTAACGTTTTTATGTGAAATGTTTGACTGTGGTACCTGATCCGGTAATACGGTCCCTAAGTGACTCATATCACGAGATATTTTAATCTATGTTTCGATATAATCAAGAAAAATGGATCATTGTCACAGGACCTAAAATATCTATGACAGTCCCTGTACCGTCACGGTACCCCGATACAGGTACTGGTAAGTCACCGCATATGATTTTTTGGGAATTATTCTGCGTGTCCATATATTTGAGCATTGCTCTCTTTTTGCTACGGAGAAATTCATTTATGCTGACGTATTAGTAAAATTAATCTTGAATATGACAAAACAAGCAAATATCGGTACTCCTGAAGTATGCGCATCAAGATGGCGCAAAACCTGAACTCGGGTTGTGTACCAGGTTAGGGTTCAGGTTATGCGACATCTTGATGCGCATACTTCAGGAGTACCGATATTTGCTTGTAGCTTGTAGGACAACTGCTTTAGGGCCCCTTGAAGAAATCTGATGCCCATTTTGATTTGACCTTTGATTTCACCATCACTTATAGCACAGAATAGATAAATTATTGATTTCTGATTTCTATGTGATATTCATGACATAACTAAACTCTTACATATCGTATTTTCAGGCGTCGTATCGTTTATGCAGAAATGACGTACGATATCGAAACGTACATGTTAGAAGAACACGAGATGATCAGAAGAGCTGCAACAGAGACAATGTGCAACATGTGCATGAGCCCTGATGTGAGTTTCTAAATTATATTTTATGTTTTCCATTTTTACTTAAACCAAGACTCAAGATCAGTGGCTTTCCAACAATGTTTCTGCCAGTACAGTCGAATAAAATACTTGTTCAAGAAATCGCAGAACTAGACTAGTGTTCATGAATTTTTGTCATCGTTTTAAGATATTTAGTGTCAAGAAAGATATTACAGCGACTCCCAGATTGAATAACTTTGGTTTACACAGACAGTCTCGATATGGTAACACTACTTATAGCAGAGAATAAATAAATCATTGATTTCGGATTTCTATGTGATATTCACCACATAACTAAACTCCTGCATATCGTATTTTCAGGCGTCGTATCGTTCATGCAAAAATGACGTACGATATTGAAACCTATACGTTGGAAGAACACGAGATGATCAGAAGAGCCGCAACAGAGACAATGTGTAACATGTGCATGAGCCCTGATGTAAGTTTCTAAATTATATTTTCTGTTTCCATTTTTACTCACAACATGACTTGAGGCCAGTGGTTTTCCGAACCTATCTTTCTCTAGTACAGTTGACTTGTTTTTGCAAGTGCAAATTCTACAAAATCGCTTTTTAGAAAGCACGGATTGAAATTTTTTCCCCGAGATCGGTGAAACAGCACCTTCAACAAGGTGAAAACACTGCGTTAAATTACCTAATCAACCAATGAAACTAGGAAAAACAGAAGTTATCTTGTAAAGTGAAAAGTAACCTCAGTAATGCCTAGCATTATGACCCCCTTTAGCTGACTTCTTGGGGGGCCACTGATCTTCTCGGTTACCAGATTTGTTACACTTTTGGTGGCTATATATTTTGAACTGGGGATCTTGATCCTGTTATACAAAATTGGTTGAAGGGATCTGCATCTTCTTTTGTTTCATTTATTCCTCCCCTGGTGATTGTGGTGAGAGAATTGAACTTATAACCAGTGTTTAATCAAAGAACACTTCGAATTTTCCGTATTATAGTTTATATTATTACTTAACAAGTTTGGGGACTGTCTTTGTTAGCCGTGTTCCAGTCCCTTTACACAACTTGGATGTGAAGTAGGCGAACAAAATTAGTTACCTCCACATTGGTGCACATACTTCTGGAGCGCTAAAATTGGTTTCCAAAACTTAATTTTTCAATTATTTTTTTTTTAGTTTCAGGAAATGATGGCAAAGGTGGGACAAGATCGCTCAAAAATTTTAGTTTTACTTCTCGCTGAAGACGATGAGCAGACAAGACTCGCTGCAGCCGGTGCTCTCGGAATAAAGAATGAAGAATAAAGAAGAAATCTGCAAGATTAAAGACCAGGTAACAAGAAAATTTTGATCGATTGTGTCTGGATCATCCATAGGTGTCCCGTAGTGCGTGTAACAGGTTAGGAATAGGCCATGATATTATTCTGGATTTCCATATTTTAGTTCTATTACGGGTTCGGGGACTGTCTGTTTTAGCCAAGTGAATATACCCACTGCCCATAGGTTTCAGTCCCTTTATACAACTTGATGTAAAGTAGGCGAACAAAATTAGTTCCTCCGTATTGGTACACACACTTCTGCAGCTGATACCAATTCATTCGGAACCATTAATGGCAATGGTTCCTAACCTTATTCCCCTTTTTGCCTCTTTGAAAACTATTTAATTCCATCTCATCATGCATAAACATTCTTCATTTCATTCAAAAGACAAAAGATTGATAACCTGTCGATGACATGTTTGAGTGAAATTATTGAAGTTGCTGTTCCATTTTTTTTTTCAGCAATATTCTTGAAATCTTGATCGTACATTCGAAGTCTGAGGATGAAAACAAAGAAATTGAAAGAAATCGCACTGAAAGCACTGAAACAGCTGGAAAGTTCATTCAGTCTACAGAAAACGAAAAAATAAATGAAATATTTTGACGCACCTACGGCACTAAATTAGAACTCCACATTGCTAGCAGGGCGTTAGATTCCGACAAAATTGACAATCAATTTTTGGTTGTAAAAAGTTTTGACTGCTGAAAAAACAAATTTTTAAAACAATCATTTGAGTATGCTAGCTCAGCCTTCTTTAATAGACTGTTAGGAACTAAATTTAATGCTTATAAATTTATTGTTTATCGGGAGTTTTGACTTTAATGGCGCCAATTTTGGGCTCTTGCATTGCTAGCAGGGCCTTGGACAAAATTCACAATCAATTCTGGGTTGTAAGAAGTTTTGACTGCTGGAAAAAAAATCAAATATTTAAAAAAATCATTTGCATATGCTAGCCTAGCCATCTTTGATAGTCCGAGGATCTGAGTGTTTATCGGAGTTTTGGCTTTTAGGCGATTTGGGAGTTACTACTTTGCTAGCAATTTCCAGACTCTAGGAACTAGAATTAAAACTTTATAAGTGTTTGTGTGCAAATTTGACTTTTTTTTATTACCATTGAAGATATCAAATTATTCTCAAATAAATTTCTTCTTATAAAAAGTTGCTTATCATATCAAATCTCATCAGATGTTGGTCTATTAACAGTGCATGTAATTTAAAAATCATATGTCGTGTTTCTCTAAACTTCTAAAAGTTCAAATATTTTATTTTTCAAATGAAATTCATATTTGTTAAGAAAATTATTATTTATGTCAAACGATTTAATTCTTTGAGCAGTTACTATCTGTTATCATTGTTTTTCTCGGTTTATATGTTGAGTCTTCATTCTTTTCCTTGTTAAATTTATTTTAAATCTTGCATGCACTCATTCAGTAGTAGGTTCATCTCTCAACAAAGTTCGGGCTCATGTGGGGCTTGATAGCTCCTTTCCTTTTAAAATGTAGAAAAAACCATTAGTTTTTTGTAGTTTGAAACGCTCATACCCTCAGACTCTTTCGAAATTACACTTAGGCGGCTTATTTCGGCAGGACATCTATCAAGGAAAATAAAAATTTCAGACTCTCAGACTTTAAATCTTGCATGCACTCATTCAGTAGTAGGTTCATCTCTCAACAAAGTTCGGACTCATGTGGGGCTTGATAGCTCCTTTCCTTTTAAAATGTAAAAAAAAACATTAGTTTTTTGTAGTTTGAAACGCTCATACCCTCAGACTCTTCCGAAATTACACTTAGGCGGCTTATTTCGGCAGGAGATCTATCGAGGAAAATAAAAATTTCAGACTCCCCCCTCACTCTCTGAGAATTCCCGGCTATGTCCTGGCTATGTGTACGCCCTGGTGCAGTCAAAGATAAAATGATGCCTCCAACTCGCATTCCATGGTAATGGAAGTTCTCCGGTTTTAAGAAATCAAATTTTGATAACTAAAGCTTTTGCGTATGATGTCATTCTCAGCTCCCTTCGAGAGAAACATGGAAAACTTCATAGCACTGTTAAGAGCCCCACAACCCCGCTACCTATTCATCCCAATTTTTTCTTCACGCTAGAGTGCCTATAATTCTTGTGCAACCGTTTTTTACATCGTGATTGAATTATTTTGAATGATTTTTGTCAGTTTGTTCGTTTTTCACAATTATTTGTATAAAAGTTGCATTCGAGTATTAAATTATGCTATTTCAGATAATATTTCGTGTTAAAAAATAAGGTACGGTGGAATTTTCGTATTTCTCCCGGGGGAGAGGGGAGCCGATATGACGGCCTAATCATCTAGCAAACCACGACTTTTAGTTACACTAACCGCCCTACGAATGTTGTTGAGACGGCTCACAGGGAAAATGAGATATAAAGCGAACAATTCAGAAGTTAGCTTCACTTAGTAAGTTAGAACTGTATATAGCCGCCATTTTGAGAACAGAACAGAAATATCCTTGATAAATAGGGCAAAGAAAAAATCTTGTCTGGATTCTACGATGTCAAAATGGCAGCCAATCATATCTCGAATTCCAAGTCACGTGGTCGGCGCAGAATGGCATCTGCCATCTTCTTGCCATGCGCAGACGGACATCATAACCGGAAGTTCATCTATCAACTATTTGCCATGCGCAAGAAAATACTTGGATCTGATTGGCTAATTTAAAATTTCTCAACTTGCGCAGTAGATTACTGGCCATCTACTTGCCATGCGCGAGATTTCTTGAAAACCGACAGTTGCCAGATATTATTGAAAACGGATTCTAGCAATCTGGCAACGCTCAAAAACATGAAATTTCCGCGCATGGTAACTGCATGTCCGTTAAGGCAACGCGCTTGTCACGTGACTTTGGAATTTTGTGATTGGTTGAATCTAAGCCAATTAAAATATTACATGAAGCTATTACGTGAAGTGTTGAAATAATAGAAGCAGGTAGATCAACAAAGACGCAGATCATCGCGATCCGGTGTGGCTCAGGCGGTCTGTCGACCATGAACTAATAATGCTGTTTTAGTTCAATACCAGCCCCGCACGCTTATATTTTAGTTGATTTGAAGTATAATCAGGATACAAGTATTGGAAATGAGAGCGAAATAGACTGCCGAAGGTGTGGCGCGGACAATCCGTCGTCAGATGCGAAATCCCATCGCCCGAGTTTAATACCAGCCGTGTGCGCTCTTTTTTAGTTGTTTTGGAGTAGATAGGGCACAAGTATTAGATAGTAGAGCGCGTTATCCATTAGCCGATGTGGCAAAGTCAATCAGTAGCCAGCTATCTAATCCCGAAGTTCGAGTTCGATACCAGACCCATGCGCATCCCCTTTTCAGTTGTTTTGGAGTAATCAAGAGATAAGTATCGGAGATTAGCACATTTTTACGGCATCAGCTGTGGCGCAGGTAATCTGTAACTGCGAAGAAAACTTGGCGTTGGAGTTCGATCCCATCCCGATGTGATATCGTTTTTATAGTTGATTTGGTAATCGAGTTATCAAGACATAAGTATGAGAGTTCAGAACGCGCTGCATTGCGGCCGGCGTGGAAAAGAGGATCCGTCGCCAACTACGTAATCATGTCGTTTGAGTTCAATGCCGGTCCCATACGTTGTCTTATTTTCAGTTCTTTGGGTAATAGAGAGATAAGTATTAGAGACTAGAAAGTATATTTGCGCGGCCGGTATGGCGCGGATAGTGCGTCGCCAACGAGGTGGCTCTGCAGTTCGAGTTCAATACCAGCCCGTGCACTCTGTTTTTCTGAGTTGTTTTGGAGTAATCGAAAGATAAGTATTAGAGATTAGAACATTAACTTCGGCGGCCGGTGTGGCGCACTGACAATGACGCGGGGGAGGTGTTCCCTGGGCATGGGTTCAAGCCCGTGTCCGAGTTGCCGATGAAGACGACTCCTACTTTGGCCGACGGGGCTTGCTCCGTGGTCTTGGAGGGGCGTTGATGTACGGAACTCGGGGTAGTTGCCATTCAAATGCAACTCCCCAAACTCCAATGATCCTGCAGAGTCAGTGCGATGTGACGCCAGAGGGTCGCCTTTTATGAAATTTGTTATATTAACAACAATAAAAAGACGAGGTTATTTTATTTTTCGAGTGGAGCGATTCCTCGTGCCTTTGCTATCGGTGGGAACTTTACCCGATCGTAGGTGGATTCGAACCTTCTAGCCTGCGGCGCAACATTCGCGCGCCTAACCGGGTGCGCCACCGCACCATCACGAATACAGAGATGTAATCCGGTAATTTATTTCACAAAAAGCTGAACTTATAAAAAAAAAAAAAATTGCAACACTCGAGAGATAAGTATTAGAGATTAGCACATCAACTTCGGCGGCCGGTGTGGCGCACTGACAATGACGCGGGGGAGGTGTTCCCCTGGACATGGGTTCAAGCCCGTGTCCGAGTTGCCGATGAAGACGACCTCTACTTTGGCCGACGGGGCTTGCTCCGTGGTCTTAGAGGGGCGTTGATGTACGGAACTCGGGGTAGTTGCCATTCAAATGCAACTCCCCAAACTCCAATGATCCTGCAGAGTCAGTGCGATGTGACGCCAGAGGGTCGCCTTTTTATGAAATTTGTCATAATAACAACAATAAAAAGGCGGTGTTATTTCATTTTTCGAGTCGAGCGATTCCTCGTGCCTTTGCTATCGGTGGGCACTTTACCCGATCGTAGGTGGATTCGAACCTTCTAGCCTGCGGCGCAACATTCGCGCGCCTAACCGGGTGCGCCACCGCACCATCACGAATACATAGATGTAATCCGGTTACTTATTTCACAAAAAGCTGAACTTATAAAAAAAAAAATAAAATTGCAACACTCGAGAGATAAGTATTAGAGATTAGCACATCAACTTCGGCGGCCGGTGTGGCGCACTGACAATGACGCGGGGGAGGTGTTCCCCTGGACATGGGTTCAAGCCCGTGTCCGAGTTGCCGATGAAGACGACCTCTACTTTGGCCGACGGGGCTTGCTCCGTGGTCTTAGAGGGGCGTTGATGTACGGAACTCGGGGTAGTTGCCATTCAAATGCAACTCCCCAAACTCCAATGATCCTGCAGAGTCAGTGCGATGTGACGCCAGAGGGTCGCCTTTTATGAAATTTGTCATAATAACAACAATAAAAAGGCGGGGGTATTTTATTTTTCGAGTCGAGCGATTCCTCGTGCCTTTGCTATCGGTGGGCACTTTACCCGATCGTAGGTGGATTCGAACCTTCTAGCCTGCGGCGCAACATTCGTGCGCCTAACCGGGTGCGCCACCGCACCATCACGAATACAGAGATGTAATCCGGTTACTTATTTCACAAAAAGCTGAACTTATAAAAAAAAATAAAATAAAATTGCAACACTCGAGAGATAAGTATTAGAGATTAGCACATCAACTTCGGCGGCCGGTGTGGCGCACTGACAATGACGCGGGGGAGGTGTTCCCCTGGACATGGGTTCAAGCCCGTGTCCGAGTTGCCGATGAAGACGACCTCTACTTTGGCCGACGGGGCTTGCTCCGTGGTCTTAGAGGGGCGTTGATGTACGGAACTCGGGGTAGTTGCCATTCAAATGCAACTCCCCAAACTCCAATGATCCTGCAGAGTCAGTGCGATGTGACGCCAAAGGGTCGCCTTTTTATGAAATTTGTCATAATAACAACAATAAAAAGGCGGGGGTTATTTTATTTTTCGAGTCGAGCGATTCCTCGTGCCTTTGCTATCGGTGGGCACTTTACCCGATCGTAGGTGGATTCGAACCTTCTAGCCTGCGGCGCAACATTCGTGCGCCTAACCGGGTGCGCCACCGCACCATCACGAATACAGAGACGTAATCCGGTAATTTATTTCACAAAAAGCTGAACTTATAAAAAAATAAAATAAAAATTGCAACACTCGAGAGATAAGTATTAGAGATTAGCACATCAACTTCGGCGGCCGGTGTGGCGCACTGACAATGACGCGGGGGAGGTGTTCCCCTGGACATGGGTTCAAGCCCGTGTCCGAGTTGCCGATGAAGACGACCTCTACTTTGGCCGACGGGGCTTGCTCCGTGGTCTTAGAGGGGCGTTGATGTACGGAACTCGGGGTAGTTGCCATTCAAATGCAACTCCCCAAACTCCAATGATCCTGCAGAGTCAGTGCGATGTGACGCCAAAGGGTCGCCTTTTTATGAAATTTGTCATAATAACAACAATAAAAAGGCGATGGTATTTCATTTTCCGTCGAGATATTCCTCGTGCCTTTGCTATCGGTGGGAAATTTACCCGATCGTAGGTGGATTCGAACCTTCTAGCCTGCGGCGCAACATTCGTGCGCCTAACCGGGTGCGCCACCGCACCATCTCGAATACAGAGATGTAATCCGGTTACTTATTTCACAAAAAGCTGAACTTATAAAAAAAAATAAAATAAAATTGCAACACTCGAGAGATAAGTATTAGAGATTAGCACATCAACTTCGGCGGCCGGTGTGGCGCACTGACAATGACGCGGGGGAGGTGTTCCCCTGGACATGGGTTCAAGCCCGTGTCCGAGTTGCCGATGAAGACGACCTCTACTTTGGCCGACGGGGCTTGCTCCGTGGTCTTGGAGGGGCGTTGATGTACGGAACTCGGGGTAGTTGCCATTCAAATGCAACTCCCCAAACTCCAATGATCCTGCAGAGTCAGTGCGATGTGACGCCAAAGGGTCGCCTTTTTATGAAATTTGTCATAATAACAACAATAAAAAGGCGGGGGTTATTTATTTTTCGAGTCGAGCGATTCCTCGTGCCTTTGCTATCGGTGGGCACTTTACCCGATCGTAGGTGGATTCGAACCTTCTAGCCTGCGGCGCAACATTCGTGCGCCTAACCGGGTGCGCCACCGCACCATCACGAATACAGAGATGTAATCCGGTAATTTATTTCACAAAAAGCTGAACTTATAAAAAAAAATAAAATAAAAATTGCAACACTCGAGAGATAAGTATTAGAGATTAGCACATCAACTTCGGCGGCCGGTGTGGCGCACTGACAATGACGCGGGGGAGGTGTTCCCCTGGACATGGGTTCAAGCCCGTGTCCGAGTTGCCGATGAAGACGACCTCTACTTTGGCCGACGGGGCTTGCTCCGTGGTCTTAGAGGGGCGTTGATGTACGGAACTCGGGGTAGTTGCCATTCAAATGCAACTCCCCAAACTCCAATGATCCTGCAGAGTCAGTGCGATGTGACGCCAGAGGGTCGCCTTTTTATGAAATTTGTCATAATAACAACAATAAAAAAGGCGGGGGTTATTTTACTTTTCGAGTCGAGCGATTCCTCGTGCCTTTGCTATCGGTGGGCACTTTACCCGATCGTAGGTGGATTCGAACCTTCTAGCCTGCGGCGCAACATTCGTGCGCCTAACCGGGTGCGCCACCGCACCATCACGAATACAGAGACGTAATCGGTAATTTATTTCACAAAAAGCTGAACTTATAAAAAAATAAAAAATTGCAACACTCGAGAGATAAGTATTAGAGATTAGCACATCAACTTCGGCGGCCGGTGTGGCGCACTGACAATGACGCGGGGGAGGTGTTCCCCTGGACATGGGTTCAAGCCCGTGTCCGAGTTGCCGATGAAGACGACCTCTACTTTGGCCGACGGGGCTTGCTCCGTGGTCTTAGAGGGGCGTTGATGTACGGAACTCGGGGTAGTTGCCATTCAAATGCAACTCCCCAAACTCCAATGATCCTGCAGAGTCAGTGCGATGTGACGCCAGAGGGTCGCCTTTTTATGAAATTTGTCATAATAACAACAATAAAAAGGCGGGGGTTATTTTATTTTCGAGTCGAGCGATTCCTCGTGCCTTTGCTATCGGTGGGCACTTTACCCGATCGTAGGTGGATTCGAACCTTCTAGCCTGCGGCGCAACATTCGTGCGCCTAACCGGGTGCGCCACCGCACCATCACGAATACAGAGATGTAATCCGGTTACTTATTTCACAAAAAGCTGAACTTATAAAAAAAATAAAATAAAATTGCAACACTCGAGAGATAAGTATTAGAGATTAGCACATCAACTTCGGCGGCCGGTGTGGCGCACTGACAATGACGCGGGGGAGGTGTTCCCCTGGACATGGGTTCAAGCCCGTGTCCGAGTTGCCGATGAAGACGACTCCTACTTTGGCCGACGGGGCTTGCTCCGTGGTCTTGGAGGAGCGTTGATGTACGGAACTCGGGGTAGTTGCCATTCAAATGCAACTCCCCAAACTCCAATGACCCTGCAGAGTCAGTGCGATGTGACGCCAGAGGGTCGCCTTTTATGAAATTTGTTATAATAACAACAATAAAAAGGGGGTGTTATTTCATTTTTCGAGTCGAGTGATTCCTCATGCCTTTGCTATCGGCGGACACTTTACCCGATCGTAGGTGGATTCGAACCTTCTAGCCTGCGGCGCAACATTCGTGCGTCTAACCGGGCGCGCCACCGTACCACCTTAAATACAGAGATGTAATCCGGTTATTTATTCCATAAAGAGCTGAACTTACAGAAAAGAACTTCTGCAACTCTCTAACATTCTGTTGACTCGCGGGATCCAAGGCAGGTTGGAGTCGAACCTGTATCGTTCGGCGCAACTTGCCAGCGCTCAGCCGGGTGCGCCACCGCAAGATGTGACGTGCGGTGGTTCAATTCTGGTGTTTATCACACGAAAAGACAAAATCACAGGTCACGTGGTCGGCGCAGAATGTCATCTGTCATACTCTTGTCATGCGCAGACGGGAATTCTAACCGGAAGTTTATCTACCAGCTATTTGCCATGCGCAAGAAAATATTTGAATCTGATTGGCTAATTCAAAATTGCCCAACTTGCGCAGTAGATCACCAGCCATCTACTTGTCATGCGCAAGATTTCTTGAAAAACGACTGTTGCCAGATATCTTTGGAAACTGATTTTACAAATCTGGCAACTGTCAAAAACATGAAATTTTCGCGCATGGCAACTGCATGTCCGTTAAGGCAACGCGCATGCCACGTGACTTTAGAATTTTGTGATTGATTAAATCTGAGCCAATAAAGTTTTACATGGAGCTATTACGTGAAGTGTTGAAATAATAGAAACAAGTAGACCAACAAAAAGGCAGATCCTTGCAATACGGCGTGGTGCAGACGATCCGTCGACTGTGAACTAATCTAGCTGTTCAAGTTCGATACCAGACCCGTTTGCTCTGCAGTTTAGATATATGTAAAAGTGACTTCTCAGTGATTTTGCAGAGTCAGTGCGATGTGACGCCAGAAAGCCGCCTTTTTGCAAAATTTATTATTTTAACAACAATAAAAAGAATCGGTGATTTCATCCCCCAGGTTCGCACGATTTTTTGTGCCTTCGCACTCGTGGGCCATATCATACTTTGCCTGCGACCTGCGCGAAGAGCAACCGCTCGATGATGGATTTGAGCCTTCCAGCCTGCCGCGCAACCTTTTTGCGCTCAGCCAGATGCGCCACCGAACCACTCCGAACACAGTGATGTAACCCTGGTATTTATCCCACGATGGGTTGAACTTACAAAAAAAATATCGCAACTCGGAACGAATTCGTGGACTCGTCTCTCAGAATCCACTTCCGGTTGGAGTCGAACCTGCATTGTTCGGCGTACACCGCCTGCGCTTAGTCCGTTACGCCAACGTGCCAAATGTATACAGAGATGCAATTCCGCAATTTATCACACACTAAGAGCTTCATCAATAGAAAACAGCGCAAGTACCCGCCGAGTCCTTCACTCAGAATACCTCTACTTGCGTTTACATCGCTGCGACACCGATTCAATCGTAATTTCGGGAATCATTACTCGAAAAATGCGCATCACGCTCAGTTTTATAACTCGCTCGAGCGACTCACAAAGCGACTGGTCAGTCACAAAATTGTCAACATTGCAAGTCAGGGCATCTGGAACTGTAAACTGGTGGACAATTCTTATAACAAACCATGGACAAACAAGCGAGCCAGTGATTCCCAGCCTTTTTGTTGAATCCCTTCATTCACCTATTTCGGAATTTTTTGTTCTATTCTCTACGTATAAAAAGTATTTTCTTTATTCAATTGGAATCCTAGCTAGTGTTTGCGCAATTCTCGCCTTCGTTTTTCACAGTAAAAATAAAACATGAAATTCGTCCTTGAGAGGAATCCCTCCTTGGTAGGAGACGTTGAATTGAATAGTTTTCGTATGAAAATTCAATATTACATGTTACAATATGCCACACCTAAAAAAAATTCATTTTCAATGCCATATAATGCAAGGGTGCTATAGCAAGAGTGAAAATAACTTTCCTAAGTGATAGAGTCCTGCTGCCCACTAACACAAATGTATTTCGGTCAAAAAACCGTCCGACTAAAGTTAAACCTTCTGAGACAAGCAGTTCACATTTACAAGCGATTTGAAATAGATTTGTGTTAGTGTGCGGCAGGACTCTTAAAGTGCATAGTACAAATATAAGCGCCGGCAAATACCCACCCCGGAAGTTCACACACGAGTCTGAATCTATATTTACATTTTTTATTCTTGGAACTCAAGAATTGGAGGAAAAAGAGACAGATTACTGTTACCAAAAGAAAACTTGTTATCTGCAAATAAATTCTGCTTTACAAATAAGAAAAAGTTTTATAATCAATAACCTTAGTTGCTTTTACGTTATGCAAGCACTGTATTCTTTTAAGCAGTGATTGCTCTTCGATATTTGAAGAATTTGAGAACGTCATACCAATATAGAATTGAAACTGTACCTTCAGATGTTTTGTTTGTTTCAACTTCGTTCAACTGTGAATAAAACAGAACAAGACATACTTTAAAACAGTGTCGGCAAACTCCGGCCGCGGCCCGTGGAGTAATGTAATCCGGTCCGCGACGCTTCACTGAATAACAGTAATAAAACAGCTGCTTTGACGATTATATTCTTTGCGTAACATAATTTATTGTGAGACACGTGTAGACTAAATTATATTACAATCTAAAAAGTATATAATTCACAATTAATCGTTTAATGAGCCTATAATTTGATTATAATTAGACAAATGGCAACAAAACGCAGAAAAGTTGATGCTGAGTGCAAAGGTTTCAATGGCGCCAAAAATATTCAAATGGAATTTTTGAGATACAATGCAATGAGGGAATAAATCTATATTCTACTCGAGAGATATACGACTGCTTGATTTTTATTATAAAAAGTATCATCCGTTCGGTTTTCAACTTTCTAAAAATATGTGCGGCCCGCCAATGACTTGCAACCCTCAATTTTGGCCCGCGAGCGACAAAAGTTTGCCGACTCCTGCTTTAAAACAGGACCAGGAGTCAACAACTTGCGCCCCTCAGACGGGCGGCAATGTTACAAAAGCAAAAGGGGAAAACAATAAACCTTGTGCCAAAACTAATGTCAATTTCAACAAATTTCTAGTAATATTTTTGTTGAAAACATCACAATTTGTTTTCAGTCTGGTTGTGGCTCACATCAGTTTTAAAAGATGGAACATTGATACCAACTATTGCGAAACGGACCTAATTGGCTATTTTAGCATTTTATATTGCATTGAGTTTTTACATAACACTGCTAAATAATGTTTTATTTGATACGATGAGTACTGATATATTTTTTCCATATTTTATTCTAGAAATTTCATAGGTTAATTTTTTTTTTCAAGTTTCACCAATATTTAAATGTGAAGATTTATTTTTTAAATTTCAAATCCTTGTATTACCTTCGTTTCATCAAGTTTCATCTTCTTTTTGGAAACCATATGGTACAAAATGCAGCATTTGATGAACAAAAGTTAGTTTGTGACAACTTTTTTATTTGGTAACTACCGAATCACGGCATTGTGCTTTGGTCAAAGTAAATATGTATTTTAGTTTAAAATATGGTAATGTTATAATTCTACTTTTCTGCAAATATTGAGAGATAAAATACAGCGAATTGCATACAGGTATATAATGACTCGAATAATGTTCTGACAACTGTATCAAGATATCTATATAAATTTAGTTGTCATAAAGTACAAAAATAAGAGGGTACAATAAATAAAACATCAGCACAGACCAAAAAGAGGAGATTGCGTCTATTATCAAGCCTTTTTACCATCGGGATTCCGATATGCAGCCAACTATATCATCATTCGTATAAACATATCGTGAATAAAACATTTTTGTCCATAAGAAAGTAAAATCAAACAATGTAGCGTTAGCAGCTGCTATCATACGCTTTTCATATTGGGAAATCAAAGTAGACCAGACCCGATAATTTCATCGTGAACCAACACGACGGCTTCGTGGAACAATATAATCAAGAATTTCTAAAAACGCAAAATTACAATAAATACAACAGCAACATATACTGAAGTACATAGAACACATCTTTTACTTACAGTTTTTGCAACCGGACTTGTCTACTTCTTCATAAATATCAAAACAACCGCATGCCGGACATTCTAGATACAAATGCCCTTTCTACTGTCTATCTTGTGCCCCACTGATTACTTGATTCAAAAAATATTGTGATTTGTTTACATCCCTGTTAGCCGCAAACTATTTTTTGCTCGCGAAAACTGTTTGCTCGTCACAACTCTCTGATTATCACTCTACTTATTACTGACGAATACTGTGTTTTGTTTACGTCATTGTTTACAGAAAACTAAGTCCAACGTTGTAAGTCTTCATAAGTCATATTGCGAATGTTATATTTGAAAATGATGGATTTACATTAAAGATCTGAATTAGAGTTAATGTCCAAATTCAACTGTAAGCATGAGATCACACTTAGCATAAATCAATGGCCAACCGCTTTGCTGAAATCCTTTTGTACGCTGATATTCAGATATTCTCGCTCTTGTGTCCCCACTGAATAACTGACTCGACAATAATATGTTTTGTTTAGGTCCTTGTTTTCCAGAAACTATTTTGTATTTACTAAAGTTGCGTAAGTTAGATAACATATGACGGACACTTTTCATGGAAAATTGAGCGGTAATTTTTTTTTGCTATCCACCTTATGCAAATTGGACATTGTTTACAAATATACACTTTGTGTCAACAAAAAAAAACGTCGTCCAAAATTGATTAAAACCAACCATTTTTCTGGTAAATTCATGTCTTTGTTGAAATGAGCTTGTGAAAACGACCAAAATGAATGATATCTTGAATAAAAAAAAACAAGTGTTCAAACCACAGCTCTGTTCTGAGCTGAGCTCTAAATCTCATTTGAAATTTCTGACAGTCATGATTTTGTTCACATTTATTGCCATGGCATGATTTTAATGGCTGGATATTCAAAATTTGAAATATCACATGACCACAACGTGTCATCTAGGAGTCACAAAAAGACAATCGAGTTGTATCATAGTTCAAGCTCGTAACCATTAGAACTATTTAAAATTTAATATGCTTTAGAATGTTTAGATTATATTACATTCCAACTTAACCTCACAAAATCTCCCCTAATATACTTTTGAAATCATATTTCTGTGCAAAATTGTTAAAGCGTAACGAATAACCTCTAGCATCGTTATATTTCAAGATAAGAAAAGTTACGAAACATTGGTAAACAATAGGTACAGACATCACTTGCTGCGCAAATAATTCGCTAATGACGTCGAATAAATAAAGTCATCAAATGAAAAAAAATAAGTGACTATATTTAAAACATAGACGATTGGTTCGTGACTGAATCCGCTTAATTAAAGAGTATGTAGACATCGAAAAGGGTTATATTGCCATTCTTTTTTCCGAAGGTTTATTTCTTCAACTCACTTCATAAATTAAATGATGGTGATTATTTTATGAACTTTACAATCTGGCAACCATGCTACTGTTACAAGCAAAGTTTTAACTGAATCATGTGACAATAAACAGAAAGATTGCGGCAGCAAGCGAGCGCATGATAAAAGCAGGCAGCGTAGTAACGGATTTTTACCGATTTATTCAAGATTTTCATTCAATAAGAGTTGATGTCTAAATTACTTTGGAAATGGTAAAGACAATGTGTTTTGAAATGAAGCGCGTTGTTTCTAGAAACATAACATTTAATTTGATTTATTTAAAATGTAGAATTTTAGTGATGGACGATCTAGATCAGACATAGGCAGAGTACGACCCGCGGGCCAAATCCGGTCCGTTGGGTAATTCAATCTGGTACACCCGATGCTGCCACAACCGAATTGAAATCAAATTCTGATTTTTCAGCTAAAATAGTTCAAGGAATTTTTTAAGATTGCTGTTAAATTTAGTTTTGGCACGAGGCTCATTGTTTTCCACCTAAGCTTTGTAACACTGTAACTATTTTCATAAAATGTGACTTTTTACGCCATATCTACACGGCCCGCCATCCCATGTGGGCAAAATGTTTGGCCCCTGGTTCAGAAACCTTGCCCATCTCTGATCAAGATTCTAGAATCTAAGTACGTATTTGCATTTAAATCATTTTAATTATATTGAAATCCTGTTTTTGAGAGTTGCTTTTCAGGCTATACAAAAAGTTTGTAGAAGTCACCACGATTTGAGTGTAAGCGTGATGCAAGCCAATAATTGCAGAATAATTTCATTCAATCATTTATTTGGAGCATTCTGCTAAGTACGAATTTAAGTAAATATTCAGAATAATTTGTGCTAGTCAGATTTTGAGAGATAGTAGAGGTAAAAACTGGATGTAGTCGATAATGCTTTGTATTTTAAAGATATACTACCTGATGTGGGCGCTGATTTGTGCTACCCAATTAGTTCGAACACATTGACAAGAAAAAAAAAACAATTATTTTATTTATTTGTGTTCAATATTGTTGTAAAAAATGTATTATATTGAATTATAAAAGTTTGATAGTTTTATGACAACCTTGAATTTTTTTTACAATAATATAGAGTATTAGTACCGAAGTGAAAGGGGAAAATACAGTTGACGAATTTGTCTAAATTGATCTATTTTATCTTTTTTTGTTACAGGAATATAAAACAAGTGGGAAACTAAAATAATGTCTGACTATGAAAAACAACAAATCGTTCCTAGTGTGATCGATCAACAAACTATCCAGTCTAATCCTATCGATCAACAAACAGACAAATCCGATCTTACCGACCCAGAAACAGTCGAGGCGGATCCAGCAGTTCAACAAATAATTGAGTCCGATATCATTGATAACAATTCCAGCAACGATTCCGACAATTCGGGAAGCGAATCCCCGCCACTACAACCCCAAGAACAATATGGACCTATAATACAGGACGTAGGCTCTGAGGATGAGGCTCACGGAGAGCAAGGTTCAGGACAGGAATATCAAGTACAAGAGCCTGGCAACGGTAAGGAATTTATAGTCTTAATTTTTTTTTGCAAGGGGAATTTATCGATACCATATGTTGTTTTGACCCTCACAGATGTATTAAATGAAGTAAAAATACTCAAACAAGTACTGATTCAAAAACAACAAATCTGTTTAAGATATATTGAGAACTGGTTTCATAATAAAATTGTGTAGGGATATTATGGACACCCTGAGTGTATCACTTCCAATAATTTCATTCTGTAATATTTTGAATGACCAACTTATTCATTCATTGCTCATTAATGAATGAACCGTTTTGATTCTTGTTCTAGTCCCCTGGTAAAAATGAATAGATGTATTGTAGGTAAAGATTGACAAACGGCTCGAAATTCAAATATTATCCGATTGATATTGCACATAGTTCATCAAAGTGATACAAGGTGGGATCCACTTAAAATGGCGAAGCTGCTAAAAAAATCCCACACTAATACACAAATAGATCAAATTAAGTAAGTAAAAATAAAGTTTCTTTAATGGAACAATATATTTTCATCAATATTTAAATAAAATACGTGCACAAAGAAACAAACAAACATAAAAAAGTACACATCAAAAAGTGCTTAGAAGCTAACATTTATATTCAGAGACAGAAGTTGAGAAATATTCGGGGAATTACTGGTCATGGTTATTTTAGTACTGGCTAATGAATTTCTTCGTGGTATAAGTGTACTTCTGTGAAATAATGAAACGGGTCTCACTTTCATACCGTGAATGAAAAATAATATATGTTTACATCATTCTTCTATCCATAAAATCGGCTAATGCAACCACTGTTATTTAGATCGATCAACAGTGACATATTTGCACATCGTCAATGCTTAATAGACCGGTGATTCCAATAAATTTTTGATTAAAAATTTTTCTGAAATCTTGCGACCCAGAAATATGCTCACATGCGAACAGTACGTGGTGGCCTATGGCCGCAACATAAAACTACTACTAAATTTAATCTTGTTTACGGAATGCCATATTTTAGCAATTATTCTTCCCACCATACCATTATTATTCAATAATTGAGTATTAATTACGAAAATGATAATAAAATTTTAGAGTCGAGATAACAACATGTCACTGCTCGTATACCTGAATTTATTAATTATATATATATCCTAGGATGCTATTAAACATGTATATCTATATCTTTAAATGTGTTGGGAAATATTTAATGTTTGAATGAAATGTTTGTAACGCTAATTTATTACAGGACCTGGATTTGTTCCCCAACCGTCTCACAATCTCCAACCTCAGGTGGTCAGACAAGAAGGAAGAACTGGCAATATAGTTATACAGAACATTTACTATCAACGAACTCTGCAAGTAAGGTAAGGAGTTGGCTTAAGATTCATATTTTGAGTCAAAATAAGTTGAGTTCATGCTCGTTTGAAAGAAAAATTGAATTTCTTGACAACGGGCTGGCTTGGAAACATTTTTCAATCGTCATTTGCCACTAAAATCCAAACGAAATTGTGCCCGTCAATTTAGTTACACAACACACCGCATTTTATATTTGAGCATTTAAATAAGCATTTAATGAAGTCGGTTCCTCCCCGAACGAATAAATCATATATCCCTTTTCCTTGAGCGGACTACTCATGAAACAAAAATACATAGGTAATATGCGTTGTATAATGCAATGCAGGCGCTGCGAGATTAAAACAAACAAAGGAGCGGCATTTCCGCATATCAAACTAATGATGCATGATAATACAAACATCGCTGCTTGTTGATTCAGATATATATTTTATTTGGTGCTCCCGAAGTATGTGTACCAGGTTAGGGTTCAGGTTGTGCGTCATCTTGGTACACATATTTCCGGAACGTCTTTTCTTCTGCTATTAATTAAAATAAAATTACTGAGCATCAGTCAATTAAATTTTCACGTATTTAGACGTTCAAACCAGTAACCATGCAAATTCTAGTATATACCTAGAATACGTATACCTATGTCGCTGGTACACATGATAATATTTGTTTTGAAAATATTACTCGGTTTTTGGACAATACCACATTACTCAGGCTTGAATTTGTAAATTCAAATCTATATGCTTGTTAATAGTATTTACTCTCAAGACTAGCTACCCATTTTCATGTTTTTCTGAATTTTTAGAACAAACATACACTGTCGCAAAAAAAATGTTTTTATATTCAATATATATATGTTCGCTTTAATATATGTGAGGTCACGATATTCCATAATAAAGGATAAAATGAATTAATAATGTTGTTGTCATTACTCACTGACGTTCTGACATTGCATAATGACTGTCAGAGCGGAGACAAGTAAAACCTGATTGACACTTTGACTATCGCACTGTCCACAAAGAAACTGGTTTTGATATTTGGTTGATAAAATTACTCCAAAATGAACAAACTTCTAACTCTCAAATATTGACCTCAAAATGTCTTTGAATTGTCTATTGAGAATGCTTAATCAACTTAATGTTTCTTTCATCCAAAATTTTGATTTTGACCACTATCAAGGAAAAAGTTTAAAATTTCAAATCTACCGACTCCGGATGATTCGAAATTTTCGCCCAGGCTTTGACGCCAGTTAGAACATGCCAAACTACAATTCCTCGGATTTTGTTGTTTAGAAATAATAAAGCGTAACGAATAACCTCTAGCATCGTTATATTTCAAGATAAGAAAAGTTACGAAACATTGGTAAACAATAGATACAGACACCACTTGCTGCGCAAATAATTCGCTAATGACGTCGAATAAATAAAGTCATCAGATGAAAAAAAATAAGTGACTATATTTAAAACATAGACGATTGGTTCGTGACTGAATCCGCTTAATTAAAGAGTATGTAGACATCGAAAAGGGTTATATTGCCATTCTTTTTTCCGAAGGTTTATTTCTTCAACTCACTTCATAAATTAAATGATGGTGATTATTTTATGAACTTTACAATCTGGCAACCATGCTACTGTTACAAGCAAAGTTTTCAATGAATCATGTGACAATAAACAGAAAGATTGCGGCAGCAAGCGAGCGCATGATAAAAGCAGGCAGCGTAGTAACGGATTTTTACCGATTTATTCAAGATTTTCATTCAATAAGAGTTGATGTCTAAATTACTTTGGAAATGGTAAAGACAATGTGTTTTGAAATGAAGCGCGTTGTTTCTAGAAACATAACATTTAATTTGATTTATTTAAAATGTAGAATTCTAGTGATGGACGATCTAGATCAGACATAGGCAGAGTACGACCCGCGGGCCAAATCCGGTCCGTTGGGTAATTCAATCTTGTACACCCGATGCTGCCACAACCGAATTGAAATCAAATTCTGATTTTTCAGCTAAAATAGTTTAGGGAATTTTTTAAGATTGCTGTTAAATTTAGTTTTGGCACGAGGCTCATTGTTTTCCACCTAAGCTTTGTAACACTGTAACTATTTTTCATAAAATGTGACTTTTTACGCCATATCTACACGGCCCGCCATCCCAAGTGGGCAAAATGTTTGGCCCCTGGTTCAGAAACCTTGCCCATCTCTGATCGAGATTCTAGAATCTAAGTACGTATTTGCATTTAAATCATTTTAATTATATTGAAATCCTGTTTTTTAAAGAGTTGCTTTTCAGGCTATACAAAAAGTTTGTAGAAGTCACCACGATTTGAGTGTAAGCGTGATGCAAGCTAATAATTGCAGAATAATTTCATTCAATCATTTATTTGGAGCATTCTGCTAAGTACGAATTTAAGTAAATATTCAGAATAATTTGTGCTAGTCAGATAGTTTATTTTGAGAGATAGTAGAGGTAAAAACTGGATGTAGTCGATAATGCTTTGTATTTTAAAGATATACTACCTGATGTGGGCGCTGATTTGTGCTACCCAATTAGTTCGAATACATTGACAAGAAAAAAAAAACAATTATTTTATTTATTTGTGTTCAATATTGTTGTAAAAAATGTATTATATTGAATTATAAAAGTTTGATAGTTTTATGACAACCTTGAATTTTTTTTACAATAATATAGAGTATTAGTACCGAAGTGAATAAGGAAAATACAGTTGACGAATTTGTCTAAATTGATCTATTTTATCTTTTTTGTTACAGGAATATAAAACAAGTGGGAAACTAAACTAATGTCTGACTATGAAAAACAACAAATCGTTCCTAGTGTGATCGATCAACAAATTATCCAGTCTAATCCTATCGATCAACAAACAGACAAATCCGATCTTACCGACCCAGAAACAGTCGAGGCGGATCCAGCAGTTCAACAAATAATTCAGTCCGATATCATTGATAACAATTCCAGCAACGATTCCGACAATTCGGGAAGCGAATCCCCGCCACTACAACCCCAAGAACAATATGGACCTATAATACAGGACGTAGGCTCTGAGGATGAGGCTCACGAAGAGCAAGGTTCAGGACAGGAATATCAAGTACAAGAGCCTGGCAACGGTAAGGAATGTATAGTCTTAATTTTTTTTGCAAGGGGAATTTATCGATACCATATGTTGTTTTGACCCTCACAGATGTATTAAATGAATTAAAAATACTCAAACAAGTACTGATTCAAAAACAACAAATCTGTTTAAGATATATTGAGAACTGGTTTCATAATAAAATTGTGTAGGGATATTATGGACACCCTGAGTGTATCACTTCCAATAACTTCATTCTGTAATATTTTGAATGACCAACTTATTCATTCATTGCTCATTTAATGAATGAACCGTTTTGATTCTTGTTCTGGTCCCCTGGTAAAAATGAATAGATGTAATGTAGGTAAAGATTGACAAACGGCTCGAAGTTCAAATATTATCCGATTGATATTGCACATAGTTCACCAAAGTGATACAAGGTGGGATCCACTTAAAATGGCGAAGCTGCTAAAAAAATCCCACACTAATACACAAATAGATCAAATTAAGTAAGTAAAAATAAAATTTCTTTAATGGAACAATATATTTTCATCAATATTTAAATAAAATACGTGCGCAAAGAAACAAACAAACAGAATACATCAAAAAGTGCTTAGAAGCTAACATTTATATTCAGAGACAGAAGTTGAGAAATATTCGGGGAATTACCGGTCATGGTTAGTTTAGTACTGGCTGATGAGTTTCTTCGTGGTATAAGTGTACTTCTGTGAAATAATGAAACGGGTCTCACTTTCATACCGTGAATGAAAAATAATATATGTTTACATCATTCTTCTATCCATAAAATCGGCTAATGCAACCACTGTTATTTAGATCGATCAACAGTGACATATTTATACACCGTCAATGCTTAATAGACCGGTGGTTCCAATAAATTTTTGATTAAAAAATTTTCTGAAATCTTGCGACCCAGAAATATGCTCACATGCGAACAGTACGTGGTGGCCTATGGCCGCAACATAAAATTACTACTAAATTTAATCTTGTTTACTGAATGCCATATTTTAGCAATTATTCTTCCCACCATACCATTATTATTCAATAATTGAGTATTAATTACAAAATGATAATAAAATTTTAGAGTCGAGATAACAACATGTCACTGCTCGTATACCTAAATTTATTAATTATATATATATCCTAGGATGCTATTAAACATGTGCATATATATATCTTTAAATGTGTTAGGACATATTTAATGTTTGAATGAAATGTTTGTAACGCTAATTTATTACAGGACCTGGATTTGTTCCCCAACCGTCCCACAATCTCCAACCTCAGGTAGTCAGACAAGAAGGTAGAACTGGCAATATAGTTATACATAACATTTACTATCAACGAACTCTGCAAGTAAGGTAAGGAGTTGGCTTAAGATTCATATTTTGAGTCAAAATAAGTTGAGTTCATGCTCGTTTGAAAGAAAATTTGAATTTCTTGACAACGGGATGGCGTGGAAACATTTTTCAATCGTCGTTTGCCACTAAAATCCAAACGAAATTATATCCGTCAATTTAGTTACACAACACACCGCAGTTTATATTTGAAGCATTTAATAAAGTCGGTTCCTCACCGAAGGAATAAATCATATATCCATTTTCCTTGAGCGGACTACCCATGAAACAAAAATACGTAGGTAATATGCGTTGTATAATGCAATGCAGGCGCTGCAAGATTAAAACAAACAAAGGAGCGGCATTTCCGCATATCAAACTAATGATGCATGATAATACAAACATCGCTGCTTGTTGATTCAGATATATTTTCTTTGGTGCTCCCGAAGTATGTGTACCAGGTTAGGGTTCAGGTTGTGCGTCATCTTGGTACACATATTTCCGGAACGTCTTTTCTTCTGTTATTAATTAAAATAAAATTACCGAGCATCAGTCAATTGAATTTGCACGTAATTAGACGTTCAAACCAGTAACCATGCAAATTCTAGTATATACCTAGAATACGTATACCTATGGTACACATGATAATATTTGTTTTGAAAATATTACTCGGTTTTTGGACAATACCATATTACTCAGGCTTGAATTTGTAAATTCAAATCTATATGCTTGTTAATAGTATTTACTCTCAAGACTAGCTACCCATTTTCATGCTTTTCTGAATTTTTAGAACAAACATACACTGTCACAAAAAAATTTGTTTTTATATTTAATATATGTTCGCTTTAATATATGTGAGGTCACGATATTCCATAATAAAGGATAAAATGAATTAATAATGTAGTTGTCATTACTCACTGACGTTCTGACATTGCATAATGACTGTCAGAGCGGAGACAAGTAAAACCTGATTGACACTTTGACTATCGAACTGTCCACAAAGAAACTGGTTTTGATATTTGGTTGATAAAATTACTCCGAAATGAACAAACTTCTAACTCTCAAATATTGACCTCAAAATGTCTTTTAATTGTCTATTAAGAATGCTTAATCAATTTAATGTTTCTTTCATCCAAAATTTTGATTTTGACCACTATCAAGGAAAAAGTTTAAAATTTCAAATCTACCGACTCCGGATGATTCGAAATTTTCGCCCAGGCTTTGATGCCAGTTAGAACATGCCAAACTACAATTACTCGGATTTTGTTGTTTAGAAATAATTGTAGAGATTTTGGAAGAATAAAATGAGAGAATGCCTGACCAACTTGTGTGATTGTGAAACTAATTATTATACTAAATCTACCGACTCCGGATGATTCGAAATTTTCGCCCAGGCTTTGACGCCAGTTAGAACATGTCAAACTACAATTCCTCGGATCTTGTTGTTTAGAAATAATTGTGGAGATTTTGGAAGAATAAAATGAGAGAATGCCTGACCAACTTGTGTGATTGTGAAACTAATTATTATAACTAATTATTAAACTAAATCTACCGACTCCGGATGATTCGAAATTTTCGCCCAGGCTTTGACGCCAGTTAGAACATGTCAAACTACAATTCCTCGGATCTTGTTGTTTAGAAATAATTGTGGAGATTTTGGAAGAATAAAATGAGAGAATGCCTGACCAACTTGTGTAATTGTGAAACTAATTATTATAACTAATTATTAAACTAAATCTACCGACTCCGGATGATTCAAAATTTTCGCCCAGGCTTTGATGCCAGTTAGAACATGCCAAACTACAATTACTCGGATTTTGTTGTTTAGAAATAATTGTAGAGATTTTGGAAGAATAAAATGAGAGAATGCCTGACCAACTTGTGTGATTGTGAAACTAATTATTATAACTAATTATTATACTAAATCTACCGACTCCGGATGATTCGAAATTTTCGCCCAGGCTTTGACGCCAGTTAGAACATGTCAAACTACAATTCCTCGGATCTTGTTGTTTAGAAATAATTGTGGAGATTTTGGAAGAATAAAATGAGAGAATGCCTGACCAACTTGTGTGATTGTGAAACTAATTATTATAACTAATTATTAAACTAAATCTACCGACTCCGGATGATTCGAAATTTTCGCCCAGGCTTTGACGCCAGTTAGAACATGTCAAACTACAATTCCTCGGATCTTGTTGTTTAGAAATAATTGTGGAGATTTTGGAAGAATAAAATGAGAGAATGCCTGACCAACTTGTGTGATTGTGAAACTAATTATGATAACTAATTATTATACTAAATCTACCGACTCCGGATGATTCGAAATTTTCGCCCAGGCTTTGACGCCAGTTAGAACATGTCAAACTACAATTCCTCGGATCTTGTTGTTTAGAAATAATTGTGGAGATTTTGGAAGAATAAAATGAGAGAATGCCTGACCAACTTGTGTGATTGTGAAACTAATTATTATAACTAATTATTAAACTAAATCTACCGACTCCGGATGATTCGAAATTTTCGCCCAGGCTTTGACGCCAGTTAGAACATGCCAAACTACAATTACTCGGATTTTGTTGTTTAGAAATAATTGTGGAGATTTTGGAAGAATAAAATGAGAGAATGCCTGACCAACTTGTGTGATTGTGAAACTAATTATTTGAAAGATAATTTAATCTTTTCAATTTAATATTTGCAGGACTAGGAACGAAGTGAATAATGCGAATATTGGTGCAATTGGAGGAGGTATGTGTGGGTGTGGGAATAATACGAATATAACACAGACACATTAGAAAAGTAAAATCATAAGAAGATCAACTATCGTCTTCTATTCTATTGCAATGATAATATTGATAGCTTTTCAACATTAGAATGTCTAGCGTTCAGAAAGCTTGATGTACAGTATATATATATTAAAAATACCCGATATTCGACGATTCGTGTAAAATATTTGAATTATACGATTTGATAAAAAATATTATATTTTGTTCACCCTAGCGATCTGTAACACCGACAATAATCTGAAAGGCGGGGTTGTCCAAACACTGCTGCAATGTAACTCAAAACCATCCTTAAATTGTACTTGTTTACATTGTTGTACAGTTACCTCATACCATAAGTAATTTGCACTTCATATGCGAATCAGAAATCCGTGAAGACCATTTTTGGTTCATTCACAAGTATTAAGCAACATATCGAAGTCCGAATTTTAAATTGTCAAGACTTCAAAAGTACCCTTTGTCTCCGAGACGTAATTATAGATTTTCAATGCTGATTGCCAAAATATTTTTTTATGAAATTGAAAAAAAAAAAAAAATTGTTCTGACATTCCATTAGACTACGCCATTTTTTCCCCCCAAAATATAATATATTTTTTTCGTGTTGGTATCAAAATTTCCATCCATCGCAACAGAAGTGAAATTTTATTTTCCAATCAGAAGTCGAAGTTTGGTTCCAAATAATTTTAACGTTGGAAGTCCAATCCATCTGTAACTTTCCCACACAGCTCTGTATCTACGTATGTCGAGGTCGAAGGCTAAAAATTCTTCTGAATCTGTTGGATCGATAATACCTAACCATTAGGATTTAAAAAAAAAATAGTCTCTTATCAAAATAATAATCTTTCAGGTAGCCAGAGGCTGCATAACAAGATTTGTTGACAAATTTAGGCGAAAAGTGTCCGTCAGATATAAAATTACAAATTCGCCTGAATTTTTCAACAAATCTTGTTATGCAGCTTCTGGTCCGTCAGATATAAAATTACAAACAAGAATAAGAAAATAGAAAGAAAGCATTCATGTTTATTAAACAAAGAAAAAATGCCTAAATATATGACTACAAACCGGTATCCGTCGGTAGCGGCCTCATCTAAACACCAAGTTTGCTCGAAAGATCAGCTAAAAAAAAGATTTTTTTGCACGTCCTGAAAAAAGCGTTCCTTAAAGAAGCGTCCACTTCTTCAATTTGGAATCGATTGGTTAATTAGTTGCGGAAGGAAACGATTTTATCTCAACAACAATCAACAATTCTGCGAAATGACCAATACGTCTATTTTGAAGCTATTGCAAGCAATGCAGCAAGAGCGACCCTATTTTTACTTTTTGTGGCAATGACAAAAATTCTATTCACTAAAATTTTTTCAGAAATCGCACAGTCCCAAGTTACAGGTGGTCTGGGAGAACAAGCAGCTTTAGCCTGGCTTGACGAAGGAGCATCGGCACGGCGTCAAGTATCTGCATTAGGCGGTCCAGAACAACGACCTGCTTTACATTGGCACGACGAAGGAGGTTTGTGTTAGATTGTAGCGTCCTCAAGTGTTTGGAAACTTCGATCATTTATAGCTCCTTCGTATTTACCCTTAAGGACTCTCAAATACTCTTTTTCCAATTTTCCATCAACCACGCTGAGAACATTGTAAAATGATCCAGTAAAAATCAGTTGAATGCATTTGCAAAGTTCTAATCATTGAAACGTGAATCTTATTCATTTTTTTACCCTGTTTTTTAATTTAGCTGGTTTGAAAAATGAAACCAGCGCGTGGTTATTTGCATTATTGATTTCGAACACCTTGCTTGATGAAGTATAATTAAGGATATTAAATCGTACTCGGGTTCAGAGTACTCAAACGTGTCCTTGATATAATCGTGATTTTTGTTGTATTTTATAATATTTTCAGGTTCTAACCGAGGGAACCAAAATCCAGAGCTTGTTCAAACTCCAAGTCAAAGAGCCGAAAGAAATTTCGTGGACGAAGGAACATTGAATCCTAACGTAACAACACCAAAAATTGTTGGTAAGTTGATATAAATATGTAAAGGAGCTTACCCAAACTGGAAATATATGTATGTCTGTCTGCTATATTTTACCAAAATTCCAGATTTGTTATGGAGGACCTGTTTTCGAATACATTCGTGAAAATTTCATCATTTTATTACAAGGTGACCCCCAGTAGAAAAGAAGACATAACTAAGTATTCCAATGATTATAAAATATTATGATTTCGAGTAGATAATATAAAACAACACCGATTTGGGTAAAATATCAAGCCCTGTATAATTCAGAAATAATTTGAAAAAAGAACAATAGCAATCGAGCGGCTTCATTCATCTTTACATACAAAATCGACTGGTTCAAACTAGTGTCCGCTCCAAAGAAATCTTGATTACCAAAGAGCGTCGCAGTTTTCGCAGAAAAGTGCGTTAATGGTTCGCACAGTTGTTCAGAGAATTGATTTCGTAACTGAATTCAGAACATTCAACTAACTAATATTGTTGACGTTAGGGGCCCCTGAAATTGAATTTTTTAATCATTTCTGTGTTTTTCTTGATCCTTATATACTTTTACATAGGTTCCAATTCCAAATTTGTTCTGCTTCTTCAATATTTGGTTTTATTCTGTTTTAAATTCAACTGTGGGATATCATTTTAGCAAGTACAGCTGCAACAAATCCAGATATACAGGGAACATTCCGGAGAATTCCACCTGAACCTTCAAATACAAACGCACGATCTGTAGCAAGACCCAAATCAACAGGTATAAATATCTATTATAATTTTGATTCGTTAGAGATAAAAGTTCAACTGAAAATTGTATACACATATATTTCTTAATTCACAGATGCCAGATATTTATCACTATTGGATGAAACAAGTGAATATGAATACAGCGCCGAGTCTTTCAGTTTCTTCGAATCGAATAAAAGTAAGACATTCAATCTATGCTGCCGCTTAGTTGCCATTCACCTAAAAATCACTCGTGAAAGTCTTCTTGTGGTAATGTAATTTTGCAAACAATGCTAGTTGATACTAGATAATTAAGAGATTTATTTTTTAAATAAATGAAAATTAGATACGAATATATTTCTTGATTTACAGATGGAAGATATTTATCGCAATTGGATGAAACGAGTGAAAATGAATTCAGCGCGGAATCTTTTAATTTCTCTGAATCGAGCGAAGGTGAGAAGATAAACTCATGATATTACAACATGGCGGAATTTTTAAAAAAGGGAATAGATAAAAAATAGGTTTTTATAAATAATAATACATGTAGAAATTAGAATGGCAAAATACTCCTTAAGATTATGTTCGTGCAATCGCTCATTTTATAGTAAGTGCATTCTTGCGAAAATTACAATTCAAAGATATAATTTCATTTTAGAAAGTACATCTGCAACAATTCCAAAAATACAAGAAGCATTCCCGAGAATTCTACATCCACCTTTAAATAGACGAGATACAGACGCAATCTGGAGCAATACCCAAAACAACCGGTATAAATATCTCATATAAGTTTGATCCGTTTGTTGGGTATTTTACGATTTATAAACTGCCGTTTCGAGGCTCTATAGGCCAGGGTGGTCCAAGGTTGTCGGCTTCGGGGTCGCAAAATTATTTTTGCGTTGTTCGCGAGCCACAGTAGTGCCAAGGATAAGTAAATAGTGGGTGCAATGCAAAACCAACGTTTTTATTGTGAAAATACATTGATCAATATTCGTTATTTCTCAAGCTAAAGCATGCAAAATCCACAAAAAGACTCACTGACGTGTTCAAAAGATTTTCTATATATACATTTGGTGTAGGAATTCAAACTCTTTATAACAGAAAAGATGCTTCCGCAAATGTAGGTGCTTTCGAACATCCGTAAGATTATCCAAGCAAAACTCCCTGACTTTGGAAAATGCTCCAAGCATTGTGGTATTTCGCACCCATATCCCGGTAAAAATTTGTTTGAAATGGTCTGCTTTTTTTTCTAACTCATGTTTACAAAATAACGTAATACCATGGTAGTCAATTCAGCGACATTAGTGATGTAACAAGATTTTTCTAGACATTTTGAAGACGAGACGAGACATGGTTAGGAAGTTCAAATTCTAAATCCTTCCTGTTTGACATTCCCCAAATTTAAACATAAAACTCCAAAATTGCTCTGAACAGCGCTACCCACCATGTCATATGCCATTGCCCATGCAAATTATTTTAATGAAAAATGCATCACTTCGTGGCAAATTGTCGTTGACGTCCACGACAACGGTAACCCTTCAGCCATTGCATCCATCCATTTCTTTTAATTTTTCACAAGCTTTTCTTACATCTCAGTAAATTTTAAATGCGATTGAGACAAAAAGCTCTAATTTTTATCGTTTTCGTGTTTATTCAGAAAATACAACGATTGATTCCAAGTCTCAAACCAGTCTCGTTCAGTTCTCGTTTCATACAAAAGACAAAGAATTAGAAAAATCTGCGCTAAAAATGATAGATATTTACGACAAAGAAGGTAAGCCGTTGTTTGATTTCATAAAACATTCTCTTAACCAGTGGCGCATATCGGTCAGATTGTAAAATTTAACAAGTTCATTTTAAAGCATCATGATACGTTCAATTTCAAAATTCCATTCAATTCTCTCTTAAATTGGGTTTGCTGTACTATGTCTTTTAAACTTCGGAATAACGCTTCGGATTTATTTTTGGGCGCTTCAGAAGTATGTGCACCAAGATTGCGGACAACGGAACGTAGTTTGTGTATCAGGTTAGGATTAGGCCATTATTTTAAATCAAGTTTTCCTCTTTCAGTTTTATTACGAGTTCAGGGACTGGGCAAGTGACTCTCGTAGTATTTGTGTCTGAAGTTATAGCATAACCCTAACCAGGTACACGCACTACGTTCTGGTGTCCGCCATCTTGGTTCTCATACTTCTGGAGTATCATTTTTTGTATAATTATTTCAAACGCCAGTCGAGCAGCCTGCGCATAATTATTGTAAAATTTTCAAAATATGTTAATAAATTTCTAGGTAAAAAATAATCTTAATTTTACAGAATCATCCTTGCACACGTGGTGGTGGTTATGGCGGACAAAATCTCTTTCACCACTTATCGCACATGTTTGGGGATTGATACGCTACAATATCCTTATTAGAGATTGTGAACAGAACAGGATGGCGGAATTTTCCAAGTCAAAATTGGTTCAGGGAATTTTCAAAGCCGACAACCATAACAAACAAATGAAATCTTTTATTTCAAAAGCTAAAGATGTCATTAAACTCGGGAAAGAATTTATTTCTAAAGAAAAATATATTCACGCTATAGTTGCATTCTATGCAGTCTTTAAGCTTCATCAACAAAATGATGGAAAAGACGAATCGGTGGAAGGTATATGGACATGCTTTAGAGAAGCTAGCATCGTTACATTACAATTGTTAGTTAATGGTGAAACTAAAGATATTGGCCAAAATCACGTTATCCCACTTATTCAAGATATAAACAATTTTCTGAGAAACATCCATGGTCCAAGTCAATTAGCAGAACAAATGGAAACTAAATCAAAAAATTTATCACAGAGAAAAAATTTATTCCAGCTATGGTCACATTAAATATCGCAGCTAAACTACATAAAGAAATAAATGCTGCAAAGGGTTTGGAATTACTCGCAAGTACCAAATTAAATTAAAATCTCGTTTTGTGGGCCACACATGATTGAAAATTAGCACGAGTAGTCAACCAGATCGTTTGGTCAGACGGAAATTTTAATTCATTCAACGCGAATGCGTGTTATAGTGTAGATTTATTTCTACAAAATTGTGAACTCAACTTCTTAAAATTTTCATATTTATTTAGTATTGAAAAACTTTGAACTATGATTCTAAAAAAGATTTTTTATTTTTCCTGTTATTGAACCATCCAATCCACATATTGTTTAATTTCACATTTACTTTTTTCTTGTGAAAGGTTTTGACTAAGTGTTGAACAATCCATCTGTGTGTTATGATTTCATATTTTCCTTTTTTTATTAAAGGAGGTTCCGAGTTAAAAAGTAGTATATAGTGTGCGATTCATGTGTTTTCAATATTTTCAATGACATTAAATTGCTTCGTGTGTTATTATTTGTTTCTTTTATTTGTAATCATTTGTTTATTAGACGTTATTAGTTTTCAGAGGTCTTTTTTAGTATTGTATATTGTCAAAATCAACTAGGTTAGTTAGTTCTCGGATTCAAATCTTGTAATCTTAGCTTAGAGTATCATCATTGTTCGCTGACATTCTACATTAAATACTGATATCAGTCATTACATGTTTATGTGACCATATTGCTGGCATGGTCAAACGACGGCCTGCGGGCTCAATCTGGTCCGACTGATGCTGCCACAATTAAACTGAAACTTTTTAAACTAGAAAATAGCTCAATGAATTTGTAGACTTTGCGATTATATTGAGTTTTGGCACGAGGCTTATTGATTTCGACTTTTTCTTTTGTAACACTGTAAATATTGTTCACAGTTGTTACTTTTTACGTCACACTCACATGACCCGCCGGTCTAGGTGGGCAAAAGTTTTTGTTCCCGTATTAGAAACCTTGCCTCCCCTCCTCTCAGCTATAGAAAAGAAAGTCACAAAATCTACTATTATACCAAATCAATTACAAATAAAGTTAAAAGCAACCAATGATATGTCACAAGATGCATAAACTCGGGTAAAACCAATTGACGATGACGTAATTGAAGTGAACTTGATACTTTCAAATGACAGTCACTGTAGAGATATTTTGGATTCAAATCGAATCGTTGCTTTTGCGACGAAAGTGTGATAAATATTCTCAACAGAAATACGAATGCAATTGGATTTTAGCGAACTGCCGCCATTTATCTGAGAGTTTCGCGCAGAGGCACATTCACGTATCACTCAAAAGGCTGTGTTGCGTAATCTCCCTTAAACTGCCAGTCCAATGAATTGCCTAGGCTAAAAGTTTCCATTTTATATGTTTTTGATAGGATCTTATACCCAAAAACAATTGAAGTAAAAACTTGCAACATGACGCCAAACCTGCGGCTTAAATTTGCTATATATTTAAGTGCGAACCATTACTTGATGTTTTAATTGCCATAGTTATAATTACTCACGAGAACAAGACAACTAACCTCGAACCACCAATTTGCAATCTCTGGTATAATTCAATTTGTTGACGTATACTTTAGAGCAGGGCTCGGCAACCTTTTGTCGCTCGCGGGCCAAAATTAAGGTTGCTTAAGTCATTGGCGGGCCCTACATATTTTTAGAAAGTTGAAAAACCGAACAGATGATACTTTTTATAATAAAAATCGAGCAGTGATACATTTTTAATAGAATATAGATTTATTTCCTCATTGCATCTCATAAAATTCCATTTGAATATTTTCAGCGCCATTGAACCCTTTCAACATCTCAGCATCAACTTTTCTGCGTTTTGTTGCCATTTGCTTAATTATAATTAAATTATATGCTCTTTAAACGAGTAATTGTGAATTATATAATTGTTAGGGTATAATATAATTTATTCTAAAGAATATATTCGTAAAAACGGATGTTTTGTTACTATAATTTATTGAAGCGTCGCGGGTCGTAGGTTGCCGACCCCTGCTTTAGGGTTTAGACATTTTCTACGTATCAATGTTTTTTTCTAATCATGAAAATACATATTTGATCCGCTCTATCGCATTCTCTATGCCTCTACCAATTGGATTTAAAGAAATCAGATTCGAAAGATTCGATTCAAAAAGTTTTGAGTCGATTGCATAACTACTAAGAACACATTTTAAACAATACTCACGGGAATTTATGGGCCACACTTATTCCCTCATTCATAATCAATGTGTGATCCGTGTTTTGCCTAAAAGAAAAATTATAAGCAGTTTGCTAATTTTTCAAATTAAACCCAAACATCAAGCGATTTGTTAAGAATAACAATTTGAATGGGTTGTCACTCATATCCGACAACGCTATAACTCTGCCCACACAATGTTTGTAAATTATATAGCAATCGGCATGTGGAATGCTCGCCATTAAAATACTTGAAAGAAGGGGTGTACAACCTTTACCCTATACCCGGCCGCATTTCGTTTTTGCAAAAGGACTACGGCCGTCAGTAATGTAGCTTTTATGTCCAATCAAAGATCGCTTGCTATCGATATATATCTCATAGGAAAGCGCCAAAAATTTATGAAAGCTAGACACGAAAACTTCCTAGGGGTCGAATCGAATAAATTTATTAAATCTAATAGGTCCAAGGAATACAAAATATAAATTCGAATAGCGAATCGTTTATACCTACTGCCGTAAGTGAATCCCGCGCTAGTTTAGGATATTATGAGAGGCCGAAATATTTGTTTAAGATCATAATGTTGCTATCTCAGGAGCCATGGAGCAATGTTTATGATATTAATAATCTTTTTTCCATTAGCAAATAGAAGACACAACTACTGCTTTTATTTTGTGTAACATCTCAAGACAACACCCTCGAACATAAATTCCCGTATTAAAAAAACAATACCTTACCCTCTATAAACATAGGTAAGTAGGCCGACGACACCTCAAGCAATATCTATTTTCTAGTTAATTTATTTTTATTGCGTCGTAGGTAAAATTGCCTTGTGCATATTTTGCAGAAAATAACACACACTAGCGCGGACGCAGATTTTTTCCTTGACGGTCGCAGGTTGTGTACCCCCTATGAGAGAGAATTCCATAAAAGTTATTTACATCACGTTAAAGTAACTTCATTAATAAATAATGGCTTCAACATGAATAGATATCAAAATTAAATAAGATCGGTAAATCACCTATACTGATTTATTAGTAATTGCGTACTTGCCAAAAATTTGTGCTCGAATTAATAGGCACCTCGGCGAAGGCAAAAACAGAAAAAAATGTTTATCTTTCCTACCGTGTGTGGGGTATTTGTAACAGACGCTCTACCCCAATCCGTGGTCTAATTTCGGCATAATGGTGTTTTATACACCAGGATCTTAATCATTGGGGCCTTGCCATTCTAACAGTTTATACGCCATTGCCATTCCAACAGCTATACGTCATATACGCATCTGAATCGCCGGGTTGCTAATATCACTCTAGTTCATATTGTCGTCTCCATTTTGGGAGGTCAGTTTACTTGTATACGCTGACTTACGAAGTCACCAATTTAATTAATATTTTAGATTGTATCTCTGATAAAAAAGGTAGACTTCACTTACGTTTAATCCACGAACTTCGAATAAAATAAACGTATCTCGATTGGGCATTTCTGATAGACTAACGTAAGCCAGTCATGTCGGCGCCACAGGCCTACGTCCTATCGGTATTGAAGGTCCGATCCTTGATACCAAGTCAACTTAACGGCACTGATCTGACCGTTGACAACAGCACAATAACATTCGCAATACAATATCTGCGGCAATCAAGTAAAAACAGACAGAATCATAATGATTAACAATGTAGGCTTAACAAGAACAACAACACTTCATCACGCACGTTGCCAGATATTACCTATAATTCGAACCTCAAACTAAGTTAACTCAAACTAATTATCACGGTCCACATATGCACATATTGGTTAGGCTATTTCTATAGTTTTTTCTAAATGATGCATTTAGTTAGTTCAAGCAGTACGGTAAAAGAAGCTAATGAAAGATACAATGACAAGCGTGTTGATATTAGATGTTACTCCGATCATCGATTTTCTTTGTTTATTCCGTAACAACTACATATCAAAAACAAGAGAGCTATGCTAATAATTTTGATGACGTCATAGCAAAAAAAAAGTAATAGCCTTCTGGAGAATATTTTTATCTTTAACCACTGAAAATTTCAAAGCAATTGGTCCAGTATTTGAAGAGAAAAGCGATTTTTTAAAAATGGAGACGGAGACAAATAACAATAACAACAAGAGAGCTATGCTCAAATATATGGACACGTAGAGTCACATAATTTTGATGACGTCATAGCGAAAAAAAAAGTAATAGCCTTCTGGAGAAAATTTTTATCTTTAACCACTGAAAATTTCAAAGCAATTGGTCCAGTATTCGAAGAGAAAAGCGACTTTTTAAAAACGTGTCGAAGAACAAGAACAACAACATAATATTGAAACGATCGTTATGTCCACTACGTGTCCAACAAAAGAGCTATGCTCAAATATATGGACACGTAGCGCCACCCAGTGGCAATAATTTTGATGACGTCATAGCAAAAAAAAAGTAATAGCCTTCTGGAGAAAATTTTTATCTTCAACCACTGAAAATATCAAAGCAATTGGTCCAGTATTCGAAGAGAAAAGCGATTTTTTAAAAATGGAGACGGAGACAAATAACAACAATAACAACAAAATTTTGAACGATTGTTATGGCCACTAAACGTGTCCAATAACAACAAAATTTTGAAACGATCGTTATGGTCACTAAACGTGTCCAATAAGTTAACAATGACGTACCAATTGAAATTTATGCCGCCGCTCAGACAGATATGCAAGTGTGGTTGTAATCTTTTTTTGGTTGTTTTCGTGTTATTTTTCAGTTTTTGTTATGTTTCCGAAATATAGTTGTAAATCAAATAACTTAATTGTCATTGTGACTTCTAAGAACCTTTAGTATAGTTTCAAAATTGATAGGCAAATGCTGCGATAGACAAGCGTAAAATTAGTTATTGGTACCTGTAAGCGGGGCGTAGTTTATTGCTTTGAATAAAAATGATAGTTTTGAACATGTAAGTCAGTTTATAAGCGCCAACTCTCCGAAACACTCTCAAAATCAGCGTTTGAAATTTTGCAATGATAAGTATAAAAAGAGAAGATCTTTCAGGAGTCAAGGGTCGAGGGAACGTCCATGCTACTGTTAGTGAGGCGTCGAAGGTGAATTGAAGCAACAAAAACAAGCTTAGAGTGCGTGTACAAACCTATCTTAAATTCTAACTTGTGCATCCCCTTTGTACCCTCAAATTGAACATGCAAAAACGAATGAAAGGCGGAGTGGCCGAGTTTATGACATGCCTAATCTTATGAACCTATTATTCGTTAATAAACAAGAGAGCAATGCTCAAATATATGGACACGAAAACTATTTGCAATAATTGCATCACGCTGTTCTATTGGAAAGATTGTAATGCTTCTCCCATACAGCCATACCAGATTTGAAATGGTACCTTACCGGTAACCAGACAAGAGGCAGTGGTTCGCAATATGGTTAAGCCGTTCTATAGGCTTTCCTCTCCATCGGGATAATTATGTAAATCTTATCCTTTTTGTAAAGTCTCTTCCTCTGCATATTTCTGTATTTACTGATTTATGTACACTCACCTGCTGCACATGTTGAAATTTTTGTGAAGTTTTTTCCTCTGCATACGGTACCATACCGGTACGTATTTATGCAAATGTTGTTTCCAAAAAAATGTAACGAAACAGCGAAAAATTAGAAAGGCATAGCAGCTGTGCAGACATGCTGGCTCATTACAAAAACTTAATTTAAATGCAGGCACACACTCTAAACAAATATAATTAATGCAACTAGTACAGTAATACTGTACTAGTCTACCGATATCGTACCTGTACAGCTGTACCGGTACGTACCGTAACGGACTACGGTACCGGTATTGGTAAGACGTTACGTAAACCTGTAAACGTTACCGGTACGTGCCGTACAGGCCACAGGGACTGTCATAGCTTTCCCAGCTATCGTACCGGTACCGGTATCACTTTCGCTTAACACGGGAACCACAGTCTACAAATACTGAAATATATGGAAAGTGAACATTGATTGATTGAACACCGAGCGAAACAGTATCGGTAGTTTAACTTAACCTCAAAAACCTTTCGAGTTTATTGAAATCGCAAACCGTTGCATTGCTGCATTGCGGGTACCGGTAACCCCAAACATCTCGATTCCCCATAAACAACTCTTCGCGGAGCAAGAATTACGATCGCTTCTCAGTTGATATGCCTTCGCGCAATCGCCACAAGGTGTCACTGTTTTTTATTCTGATCACTTCTTTGAACACAAAAAACGAATCTCTCGAAGTCCACAGGAAATTTTAAAATAAATAAAAGTAATAGCCTTCCGGAGAAAAATTTTATCTTCAACCACTGAAAATTTCAAAGCAATTGGTCCAGTATTCGAAGAGAAAAGCGACTTTTTAAAAACGTGTCAAAGAACAAGAACAACAACAAAAACGATCGTTATGTCCACTTCGTGTCCAAAAAGAGAGAAGAAATTGTGACGCTATATTGCCGCAAAACATTGTGCTATATACGTCACCAGGAATATGCTTATCATCTTGTTATACTAAGCTTATGACTATCTAAACACTTCATTAACGTTTAGGTGTGCTCGCCATAATAGTCACACTCTCAGAATATCCAGTGTTTCGCAAAGCCACGCACTAGAATCTTTTATTTAATGGCGCAACTAAAAATCTTTACTATCTAAGCCAGCATTTTTCAAACTAACTGAGTTTCGCGGAACACTAGTATTCTGTGAACTTCTTTGGAGTATTCCGTGGGACAGGGATCAAAATTGCGTTTGAATTGGTCGCTATGCGATCTTGACATAACTTCGGTGCCTCTGGGTCGGAAATTTGCCTTCCAACTGGCAGACAGGCCTCGTGACAATCTGGAAAGCTTGTCGTTTTAATTTTACCAAAGGCTAAATATTTTGGAAATTGTTCTTTTCAGCTGCTATTAGCTGGAAACTGGGAGCCCCAACATATGTCGGTATGAGCCGGTTGTACAAGTTGATGCACAGAGGCACAAATTAAATTCATTACACATGTTTTTTATGAATTTTACCTTTTAATTGCTTGCTTTTCCGCGAGGCGAGGTCAAAAAGCGTAAGTGTTCCGGGGAAAAAAGTTTGAGAAACGCTAATCTAAGCAAAGGGGATAGATTAAATATAAGCATAGAGCAACCAACACGACCGACCTGAACAGCAGGCAAACCAAGAAATGAAAGGTTTAGGGATTCTGTCAAATGTAAATCTGTTCTAACTCGCCTTTTTTCAAATACAATATATTTACATATATATTAGAATTTATTTATTATGTGTAAATCAGGAATCTTGTGGTAAATGAACAAACGTATAAATGCTGATCATACACATCAACTAAACAGTTCCTGAAAACAGAAAAAGCCCAAAAATCGGCACTCTCGTAGTATGTGAACCAAGATGGCGGACACCGGAACGTAGTTTGTGTACCAGGTTAGGATTAGGCCATAATTTCAGGTACAAATACTACGAGATTCACCTGGCTAGTCCTTAAACTCATAATAAAACTATAATAAGGAAAATAGGAATAAATGATGGTCTAACCCAAACCTGGTACAAATAACATGTTCCGGTGTCCGCCATCTTGGTTCACATAGTACGGGAGCGCCCAAAAATCTAATAAAGTTAAACAATCTTTAACCACTTAAATCAGGGGTGTGCAACCTTTAATGTTGGAGAGTCAGATTGAAATAATTGAGTAAAACTGCGGGACGCACCTTTATTTAACATAGGCTATCTAGAAGTTGCAAGCACAAAAATTATGGTTATTGATCGTTTGACATGCGTTATTTGCACAAGCTAGTTATTATAGCATTGTAATTTCATAAGCATAAGTAATATTCTGGTCAAAGGTATAGGCTTTGAAATGCAAAGGGTTTGGAATTACTCGCCAGTACCAAATTAATTAAAATCTCGTTTTGTGGGCCACACATGATTGAAAATTAGCACGAGTAGTCAACCAGATCGGTTGGTCAGATGGAAATTTTAATTCATTCAATATCCAAAAATATGCGTTTTTCAAAATTACCTCAAATACTCAACCAATAATATAATGCAGAAAAAAAAAATATCAAAACAATGGGGTTGTGCGAGCATTCGATATCATTAGAGTAGCATAACTTTTTTCTGTGACGATTGAATCAGATTTCACAATTTGTCACATATGCCTGTTGACAAGATAGAAGTACACGTGCGCGCTATATTGGGTAGACGTCTCTGAACGTCTAGTTAGTAGAGCAAGGCATTTCGAATCGAAAATTAATGTGATTTAGCAGGGTTAAACAAACATTTCAAAATGCCGCCATTTTTTTTTGTTTGCTATAGGTCGAATAGGTCGAGGCGAATTCCTCATTTTTTTTTATTAAAGCCATACTTTTAAAATGCAATTTTGACACATGACTCTTCCCTGACTTATTGGCGAAACAAGTTTCCTATTGTGAGTAAACACGTGCGTGCCTTTTGCCCCAAACAAAGCCAGATAAGAGTAGCCACTGATATGTAACGATATCTTAAAGATATGATCGGTATCTTCACGGCCTATTATGAGTTATTCTTGCAACAGGCCAGTGAATTTTCCATTTCTTTAATGTAGCATTGAGCGGTGGGCTAAATCGTGTTTCACCAAGGGTCTTAAGCAGTGGTGGGATTCAGCCGGTTCCATCGCACAAATGTCATATTTTTAGGTTTTGTTACAAAAGTCATGTTTTTTTCAGTAATGCTAACCGGTTTGCTGATCTCATAAAATTACGTTAGACGTTTTTATAGAACCAGTGCGAACCGGCTGAATCCCACTACTGGTCTTAAGTTTCTTTGTACGTTTGTCAAATATGAGTTTGAGACGTTATTTCGCATAGATAACTCGACTTACTGCGAGTCTATGAAAAAATTATGACTCGATTGGAGCAGTGAATTGAGTCTCCTCAACAGATTTTATATTAAAGTCTTAACAAACGGGGCTCCACCTTGTTTGTACGAACGATACTCTACTAGGCTATGATGTAGTTTTAGATAAGGAAGGGAATGATCATTAATGCCTCCATAATTGGGCAATCTACGAACTTTCGTGGAATCCACTTTGTCCAAATCAGAAAATTTCGACTGGCTGTGTGAGTCATTTCTAGACATTAGCTGCCTTGTATATCGCAATGTTCCTCGTTGTGCGGTTGTGTACAGAGTCGTTTTTCCTCTTGGAAATCCTTTGTGTATATTAACCGGAGTTTGCTTATCCGGTTCCGTAGGATAAACAACATGCGCTGTTTCGATTGGGTTTTCAGTTAAACAAGTTTGCTCCGATGCGACAATACTGGGCGGAGTGTCTCCTTTCACTTCTAAGAATTTTTTCCTTTGAACATTTTCTTTCTCGTCTGAGTTGTCTGCAATTTGTTTGATGATCTCTCGCCGTACTGTGTGTGCTTCGTTGCCCTGGAATTAAAGATGAGGAAAATAAATCAAAGTCATACTCGGCTTCTGCGGCTTTCAATCATATCATACTGACATCTCTGAGTTTGTTTGGATAAGAATAATCATTTCTGAGGAAATTGTCGCACTCATCACCATCGCGGAGAAAATTCCATGCAGTTGGGGCGATTAACTCCTTAGTTGTTCCCATACACCGACCCGACCTAGTAACCTGATGGCTTCAATTTTCTATATAATTAAGTTGTATTATAACATAGCATTTTTCTTTATTGATATACATGGAAAAATTGTTTTATTGTTCAGGCCGTATATTTCTGAAGTACCTGCCATATTTTTAGAAATTTGAATATGACTGAACATTTGCATAATATTAATGTAAAAGAATCGTTTTTTTTATTTACCGCGGCTTATCAAAACGCTTACAAAATTTATTGGAGTACGTATTGATTTCCTAAGGCAATTGCAGCCAATTAGTAGTGATTACGTGGCGTGAATCATTCTGAGACGCAGAAAATCATTCTGAATGAAAAGTATCCCGTGTATCACACCCATAGGTTACGTTTACTATTCAGGCAGTAATCATACCCTTGAATTAAAATAAAATGCACAAAAAAGAAAAATTCTTACCTTTGAATTGGTTGTATTTCTTGTGATTAGCGATGAAACTTCACGATTCGAGTTCAATTCAAATGTTTCTAATTCTGCAGATACGCTAGATGTCTCACAAGAGTTTGAAATTGCCCATAAAGCAAACGGCGTCGTTTGTTTGTGACCATTTTCTCCTGTAGATCGACGAGTTTTTATTGACTTTCGTAGTTCGGATACATATTGGTCAACTTTATTTTGGGACGGGCTTGTGCTAGAGTTATTGTTTGTCGTTTCATTAACATCTGAATCCCGTTTCTTCCACAATTGATTTGTGGCGTGCCTTGATCTTTGCTTTACCATGCATTTCATGGCGGGCGATATCGGGGGTTTTCCACGAAACGACCCAAAGTCGGGCATTGGTATTCGGGAAGGGTGGAGAGGCGGCTGAATGCAGACACGGGACAAGTGAGGGTTGTTGGAGTCTGGGCTTTCTCGCTCAGAGAACGGACGAACCGAAGTCGAAGGCCGTCCTACTTTTGATTCGCTTCGCAAATTCGACGACTCCGCAACTGCTCTTTTTTTAATCCATTGTGAGGTGGTAGTCAACCGTGTTCGATATTGTGACATCACTGGGGGTGCGCTTCTATTACGTAATATCATTGACTTGACAGCTCGTTCGTAAGGTCCATAGGCATCTACGACGTCATTGTCTTGATAATCTACGTCATCCTGACGCCATGACTGTGACGCAAGTACTTCGGTGGAAGAGTTAGTGGGAGTCGTTGGTGGAGCAATAGCTCCGCCAAGTGTGGATCGTCTTCTGGTTGTTGTATGTGCTGGGGTACTAGGTGGCGCCATTGTACCTGTCCCCGGGAGGACTTTCATTTTAATATCCACTCTCATGTTAACTATTTTTCCATTAGTATGATATTGCTCTTTGGTGTAATCCTCGTTTAGGGGATAGGAGTATACTTCCGGCATGTAATCGTCATCTTTCTCCTTATTGGTCGGTATATCCGGAAGTTTGGAAACGGCAGGCACCCGACAACTCCCAGATTCTACCACAAAAAAGGCGGCCTTCGATTCCGGACTATCTGATCCATTTGCAGATAATGCACCGCTTGGGATCCTCATTATAATAAGATCTAAAACTAGTTTATCAAAACCTGCACATACGTAAGAACAAAAGTATTGGTTTAAGGAAACATTGGGGACATAAACTATGAATACTGTGTCACCATGGCGATGTTTCAAGCAATGCTCCTAATAGTGAAAGATTCGCTTTGTTTTTCCAGTCACATATGCTAGCTTTCAGCACGTATAAAATCTGGTGACCATACATTCGAAGCCCCGTACATTTGAACCTATGTGTATATCCGAGGGTTCAATCTATATGTGGGTGCTAAAACCCACGGGTTAGGTTTAGTATGGGTTCAAACATCCGTAAAACAAAAAAAAAATTCCATAGTTGCAATGGTATGCAGGTGCAATCGTCGTGGGTTCAAATGTAATGGGACCATGAAATCTATTTACATGTTATAAGCTCTAAGCCTTAAAAACACTGCATTTTTAAATCAAACGAATATCGTGCTAATGGTTGTATACTAGATTGGGCGCTTCCGTAGTATGTGAACCAGGATGGCAGACAACGAAACACAACAGGTTAGGGCCATAATTTTATTCCAATTTTCCTTGTTTTAGTTGTATTACTAGTTCGGGGACTAGCCCAGTGACTCCCGTAGTATTTGTACCGGAAATTATGGCCTAACCCCAACCTGGTACACATACTACGCTCAGGTGTTCGCCGTCTTGTTTCACATAATATGGGAGTACCTTACATTGATACACTTTTAATAGTAGTTATTCCAAGCTAAGAAGTGTGATTTATGCTTTGAACAACTTTTCTACCCTGTCCTTTTTTGTTTACATGTAGACTATGCGAACGTTGGTGTCAAACTGTAAAGGAACTTCTTCTGTGAACCATTACCTTCATCCGCAATTTTACACTATCTGATAACAATCATTCTTCTAAAACTTCATATTGATCTCGACAAGAAATTATCACAAAGGCCTGTTTGCCTCGGCGCGTCCTTGTTTAAATTAGTTGGACACGTCATGACAATTTTCTTCGTAAATGACCAACATTTATGTCGAAGATTATTCGACGGGATGTACATTTCAATACGTTTATGACGTAGAGAAATGTCCATTGTGACAACAGATTTAACAAAGGAAGTTTGATTTCATCTGATTGTTCTGTCATAAAAGTCTGCGATAAACGGGAAAGTAAATATAGAAACGTGAACACATAATGCTACTTGAGAAGAACTAGCGCAGAAAACGATACAAAAATAGACAAACTTGTAATGATCGCAATGTAGTCGCTGATTGAAAAGTTGATGACCCTTTGTAAGTTTCTTATAGCGTGACTGAAATTAATGTTTATTATTAATGCATCGAATATTTGAAAATCTCAAGGTGGGTTGAAGAAACAATGCAGCGCTGTCCGACTTTTCGGAAATGCGAGGAGAGTGATCTCCTTTCACGTATTTTCAGAGTCGCTGAGAATAGGCAAGACAAAAATGATTCCGGTTTTATAACTTTTGTCCACTAATAAATCTCATCTTAACATTAACATGCAATCATCCATTCTCCTTCAGAAATAGAATTTGACAATGGCAATTTTTTTTCTCCTCCTAATCTGTAGTCATAAAGTAAATGATTGTCATTAGGTAAATTCAAGAATAAACAAGGCACAACCGGTGTTAGCAAAGCGATGTAATTTGCCGCCGTTTCAAATTTCGTTTCGTTGAAATTTTTCTGTACAGGAATTCGGCAAGTCACAGCGTTTTCCTAACACGGGTTGTGCATTATTTATTTAAGTAATAAAAAATTTAATACCTTTTTCCTAAAAGAATTCAGATTTTACAGGATGTCCCTAAGCCTAACTTATAGGAGAACAACACGTATTTAAAAAAAAAAATTCACTCGTTCGACTTATCTACCGTATCATATTAAACTCTCCGCTTGTAATGACGAGACGTCATTTATTACAAGTACCATTCAATAATACATACTTCGCTACTAATCAAGTATCATGCTCATGCGTTGATTGAATTAGAGTATTCTATAAGAGCTCAATTTGGCTTGGGAAAGCTCATCAAGAAGATACTCATAATTTGATACGTTCGTAAATTGATTTCAACAATGTATTAAATGGTTAATTTACTTGGTTCGTAGTGCTTATGACATACCATATATAGGCACTTAGTCACAAATTTTGAAAGAATTTACCAGCGATTAAGCATGTGGTTATCCCCAAATCCTCGTCTATTTTTTGAAGATTTTTGTTTTGCTGAAAAAGAAACCACAAATTTAGTCGTGATTCCCACTTCCTATGCTTACTCAAATTGTTTGCCACGGTTACATATAAAAATTCTTAAATATAGGAATGTCATCAAGTCAATACTTCGAACGTTTTACCAAAAGCGAATCCAAGCATTATTCCAATCTATAAAGAAATAGAGCAAAATTTAATGTCGTTGGAACTTGAAGAAGCAATTTGTTTGAAGAATATTCAATATTCAAATAAAAAGAAAGTTCTTCGAAATTATCAAGGTTCATTATTCATATAGTCTGTGAGCAAACTAAATAAATCAGCCTTCACTGGAAGCGATATCTCATGTAAAGTCAAGATTTGAATTATCCCAATTTGCCGATATCAACGAATTCAATATTTATGAATAGCTGCGTTTAATCACTACTGGTTGACGAAACCACCGTCTCTCCTCACGCGAACTGGCTAAATTGTTCAACCTCCTTTGAATCTATGTTTTCTGTGAGTCCACTTCTTTTACTGCTTCAGCTAAACCTGAATATAATAGTTTAAATCGCCCTTGATTCGGCTTGGCGACAGATAGCATTATATTGTGTATGGCCATCACGAAGTCTTAAGAATTAAACTGAATATTATATCTATTCAGTTAGAATTAAAACCTCATAACTTGGGGGCGATCTGTCAGCGACGACAAGAAAAGCTGATATTCAATCAGACTCTAAGCCCGTGTGTGCATATATTAAAAATACAGGAAAGTTTCATTGTTGAATCCAGTAAAATAATTGTGATTTCCTTTAGGAATTAGTCCAAAAAGAATCGTTAATAGAAACCTACCTAAAGGACGTTTTGTCATCATTTCATACTTATACAAGGATATTCTAATTGGGGTGGTGTTTTTTGTACTCAAATTGACACAATAACATACGGATTTCCAATTATTCACAATTTTTTGAACTATTTCCATATTCACAATACATAATCTCTCTATTATAGAACTTTGAATTTTCACAAAGCTTTTCGTTTATATTAATAAGAACATATATTATTCCTAACGCTGATTTTTGTTGATCTATCTACGCTATACTTTTATGGTAGACTATATCCACAAAGTTTTTAAACGATTCTGGAGTCGAAATAACACTTTTCTTTTGTTAAAAAACTGAAATGTGTCTATAGTTACCGTTCGGCCGCGCCTTGGAATATTTCCATTGTTTAATTGTCAATATTATTGTTTGCTCACAATGAATCTTTTACATAGCAGACGACAATTAAGGTGACCGATTTACGAAGTCGTGTTTCCAAGATTGATGGAAGAAATTCGTGATGATTTCAATGCCATTTCACAAAACCCGACAGGAACAAAGTACAACTACACGCGACCGGTATCTTACAATGTCGATGCTCCATCGGCAAGCGAATCTTGTGTTAAACATAATACCTAATTGGCATATTTTCACAATAAAAAATCAATACCAATACTGAAACCACAGGATGCTCAAAAAATTCGTCGGAAATTATATCAATAACAATTCGAATTTTTTTTGTCTTTGTTCATTATTAGGTCTCATTGTGCTCTCAGTTCTTATTTATCATATAATAGAATTTGCTTAAACTTACAATTGTTATTACTATATATAATCGGACGAAATTTTTTGGACACCCTGTATTTCCAGTACTTCTTTGAACAAAATAAACACTTTTTGCTTTCATAAGTGGTAAGAAACAAACTATATATGGGTATTCCAAATGTTTTGAATGGCTATACATTCGCACTTCGTGAATAGCAATGAAAATAAATATGTAGGTCGATGTTTATTGTATACGACCTTTTTATTTCTATTAGTTGGTGTCTAATCGGTTATTATCAGTTTGCTGCTCTAAGTATGTCTGATAGTAATATAATTCGTTACCAAAATATAAAGGTAAAGTAAGAATTAAATGAGTATTGAAAATGATCAAAAATATCAAAGTCACAGTTCAGATATATAGTTAAATTCTAACAAAATTACATAATTTGTCCAAAATCTCGCTTGCCTCGATTACCACAAAACACGAATAACTTCGATTCATTTTTTAAAAGTGTACATACATTGTATTCACACTTGTATAAACACTCCGCCATTTACAGTCCACAAAAACTACAAAGGCATACATGCTTTCAACACGGATTACATTACATCTATTACTTAATAGTAAGGAGGATCTAATTATAGCCCAGTTTGTCTTGGATATGTGTACGTCGTGTGTTGGTTATGGCTTGCGTCCAATGCTAATGGACTTTTAGGAAAGAAATAAATTGTCTTAGTGGAAATATTCCTCTATACCAGTGATTCTGAAACAGTGGGACACGCCCCACAAATGGGGTGTAGAAAATTTTTTTCGACGGGGAGTCAAGCTAATTAAAAATTCTTGTTAGATTTGATCTTGCCCGTTTTTTTTAGATATTCACATTTTATTTGTTCAGAAATTGCGATTCCATTCACGTTTTTTTAAAGTATTTTTTGAATAAAGCATACTTTGCTTTACTATCTATAATTTGTAGCTTATTGTTAGCGAGTTAGTTTTAGAAGGGGCGACTTGACAATTTGTAAAAAAGGAACGCGGCTTAAAAAGTTTGAGAATCACTGCTTCAAACTAACATTCAAACAAACAACGTTTTTCAAAATATCTAGAATGACATTCAAACTTCAACCGCAATAACACATTGTGACACATAGTGGTCTAAGTTGGTAATGGCATGATTTCAACAATAATAGACCTAGAATAGACATTTGCCCACAGTGGCGTGTTTTTTCAGTAAAATTCCATCAAGTTGATAACCC